TAATACCTTTGTTTTGTCGCATCCATATCTGGAATGATCCACAACTATTGATACATAGCACCTAGGCGCGATACCAAGTCTCAACCTTGGAAGCTCCTTCCACAAAGAGACTGATCAACAATTGAAACTACTGGGCCCAACGTGAAACATCTGCAAGATCCGACCAGCCCATCGCCGGGAGCTAAACACAAATACCCCGAGCGCCAGGGCTATTCAAAGCGACCTCGGAGGTTCCAGCCCGTTGGGTTTGATGTGGGAGCAGTAACCTACTAGTTATTTAGTACATAATCAATTACATTGATTATATCCGTAAAGAATCCAGGCCGTCTTTCAACCTTAGTGTCTAATGTTAACTCAGTTGGGCAATGTGGACCGAGAAATCTACTAGTCTGCTTTATGTTTCAGGTCGGAGATGGATCATTTGCGGCTCTAGATCGCGCTCGTGCCCTGGGATTTCTATCCTGACTTCCAAGATTGAATCATTTAGAATTTCTCATGTGGAAAAGTAAGCACTTGCATTGCGGAATGAACTTGGAATCGGCGCTCCTGTACGTATATGGGCTAGTTGGATCCATGTCCCGGTTTTGTTTTGGGATGCGCCCCGGGTGCCCTATGGAAGTGGAGTGTCGGTATTCGGAATACATCCGTGGCCCGCTCTATCCAGGGCATTGAAGCCGATCAGGAACCACAATAGGATTTCCTGGTTCCAAGAATTTTACTGTAGTAAATTCGAATATTTAGATCGTCAGTGTCTGGACTAGTTACCTAGTGTTAAGGGTTTCTGGATTAGTAGTGTTTACTAAACGCTCGGTTTAAGTTCAGGTTCTTCCAGGTTTCCACTTTCAGTGCCTGGTTGATGTTGACACATGTGAAGCAACGTTTGAAAAGCATATCCTGCATTTGCGGCATGCTAATTATTGTCCCCGACGGAAATGCGACGGGTCGAATTATTCAAGGGTACTGTTTCAATTCTGTACTTGTCCTCTGCTTGATCTTTTCACATGTCAAACTTTTCTAGTTTGCTGGATATTCTCCTGCAGATGAGGGGATGTCTCCTCTTCGTTTGTTCTGTGACGAGAATTGACTGATCAATCGATGCGCTGCTGATTTAGCCTCCGGTTGGAGAATGATGTGATTAATACACTTCTAAACAACAAAATGTTTCGTCACATCCGTCTGTGTTATTGATGTCTATGCGCGTTGAGATGATGGAATTTGTTTCGTTGTTATCGGTTGGAGGCGTTGGTGTTTGTTGGTGGCTGTGATCCGACTGGTTCAACTTGCACATACTTAGTGGTATGTGGCCTGAGTACCAAGTCCCAACAATATCAGTCAACTGGTATCAGGTACGCGCAGCCGCCAACTGGTGAATCGATCGGACAAGCCCCGGAGTATTCGGATATGGTTCGGAACTAATTTTTTCTATAACTGAACCTTTATATGCTAACTCATATACATAAGGAAGTTATGGAATAATTTTCCACACCTTCCAAAGAAACCATTGTAGCTTGCTAGGGAGTGTTGTGCTCCGTGGATAACCGTTGAGCAAAAATGTACAAACATGGAATGACTTGAGCTGATAGGCAGATTGCCTCGACCACAATCAGTTTGCACACGAAAGCTCTGACAAAACAAACTGGACTCTCTCATCACTAACTCATATCCTTTCTTCTTTTGCAATTCAAGCTTCCTTGATAGAGAAATAAGCTGGTGAATACAAAGGCAAGCTCCGGGTTTGGTCTGTTTGCAAGTGGTCTACACCGGCGGCCCCCGAACGGGAAGCGCTTAAGTAATCGGGAAAGTTTGTTCCCAACATCTCATCGGAAAAGTATCGCTATCTCCCACCTCATACCTTCTCCCATATACAATTGGGCTCATCCTGCATCATGCTCTTCCGAACTGCGGCCCGCCAGGCTGCGCCTTTGCGCCGTCAGGCCTTCGCCCCCTTGACCCGTCGCTCCGTCACCACCGACGCCGCCTCTGCGCACGCCGAGAACATCCCGCAGGTTTGTTGAGCCCCGTCCGGAAAACTGGAAACACCCCCCTTCAGGCGCCCCCGGATTCAATGCTGATTCTCGACTTTGCGCTGTACAGGAGGATGACAAGCCGTTCACCGTCCGCCTCTCCGATGAGAGCTTCGAGACCTATGAGCTCGACCCGCCCCCGTACACTCTGGAGACCACCAAGAAGGAGCTGAAGACCATGTACCACGACATGGTTGCCGTTAGGTATGGATCGTCTTGCTAATGAGAGCCGCCTCTCTCTCTCTGTCTGTCTTCGTGTACGCGTTTCATCCGTGCTAATTTGATTGATCTCCCATAGACGTATGGAGATGGCCGCCGATCGCCTGTACAAGGAGAAGAAGATCCGTGGTTTCTGCCATCTGTCCACCGGTCAGGAGGCCGTTGCTGTCGGTATTGAGCACGCTATCAACCGTCAGGACAAGGTTATCACTTCTTACCGTTGCCACGGTTTCGCTTTGATGCGCGGTGGTACCGTCAAGTCCATCATTGGTGAGCTGCTGGGCCGCCGCGAGGGTATCGCGTACGGCAAGGGTGGTTCCATGCACATGTTCGCCGAGAACTTCTACGGTGGTAACGGTATTGTCGGTGCCCAGGTGCCCGTCGGTGCTGGTCTGGCTTTCGCTCAGCAGTACAACGAGCAGCCCAACACCTCCATCGTCCTCTACGGTGATGGTGCTTCCAACCAGGGTCAGGTCTTCGAGGCTTTCAACATGGCCAAGCTGTGGAACCTCCCCGTTCTGTTCGGTTGCGAGAGTATGTTTTTAAAAAAGCCCCTCCCTTCTATCCCTCTTTTCCCCTCTCCCACCCCTGCCTTCTTGGAAGCGTGAATTGAACTCGCAAAACTAACACATCTGACTTCTTAGACAACAAGTACGGTATGGGTACCTCCGCCGCCCGTTCCTCCGCCCTCACCGAGTACTACAAGCGTGGTCAGTACATCCCCGGTCTGAAGGTCAACGCCATGGACGTCCTTGCCACCAAGGCCGCCGTCCAGTACGGTAAGGAATACGCCATCTCCGGCAAGGGTCCTCTCGTCTTCGAGTACGTCACCTACCGTTACGGTGGTCACTCCATGTCCGACCCCGGTACCACCTACCGTAGTCGTGAGGAGATCCAGCGCATGCGCAGCACCCACGACCCCATCGCCGGACTCAAGCAGAAGATGCTCGACTGGGGTGTCCCCGAGGAGGAGCTCAAGGGCATTGACAAGGCCGCTCGCGCCTACGTCGACGCCGAGGTCGCCGAGGCCGAGGCCATGGTTGCTCCCGAGAGCACCCCCCGCAACCTCTTCGAGGACATCTACGTCCGTGGCTCCGAGCCCAAGTGGATGCGTGGTCGTACCGTCGACGAGACCTTCTACTACTAGACGTCTTTTGTTTTTACCCACCTCCCAACCTCCCCGAAAGCTGCATGACGGTGCCGGTCCAGGTCCTGGCTTTAACCGGATCTAAAAGAGTTAATGCTTTGGGTAATTATTCCCCTTCTGGATTGAGGATGGCGCAACCGTGCATCTTGTCTTTCCTATCTATCACTATTCTGTAATTTAGCCGATGACTACTCTTTTCTTTGTTTTTTGTCCGTGCCTTTGTTTTTTCTAGAGTAGAGCAATTGTCATCATCTTGGTTCAACCATGGAGTTTTGTGTAAACTGCAGTAAAGCCAATCTTTCAAGTTAGGAAATGTAGTACATGTCTTCGGGAATCAATTCCAATGCACATACATAGCCATACATATGAAGATTGATTAAAAGGCGAAGACCGAAGGTTGAACTTGAGTGAACTCCAGTCAAATGTTCTCTGAACACTGATGTACTAGTTGAGTTTCCTCACTGAACATTGAAAAGTATAAAAAAATGCGGCGCCGCTCCTCATTTGGCACCGAGTATCTTTGCATAGCCTCCAGATTATGCACAGTTGAGCAACATTGGAACCCTAGTATCCTACCAACCTTGCAAAGTATGACACGCACATATGGAACTTTTGACTTTGAATCAATATTTTTATAGTGGTTGGGCATTAAAGCCTTGAAGCATCCCTCTCAAGTTGTCCCAACTATACCCACATGTGCGCATCTCTCAAAACTATACCCACTCTACAACATACATAGTACCATACTAGTATGTACTAGCACCTCATTCAAAATGGAGCTGTACCCCATGCAAACGCGTACCCAGAAATTAACACCTACATCACCCCGTCGCTCCGAATCGTCTCTGCCCTCATACCACACACGCAATTCACCGACATTATCCCCTTCTCCTCCATCCTACATCTCTCAATCGACGATCTCGGAGGAAGACACCCCGCCACGGGAAGTCTCCACATGCATAGAGACCGCAAACAAGAAACAGAAGTGCCCTTATAAACACTGGGCATGGGGACTGCTTCTCCTTGCGTCTAGCGCCGGGAGTTTTTACGGCATGATCCGACTCGCAAATCTAAGTGTGCGGCTGAATGTAGATGGTGTTCTCGAGTTTTTATCGGTGGTGGGGATTATGCTCTTAGGTTACTGCGGCATTGATTGTGCGTTGAAGGGTGTTGGGATTATAGGTCAGAACGTGTATTGGATATGTTGGCAGAGGAAACGGGTTGATCGAACTGCGGGGCGTTGCTCTGTTTGAGCTTTGTGGTGGATTGGTCTTTGAGGGCGGATAGCTCTGGTGGGAAAGAGTGTTTGTGGGTGTTAAGGTGGTTGTTGCTGGTATTTACTGCTGATCTAAAATCGGGGCTAGGGTTAGATGTTTGGATGATTATGTACTGGGAGAAAGTTATATAGCTATAAATATGTGTTGCATTGACATATTTGAACTCTGAAATACATGTACATAACAATAGTTTCGGATAAGGGAACATTGAAAGTAGGGTCGATTTGTATGGATTGGGTATCATAATAATAGAAACAGATAAAAATGCCCACATGAGGTGGATGCGAACCATCCACGCCAATCCAGCGTATACATGTATTAGGGTGTCTCCACCTAATTAGACCCCGGCCGCAACATTTGAAGAATCATCTCCTGGGTCCTCTGCAAAGAATCCAACTTCTCATATACAGTGCGGACCTGATCCAGTTCCCTCCGCAGCTCAACTCGCATCTCCTGACGCAACTCTTCCTTGATCCGCTCGATATCGAATGAATGAGGCCCGGATCCGTATAAGTTTGGCGAATCCATCCCTGTCATCTGTGATTGTACTTGTGCTTGTGCTTGTAATTGCGGTTGTCTCTGTATTTGCAATCGCTTCTGTCTCCCTGGCGCCTGCAACGACGATTGTGAAATCTGGAAGTTGGAGCTGGAGCTGGGCTGAGGATTCGGGTTGGAGTACATAGACTCAAAGCCAGGCGGAAGCTTGACACCAGCAGGCAAAGTCAAAGGAGTCGACTGCGCACCACCACCACCATAGGGCTGCGTACCAGCAAGCGAAGCCGCCACAGCAACAGTCTCCGCACCCCCCTCCTCACCATGAAACTCGCCACCCCCACCCCCATCCGCATCCGAAGACGAAGACCGAGAACCCGCATCCCGCGAACCCTCAGCCCTACCCTGGCCTTGCACCGGTACCTGCACCTGAACCTGCACCTGCGAAACCCTCCTCCTCTTCACGATCTCATCTCGCTTCTCGATCCTCTTCGCCTCAGCCTCCTGCCACCGCGTCCACGTCGGAATCCACAAATCAAGCACACCACACCACTGCGGATTCATCGAGTCCTCCGACAACTGCGCTTGCGCATGCGACCCGCCAACCCCCAGTAGCTTCTGGCTCTGGTTCTCCTGCTGCTGCCGTCTGTCTTTCAAGAACTTCACCCGCTGCTTCGTGACGAGCTCCACCTTCCGCCGGACAGAGTGCCATGAGTACGGCCGGCCGTGCGCGCGCGTGAACTCTTCTGCTACGCCGCGCCACCAGTTGCAGATGTCGCTGCGCTTGCCGAAGCTGGAGGCGTGCCGGTTGCAGATCTCGAAGAGAGAGACTTCTTCGAGCGTTGTTAGTCTTTTGCCGTGTTTGCGGCTGCTTTCTGCTTCCGCTTCGGCTTCGGCTGAGCCTTCGGCTGAGACTGAGCCGCCTTCACCTGGGCCTGGGAGGCCTTTGGGCGGGGAGGGGTGGCGGGGACGCTTTGTGCCGCGGGCTGGGTCTGGGTGTGGGTGGTGGCGGAGCTGGACTTCGATTGTTTGGTGCTGGTGGTTGTTGGTGTTGTTGCTTTTTGGCATTGCTTTGCTAGGGTTTATTACCACTAGTGGTGAGTGGGATTGGAAGGTCATGCTTAGTCTTGGGTTTTGGTTTGAGCTTGAGCTTGAGCTTGATGCTACTGCGTTGACATTTGTGCTTGTTGCGTGTTGTAGGGGTCGGTAGGGTGATAGGACCTCTTCTGGTGATAGCTGCATTGGTAGGTGTTGCTGTTGCTGTGGGTGTTTTGTGTTTGAGTTTCGGCCTTGGTTCAGATATTGTAGTGCTCTAGCCTCTGAGGCAGCGACGGGCGTTGGCCTCTGTAGGTATGTCGTTGCCGTTATAGCTGGTTTTGTGAAATGCGTATTTGCGTAGAGATGTGAGGCCAGGTTAGGATGAAGTTTCGAGTGTATCTGAAGCTCAAGGAGCTCTGAATTTTTTTATATAGTTGCTTGGCTAGTTGATCGGCTCTCCAGGAATCCTATTCAAGCTTTTGGTCTAGTTGTAGTCAATCGCGGGGACGAAGTGCAAATTGTCGGGAGGTTTTGCAATTTTGAGGGCGGTAATTTTCACCCGTAATTTATTCTTGCTCCACTTTTAGTCCATTGGGTACACTACAGAGGTCCGAGTCTACTTTGATCATGACCTTAGTATCTACTATACATATCTCAGACTTGAAATTCGACTTCTTAAATGGGTGATGATTCCCGGGTATTTCAAAAAAAAAAAATAGATCTTCCCAAAGTTGATAACCCCATATACCGGAATAGATTGGAGACATAGATGATAGGAACTTTTACATCCATTTCTAGCATTAAGAGTATAGAACTAACTTACATATTAACAATAACAACGTTGAAAGCCTCTGAAACCGAGGCCCCATCATTCAACATTAGCTAGCTTTGAAGCGATGCTTTCAAAAGCACAAGGTGATGGAAGCTCGCTCGTCCGTTAACGAATACAATCACATGAAGAAACAACCCCAAATTTCACTTCGAGATTTCCCCTTGCTGACCGTTTCATCATAAATCATGAAGCCACTCGTGATAATTTCTCAAGCTCAAGCCACCGGAGATGCTTCAGAAACATACTCGGGCTCGCGCTTCGGCATTTCATAACTGGGATCAGCCTCGCGGTGCTTGCGACCAACAAACAACCACCGGAGTCCACGTGCGGTAGCCTTAACTAGATCCCAAGGATTCGCAGCGTCCAGGAAGGCCTTGATGCCTAGGAATCCACCGTAGTACCGTTGGTCGGTACCGTTGCTCATAATATCGCCACGGTTGAGCATGTAAGGACCCCAGGGGAAACCCCAGAAGTGGAGAATGGCGAAAAGGAACATCTCAATGCAGATGAGGAGATTGGGCAACGCATTGTTCCAGTCGAAAAGTTGGACGGTGGAGGACGATTTGATTACTCCCGATGAAGTTAAAAAGTCGATGATCGTCTTTTGGAAATTGTTAGATGTGCTCCCAAAAGAAGAAGAAAAGAGGAAATAATAGCTAGGGTGGGGTGAATGGGGCTACTTACCGACTGCCAGAAAGAAAGGAAAATCACAAGCTTGATGCAGAGGATCTTCAGGAAGGGCCGCTTCTCCGCGATATCGGTCTTGATCTGGAAGTAGAACTGGATCAAGCAGTACATGGCAATGGTGACTGCAAGCGACTCGATAGCAAGAACCTGGGATTTATTAGCATGACCGTAGCATTGGAAGGGACAAAATAACGAAAGAAAAGCAGTGGACCTACCCAAACATGGGCATAGTACGGGCTATCTGAGTCCTCGCAATACCGGTTATCAGCCTCAGCTGCAACGGCAATAACTGTCATGATCACTCGCAAGAAACAATATTGGAAGACTCCGATCCAGATAACCTGTGTCACGTCAGCCTTTTGGATCACTTTTTACCCCTTGTCTCGGCTCTCATTTGAAAGCGGGGGTTTGTCCTACATTGAACCAGGTAAGTCCGCTACGAGGCCTCCGCAGCTTGCCTTTATCGCGATTACCACAGAAGCATTTCTGCATCCAGTTCATGGGCCAGACCCAGTTAATTGGTTCGATACCACGGAAATAATCCTTCTGCGTATGCAAATCTGGCGCAATGTAGGCGCATAGCAGCGAAAAGAAGGAGGCAATCGCAAATGGCTCGTAGCAGTCACCGATCAGTTCAAAATAAACAGAATGTCTGTAAAAGTAGACGCAGAGAAAAGAACTGATAGCGTAAACGGGGATCATGAATAGAATCCGGATAATGCTGGGGAGGAAATCAGAAAATGAAGTTATCGGGATGTTGGATATCGGGTACAAGATGGCTTACTATCGCTGTTCGGTGGGGTTGCTGTAGTGCGTGGCATGGCCTATCATAATAATACTAGCCAGAATGAAAGCCAGCACGGTGAAAATGGCGCAGAGAATGACACATAGCTCGTGGAAGGTGATGCCTCCGCTCCAGAGTTTGACCTCATGGACTGTTCAGAGAATGAGATGTCATCCGAAGAAAGGGGGAGGATGGAATTAAAACCCCATTAGGCTGTAGCTTAGACTCACTTGTGATGTCCAACTCAGTGGAATTACACTTGGGCCAAGTCATGGCGGGGTCAGTGTTTGGAGAAAGGAGTGAGGTGATTACTGGATGAAGCTCCCTCTCTGTTTTTAGTTATTAAGAAGAATGAAAGCTCCTGATCAACAATACTTTATCCCAGCCGCTGACGTACAAAAAAACCGGGTTGAGAAGATTTTGCGCAATTCAGTCAGATTGTTTAGGCTCCACCCCTTAACTAGTTCCAATCATGATCGGCGTAAGGCTGGTCTTTTGTCGCCCGGTGCGGGACGCCGCGTAACCTACTTGTGGGTCATACGATTCTCATTCGGAGATTCGAAATATACAAATGGAGATCGAATTGTGAAGTCACCGGTGGGTTTCATTCAATTTACATTGCTTATTCCTCCGTGTATGAAAATTTTTTGGACTGTTGAACCTTTCAATGTTGTTTACATCCCAAATAGTAAGTTGGTATCCATACGATTACTAATGTTACCCAGGGAAATGAACCATCGCCTTGGCATAAAATATATAATGTTGATCCAGAGAGATCACAACCACAGCATTCAATGTTCGATGTGGGGGGGGTTTCGGGATTTTTAAGTCGCCGGTCAGAATCGGGCGTAAACTTCTTCAAACGGATGCGAGGAGCGGGCTTTGAGGATTCATAGCCCTCCCCAAACCCTGTACCCAATAGTATTTACGTAGGAATATCTACCGGCAGAAGATTCTTGTGTGAAGATTTTAGCATTTGTATATCCATTTACAAAACCATGATGGCTATGGTGGTACAGAGGGCCAGGAAACCCTGGAAACAAAAAGAAAAATAAGAAGGCACCAACACCATGGTCAACATGAGCACCAGAGGAGATATGCAGTGGGGGGTGAATATGAAAGAGGCCCAGTAATACACTCGGGGGGAAAGGTTAAGAGGGGGAGAAGAGGGGAAAACAATAATAGAAACAGGAAGATATGGCTGAGTAGAGGCGCTTATAATATCATAAAAATTGCTCCTCTACCAACGTCTCTTCAGGTACCAGCCATAAGCCGGAGTGCTAACCGCCTCACCGAAGGGAGTAGGCACCTCGGCGGAGCCAGGGCGGGCAACGGGGTGGCGGAGGTATACGGCAGCACAGATGTTCTGGTTAACCTCAAGGTAGCGGGGAATGAAAGCAAAAGCAGACATGTACTCCCGTGGCCGCCAAGGGGTGGCATAGGGCTTGGAGTGGTCAATGGGGTTGTCACGCATCTGGGTAAGAGCACGACGAAGAATGTCAAACTCCTCAGAAGACAGTTCCGATGTGTCGATCTCGCCGCTCTCAGCAGCCTTCTGGAAGGCCTCCGATAGCTTGTTACCAGCCTCGCCTTCTGATTCCTGTGATGCCACAGCGGTCTCCTCGTCGGCCGACTGCTTCTTGGACTTCTTGGCGTCCTTGGGCTTGTTCTCGGCGCGTGTAGCCTTCAGCATTAGGGTGAGCTCAGAGAACTGCGACTCTAGACTGTCTGTAAGGATGGTGCTGGTCTCGGAACGGGACAACACGCGGCGCACGGCCTTCTGGAATCCGCGCAGCTCCTGCTTGCGCTTTGCGGGGAGGACGTCCTTGTCTGTCGACATGATAGTCTTGGCCTGAGCCATAAGAGCCCGAAGGGTATCCTTGGCGCTTTCTTTTTCTTCCTTCTCCACGGACTCCGGCTTGGTCTCGGCCTCGGTCTCGGCCTCTGCGTCATCCTCACCCTCCTTCTTTCCCTTCAGCTGGCGGGCCTCTCGTCGCTCGAACTTGGTCTTGGGAGCACCGGTAGCGAACATGACACGATCCGGCTCGACCTGGAACAGATCACCTGGGTTGAGAAGGTAGCTGGGGTGTCTCATCTAAATGACGGAATAGACGTTAGTACCCTGAAAACCGACTTTAAGTTGACTCAATTGGTATCACACACCTTCTGGCCATTCACAGTGACAGCACCGTGGATGACAAACTGCCTCGCCTGACGAGCACTGCTAGCAAAAAGTGATCGGAAAATGGCAACGTCCAATCGGCGCTCCAGGGGAGCGAATGCCATCTGGGTGTAGGGAACCAAGCGTGTGTTGAAGGGCTTTTCCTCCGATTGCAGGCCAGAACCTCGACCGGCAGAAGCCTTAGATCCATCATCCATGGCGAGATCCGCGGTGTTCATAGGGTAGACGCTACGGATACGCTTCGAGAACATGCGCTTCCATTGGCCCTCACGGACCTGTTCACCGTGGTAGGCGCGAGAAATAGCCTTGGCTGACCATTTCTGCTGGAAGAATGTGCGGTTGGCGGTGCCAGGGGAACGGAATCGCTGCAGGTTATACAAGTTGTACTTGCTCCATGATTGACGGATTTTCTAGACGGAGAAACATCGTTAGTGGCTTGTCCGGTCGGAGGATTCTGATGCAATTGACTTACCCCCTTGGACAAGGTATTGCTGGCTCTGTTCCTCATTGTGGCGACTGCGAGTATTTGGAACGCGACGCGGGGAAAGAGTGTAGTGTGATCGATGCAATCGTGGTTGCTCGACTGTGATGGCCTCGAGCACCCAAAACTTCCATGGCACGTGACATTCCGTCAATTGCCCGTTCTCTCCGCCTGACAGATCAGGCCTCAAGTAATATCAGCTGTGATTTATTCTGCCAAAGTCAGCTCCTGACCGCCTAATACTTTGACCGCCTGGATTTTGGGTATAAATTAAACTGTTTCCCGTCGCTCTTGCTCTCTTTTTCTTTTCTTCTTCATACTTACCTTGTTTGGGTGGCCGCGATCATGAAGGCGGTCCACCACAGATTGGTCCCTGCATTGCACAGCGCGGCGGACTAGTTTGTTCAACGGCTTTCGGGTCATTGACAAGCGGATTTTTTGGCACTCTCCACTTGTGGAATTTATCTCTTTTCATCAATTTTTGGGTCAGCGACCCGAGCTTGGAGAAGAGGATTGTTACCACTTCGAACTTCGTAGATCTCTCGTACTGCCCAGTAGATTAAGTGAAGACATTCCCAAATGTTCGTAACTCATGCATGGATGATGCTGCTCAGTTTGTTCACTGTTTCGCGTCACACGCACTTGATACTTGACTCGCTACTTGCTATCGCTATATGGCAACCATCTTCTCAATTCATTAGCTACTTTCCCATGTACAATCTATGTACCCCCCCCCCCCCTTTTTGTGCTTTGGCTCCCCGTCAATCAACCTTGGAACCATGTATATATTTGAGTATTGATGAAAGCATCGAGTCTCACAACGAACAGAACTCATGAAATTTGATTCCCTTTATTCTAATTTGATCGCAAGATCCAGGTCGATAGTAGGCTCACCCACCGCTGGCTAGAAAATTAGATTATACGTAAGGGAGTAGAGCATTTGACATTATTAGGTATTAGGTAATTTTTATAAGTAATTTTCAAATGTTCATGAGGTATCTGTAAAAATGTGTGATTTTATATAAGCCAGCCATATTGTAAACTAGATGTTGGTATCTCAAACTCGTAAAACTTCATAAAACAGATGCAGGTGATAACTTCCAACCACGGAAGCCCCATACAGCGCCATGTCAAGTATGCAAAATCGTAATCACACTTCAAGTATTTCCCCGCAATCATTCTCGCCTAGAACTTGGAAACACCTCGGCCAACAACTCAGCCTCTTGGGGATTGGTCCACTCTTCGAGTAGATCATGCGCCATGTCAACAGTCTCATCATCAATGCCCGCTTCAAGGACGGATCCATCACAGAATGCCAAGCGCGTCAGGACCACTAAGTGTTTCTGCTTGCTCCCTGGCACACGTGAAAGTTTCTCTTGCATATTAATAGAAGAGCCATGGCGGCGTATCACACCGAATACCAGGCGCATCAGTCCGTTGACCAATGCAACTCGCAGCTCCTGCTCAGGCGGCGATGCGTATAGCGCATCAAGCTCATCGTGCATGGATCGAAAGAGACGTGCCAACGCGTTTGGGTGAGCGGCAATGATGGCACTACCATGTTCTCGAGTTGGCGCAGCTGGGTTGAATGCTAAAGCTTCCAGTAGAAGTAAAACTTCAAGGCGCATTGCACATATGTCTTGCGGAGTATAAGGTTCAACACCTTCATCTGGTTGAGCGCGCTCACTGAACATAAAGGAAAGTCGGTCGACAATCCATCGTTGGATATCGTTCTGTTCTCCCTGTGAAGGCATAATGGGCCCGAACGACTCCGGTCGAATGCTTGTCGATAAGAGGCGTAAGATCAGTACAATATCCTTTAGTGGCTGCGAAGGATGTAGCATAACGAGGGTGAAGGTATGTCGGATATTCCGCCAAAAGTCATCCAGTACATCTTTAGCATGTAACAACTCGCTTGCGATTTGATACAACAGACGGAGCGCTTCGGTCGAATCAACCAGTGGCTGCAAGTCTGACTGCGGAGTCGGTATTGATCGGATCACTCTGGCCTTTTCCCGGGCAGCAGGGGAGTATCGAAACCGGGGGACCGCATTCACCTCAACGGAATCTTGTAAGACAGTGAGGAGAGGATTGATCAATTTTTGAAGTGGAATATCATTCATCCTCAAAATGTATCGCACAAGGGCCATGAATCGAGAAACCGGCTCGTAAAAACGTTCGGTTAAAGCGCGCTGCCAGAGTGGCCCAATCGTGTGCATGTATTCGACCACAAAGCCATCCATTTCTAGATGTGCTAAACGGTCTAAGAGCATGCTAGATATAGGCCGGGAAGGTTCCGAGGGGAAGGATATCGTTGCAAAAGCCTCGATATCGGTTTCCTGACCAGGAATCATGCGGTGATTCAACAACCGCTTCATAATTTGCTGATCATGTCCATTCAACTCCGCCTCTTGCTGGTGATCTAGTTCCGGGCTCTCGGTAGGAGCATCAACCATTACTAGCTCACCAGCAGGGCTCAAGTTTAGCGGAGGTGGCATGTCTTGGCTTGCTTGTCGTTTTCGCTTGCCTGGAACAGTAGGAGTTGCCCGCTTCGACCGGGCTGCCGACTTGCTGGGTGACACTACGACCATCTCATCGTCGTCGAAACCATCTCGAAACGGCAGGACTCGAGACTTCTTGGGTGTTACAGGCAGTGGCTCTTGTCCTTGCCGATGTTTCGACTTGAGATTGCGTGAATGATGTGCCTCCTCTGCTAAGTCATGTTGGAGAAAGATGTTTTCCGTCGCCAGCACGTGCCCTTGGGACCTCGCCGCTTCGACAATCTCTTTATGCTTTGTTACTTCATCCGCCATAGTATTGCGTAGAGCTTCGAGCTGCTCGTCATAATTTGCGGCCATTTGCGTCTGTTTAGATCGGATAATGGAAATTTCGCCGGCTTTTGATTGGAGCTGGGCTCTAGTCTCAGCTAATTCAAGTAACATTTGTTCTCTCTCTCGCTCCAGCTGAGAATTGACAGAAGTCAGCGATGATCATAAAAGTGGCGATGGGGGACTCGCGCAACCTACCTGTTCCAGACGCGCATTTCCTTTAAATACGTTCCCTGAAGCATGATCATTCACCTCCATCTGATCGTCCATCTCGTTGTTGACAGGCCATCCGTGCTTTTTCATCAGCACATGATGGCCATTGGGATGCGCTAGAGAGCCATTTCCATTATCATAAACCTCCGCTCCTAGCTCGCCCACTTCCAGTGTACCATACTCGTTCGTTAATCCGGTATGTAGGCGAGGTGGCGGTTGTAAAGTCGTGGAGTTGTGGACTGCGGCTTCTGCCTGCACATGGGGCGCTGAGTTTGTTGGAGCTGCAAGGTTATACTGGTACTGAGAGGCCTGCCCCTGTGTCGCTTGAAAGGCAGTTTGCTCTAATTCAAACAGTGTCGAGGGAGGCAGAGAATCGAACTCATCAGAGAAGTAGTCATCGTCGTTGTCTTCCATGCCCCCGCGCCATGGAATTACAGAAGACTTCAATGAGAAGGGAGGCAGCTGGACAAAATAAGGAGGTTTGGGGTAAGTAGTTTGTGCTAATTAGGAATGCATCAGCATGTTCAGATTTTAATTGAGCGGAGAAGTCGGAATTTCCTCCCAGCGCGTACTTGTCCATGGTTGTAAACGCGGAGGATGAGGCTGACCGCTTTCGATTGAAGATCACGTGGGTCAACTGCGATGTACAGTAATACTGATGTACGGAGTACTACTACTAGTAATAAGGTAGCCTGGAGTACTGTACCTTGCTCGTATCCGTGGTAGCATTTTAAAGCCTCGGGAAAATAATCATGCAGTAACTGGCCAGATCTTTTTGACCCACTATACTTTTTATTCTGTCAGCTTTCAACACTGTGTATGTTCTTTGACGTATGTTTTTCTAAGTTCCAAGAAGTAAATTATGTTTTGCAATAAGTAACCTCTCAAGAAATTCGAAGTAAGATGTAACCTTCTATGTTACTATCAGTACATGGAACGACTTGGGAGAAAACCAGGGCAGTTGAACCATCGGGTGGAAGACCCACCGCCTCAGCCACCGCTCCCACCTCCGCGCATGAGCTCTCGAAGTTCCATCTCGCTCCGCTGCAACTTGGTCACTCCCCTCCTAACTCCCTTCCCTCTTTTTTTTTTCTTTTTCCATCTCTTCCCCCCCACCACCATGGCCAAGCCTAAGCACACTGCTGCTGGTCGCAAGGGCAATGGCCCCGTGCCATCCAGCCCCGGCAAGAACGAAAAGAATGTCTTCGAACAGACCACGGAAGCCGAAGAGGTCAGCTAAAAGCAGTAGTAATTGGCCCCAAACATGTCGCTAACGCGTTTTGATGTGTTCTCAGTCACCCGCGCAATCCGCAAAAGAGATCAAGCAGCAGGAATGGGAGAAGAAAAGACAAACCTTCATCACCCGGACAATATGGACTTTTGTCATGATTGCCGGTTTCTTCATCGCCATGTTCTCTGGTCATATCTACATCATTGGCCTGGTCACCGCCATTCAGATTGTTTCATTCAAGGAAGTCATCAACATCGCCAACAAAAAGCCTCAGGGTGAAAAGGAGCAAAAACCGGCGCCCCGCTTCACTAAGCAGCTGAGCTGGTATTTTCTCGCGACAACTATGTATTTCCTTTATGGAGAGAGCGTGATCTATTACTTCAAGCACATCTTGCTTGTGGACAAAGTTCTTTTGCCCCTGGCCAACCACCACCGCTTCATTAGTTTTACTCTCTATGTCATGGGTGGGTGTCCCTCAGCTCTGGATTGTATGGGGGGTTAGTGTTTGCTAACATGTTCATTAGGCTTCGTCTTCTTTGTGGGCTCTCTGCGCAAAGATACCTACAAATTGCAATTTGTCCACTTTGCCTGGACTCACATGGCCTTGTACTTGATTGTGGTGCAAGCCCACTTTGTGATGAACAACATCTTCGAGGGCATGATCTGGTTCTTCCTCCCTGCTTCTTTGGTAATCACCAATGATATCTTTGCCTACGTCTGTGGTATTACATTTGGCCGTACCCAATTGATCAAACTTTCGCCAAAGAAGACCGTCGAGGGCTTCCTTGGCGCGTGGATCTGCACCATTATCTTTGGATATTTCATGACCAACGTGTTGATGCGGTACAAGTATTTCATCTGCCCTGTCAATGACTTGGGCTCAAATGTTTTGACTGGTTTGGAATGCGTTCCGAACTCCGCTTTCATTCCTCAGCCCTACTCTCTCGAATTGATCGGTTTGGATAAGACTTTCTGGGTTGAGCCCATGCAGCTTCACATTCTGAGTTTCGCTACTTTCGCCTCTCTTATCGCTCCATTCGGTGGTTTCTTCGCTTCGGGTTTGAAGCGCAGCTTCCAGATCAAGGACTTTGGCGAGTCGATCCCTGGCCACGGTGGTATCACCGATCGTATGGACTGTCAATTCATTATGGGTTTCTTCGCCTACATGTACTACCACAGCTTCATTGCTGTCTACAAGGCCAACGTTGGTGATATCATTGAGACTGTCATCAACGGGCTTACAGTTGAGGAGCAGTTCGAGGTCGTTCGCGGCCTCAGCAAGTACTTGCACAACCAGGGAGTTGTTTCAGACACGGTATGTCTCTATGAACGAGGTTTTTCAACTTATCTCGAATTTCGACTAACTCATTTCTTCCCCCCTTTCTTTTGCAGATTCTGGACTGTCTTACAACCGAGCTTAAGCACTAATGAATTCGAGTCACCGGCCTCCACATACAAAACTTCACGACTTCTATTTACATTTCCCCCTTTGTAATACATTTCGAGGATAACTTTCAACTCCTTTCTTTCTTGCCCTCTGATCTCCGACAGAGCAGACCTCTTGCTCAACTCGGAATTGATTGGCCTTTTCCGACATGATATGGATGCATACGTTGGTTCGCATACATGCATGATAGCTAACACGCGTCTCCCTCCACATCCCACCTTTCAACACGGTACCTGTCTCACCACCCCCGAAAATCGCGAGATGATTCTAAAGATCTCGAATACAATGAGACTAATATACGTCAACCGTGGTCAAGACAGGGGCATGATCTTTAATTTCGATTCATGAATGTTTTCTGTCTTACTTTTATCTTTCTCTCTTCCTGCCTAATTGGCACAGGATCTGTTGGCATCCTGCTCTTGGTTCTTTTGTTTGAACTTCTCGTGGGTGGGGGCCTGCTGATATCCCTCCGGTGCATGAAAAGGAAATCCATGAGATTTTGTATTGTGTTGCGGGCCAAAGTGGCCTTATTTGCTTCTTTCCTGTCCGGCAAGTCTTTATCTACTATTCAATTCTCTAGAGTAGTAACCAAGGCAGCCAAGTTTGTACATAACTTTCAATTCACATGTTGAAGGTGACCTTTTTATCTGAAAAAAAAATGTATTTTCCATGAGTCGAGAACCCATCTGGGAATCAATGTACATAACCAGTAGCTACTAGAATAGTATCGGCTTATACAGTAAGCAGAGGTTTGGCTAGAAGGAATCGATAGAATCTTTCTTCATTCATATCAATAAAACTAGGGTATCATAGAAAGGACAAAATATTATGGAGAACAGCCATATCAGCTCAAGAAGCACATGCCACTCTGAGATCACTCAATCATCAATGCCACCAAACCAGACACGCAGCGGCCCATTGACCGAAGAAGTCTTGCTATTCCTCATTCCGTGACCTCATACTGTTCAGTCTCAACCCTGAAATATGGTTCAACCTGCCGTTTCTCGCTCTCCGCTTGGGCAGGGTCGAGCATAAACCGAACAGCTGCTTCCCGGCCCTTATCTGCCCTGTGTCGCTCACCACTAGCAGCAACCGGTATCAATGGGTGGAGGGGGCGCTGGGAAGATCCTGGAGATCTCTCACCACCGCTCGATGGCCCCTGATCACGGGGTTGGTCCACCCAAAATGCGAATCGAGGGATGTTGGTTTCTCTGGCTTCTTGGTTCAGTGGAATACGAACAGTCAGGAACTGATCTGCTGGGAAAATCGGCCCAACAGATGTTGAAGCACGGTGGTGAGTATAGAGTTCTAGAAGGTCGAATAGTGTTTCTGTATTTTTTTTATGAGGTCAGTATCGCTATCTTCATATAAGAGTTGATTAGACAAGCTCGCTTACCCATGACTTGTTCCCGATTTGTGTTCCATCGCTCATATTCCTCTTGGGACTCTAGGGCCCCAATACGCTGACCCAAGAGTCGGCTGGCCAATTCGAGGGAGGCAAGCGCCAAACATGGTGTTGATTGTTTGAGCGGGGCGAATGTCCGGTATAGATCTAGTGAAATGCGATGGGCCAAGCTCCAGATTTCCTTTGGAAGGCCGTGACGGCGGGCAATCTTGGTCAGAGTCTTATGAGGGTGACGAGTGCGGAAGTCAAAGCCTGCTGCCTCCAGCATCAGCCTCTCAAGTCCAAGAATTCCCCGGGCATTGATGTCAAAAATCTGGCATTGCTTTGGTCAGTATATCCGTTCAAAGAAAAGGGAGGCTTTTTCAGACTGGTGACCTACGTGGTCATCTGGCACCAGGTGTTCTGAAGGTGGTAGCCTGAGGTTGTATGCGGCGCATACAATTTCCCTTGACTTTTTCAGTGTATCTTCAATCTTGCATGCAGTGAATAATGCCGCTGCAGCTGCGTCCTGTTCTTGTGTTAGAAAAGTGAGGGTTATAATAGGGCGTGATAAAGGACTTACCATGAAGTTATATTCGTTATCCGGATGTGTCAACCGGAACCGATGGTAGTACATCGTGGCAGTGTCATATGTTCTCACTGGCCTGTATCTTGCTGTCAGCATCATGTTCTTTGCAAGGTGGTTTTCCTTTCATTATGGAGATTCAATTAAGAACATACAGGCGGAGCGCCTTCCGCACATTGTCAATCCACGTGACTCCTTGCAAACGCAATCCTTCTTCTCGAATAGTAGTCATTCCCAAGGCCTGGATACAGTCTTGAATTGTCTGTTCAAACATGTATGGCCTGGCTACCTGAATAAACGATGGATGGATGGTTGGAAGCTCCGGAGCCTTGAGCTTGGGCCCTGAGCCAGAGCGAGCTCGCTGGGGCTTTGAACCAAATGCCATGGTATATCTGCAGATGCTATTTACTTTTGACAAGAGACGCCGCGAAGAATGGCCCTTGGAGCTTGTGTAGCTGAAGGTCAACGGCCGCGATTGATTCGACATCGGGGTCACGTGCGCGGAGATTCGTTACTCCGAAGTAAAGACAAGATGTCATGGGCGGATAATTATTAATCCGAAGTAAAAAGAAATCCGGAAGTTGATGAAGTTGGAAAAGCAGTAGCAAATTTGAAGTTGGGGATAGAATAATGAAGGGAAAAAAATCATTCGAAACTCATACTAGTAGGGGGGAAAGTCTATCTATTAGACCCTCTAAGTTAAATAGTCTCTCACGGCACTCCACGACCAGACCTGGTATTCTTGGCCAACTCACTCTGAGCAGTATTATCCGCATAACGCTTATAGATAGGTAAATAATGCTCCCGTTGACTTGTCGTCTCCTTTACACTCTTTAGTGCACCGATCGCAGTCAACCACTTTCTCCACCGGCTCCAAAGAGCTTCATCAGGACCTCCAGCTCCCTCACATGGAATTTTCGCTCCACCTTTGAATGTATCGAACATCCAAATTCTCATAGCCCACGGAGCCAGGACAAGATCCGGAAGTCTCAGCTCAGAGCCCATGAAGGAAGGCCCTTCTGGGTGCATCTCTTTTGTCCAGGCTTTCAAGTTACCCAGAAATTCCAGACGAGCTTCATCAAGCCCTGCTTCCTTCTCTGCAGCACTTGAACCTTCGACCGGCTGATACTGTAAGAAACGATGGAAGGATGGGATAATTCGGGACGTAACGTAGTCAATCCAGATACGTGCATGGGCTCTTTCATACGGATCTTTAGGGAGGAAATGCGGTCGGTGGTCTGGGTATGCTTCCTCCAAGTACTCTAGCACCACAACAGACTCGTAGAGCGGCTTTGGGCCCTGTGCCGTAATGCAGGAAAGAGTAGGTACTAGTCCTCGAGGGTTTAGAGAGAGGAGCGATTTTGGTTTGTTGTATGGGTTGACTTCGATGTACTCATATGGGATCTGCTTTTCCTCCAGGGCGAGCCATACACGCTGGACTTGGGGAGGGTTAGTATGTTTCTTGAGTAACACGGAAACTGTCTACGATGCTTGTTACATACCAAATCTGCGTTTCAATTTTAGTTAGCTTTGTACTTTCATTGGTGTTGGTTGGGGAATACCTACGGGCAGAACCATCCTGCATACAACTTCACCGGTTGCTCCGTTGAATGCCGGTCGACTAATGCCTTGGCCGGGCCTGAAGCTTCAGGAAAGATGTTAGCATCGGGATGGGCGGGCATTGTGCTTTTAATTGAGTCAAGAAATTGAAAGTCGGAGGCGAAGCAAAGGAATGTCTACTACAAGAGATGGATGTAGCCGGTAAGTCAATATGACGTGACATCATGTCATTTGTATTCGCCATCTCCTTGTATGTACTAGTAGTATACTACCTATGAACTCTCCACTTGGTTTTTAAGCTTCAAATAATTAACTGCGTGCACTTTCATATTCTTATTCCGACTCTGATTCCTCTTCATCATCTTCTCCGTACTTTTGGATCAGCCTTTGCATGATTGAGACTGCACCCGAGCGATATCCTCCTCCAAAAATAGCATGATGGTTTAGATGGTGATACCTGACAACGAAAATGTTAGCCCACTGTATCGCAGTCAAAGGAAAGTCCCAAGAGAACTATTAGAAGAATGAAAACTCACAACTCATACAACCGCACACGATCATCATACTCCTCCACCGGCGCAGTCTTCGGTACAACCCGATGATACTGATCAAAGAACCGAGCCCCAAACCCACCAAACATATGCATAATCCCCAACTCAAACTCATTATGCCCATAACAAACACAAGGATCATAGACCACATCCCCGAGTTGATCCCCCCGGTCACTACCCACAATGCGACCTCGATCAGCATTCCCACTCCACAGATCCCCGTGCACAACAACCGGCATAATACCCTCGCCCTCACCATCAGAATCATACCCCAAATGCCCATCGCCTAGCAAACGGGGCACAACCGTATAAGCCGTCTTCTCAACAAGCTCTCGGAGTCCCCTGTCCCTCCCATTGCGCTCCTCAGACGTAGCCAAGATAGTAAGCAATCGTTCATGAGCATAAAACCCAGCCCAGCTCTCGTAGAACCTATTTGGCTGTTTCGTATCCCCACAAAAAGTGGGAACATTAAATCCAAATCGATATGCACCCGTCTCTGGGTCCGGGGGTGCAGGCGTGCTATGTAATTTACCAAGCCGGGACGCCAGAGTGGTGGGGTTTGTTTCGTCGCCTGAACTGCGGCCCATTGCGCAGCCGAGATCAAGATACTCGGTTGCAAGGAAGAAGTTCTTGCTGTTGCTGTTGCTGAGGTCTAGCGGGCCCCAGGCTAGAGCTCGAGGACAGAAGCCTGGCACGGAGCTGGCGATCGCATTGAGCGACTCGTACTCGCCGCGGAACATTTCTTCGGCGGCAGGGCCATCTGCTGAGGTTTTTACGAAGTATTTTCGTTCTTCCTCGGTGCCGTCTTTTTGGGGTATTTTCGCACGGATGGTTCCTGTGCTTGTGAAGCCTGAGCCTAGGCTGGAGGTGGAGAGACTGATTTTGGATGGGTCGGATGGTAGAGATAGAGCTTGGAGAATGGCTGGTGGGACGGGCGACATGTTTGCACTTTTTTTTTTCTTTGGGAGGGCTTTACTATAGATGTTCTGGACTATTTCAGGGAAGGACATTCAATTGAATAGCCTTGGGGTTTAAAAATTGGGCGGATTGACAGGGTCACAGGGATGTGAGAATCGATTGGAAACCTGCATGGCTATGACGTTAGATCTCCGCATTAAGAACAGAACATGTATCTTCCCCTCTATATCCTAATAGCTCTACTAACATACACATGGAACAAATGTGTTCCTAAGACGCCAAAGACTTTTAAATTTAGATAAATTTTTGCATTGCGCTTGAAGAAATGACCTATACACATTAATATGACGCTCCGCATCCAGGTTCTTCATTCCAATAGTTTGCTAAGATCAAATCGGTCAAGGCGGAGATAGCTGGCTCACTAGATGCATAGCCGTTTTGGTGCGCTCCTTGATATCAAGGTCCGGATCATCTTTGAGACTAACCAGTCGATCAAAGATTCCGAGAGCCTTGAGTCTGGTGGCACGTTCGCGGCATCCTTCACGATCACTTTGGTTTTCATGGTAGATCAAGTTAATGACCACCCAAACGCAGTTGACCCGTACTTGTCTATGGGAGTGGTTGAAGTAGTTTGTCAGGGACCGTAACAAGTCTTGGTGAGAAATCACTAGCTGCCGGTGGCGCGTGAGTCCTGCCGCCAGGTGGATTATGATGGCACTGACAGAGGTCAGGATTTCATAGGGTACTTGCAACGCCCGGTTAGAGGAGTCGCGGCGGTGAGGCAGTTGGATAGTGCGGGGGCGCAAATTATCTGCGAGTGCGTCCAGTAGCTCATCCTGGCCGATTTCCTGGAAGAGAAAGTCGATCATTTCGGCTGCACCAGGCCCACAGATTATGTTGCGAAGCAGATCAAATGTCTGTTCTTGCACAGCGATGTCGTCCTGCCGAGACTGAGTGGACTGCTCCAGATTACCATGCATGACAAGCTTGCGCCGACGCCTGGCATCAGGGAGGAACATTTCCAAGCTCATTTTCGATGGCGGCATGCTGTCACCCATCTTAAATCCCTCAGTCGACTCGCCAGAATCTTCCATAGGGTTAAGAATATCAACTTGTTCTCCCGCCGAATTGGCTCGACCCATGGCTATTCCGATAGCAGTATCCGTATCCTCGTCCATTCCGCGTCGAGTCAAGGCGCTGACTGGGTCTTGGCTGATGACCTCCCGGATCCAAGCGGGGCCTAGAGCTTCAATCACCTTCATTTTGATATCATTGGGGGTATCAAATACCACATGTTTAAGGGCCCACAAAGACTCAATACGTAACTTGGTATTGGATGAGTGGGCGTGTTCGCACAGAATGGGAATCACGTCGCCCGAGATAATTGCCTAAAAAAGAAAATTTGTTAAATTGAACCCTTGAGATATTTGGAAATAGCGGCATACTAACCTCTTTCATAGGACTGAAGTTCAAAGCCAAGTTGCAGAGCGCTGCGGTGGCCGCAATTTGAACTTCCAAGTCAGGATGTTTGATAAGGGTAAACAGCGGCTGGGCTACGCCAGCGTCAATGAGACTAGTCCTTAAGACGCTGACGGACCTAGTAAGCATGCGAGCTGCACCACAAGCAGCCAAAAGCGTTGGTGTCGGGTTACCATCTGCTGCAGTATTTTTTGGTACTGAGCCGGTGTCGGCAGGAGCATCGCTTGGTCGAGGTTTGAGAGAGTCAATGATGTAGGGGACCACTCCGTTTTCACAGACCGCTTTCCGATATTCATCCTTGAAGGGTACCAGTGCAGCCAAGGCCTTCAGAATACTCTCCCGATACCTCATAATATGGCAAAGCGTAGGCGAGTATCCAGGCGGTCCTAGTCGACAGTCCAAAGGGACAGATTCAGGGTCCCGAGCTGGACTATCCCCCTCCGCGTGCCACATCGGCCGCAAGGTCTCCGAGACAGGGTTGTAAGTCTCTTTAAGAAGTTGAGATAGACGCTTCAGTGCATTTCCATCCACTGCATGTTTTTGTAGTTCCTGATCGTCCATGACCAGGTTGGCTAGAACAGCCGGTGCCTCTTCTTTCAAGCGCTGTGTGGGAGTGATCAGCCCGTCATCATTAGACCCTGGCTCATCAGGCAATTCAAAATCTTTTTCCAACATGCGGATGAGAATTGGAACCAAAAGATAACTGAACATTGGAACTCGGTGCTTTTTGGCAAGACCCAGACGAAAAAGTACGGTCACCAGCCGAGCCGCCATTAACTGAACCATGCCACTTTCGGAACGGAGGATGCAAAGTAGCCATGGAACAATCGAGTTCTCATCTTCTTCTGTGGGAGATGTTTCGGCCAGCGAAAACGGGGTAGAAAAGGAATGACTATGGCGACGCTGCGAGGTAGAATTGCCCAGAGGTGGGAAATTGGACGAGCCCGAGGGAGATTTGGCATATACCATTGGAACTGACGGGAGAAGATGATCCACTGGATTTGTGCCAGAATGACGAGGTACCGCCGAGCCACTTAGGTATGCGTTTCCCCATGGGTTCTTTTTAATGTCCGTGGGGGCGAATCCTGGGACTTGTTTCGGGAACACAGTGAGAATCCCTGGTGAGGATAAGAAATGCTCTGCCCGCCATTTCGATTGCTCGACGATCACAGTGATCGCGCGGAGGATGGGTGCCAGCCGAGCCGTTGTCGGGGCAGGTGGCGGGAAATCACCCAGAGCTCCAGGTTCCAGTATATGGTCTTCAGCGCTAGGTAAAACAAAGCCTTGAGCTATGACAAAACTGGCAACCTTAACAGCCAGAGCGTCTAATATTCCACATTCCGCCAAAATTGTCTTATGAACCTCCTCCGTGCATAGCTTCCCAATCAGGGCAGCTGCCAGCTCAATGCTCACTTGGCTGCCCGAATGACCATAGTTCTGCGCAATAATTCGTCTGATAGCTCCGACTGCCTCGGGCGCAAAGACGATATCTGCTAGTCGAGTGTCCCGGGGCCCTTGGTCTTGGCTTTGTAACGGTAGTCGGTCCGCAATCGTGTTGAGAAGTCTTAGAATGGGAAGACGGAATTTCTGAGGACAATCTGGCGATGATAGAAAGGAAAGAAGAGTCGGTAGGATATCACTTGCGAATATTGGGGCAAGGAAGGTCGGACCACCTATTGGACAATGTTAACGTCACCTTCGATGGTTCTGGTTGATTGATGCGAAAGTACCTTGCGCTAAGCTTCCAACTATCAAGATTGCCTGCAGGCAGGCTTCTGAGCCTTCTGAGCTATCTGAGACTTGATAGGGACTGGCCGCCTGGGTCAGAGAACGGTTCGATTCGGCCTCAGATGATTTCCCCGGCCATCGCGATCCGAGCACCGAGGCCAGCGTTGGGATTATTCCCGCAGCCACATAGACTTCTTTGCGCTGATCGTGACCTATCAATTCATTCTTTAACACTCGGAGGGAGGCAATCTGAGAGGATATGGAATCCGGGCTTTGAAGCTGTAGGAGAATGGGCGGAGCCGTTGCTCGCGTCATCGTCGGACGACCGAACGCCTCCTGACGAGGGTGAGATGGTTCAACAGACCAGACCAGGAATTAAAGGCGGCGTAGTATACCGTGTATTTCCGTTTGGCCTTTCGGAGGAGGATGGTAGGCTCGTGATAGCTGGTCGATCTCTAAGCAAGTATGGGAAGATTTGGCCGAATTCGGTCGGGTTGCGAAGGCGGGGAAGAAGTCGCGTGTAATCGAGCGGTGGCGTTTAAAGCCACTTTCTTAGAAGGCCAGTCTCGTGCCACACACAATCTCTCTCTCTCTCTTTACCTGCAGTCAAATCTCAGAATTGTATCGATCTGTGAACAATTGAAATTGAATACAGTTATCTGATGCCTTGCACCTCAGCTTAAGCTCCAAGAGGTGACTTGACTCCACTCCGCATTTGGGATGACTGGGCGGTTACGTAAGAGTCGATCCTGCGCATCATCCCCGAGGGCCTAAAACCAGGGTACATACAAGAACTATGTACAGAGCCAAGGCCCTGTTTTGTGTAAAATTGGGATAACAATTCACAATAATGAATAAGCCATGAACTGCGTTTGCTAAGATTCTGATCATGTGAAAAATTGATAATATCTATTCAATAAATTGATCATAATTACTAGTAATAATCAGGTTTCGATAGGCGTTGGTGCTTGGACCGCAAGTCCCTCTCTTGGGCTGCATGCAAAATGCAAAGAACTTGAGTTACAGGGAGGTAACGGGAATACCGATTGAAAAACCATAAAAATGTGAAAAATACATACGAATACGGATGCGAAAGGGGAGTTCCACTTTTTTCCTCCCCTGAGGCATCAATCTGATTAAGCCAATGACGCCAACTTGACCACAGGGAACTAGTTTTTTTTACTCTTTCCAAGATAAGGTTGAATCCCTAGTCTAACTGTTATAACGTAGTCGCCGTACAGATACACCGATAAACTAGTACTTATCGCAATCTAGATAGGAAGTTTTCCGGCTAGAGCGGCTCTCATCGCTCAAAAGGGTTTAGCGGTGATGGGGCTTTTACGGGGGCGTTTGGGGCTTTTTGTTTGCTATTGGGAAAGAAAAATTACGAATTAGGACAACAATTTGAGAAAATTACTAAAAATGGAGAGAAAACCTTAAGAGAAAATCCCTGAACATCAGCAGTATTAGAATTACAGAAAATGTATACAATACATGGGGGAAAAGACTCCTACCGCCATTCACCACTCACAAAATCTCCCCTTTCCCTCTGAGTTTCTCTACGTGAATAATTGTCACGTATGGTCACATAGGGCTCTGAACCACCAATGAGATCTGCTGCGGGATGAACGCCGATGACTTCCCATAGGACCCGAGCAAAAACATCTATGATACAAACCCTTTTTTCTGTCATTTTGGTCATTTTGGTCATTTTGGGTTCATTTTGGGTTATTTTGATCGGGGTATTGGCCGTGAACTTGATATTCGTCGTAATAAATTACCTCATAGCAGAACAGGATTTTTTACTCCCCCCCAAATGGGTGACCCAGTTCTCTGACTCCCCTCTCCCTTTTTTCTCTTCTTCTACATCTTTTTTACATTGAAATGAGTACGGGTTTTTGCACCGAGCGCTCTCCGCAACCAGAACCCCCGGATTTCCAATCTACATCCTCCACCTCGCGATCTACGTGAGGATGAGGCCGTGCGCCAATACAATTCAGGTTCCGCAGGTGCCCCATTGACTCGTGTGCCCACGTGGTGCCAGCGTGCCTTCCCATTGCTTTGCCGCAACATTCCTCTTGATCCCTCACTAAGCCATGTTGGCTTCCTCCCCTTCACCCTCGTCGGCCGCGCTACGCTCTGGCTCCGCCCACCTGCACTATGAAAGTGCTCCACAGTTTAGTAGCCCACGTTCATCCCGTTTGGCCATTGAGGAGCTCCGTTCGGCCTTGAATCGCCATACCGTCGATCCCGCCTCCCCTGATTCCCCCGCTGCCCTTCAACGCCGACGCGCTTCTGCATCGGTCGATCTTTCTGCCCCCAGCGCTGCCTTGGTCACTTCATCCCAAGACCTCTCCGCCACTCCTGTCACTGCCACCCTGCCTACCGCCACACCACCTGGCCCTGTGAACCCGCCACCTGCCCCGTCAGTCTCAATGCCCGCCCCGGACAGTTCGGGGGGCTCCAACAAGCGCAACAGTCAGAGTGACCATCACTCGCCGAATGCGCCTTCCGCGGGCCAATCTGGCGGCGGCGATGATGATGTGGAGGTGTCACAGACCAAGCGTCTGCGCCCCTCTGCGCCCAGTGTCAAGATCTTGCCCGCACAATACGAGCTGGCCGATCCCCGTGACCTGGTCTTGCTGATTTCCAGCATGCTCATGGAACTTATTCGTTTCAATGACAAGATCCCCCTGCATCAGGGGCGCCTGACGCGCTTCCACTCCCGATCACCCCCTCGAATCTCCGTGCAGGATTACCTGCAGCGTCTCACCACTCACGCCACCCTCTCACCACCCATCCTCCTCAGCATGGTCTACTACATCGACCGTCTCTGCGCATTTTATCCCTCCTTCACCGTCTCCAGCCTCACCATCCACCGTTTCTTGATCTCCAGTGCTACAATCGCCAGTAAAGGCCTAAGTGATAGTTTTTGGACCAACAAAACTTACGCTCGAGTCGGCGGTATAAGCATGAACGAGTTAGCCATGTTGGAACTCGAGTTTCTATTCCGAGTCCAGTGGCGCATTGTGCCACAGCCCGAGGTCCTGGTCGAATATTACCAGAGCCTTGTAGAACGATGTGACGGATTTGAGATTGAACGCACCGGTAGCACAACCACCACTACCACCACGACTCCAGCGGCATGAAACCAAAAAAAAAAAAAAAAAAAAAGAGAAGAATGCCCCAAATGTATAACAAATCACGAATATTTTGGTCATGAATGTCTCGTTAGGGAGACACTTGGTTATCGGGCTGGCCTCGAGTTCTACGAACATGTCCTCAGCGGGTTGACTTTTACATTGCGACGGGTTTCTCTGCCTTATCGACCTTTAATCTTCGCTCTAATTTGCATCTACGGCTTTTTAGTCCCATGCATTATGCTACAATCAAAAGGCATTCGGAGTTGACGTGGGGATCCCATTAGAGTGGGTCTTATGTTAGCCATGTACTCCACGCTGGGCAGTCATCGGTAGCATGTTTTCAGCGCTTTCATTTTCCAGCGGGACTTTTATTGGGCGCATTGATGTCTTCAAGAGGTATTTTATCTACGAACTTTATTTTACCTACACGGATTCCTTATTCTACAAAAAAGATTATTGATTACTAGTATTTATGTACTCTTATAAACTTCCCTTGGGCATTGTATTAGTAGAGGTGGAACGTCTATCAAACTAGTACTAAATCATTTTAGCTCATGTAGACTAACTTAGTCTTGTCCGTCCCGGGAGTTTAGGGCATAGGGTGCGGGGACTAGGGCAGCGGCTCTGGAAATCTTGAACTTCATGCGTCACAGAATGCATTTTTCCCCAGCTTTCGTTCTTTCCCTGCGTTTGTTCTTTGTACTTGTCGCACTCTAGTCATGGGGCAAATGTAACCCTCTGAAGCTGCGTGACTCGTTTTATCTCTCCTTCTTTTCCACCTTTCCCTCCCCCGCCTCAACTCCCCGCCTCATAAATCCATAGCCATCATGGATATCCCCAAGACGCTGAATGCGATTCGACCTTTGCGCGGAGATACCATCCCTATTCGGACTGTCCAGGAAACTCGTCCAGTTGAGGAGTTTGGTATGATTCTGCATACTTGCGCGCGCCACGCCGTCTACGTGCCCGCTAATTAACCTTCATGCAGGTGACGCTTATGTTGCAGAGGTCGATATCAGAGGCGCAGCTAAATTGATCAAGTGAGTCGGCCACAACTCTTTCCCTTCTTGATGTATAGAATGAACCAAGCTCATATTGTTCTCTAGGGCACTCGATTCCAAGTATCCCCGCGACGCGGCTCTTCCTCTGTCACATCTACGACGTTTTGCCAAGAGAGAAATCTTGCCCCCGACCCTTCGCGCAGCAATTGAAGCTGCAGGCTCGCTTGGAACAGCGGACGTGAAGACTATATTTGTTGTCATTTCACCTCCTTTGCCTGCCTCGGAAGAACTACAGGAGCTGCTTGCACCCTTTGCTCCGGGCGCTTTTAGCTTCGGGCCTTCTGGCGCCACCACACCTGGATCTTCCCCCGAACCATCACCTCCAAAGATCCCCATATTCACTATCCAAATTCCTCTTCAGCCTCCTTTTAACCTTCAACAAGCTGAACGCTGGAGCAGTACCCTCTGGCCCGTCGTCTTTAACCCCGCTGCACCCCGATCCACTGTCGCTCCGCCCCCTCAGGTCCTGAACCGGGCACTGGATAGCATTCAACCTCGTGCAGGATACTATCTCTCCCTCGCGCGCAAAGTTGCCGCTGAAGCAAAGTCCTCAGGTCGTGGCCGTGGTGTCGGAGCCGTCATCGTCGATCCGTCCATCGAAGCCGCGATTGAGGCCGCTGCGGAAGAGAGTGGCGAGTCCAGTGTTGAGCAGTGGATGAACGCTGTCATCACCGTCGGTGGTGATGTTCGCTTCGCCCGCTCCGAAGCTGGAAAGCCCTCCCAGGCAGATCTGCACCATGATGCATCTCCCAACCCCGCATGCGCAGCTTTCGATGCCGATCTGGAGGGTGGACCGGATCTCCACGCCATGATGCGAGCCATTGAACTGCTTTCGCGCAGACGCCGCGAGGACCCAAATAACTACGATCCAACAATTCCCGAATTCATTGCGCAGCCTGTCGTTGAGACGGATCCCCAGCTTTCTTTGCAGCTCAGTCCTCTGGAGTCGTACTTCCTCTCTCAGCCCATCATTCTGGGTACCGCCGACAATGCTTCTACTCCCCCTTTCGACCAACACCAGCCTGAATCGTATTCGGTATCTCCAAAGAAAAGGAAGCATGAAGAGCCGAATCCCGAATCCACTTCCGTTTCTCTAGACCCTGTTGACGCCGACTCGTTCAGCCAGACCGCCCACGCCATCCCTACAACCCCTCCTCTCCCAGCGCCTCCGCCACTGGCCGTCGCTGACATGGCCGATCCTACGGTCCCACACCACCCCAATGACGCCGCGAATGTTACTTCTGCCTTCCCGGTGTCGGGTGCGGCTTCTCGTATTCGCAGTCGTGCGCAGGGAGGTTATCTCTGTACGGACCTTGACGTTTACATTTCCCATGAGCCATGTGTTTGCTGCTCGATGGGCATGCTTCTCTCGAGATTCAGAGCTGTCATCTTTCCACGTTCGGGCCGGATGAAGACCGGCGGTCTAGCTTCTGAGCCTTGTGTGGCTCCTGTCCCGAATTGCCGGGAAGCGGATTCGGTTGAAGATAAGAAAGATATTACGGATGAAAAGAGCGAGGATATTATTGGTGACCGTCATTATTATGGATTACATTGGCGGAAGGAGTTGAACTGGCGGGTTTTGGGATTTGAGTTCGTGGATGAGGATGAGGATGATGAGGAGAGCGAAGGAGATGATGTGGTTTTCAATGCTTAAAAACATACAATACCCTAAGATAAGCAATTGAAGTTTAAACTTATGTATCTACTACTACAGAATAAAAGGTATTCAGTTACGGATGTTATGTTTACGAAGAGATAGTGAAGTAAATTTCCTTTGAAATTTTTTTGGGCTTCTGTAAAGACATGCTTTTTCGAGGTTCTCCTTATTCCTCCTCTTCCTCTTTCCATTTATGTCCCAACTCTACTTCTCTTCTCCAAATACTCACAGTATCTCTCTTCGTCTTCAGCAACCAATGGGTGTAATAACCCAGCAACCTCGTCATTGACCGAAACTGGAAAGCGAAAAGGTCGCAGCATCAGACAGATGCTGCTGCCTCTGCTTCAGTCGAAAACACCAACATAACCATCTCTGGTTCTCTCGTCTTCCGCTGTCTATGGGAAAGAAAACAGATAAGGAAATTCATGACGTCGTCACATATCCCCCCTTTTGCGGCACATAACACGTAGCGCATTCAAGTACAAAAATGAAAGGGGGAGCAACAACAAATATCTCATCCACCAGTATCTTTCTCCGAGCTTAACGGACAGGAATCGACAGACTATACATGAGATGTGAAAATGATAAACAAAAATAATTCGCGGGGTATAAACTGGATCCGATATCCCATAAGATACAATCCAGAAAATGGTGGGGGGCTAAGAAACAAACAACTGTTCAAAATGACAAAGTTGAAGGGGAGGGGGAGGGGGAGAGGGAGGGGGAGGATTCTTGGGTACAACTGATGAAACCCAAGGGGCAGAAGTAACTGAGATGATCAGAGGGTTCGATGATGATGATGATTGGGGATAGTCTTTTTTGGCTGGTGCTTGATGGGACAAGACACAACCGACCGGCTGTAGGGCGCTTGCCTGAAACTCGCGGAGTAAAATGATTACCGGGTCCGCCTTCCCAGTTATATCATCACTCCTTGCGTTGCCAGGCAATGTCCTTGAATAGATGGATCGAATTTCGAAAGGGGCTAGTGTGTAGTCACGAATCGGCTGTGTGACATTCGGTACAGCCGATCAAATCGAGGATTCGAAGCCTGCGAAAGTATAAGGCCTGAGTGTTCATGGCTAAGTGTCATGTGATCGATGCACACCACATGGTCCACAGTTTTTGCTATCAATCAGGAAGTGAGGTGAATGTGATGCCTTCGAAGGAAAAATATGAAGATGAAAAGAGGCAAGTAAGGTGGTGATGAGGTGAAATGGGTTTAGCTGTGAACACAGCTTTCAACAATCAACGAATGATTGGAATGCATGAAGCAATTGTGGCGTCTTGTCCAAAATTGGAAGAAACTCAAGCCATGCGCTGGTAAAACAGCAAGTAGGCAACGCGGTTATCGCGAGAGCCATATCTGCCTATGGGAGTTCGGACGCCCGAGGAAGCAGCAGGAGAAGGTGTGACGCCATTGACAGATTTCTTGCTTGCGTGACTGCTAGATCCATTTCCATTGACTTGGCTCCAGCCCTTGTCATTGTCTGCAGAGTCCATGTCATCCTGGTCAATGTGGTCAAAGATGTTGGCACGAGGATTCTTATCATGTTTTTGTTGCTCAAAGGCAGCTGCAAGCACCTTGGGGTCTTCCTCGCCACCAGCTTCAGCTACATCTTCACTGCGGACGCGGCGGATGACTGTATCATCCATACGGATCCACTCACGTCCGTCCTGTCGTCTCACATCGACAGTGTAATGTCCGCCACTGGCATTCATTCCATGGTGGTAGATGACACCCATTAGACGGTACTGAGGAAGGCCACCAGAAGCGGTCAAAGTGTTGCGTCGGTGGGCAGGGAAGACCTCCCGGGGAATTTCCAAGTCAAGCGGGTAGCCAACCTTCTTCCAAATCTTTTGAGTGGCACCGGTCAGACTGTCGTACTGGAAACGTTTCAGATGGAGAATGAGGACCGGGGGCATGGTCTCAATAAAGATTTGCTTGGTCGCAGTGACGTTAGGTCCACGAGACGAGTTAAAATCACCCTGGATGCTCTCTGGTTTGGTTAGTCCCTTGAGAGCGTCAATGATGTTATGGACTTCGGGGGATCCAATGTCAAGCTGTAAGGGCTGGTAAGGCTCCATGGTGACCGAGGTCTTGTTGCCAGGCACCTTAAATTCCGACCTCAACTTGCCTCCGAATATCCTTGTGACGGGAGATTCGGTTGCGTGAGCACCAGATGACTGAGTCAAGGCTGCCTTCTGCTTGTGGCCAACCTCCAACCACCCATCACCGGATGCTCCATTCACAGCACCTTCGGCACGCTGTGCTTCTTCAGCCTTTTGAGCATGTTGAATAGCTCGGTCACATTCTTCATGGAGCTCTTCCAGGAGGAAGCCCAAAAATTCTTGGGCGTCCTGCTGGTGGCCACGTCGCATATCTCTGAAGCGAGGCAACTGCCGGATCATCTCGTAGACAAATTCAGGAACAAAAGAGTCGCCATACTTCTCGAGCTCATTGGGCTTCAAGCGCATCTTGAGCTGCTCCTCAGAAGTAGCTGCATCAATGACACGGAACTCTCGCATGAACATTATCAGGGCATCAATCAAAGGCACATCACTGTGAAAGCTGTGCGCAGATCTGCGACCAACATAGTCAAGGAACTGATGGAATGGCACGCATGAGACCAAAATCTGCAGTACAGAGTTCATATAACACATGTTCCCGGTGTTGACCAGTCCTCGAGGCTCGAGGAAAGCAATCTTGTCGCTATATTTGCTGACATCGTCACCGAGGCTGCTTAAGATATCTGCAAGGGTTTCGCTCTTTTGCGTGGTCGCTGTGCTGGGCTGGGTTGAGGCTGCTGCGCTAGCGGACTTAGCGGCTTGTTGCGATCGAAGAAGCTCCGCCCAAGACTTAGGAACAGTGGCAGGAGCAGGCGACGACGGCTTGGATAGGTCTTCGTTGGTGATCGCAGAGTCCGAATTGGCGTCCGTTTCAGTCACTGGGTTGGATCTGGGAGTCTCAGATGTGGCACTGGGGCTGTCTTTAGTCTGGCGACGCGGGGTAGCTGGGACATTTGGCACTACAGGAACGACAGGCAGGGTGGGCTTTGGAGTCTTCTGCTGGGCATCAGACTTCGCCATGGATGAAGGAGTTGTGGGTTGGGTCGAGTTTGCATCCGATTGAGAGACAGAAGTTGTTGGAGTCAGAGGCTTAGGAATAAGCTTGATCTCAAGATCTGCGGGTTTCACCTCTTCGATAGGCTCGATTTCTCCCTTTCTCGGCCCGATTATCCATTGTCCATCCTTCTTAGGGAATTCCACAGAGTCTCGCAAAGGACTATTTCTTCGACGCAGTGCTGCTCTGGCGGGGAAGGAAGCTTCGGGCACCGATAACCAGGGTACCTAGATTGACGATTAGTTGAATCTAAAATGCCTTAGTCCCTTTTATGAATGCCACTTACAGGAGCAACAAAAGCCGGTTTGAATTCTGGGATGGATTTGGGCTCCCATCGAGGTGGGGAAGACGCGACGGGATATTGGTGAAGAGGCGGCTGGTGTGAGAGGACATGATCCTGGAGCTCAGGTTGGAGAGGCACTTGGATCGATGGGGACATGGTTGGTTGCAGCGATGTTGATGTCGGAGGCTGCATAGGTAAAACTTGGGGATGGTGACTCGGGGCCATAACATGGTGTGAGGGCGGGTACATGGATACCATCATTGGTCCATAAGGCTGATGATGGAACTGGCGTGGAGGAAGCTGTGCCGGACCGTAAGGGTACCATGAATGATTGTACTGTTGGGGGGCATATGCAGGCGGCATATGGCCATTCATTCCATTCATATTGTTCATCCCATTCATCCCGTTCATCCCGTTCATGTGCGGCGGATACCCCCCCATATAAAGCGGGGATCGCATGTTGGGAGGACCTGGGTTATAAGCATAGTCTTGTTGTCTCCTGGAAGGAGCCATAGGCGGCTGCCCATGGGGCATAGTGGGTAGCTGGTGGTTCATCTTGGCTAGAGCTTAAGAAGGAAAGGAGTTGCGTTCACTGTTTAGCCACGCGTTGCCTGGAGGGAAGCCATGCGCGGAGGAAGATAAAATGAGCCAAATCCGGGTGCGACAGAAGCACTTATGCAGCCATATTGGCCCCTTTCTTTCCTGTTTGAGAGAAGTCTCGACGGGGCGTTTGCGGGGGAATGATTCAATCTATCAGATGGAGCGGTTCCAAGACCTGGAAGGCGCAGGAGTTAGTTATGAGACCGTCACAATGCGCTTGGGGGGTGATAAATAGCGGGGCGCGGTACCTGAAGATTCACTACGAAATTTCAAATAGATAAATTCAATGGGCCGGTATCAAAAGTGGCCGGGGGGTGAATAAAAAGGTTGGGCAGGCGACAGGTTTCCTCTATAATTAATCCGCTCTTTTGCCGAAGCGAAGCTGAAGTGCAGAGTCCAGGTGGTGATTAGTCAGTCGATTGCTGAGTCATAAACACGTGCTGTCCGATGACATGCCCCTCCGATTATGTACTCGCCTTCCGGATGTTGCGATCCTTTTAGTCTTCCTTTAGTCGTTTTCTCTATTCTTAGATGGCCTCTTGGGGTTCATTCTATTCTTACAGTTTTGCATGCTCTAATACTGGAGCCGCTGTGCATGGCTAGTTTTGTTCATCTTTGTTCGCCCTGATTAGGCGGCCTTATCCATATATCCTGGCCCCTCGTTCACCCACCCTCCAAGGATCACCTCGCTGGATCTTTCGGAGAACTTCTGACTATCTAGCTGTTCTTTTTTGTTCTCTCTGTCCGTGGTGGAGAATACCGACTTGGAAATGTCATCTAATGCAGGACAGAATCCCTCCTCCAAAGCAAATAATATCTCAAATTCCCCGGCCGCGCCTCCAGCCTTTCACTCAACAGCTTCGGGAGACACCAACACTCAGCGTCGTGTAGGAGGCTCCGGAAATTTTGGAGCAGGGTCCTCGTCAAGAAATTCGCCTACTCCAAGGAACGCTCAAGGTCGAAAGAATCAACACAAGCACCAGAAGAAACCACGGTTGTTAGATGATGACGAATATAGCGAATCGGTGGGTTATCCAGGGTCCTTCTCATTCGAGCGTTGCCTACTGACGCTGCGATTGCTCAGGCCGTGATGAAATCAACAAATAGTCGCAAGGGACAAACGTCCATCACTCATCTGATGAACTTTTCACTTCCACCTCGCCCACAATATCAACCACCGCCTCGTAATACTCGGCGCTACAATACATGGGGTGCGGGATCCGGGTATCATGCTGTCGATAAAGCACGCTATGTCCATGCCAACTACCGTTTCATTGTTTCCCCGGATCGGAATTACCATTCGCAGGCCGCCAATGCCGATGTTCATCTAGACTGGGCCTCTGTTCTTCAAGTGCTAGTCTCCGCGCAGACTCAAGCAGCCAGCTGCCCTATATGTCTATCGACACCTGTGGCCCCGCGCATGGCTCGTTGTGGCCATATATTCTGTCTTCCTTGTCTCATTCGTTATATGCACTCGTCGGATGACGATAAATCAGCACCGGAAAAACGACCTCGGTGGAAGAAATGTCCGATCTGCTGGGACTCTATTTACGCTTCTGAGGTCCGTCCCGTTCGATGGTTCCGTGGTCAAGAGGGTGACTTGCCCTTCGAAGGGGGGGATGTTGTTTTAAGGCTAGTGAAGCGAGAACCTGGTAGCACTCTTGCCCTGCCTCGTGATGGTGCGGAAACTCTTGGGCGGGGAGAAGATATTCCCTGGTACCACGTAGCGGAGGTCGCAGATTATGCTCGGATAATGAAAGGCGGCGAAGAGTACATGGAATCTCAGTACAATTCTGAGATCGAAAATCTCCGCACGCAAGCAGTTGAAGACGAACTTCTGTTTGGAGATGAAAATACATGGACGCGAAAGGCCATTTCCACTATATATGACGCAAAGGAGAAACTGAAGGGCATCGGCAATCCACCAGATGTTCCACGTCAGCTTGCAGTCTCTAAGTCGGTACCTCAATCAGCAATGGAGGTCGATACCAGCGCGACACGAGCATTGGATTCCGGCAATCTACCTACCAGCGGTGCCACTGACTCTTTGGCTGGTTCTGGCCCCGACTCCCACCAGTCTGCAGATTCTACCTCGACACCAGCAACTTCAGATGAAACGGACCAACTATCTGAGACCTTGGATAAAATGCAGGTGAACTCAGATTCCACCTCAATTTCACGGCCTAGGGCCAGAGGCAAAGAAGCGCAGGGCTCCCACCCACCAGATGAGCCATATTATTTCTATCAGGCCTTGCCACAATTTTATTTATCGTCCCTCGATATTCGGATTTTGAAGGCAGCTTTCAACGAATATGCTTCATTCCCTGCCACCATACTACCTCGGGTGGAGCACATTTCAACTGGTCACATCGTCGATGATGAACTGCGCAAGCGAGTCAAATACCTCGCGCATCTACCCTATGGGTGTGAGGTCAATTTCCTTGAATGCGACTGGCGAGATGTGGTTGTACCTGAAGTCTTGTCCCAGTTCCGCACCGAGACTGAACGGCGGCGAAAGCGGAATCGGGAGAAAGAGGCCCGCGAAGAAAAAGATCGTATTCGTGCAGAGAAGGAAGAAGATGATAAACGATGGGCTGCAGCCCGACGCAAGCATCCGAGTATGGAAAGTTCCAGCGAGGCGCCCTTCTCCGCCCATGACTTCCAGCCATTGGCCAATAATGACCCTTCTCTATTTGATACTGGTACTTCCTCTGCCTCTCCGCCCCGCAGTTCCTCCCAATTTGGGGCACTGGCCTCTCCTTCTACCAGCCCCCCTGGCTCTCGCACAGTTTGGGGTACGGCAGCTATTGGTTCACTATCTCCAAGCTTAGAAGCTCAACTCGGAGCACCGACTGACGGCTGGTTGCATGGTTGGGAGGATGAGCTGCTAGCCCACCAAGAGTCCGAGATAATGGCTCTAACGGCCCCCGATGCTCCCTCGCCTGCATCTGGCGCACCAAGTGGTGGCAAGAAAAAGAAGAAAAACAAGATCACTTTGATGTCCACTAACAGTCACCGCGGTGCATAAGTTGGCCAAACAAAGTCTTTTGGTCCTAGAGTCATTGATCGCGCTTATTGTTAATAGAACTTTTTCTCGCACTATGTATTGAGAAATGCGTGTTTACGTGTCGACATTTGTCTTTCCTGGTTTCCCTTGTCACCATCACAATATATTATATTCATCTGTTTATGCTATCAAGCGTTCGGGGTTCAAATGTTGTTTCTTCAAATGCGATCAGTCTCGGCTTCGGGCCCACATTCCAGTCCCAACATTATGAATCAATGTCGACTACTCCAGGGCTGCAACGAAAACAAACATACATTGAATATATCTTTGGTTTCGGTTGAAAAGGAAGCACAGCATTCGACTTACCTAGATACGTGCTAACATTCAAAATGGATTTAATTCAAATGCTTGGACATTGGGTACATTTTAAGTTGTAGGTACCTTCAACTAGTTCCTACTAGTACCTTGGAAGGTTTACAGTATTGATCCAATGATATCTTTTTGTCTACAGTATTCAAATCTTACCTTTGGGGGGTTTCCAAGGTTCCAACCTTGATGTCAAATGTTGGAAGTTTGTTTTCCTATGCAAATTTATACTGTAAACTTTGGAATATTTAAAGCACCCTCAACTCTACCTGCATGTGGTATACCTGGCAGTAAGCACTACGGATATGTATACTAAGGAACCCAATTGACACTTGCCGAAAGGAACGGCAAGCTTGGCGCATGATCGTCACTGCAGGTCCCAACATGGAAGGCCAAACAGAAAAAGAAAAAGAAACCAGGTACAATTTTTAAAACAAGGAAGTTGAGATAATTTCGCTGAAAATGATCTCAGAAACACCGAATAATAAAAATTGTACTTTTCACTCCAGATACACGACTTTTCTGCATATCATCCGTGGACATTCAAGTTTGTGGGGGAAAGAAAGGTCCACGTAGGCGGAAGAGGCGCGAAGTATTTCTGCAGTGTATTTTTGCCGTACCGAGCGCATACATCAGTGGGCGGAATGGTACAAGCCAGGTACACCATATGTAAACATTCCTGTTTTTCCCTTTCCCACTTCTTCTTTTCCCACCCTCCTTTCCCTCCTTTCCACCCTCATTTTCCCCTCGGATTTTGCACTTCCGAGTAGGCGATCATGGCTATCACAACACGTTCCCAAACGGGTAGAACCCCCAAGTGAGTGGCTGTTCCAGGATCTGACTTGCGATCCACCCCCCGTTTAACCCCCCGTGCGGTCTGTTTACATGATCCACTTGCAATTCCTCCCATCTTGCCCTTTGGGAAGCCCTCACTAAGATAGATGTTTTCGCATCATTCAGGAAGGTGGAGCGCCCCGGTTTTATCGAGACCCCTGGCCGTCGTTCGAATCGCCACAGTTCCGCCTTCGAAGGGAGTGAGAATGATGCCTCCGACTCGACAATTGCCAGCAGATCCAAGTCGGCCACTCGCAGTCGCACTTCCGCCAAGGTTAAGATCGAAGAGGATGAGGATACCCCGGTGAAGCCCAAGGCCAATGGCAAGGTTGCCGCCCCCGATTCCAAGTCTCGCATCGTGGACGGATGGGAGGAGGGACTCGATCCCAAAATTGACTACAGTGGACACTATGAGTTTGGTGGCTCCCTGGGTGTCTCGGCCATGATGATTGGCTTCCCCATGCTCATGTACTACATGTGGATTGGTGCGACCTACTATGAAGGCAAATTCCCGACCCGTGAGGAGGGGCAGAGCTTCTCTGATTTCTTTGGCCACATGGCGCATCTGGTTTACACTGGTGCATTCCCCTCTCTCAAGGCTTGGACCATCTACTGGGTTTTCTTCATCTTCGAGGGAGCTTGCTATGTGCTGCTTCCTGGTATCTCCGTGACTGGTCGTTCGTTGCCGCACTCGGGTAACAAGCAGCTGCCCTACTACTGCTCAGCTGTGTGGTCTTTCTACACCAGCATTATCATCGTCCTGGTTCTTCATTTCACCGGTCTCTTCAAGCTCTACACTATCATTGATGAGTTTGGTCCCTTGCTCAGCGTTGCCATCTTGTCGGGCTTCTTGGTCTCCATTGTTGCCTACTTCTCCGCTCTGGCTCGTGGCGCTGAGCACCGCATGACTGGATCTCCCATCTATGACTTTTTCATGGGTGCCGAGCTGAACCCCCGCATGTTTGGCATCCTTGATTTCAAGATGTTCTTCGAGGTCCGTCTGCCGTGGTTCATTCTGCTGTTCCTTTCCATGGGCGCAGCCGCTCGCCAGTACGAGGTCTACGGATACGTTTCCGGTGAGGTGATGTTCCTCGTCATGGCACACTTCCTGTACGCCAATGCCTGCTCCAAGGGTGAGGAGTGCATTGTATCCACCTGGTAAGTCTTCCTTCAGATCTGCTGCTCGAACATTCGACTTATATTGAAATTCTTTAGGGACATGTACTACGAGAAGTGGGGCTTCATGCTCATTTTCTGGAACTTGGCTGGCGTGCCTCTGAGCTACTGCCACTGCACTATTTACCTGGCCAACCACGACCCTGCGGAGTACCAGTGGAACCGCTTCTTCCTTGCCTTCCTCTATGTTGCTTATCTGTTCGTCTACTGGATTTGGGACACTACCAACAGCCAGAAGAACAGATTCCGTCAGCAGGAGCGTGGCACCATGGTCAAGCGGAACACTTTCCCTCAGCTCCCGTGGCAGACAGTGGAGAACCCTAAGACTATTACCGCCGATGATGGCTCGAAGATTCTTGTTGACGGATGGTGTAAGTGCATTCTATTTTGTATTCACGGCCAACGACACTTGTACTAATCACTTTCTATAGACGGCAAAGCTCGCAAGATCCACTACACTTGTGACCTTTTCTTTGCCCTGAACTGGGGCCTTATCACCGGCTTCTCTAGCCCCTTCCCATGGTTCTACCCTCTCTTCTTTGCCTGCATGATTTCCCACCGTGCTCTGCGTGACATCCAGCGCTGCCGAACCAAGTACGGCGAGGCCTGGCTCCAATATGAGCGAGAGGTTCCTTACCTCTTCATTCCTGTGAGTAAATATCTCACCGTCCTGTTCCCAGAAACCTTTCTAATGTTGTTTTTATCACAGTACGTCATTTAATTTCAGCCCGCTGACTACGGTGCCTTCCACCCTTTTCCTGGTCCCTTTCTAGTGTAACTTTTGTACAGTGGGCCTAAGGGCTAATTTTCTTTTTTCTTTTTTTTGTGCCCATGAGCTCAACAAAACTGGCGTGAAATTCTTCAGGAGATGTTTACTTGTACACACCTCGGGATACTTTTTTATAATGTTTGCAATGGTAGTTGCTCCGCGCATGGCTGCAATTACCTTGGCATTGACCGTTCTGTTCCTTGTATAAAATATTCAATCAATTCCTGGGTTTCTTTTAATTATATTTATCCAATTGACCAGCTACCATGAGCACCTATTAGCCACTCAGAACTACACAGTCTTCCGGCTTTCATCCATGGATGCATGCACATGTATTTATCGTAGAAAGGTGTTATGGTTTGATGAATATCATAATGGTTGTAGGCCTTACTCCACTTCGAATTGGTGCCTTGAAGTTGCTGATCTAATCCGTTTCGCCCCGCCATCCTGGAGCTTATCGATAAGTAGCTTCGTTGCATCAGACGCTTGCAGCTTCAGAATCCAAGAAAAGACTCGACTCTTGAAGACACAAAAGACCAATAAAACCAATTCCAGGCCAACCATCACTATGCTCTTCCAAGAATCGTTTCACGAGGTTCCCACCACGGCCGATGGCCAGGGGACCATGGGTACGTATATCCCCGCCATCTGGTCATCATGAGCTTCATGCTAGTACAAGCGCACATCTTCGTCATAAACTCCCCTACTTACTCCTTGCCAGGAATATACGTTTTCCACCCCACAATCCCAGGCTATCCCAAAGCTCGGTTCCCGGGAGTTGTTGTCTTCAGCGAGATCTACCAAGGTTGGTGCCTCTAATTAACCCCAAACTCTTGTACCCCAGGAACCAAAAAGAAAGGAAAGAAAATAAAATAAAACTCACCAACCTCCATAGTAACGGGGCCTGTGGCGCGGTTTGCCCGCCAGATTGCTGGGCAAGGGTACATCTGTGCGGCACCATCGAGCTACCACGAATTCACGGGCCCGGAGCCCTTGCAGTATAATGCTGAGGACACGGATAAGGGCAACGAGTGGAAGATCAGCAAGGTATGTCAGATTGATATGCATATGCACACTTTTTTTTCTTTGGTTCATGTGCATTGCATCGGTCTATTTTCAGAACCCATAGTGGAGTGTGTTTTGTTTTTTCGAAGATTCAGGCTGACTCGGTTGCAATAGAAACTGGCCGCCTATGATGAGGACGCTAGTCTGAGCGTGGACTACCTGCTCTCGCTGCCGACCTGCAATGGTCGCGTCGGTGCTACTGGTATGTGCCTGGGTGGACATCTTGCCTACCGCTGTGCGCTCGATAGTCGGATCAAGGCGGCTGTGTGTTACTTTGCGACGGATATTCATAGCAAGACCCTCGCTGCGGGCAAGAATGACGACAGTCTTGCGAGAACTGGGGATATCAAGGGCGAGCTTCTGATGGTATTTTTCTCCCTCCTCGGCTCTTCTGGTTTTTGCTTTTTCCTCCCATCTCCATCTAAATTGAGATGTGTCATAATTTGGAAATGTTGAGTGCTGACCATACATACCTACTCCAGATCTTCGGCAAGAACGATACCCATGTCCCTCCCGAGGGCCGTGATCTGATCCGCAAGACTCTTCATGATAAGGGAGTCTTGTTCAGTTTCTATGAAGTTGCTTGGGCTCAACGTGAGTTTCTATCTCTATCTTATATTCTTTTTATTTATAAAAATCGGAATCAGAATTTTACTGACTATTGCATAGATGCATTTATTCGGGATGAGCTCAGCAAGGGCCGATATGACCCCGCCATTACTAAATCCTGTTTTGAGATGTTGCTTGAGTTGTTTGGACGCACCTTGAAACTAGATTTGGGAGAGCATGATGGCAAAGAGCTGGTAGTTGAGGATGTGTGTTAAGCTATGTAATCTGATACGCTGATCTCCCGTGTGGGACATCTTTTGGAGTAGAGTGAGAGAGAGAGAGAGAAATCAAGGCGAGCAAATGTTCACTGATATTACTTTTCACTGGATTCAAGACTGGATTACAAAGGGAACTGTCACAAGGGGATGGGATTAGTGCACTTACATGTTACATGCTGTATGTACCATTCTATTTTGTACGGTCGCCCAGTCGACCACATCTACAAAGGCCCACTAGGTACACGGCTTTTGGTCACCGCCCTGTATCAATATGGTATCCGTATGATATGATATTAGTTGCCCTCACTCAATTCATGATACCAAGTACGAAGTAGTTGTTCTGCCAGTGGTATTTGATCATATGATTCAGTTATGGCAGTGTACCTAGTGGGCCTTTGTACCATGTCCGATTTGTTGTCACGCAAGGGCGAATGGAAAAGGTTGGGCCTTTAGATTTATTTTATTGTCTTCAAGTTGATTTTTCCTTTCTGTTTCTGTATCCACTTCCATCATGTCGATCGACGATATAAGTTGAATTGGTCTGTGCTATATGTTCAAGAAGAAGTAACCTCGTAAGCAGCTATTCTTAGAGTGCAAAAAAGGTCCCAAACGGGACCCAAATATCGCGAACCACTGGTTATATGTCTTCGCCACCATGGAATTCGCTTCAATTTCTATTCGATTTCTGTAGAAAACAATATTGGCATTCATTCACAGAGTCTTGTATTTTTTCTGGATTTTTTTCTCGTGGTCTTTTTTTTTCTCTTGCATTTCCAAGATTTTGTTACCCAGTTGGAGTTAATCCACCTTCAGCCTAGTCCGCCAACTAGCGCCAATTTCCGAGCCCAAACCTTGGAATCGAATCAACTCACTCTCACTCACACGCATTGACTCTCTCGTTTGTCACAAGTTGGCTCGTCCCTCGCTGGAGCCTCTCCTTCTCACTCCCTATCCTCCTCAATCGCGACCGGTTCCTTAAGCGCGGGTCAGGGGACGTTCCAGTTCCCCGTCCCTACAAAGAGCGACTCCACCCAGGCAACGCAGCTTATCGCAACCGAGGCGGTGTTAACGTGATCCTATCATTTTCACCATGGGTTCAACACAGTTCGGCAATTTCAAGGTGAGTTCTTTCGAGATCGCCCTGGACATCCTATATCTACGCTCTGCGCCCTAATAAACCATAACAATCCACGCTGACCGCACTCTCTCGGGTACCACAGGACTTCTGTCGCGACTCGACATTACCAGTCTGCAATGTTCGTGAGACCTCGTCCCTCAAACCATCCGCGCGAGCGCCAACGCTAACCGAATTTCCGTTCACCTCTTAGCTCTTTGTCGACAACCAACCGCCTAATCTGCGCTTTGGAGGATGCGCGCTCGATGGTATCAGTTTGAGCGGGGATCGCCATCTCGCCAACTTAGGTACGGACTGCTGGGTGGGATATGATACATAAAGCCGGAGTGGTGGGTTAATACGGAATACAGGATCCATTCTCATTGCGTTCATCGCTATCTTGGCGTCACTCTTCATGCTCTGGAGGTCGGACAAGAAGCATGCCGCCGTCGGACGTCGGTATGCATTCTCCTACCGGAATTATATTCGTTACAGTGCAGAGACTGACAATGGGGATTGGATAGGGAAATTCAACTGTTTTTGCTGGGATTCATCATTATCGAGATCTGTGAGATCTTCACCGTGGGTGGACTTCCGATCGAAGACTCTGTTCGAAAGGTAAGAGTTTGACTGGTCATTCGAGTTGGCATTTCGGGGGTTTTTTTCATGACCGGGCCTCTAACAAGTGCTGTCTAGGGTTTCTCGGCGGTTCATCTTGGCGCGATCACTGCGACATGTTGGATCCTACTGTTGAATGCGTTCGTGGGTTTCCAGTTACTTGATGATGGCACAGCGGCCTCGATTGGCCTAATTTCCGCGTCAGCCATTGTGCTCTTCATCGGTACCGGCTATATTGCACTCGACACAGCTTTCGACTGGTCTGGCCATTTCGTGGGCAGTACGAACGACGATTACCGTAATGTCGCTTTATACGTTCTGTATCAGCTATTCCCACTCGTCTGCCTTGCTGTGTTCTTCGTTCTCGAAACTGTGCTTGTTTTGCGAGTCCTGGGAGAATACCGTCCCATGCGTATGTATTTCCCTGACAAAAAAAAGCTTTCTTGGGAAGAACTGTCTGCTAATGCCCTGACTATAGTTTATCTTACCGGTGCTGCTATCTTATTTGCCATCGGTCAAATCTTCCAGTATGTGATTAGTGTGCATCTTTGTACGGCTTCCAGTGGAGCGATCAACGGAACCTTATTCGAGACATTCTTTACACTACTCGCCGTAGTCGGCATCTGGGCTTTCTGGAGCAGCATCACAGAAGATGACTGGCCCCTGCCCGTCGGAAGTGGATACAACTAATTGTATTTGCAATTCTTATCTTGTCTCTTTTTTTTTTTTTGCAGATTTTCCGTTTCCTATTCAATACATACAACATCCTGATGTCCCCTCACCTGTCTTCAGGTCGCTCCGAGGCGTTGTGTTCTTTTCTTGTGACAAGCCCCGTCAACGATGAATAGAGCTATCGACGTTGTGATACCACATTCCTCTGGGTCATGTTTCACGATTAACTGTTTTCTTTCTCCTTACGTCCCCGGCGGCTTGCCTGGTTGATTTCTCCCCGACTTGGCCCTACAATGTCTTTCTTAGGATTTCCAAGGGACCCCTATGATATTTCAGTGGCCGGGAACCTCGTCGTGGGCATGCTTTTGTGTTTCAATTGTCAGATACCTCTCCATCATGTACTTAGGTTATAATTCCCATGTCCGATAATCAAGTCTTCTTCACATCTATAACTATGGAACTAAATTTTCAAATTTTCTCCTAGATGTAGTACTTGACATGACCTGCAGAAAATTCAAGTCGTTATCTACGAATTGGTCCCTCTAGATGTCAATGCGACCCGGTGTGACCCTCCACCACCCCCATTTGCCTCCAGGGCTTTCCACATGTGCAAGGTTGGCGGGCCACTTCCTCCGTGGTGTGACAGTTCCTGAGCAGGCTGCAAGCTCCCGCTTTTTAACCTAATTCATGGATGTCACTCATTTAAGCAAGGTATATAGACCACCCTTCCAACGGGGCTACTAACCAAGAGTATATCAAAATATCAACCAGGGGTTGGCCTTATACATTTGAGCACTATACACGACAATAAACCCAGTTGTCGACATGCGTATCAATGTTGCCGCTCTCGCCTTTGCCTCTAGTCTTACTACTGGCATGGCATCCCCTCATGCATTGGACCGTCGGAATCATGCGGCATACAATATCTCCTGTACATTTGATTCGGCATTCCTGGCCCACCTTTGTGGTCAGCAAAACTAATGTTTCTCCATTTGAATAGTACCAGAGCAAGATCAACCTGCCGTTCCACCACAAACATGTAATCTTGTTGCTTGTGTCGGCTTGACAGGAACACTTACGTGTGTTCTCTCGGCCGTTTCGTCTGGAGATACTGCTGCTTTACAGCGTTGTATCTCTGGAGGACTAGGTGAGGTATGGAATGAACCATCGTCCAATGTTCTAACTCTTTTTCCTGTTTTTTTTTTAAAAAAAAAAAATCACCGTCTCATCTTTTGTTCACCTGTCTCTTTATTCTATTGCTTCCATATCTTATACTGACGACCTGTGTCTTTGGTATATAGGTTTGCTCTTGTGCCGCCTGCATTCCCCAAGTCAACAGTTTTTTACAAGCTGTGGGGGTTTGCATCGGCGGTCTTGATGTTGATAATAGCACCGCCTCTTCTTTGTCGAATCTCTCTATAGAGTTGTCTGAGATAAGGGCCACAGCTACTCAAATCACTCAGTTTGATGCTTCCCAGACGACTGTTGCATCCACTACTACTTCTGCCTCGTCGATCTAAGATAACAGAGTGTGATTAGCAGGTTTATATGTGTCCTTTCTTGGTTTCTTTTTAAAAAAATTGTATTGTGGCTTTTGTGATTCTGATTGATATATCATTTCAATGTTATGTTTGTCTTTATTCCACCAAGATTCCTATCTCCATTTAAGCTCCTTTTCACAGCAGTAACTTCCTCGCTTTCCTTAAATTTCTTTTTATGTTTAATTTCAAGCGGCTTCAAATAAACTGCCGCATCCTTTCCAAACATTGAAGACTCGGGCGTTAATGATTTCTCAGTACACCATGTAAACCCTAATCCTATTGGAATTCATTTGATGCCGTACTGCTCTTATCACTTACAACTCACATGTGCACTTTGACTCATGCCACTTATGTACCTTTGACTTAGTATGTAGTCCACGCGCAGTCCGAAATTGGTCTCGTGACAAACTGTTACCCTAGCGAGACAATTGAAAAAACCGTAATCGTTATTATTTTGTGGGGTTTCGTCGCATGTCGTATATGTAAAATCCCGACTTCTCACAAACATTTGAAGACAATATATCACCTGCCATACTTTTCCGTGATTCTGTCCTTTTCAAGTCTCTGCTTTTCAAAGCCGGACCTTAACATCAACACATGGCAGTGTCCATTCCCGCTGTCCTAGCAGACTGCGCAACCACTCTAGTCCAACGCCAGTCCATTCCTCCGGTCTGGACTCGATTCCAAGACGCTGCTGCGCACTATCCAAGGCCGCTCCTGCCAAAATCTTAGCACTGGAGTTGAATGTATCAAAGACAAAGCCCGTAAGACCGTCTCCGGGGATTGGTGCGGCCATCGTTGCGTTTCCGGTCATGGATGTGTATTGTTCGCCTGACTGGGCGCTGTAGCGAGGCGCAAACCAGTTACTCTTTAGATCGAAGATACAGCGATCTGACCAGTAGCAGGATGATGCGAATAGGATGAGGAGGAGCGCGGAACAGTAGATGCATGGCCGGTGAATGGTGTAGGTCAATGCCACGAAGGAAATGATAAAAAGTGGCGATGCGTTCGTCGGGATGAAGAGTAGCGGCAACCAACTAGAATAATTCATATTAGAACCGGGTATCCTCTTGGCGGGATTCTATGCCGCGGCCTTTCTTTCATGGTTCCAGAATGGTTCTGCAAGTCTTACCTTCGTAGACAGAACATGGTTGATGATCGGTTTGCCAGATGGCTGCGTCGTCCAGAACGGGTAGTATTGACAAGATGCGGTTTTGCGTCGAACTCTGCGTCGGACTTTGCGTCCTATATCTCTCGTTTTGCGCGCTGTAGCATAAGAACCAGGCCTTGGAGTTCCTTGCAAGTAGCTGAAGAGCGATGATGACGAAGCGGCAAGATCCAAGTTGAAGGTCCCGTGTATTGTAATTGACATTACCGGTTGGCTCATCGTATTTTTGCCCACAAGCTGTCCAAGCTTTTCACTTAATCTCTCGAACTCTTCCTTCTCACCATTCCCTCAAATTACTCACTCTTTAACGCTTCTCACGATCCCTTTCCTTTTGACCTTGTTCTTATTTGGCCATCACTGCATCTTGTCATTTCATTCTTCGGTATCCAGTCATTCCTTTCTGTGCCTGGTGTTCTCCTAGCACGTTTGAAAGACAAAGCTTCCCCAAGGAGCTCTCTAGCTTTTGTGGATTTTTTCGGACGTTGTCGTGACTCGACAAGAGGCAGAGATGTCCACTCCGAATAATCTTCAAGCCTTGCTGGCTTCTATTCGGCCGCGCCCCTCGCCAACCAATGGATCTGGACAAGAAGCTGGTCAGCATCAGCGCCCCGTTCATCCTGGCTATGCGCAGTCCGCGCAGTACACGCAGCAGCCCCAGCAGCCCCAGCAGCACCAGCAGCACCAGCAGCACCAGCAGCATCAGCAGCATCAGCAGTCGCAATACCAACAACACCCTGGCATGTTCCCACATCATCCCCAGTACCCACAATTCGATGGCCGACACGAATTGCCTCACGCCATGCACCATCCGGACATGATTCGTTATCAGGATCATTACGACATGCACGGATATCATCATCCATCTGTGGCATCGGCGGTTCAGAGTCCTGCCCCGATGAACCCGATGAACACCCCTCCTCATCATGGCTCCGATATCATTAGTCCAAACGTGCCTTCCCCTCGTCCCGATTTCAACCCGTATCCGCCAACAAATCAATCAGACAGCGCCGCCAATTTGCTTAATCTCCTGAGATTTAGCCAGGGCTCTGGTGCTGCCATCCCGCCGGCTGTTGCCTCTATGGCTTCGGAACAATCACGGTCTCCCCCAGTTGAGGACATAGCTGCTTCCTCTTTGCAGGGACGACACATGTCCTCATCAAACTTGCTTGCTTCGATGCTTGACGGGAGTGGAGCTTCTGCTCCGGTTCCTGATCCTGAAGTTACGGCCCCTGCTCAGGAAGATGGTGCTCCTAGCGATCGGACTCAGAACATGTTGCTTCGCCTGCTCAACCGATCTAAGGTTTTTGATGGGCCACCGGAAGGTGAAATCTCAGTCGCATCAAACCAGTCAGTGGTGGAGATCACCCGTGAGGCGGAGCCATTGAAGACCAATGACATTCTAACGAAACACATCGATTCTTCTGTCGGAATTGCGAAACCGGAAACGGTCGTGTCTCCCTCGGCTTCTAAGGAATCGATGTTCACTTACATCAACCCTTTCGATCAGCTGGCTGCCATCTCGCCTGGCACCAAATCTCCCCAGCCCAGTTCATACGGCGGGGAAGACGTAGCGGCTGATGCCGTTGAAGGTACGCAGGAGCTGGAGGTTGATCCTTCCGCCGATGCTGAGTCTTCTCCAGCTATCGATTACGTACGTCCAACCGAAACTCATGGCGAAAATAAGTCTTTTATCTCCGGAGAGAGCGGCCAAGAAGATCAAGAAGAGGATGAAGAAGAAGGCGAAGATGAAGCCGAAGTTGAAGTTGATCATGGTTATACGCCATCTACAAAGCCTGCGGAGGCCGAGCTCGAAGCTGAAGTGAAAGCCGAAGCTCTTGCTGCGGAGCCGACGGAAGCAGTGATCTCGTCGATCGCCGATCATTTGCGAGAGACTGTCATTGAGCCTCAAGAAGTTGCTGAAATGCCTCGGTCGGTTGCATCTGCAAAGAAATCAGATATCGATATCACTGCCATCGCTCCTCCTAAGATTCAGCATGATGCTGTCGAGGCTTTGGCTGACAGCTGGGAAAGTGCAGAGGATAGTGCCGAGAAGGAAGAAGTACGCATCGTATGCGTTCGCAACTTCCCTCTGCGGCCGTTCATCTCTGTTGTTGTCAAACCACAGACCGGGAAGATCGTGTCTTTCCGTGACGATGCAGTAATGGATATCGCCCGCCTTAAGAAAGAGTTCGATCAGCTGGACCGCTCATTGACTGCCGCCACATCCGAGTACATCGTGTATGCGCTTGCCAAGACGGGTGGAATTCGAATCATTCGTCAGGACGACGGCAGTGACCGACAAGTCTTCCGATCTACTCGAGACCGTGTCTTCAATGTCTCGTTGTGCTCGTCTATCGCTGCTGCGGGACAATCTGATGTGCAGGCCATCCTTGGTATCGGTGTAAGCGGCTCTGTGTACTGGTCTTTGATCTCAAGGGAGGGCAAGGACCTCTTTGAAATGGATGCGCTGGAGAGCGAAAGCCTCATATTCCCACCTTTCCCTGCCTCGGACGAGAACACCTCTGGTGGTCAGCTGAAAACGCGGGCCAAGCAGAGTACTCGTCATGCGGATCTCATTGCCATCGGACGTGGCAAGTGTATTTATGTTGTCTCTCCTCAGGCCGCGATGAACGCCACCTACGGTGTCTCTGGCACTCAACGCACGGTGAACACAGAGAAGTTCTTCAAGGAGCGTGCTTTGAAGATCTCCACTGGCAAAGCTGGAAAGGACTTTGCCTTCAGTGGTGATGACACTGTTATTGCGTCTCTTGACAAGACCGGTCGTTTGCGCTTCTGGGATATTCGGGGTCTGCTAGATAGCGACAGCTTCGCTGAGGGCCCTGTGCCGAATGAGGTGCGGGTTCCTTTGAACACATTCGTGACTGGCTCTCCGGCAGAGAAGTCCTGGCCCACGTCAGTACTCTTCGTTGACAAGCTGCGTCCGTACTCACGAGCAAATGCCCTTCGTTACGTTCTCGTGGGACTCAAGCAAAACCACACCTTGCAGCTCTGGGATATTGGGCTCGGTAAGGCCGTGGGAGAGGTGAATTTCCCTCATGAGAATGAATCCGACGCTATCTGCAGCGTGGCATTCCATGCGTCGTCTGGTATCATTGTAGTTGGACACCCCACTCGCAATTCGATTTATTTCGTGCATCTGTCGGCGCCAAAGTACAACTTGCCTAGCATGTCGCAAGCTGCGTTTATCCAGGCTGTTGGGGACAAGGACAGCGCCTTGCCCAAGCCAGATTCTACTGCATGCCTCAGCGGTATTCGGGAGATTTCACTAGGTGCCAAGGGTCAGCTTAGAAGTCTTGAGCTACTACCAGTGTCAAAGACTGGTGTGGATAAGCGTGCTTCGGAGGAAAGCGATCTGTTTGAATTGTATGTGATGCATTCACGTGGAGTGACTTGTCTTAACATCAAGAGAGATGATTTGGGTTGGACTTCAGATAACAAAGTAATTTCTCCGATCGATGCCCTGGAGGAAGGTTCTATTGAAGTCCGTGACCTTCAATCTTTCCCGCCTTCAATGAGTGAAGAACCTTCAGTGAATGGTGATGCGCCGTCTCCAGTGACACGCAGCTCAAAGGACCAAATCAAGAAAAACGACGTGCTCGAATCATCTGTTCCCATTTCTTCCTCACGCAACCTCTCTTCTTCACGCAACCCCCTCTCCTCCTCGCGCAACCTTTCTCCCACCAAATCTTCTCCCAAGAAAAAATTGGTTGACGAGCAACGTGAATCAGTTGTTCTTCCCAGCAGTTCCGAGAAGGTCGACAAAAAGAAAAAGAAGAAGACCTCTTCTGACGCAATTGCCAAACCCCAAGACCCCACTTCTACTGCTGGCGTTGAACCCCTTCCTCCTTTCGCTTCCCCTGAAGAACTTCAATTACTTCTTAATTCCTCGGTCGCTTTGCGCGACCCCCGCTCTACCGATATGGTTTCTTCCATGTCCAACTCTGATGACCTTGTGAGCCTCCTTGATCGCGTGCGTGAAAATATCACTCGGGACGTGCAATACTCCCTCGCGGGTTCTATCTCCAGCCTCGTCTTGCGCATTGAGGATGAGCGTCACATCTGGGGTGATACCATTCTCGACAAGATCGACGAAGATCGACACCACTGGATTGCCGCCTCTAATGCCAAGCAGGAAAGTCTGCTGCGTCTTGTCTCCGATAAATTGGACCGAGATATTGAAAGCACCTTCCGCCGCATGACCGACGAGACCATGTCGAATCAAGTCATCCCTGCCATCAACTCCGAGATGGAAAAGATCCTGAAGAGCATCCCCCGTGCCATCAAGTCCACCCTCCAAGAATCGGGCTTGATCAACGCCGTCGCGGATGGTATGTTGGAGTGTCTTGGTGGGCCCATCAACAATGAGGTTTCCAAGGCCCTCGACAAGGCTTTCGAGAAAACCTTCGCCCCCTTCAAGAGTGATTACCTCGCCGGCTCTCAGGAGGCCCTCGATAATGCACAGGCCCGGATCGAATTCCTGGAGAACGCCCGAGAGGACGACCGTCTGGCTACGGCAAAGATGCAGGACAAACTCGATAACATGGAGCAAATGATGCGTTCCATGATGACCATGATGAGCCAACAGACTGTTGATGCTCAATCTACCAACATTCCGGCCACCTCGAATGGCACCGCGGCAACCTCGGCCCAGCCTACCGCTGCCCCCCAGGACCCTCGCCTGTCCCACCACCGGCAGACCGCCCCCTCTCCAGCTCCAGCTCAGATGACTCCCAATGTCTCAAGCCTGGCTGAAGAGATCAACGAGATTAGCCGCCTGCTTGCGGCTAATCCCCCTCAATACGAGGAGGCCATTGTTCGGGTAAGTCTCCTACAGCTTTCAAAATATGCCTTGTCTAGTCTCGTCATTTCTAACTCTGTTACAGTGGATCCGCTCTGAGCGCCAGTCTGAGATATTCGACCAGTATCTCTTCCAGATGGAGCCGTCTTTCCTGACTCAGCTCCAGCCGCTCACCAACCTTTCGGTCGGCACGGTCGTGAGCTCCTCCTGGAAGGGGAAGACCATCACCCGCCTGAATTGGCTGAAGCTGGTCCTGAGCTGCGTCAACCTCCAGGTTTGTTCAGCCTTTTATATTATGCTTATCTATATCTACAAGAATTACATCGTGCTAACTCTTCTCTTAAAAGGACGCGGATGTTCGTGGTGTTCTGCCGCCGGTGTTGAACCTGCTGGCCACTCGGTTGGGCGAGGTGTACTCGGCAATCTCGAGTGGGAGCCCCAATTCCCCTGTCCTGCGGGACATCGCCCTGCTGAGTCGGCATGTGCACGACCTGCACCGCCGAGTGGCCGTTTAGGCGGTGGGAGGAGTGTTGCTTGTGTGTGCTGGTTGTATTCTTATGAGTTATATTCTTATGGGTTGTATTCTTATGGGGAGGGCGGGGAGGGTAGGCGCGGTTGTTGGCGCAGGTGGATGTTGTATCCTTATCTTTTGCTGGTCTTGCAGTGTGGCTAAGCATGCCGTAGGAGTGGATGCCTGCCGCATGTTTAGTCACGCTGCAAGACCTGGTTACGTTACCAAGGCCTACTACATGTAGGATATTTTTACGAAAATAGTATTATGATGCTCTTGCCATGTTTTCACTTCTTAATTGAATACTAGAAAAGAAAGTAAGAGAAAGTAAAAACATACGGCTCTTTTCAAACTAAGTATTCTAAATTCCATCATCACTGAGGTCTACTTCAATATTTCGCTATCTTTCATACCACTTTTGCCAACACTTTATTCAATGTGAAACTCACTTCCTTCGTCAATTTCACCTCACTGCCCAGAAGAAGATTTCTTCTGACGCAGTCACCAAATCACAAGACCCCATTCTTTCAATACTTTCACAGTTGAAGCGCGCTCAAAATCAGACGCTCATATACAACTCGTTTCTATATATTTATATTTATTCAACCCAAGGTCAGATTCCCTATTCCTGCAAATATGCCTATCTGCTTCTAACATTTACCAACCTTCCCTCAGGGCACCAAACTACCTTTCGTTCAAAACATGTCAAAATCATTATCTCTCCAGCCGCACAACCTGGTTATGTCAATTTTGATAACCTGCTGAAACACAACCAAACCCAGTTACATTCCAGCACAGAAGTTGACACGAATGTCAACATTCCTCTACAGTGAAAAGGAACATGCGTGGGAAGGGGGACTGTGGAAACATTTTCCCAACTAGAGTCAGATTTACCTCTGAAGACTCATGCGTGGGAAAGGGACTGTGGAAAATTCCCTGGCAAGAGTCGGGGTGGATCAACGTCTTTACACCAACTCTGTCCCGGAGTACCCCCGGACACACCCAGAAGGACTTGCTTACTATTTAAGCACTGTCTGCTCTAGCAAAATGGAGTTAACTGAGGAAGTGAAAAGAAGTCAGGCTCACCAAGTGTGTGCTCCCGGTGAAAGAGGCGATTGGTTCTACCACAAACGTCACGTTGATAGGAACGGAGAAATGGGTCACGCCGGAGGATCCCAGGCTTTTCTTCTTGTGCAGACTACACTTTCTGTTTCGTACAAGCAGAGGTGGGTTCATCCTCACATGGCCGGGAGGTTGGGCACACAAGTGAGTGCCGCTGCCACTACCGGAGTAGCATGTGGCTAACTACTGCTGCGTAGGACAACCTCTGGGCACGTTTAGGGCTCGTCAACTATTCTCTGAGATCTCTGTGAAACGCCATTCTCCTCTGCGCGACATGCCATGCGGAGTTCGACCGTTTTAATGACCCTGCATTCATCTTTGTCCCGAGAGATCTCCAATATCTTCGTGACATCGAACTACAAGACAGAACGCGGTGAGCCAAGGACGCCCTTTCGCCCGCCAAATCCATACAAGCACTATGTATGCCAGCTACAAAGAGCTCTACTTCGGGGAGCTACAGAGACATAGCCTAGTTCCCCACAAATTTACCTTCGGCCGGTCTGTTGACGCTCCTGGGATTTATCATTCGACTACGATACACAGAACCACTCACGACCACTTGATTGGATAATTGATCCTTCAGTATTATCGAAGACAAGGTGCTTGACATGCTACCGGTTGATGTGGAGCCAACGCGAGGCTTGTTGTGGACTCCTGCTTCCAGATGGAGATCATATTTATATACGAAGTTAGTTGCAAACGTCACCGAAGAAATCATAAGCTCCCCCAGCTGCGCCAAACAACAGCCACGGACTGGGATTCGTTCGTCAAAATTATCGATGCGGACGACGAAATTGGTGCTACACCTGATGATACAGACATTCTCCATTGGAAAATGATCTCTATGCCCAGAGACTGCAAGGACACACGTTATGCGTGGGACTCGACGGGGGCAATGAAGATCTCCCGTGTGTCTCGCGGTAAGCCGCCAGTCGCACGGGTGCATGGCGTGCTCTGGCTATATATGATGGGAGGTTACGTGCTACTCGATAGTATGTATATGAAGTCCTCCAATACATGTGCCCTTAGATGACTGAGTGGCATCATGGGGCTACACTTCTTCTTTGTCGACATGATTGACGGAACTCAAACGCTTCCTTACCTCTTCTCTATGGTTTTGGTTGTGTCGTTGCCACCTCGGCACATTTGCTTCCCAAGCATATCCCCTTAGAATCACCAGTCTTTGTGTTGTATCGGCCCCCGGTGTGACCACCTTGGGATTTCCGCTTGCGGTTACTACAATGGTATTGATTCAACCTGTTGTAGCATCTGAACGGCCGCGATGCCGTAAAGCACCGAGCTCATGCTGATTCGACGCTGCCTTGATCACTGTTGACAGATTCTCCAAAAGAACTACATTATCCCATCTCTGTTGATGGATTCTCGAAAAGAGCCATCACTGTTTATATATCCAACAGTGAGTGACCACGCTTACAGGTTTGTGGGACTCCCAGACTCCACCTCTGACAGAGGTTCAGTCTTCGCGGACTAGTTCTTCAAGGCACTTTACTACACCATTCTGAAAATCCACGACGACATGTCAACTTACCACCCTGACACGGATGGGCAGTCGGAGATCCAAACGAAGCCAAGAAGCAGAGGCTTCGCACTAAAATTGATTTCCACGAAGATGGCTGGTTCAAGAATCCGAAAAGAAATAATTGGCAGATTCCCGAACCACCCCATTACATGGAGGCCGGTGATTCGAACAAACAATTCGAAGTCGAACAACGTTCGGATTTCAAGGGCTGGGTGGGGATATCATGATTCATGAGCAACATCCGACGCAACCACGCTTGAGGAAGCTGTTGCGGTGGCTGGAAACCGAATTGATGGATGGCGACGTCGGAATCGTGTCCTTGGCAGGCAATTTCCTGCACAGCATCGCTCTGTTGCAAAATTTCCACGAGCGAATGCCTGCCAAAGTTCGTCCACTGAGGTACCCCGTCTGGCTGAGGAACTTCGAGGATGGCGTCCTGTTGGAACCGCATGAGTGTTGCCGACGCGAGAGACTTCGGTGCGACATTTGCAGAGTTCGAGGCCGAACTCTAGTCGTTGGAGGGGGCAGCTACAGTCAATTGGATCTGGCGATTGGATTGTCAATCAAGTGCTTGGAAAGTGCTTCTACCCTCACATTTTATGTCCGTTCTATAAACACCGACATTCTCGATCCTAGATAGCATACTTAAAAATTACATTTGCAGTGAATGTAGCGAGGCTGGGCTAGCATGTGTTTGAAGGTTCACCATATTAATTGGGGACTTTCAAACTCTGCTTCCTCTTATGCCTGTCCTTGTTTTTCTCTGCTTCGAACCAAACATTGAATTATCGGTATTCGCTTTCTTCTTTTGACAGGTAATGTTGTAGGTGTTTAGAATTTGCATAATTATACGTTTTGTATTCTCCAAGGTAAAATGCTGGAAGCTCGGAAATCTAGTCATTGGAATTGATAGATAATGTCTAGGACCATCAATGAAAAATAGTCACGAACACCATGAAATGCACCTCAACGAGACATATCAGCTCGTAAGCCAAAGCTCGTTCTGCAATGACTGAGCAGTCATTCGATTCTTTGGATCTATCACCATCATGGCCCGAAGAAGCAACAGAAAGTTCTGCTTTTCCTCCCCATCAAGACATTCGATCCATCTGTCAAGGATGGCTGGAGGACATTCAATAGGGTCCCTGATTTGTAAGTCCTCATTAAATAACCTCTGTATAACCTCCGGATTGCCTTCCTTTAGCAGATGAGAAGGAAAGGGACCAAACAGGGCGTCGATTTCCTCAATATGGTGTTTGATCTGATAATCACCACCAGTAACGATAGCTCGACCGGAATACATTCGCACCGTATCGAGGAGCTCAGGAAGCAGAGCACCTAGATTCCAAATATCGACCTCTTTACCCCATGGTGCTTGCAGTAAGACCTCCGGTGCTCGAAGAAGTACTGGTTGTATATTTTCTGAGAGATGGCGTGATTCCCAACTCGCCGTCCCCCAGTCACCAAGGACGACCTGAACCTCAGACATGGCATCTCGGTTCTCAAAATTGAGCTCTCCAAGACTATCATCTGGGTTTTGGAGATGTTCCTCAATAACAGACTCATTTCTGATTTTCATCATGATGTTATCTTGTTTGATATCTGAAATTATAAAGATCTTAGTTATGTATAGTTAGTATATTGAATGTTCTTACCAGTGTGAATAATTCCCAATGAATGAGCATAGTCTAACGCGGCAAGTAATTGCTTTGTTATACGTTTCAAGATAACAGGAGGAATTTTAGCAGCCTCAAAAAAGAGGCAAAAATCTTTCAGACTTTCTGCTGTAGGTTCCAGGACAAGGCATAGGTGGCGGCTGTAGATAAAATGATCAAGAAGACAAGTGATATGCTGGTAGCCAGTATGGTCTGGATTGCCTTCGCTCAGGCGTTTCAAGATCTCTAGCTCGAATGTATCGTTTTGGCCGCTCTCTTCACGAAGAATCTTAATCGCGCTGTAGGATCCATGTCTACTAGGAGAGAAGATCAGAAAGGGACCTTCAAGACCATCTTCACAACTTACCTTCTGTCCCTGGCTAACCAAACGGTCGAGTATTGACCAGATCCAAGTTCTTTGATGATTTCATATCTGTCATTCAAAACCTCTCCGATCGAAACAAAGTGAACGGTGCCCATTGTGATTCAACGTAAGGTCTGAAAAGTAAGGTCTGAAAAGGCAGGCACCTGAGGGTAATTCAAGTGAACGTGGTTAGGAGTTTCATACCGCCTTATCTTAGATATAGTACTGTAGAGAATCAGTGCAAGACTCAACATCAATCGACTAAAAGGTTAGAAAATTAAACCTCGATAAACAACCACCTATTTCAAGGCTGATGATATGTAATTTTATGGAGAAAAAAAAAGAAAGAAAAAAAGAAACAGAAGAGGTCTTGCCCGGGATCGAACCGGGATCGCCAGAATCAGAATCTGGAGTGATGACCATTACACTACAAAACCCGCTCATGGAGAGAAAGGACCGCACAATTGCATCATGAACTCTCCGACTGCTTTAACGTATTTATGGCCCAATTTCTTACATCGCGATGTGATCTGGATACTTTTTGATTGCATCTATATTCATCGGCTCTGGAGCTTAATTAATACTAGTTTCCTTGGTAGAGAGAGCTTTGGACCTTCAAGTTACTAATTTTGAGTCATTACGGAACTACTTCAATGTTGGAAATTATCCAAGTTGAATGAACCTCTTAGGTCTTTAATAATCCATGAAGGTACTAGTAGTATGTATTTAGCACGTATACAGCAACTGCATATCAATAGAGCACTTGAGTGCTCTCGAGTCTCAAGTGCTGAAACCTTGGCAACATTTTGAATCTCACCTCGGAAATACATATCTCCATGGATAGTATCTCACGTCATTCAATTACAAACCAAACATTTGCAACATTTGAACACTCAAACGATACTCAAGTGCTCAAAGATTCATAACATTGAATCAGATTAACGGCAATATTTGAATACAAGTTTGACGGAAACAAACCTTCTTTTGAACATCACCAACTCACAGTCATGGGCCAGCAAGATCAACTTCTCCAGAAATGGTTCCCTCATACCACAGCTCCACTCATCGCCAATGCACCTATGTTCGGATTTGCAGATTATAATCTCGCAGTTGCAGTGACAAAAGCTGGCGGTCTTGGATTTATTGGTGGAGGATTTGACTTCTCCTCAGAGTCAAGCCAGCTCACAAAGCTCAATGATCAGCTGGAAAAGGCTCGTGCAGAACTTGGGGCTACTGCTTCTAAAAACCTACCCATTGGCGTCGGGTTTATTACCTTCAAGCCCGCGGGATTCATTGAGAATGTGATCCCTTTACTTCAGAGTCATCGAGTGGCGGCTATCTGGCTATCCTTCCCCGAATCTGACGCGGATCACCTGCCCCTCATAGAGGGGATTCGCCAGGCTCGGACCAAGAACGACTGGGAAGTCAAAATATTTGTGCAGACAGGAACTGTTCGGGCAGCCTTGAAAGCTGTTAAGCAAGGTGCTGATGCTGTGGTCGTGCAAGGCTCCGATGCTGGAGGGCACCAATGGGCTCAAGGAGCCAGTCTGATCTCACTTTTACCCGAGGTGCGCGATTCGTTTGTCGAAAATGGGGTTGCTTCCCATACGGCGATTTTGGCGGCTGGTGGTATTGCGGATGGCAGGGGCTGTGTGGCTGCACTTGGACTTGGTGAGTTATTGAAACATAGTATGTATAACCACCGAGTAATATGCACCTAACGGTATTTATTTGACAACAGGCGCCGATGGAGTAGTCATGGGTACAAGAGTGAGATTCAAACCTCCCCTCAAAGAGCGCAGGCAGCTTACTTTTTATTTTTTTCTATAATTTTAGTTCATCGCTACAGCAGAATGCCCGGCTCCACCTACTATCAAACAAGCGATTCTATCTGGCAGCGACGGCGCTGCCTCGACCGTCAAGTCCACCAAACACGATGTCTTCCAATCAACAGATGTTTTCCCCCGGCAATATGACGGTAGAGCTGTCATTGGCATTAGCTTCGATGAGTTCAAATCGGGTGCTAGCGACGATGAAATTATCCAGCGGTATAATGATGCCATGAAGAACGGAGAGGACTATCGACGGACCGTGTGGGCGTAAGTTCTCTTGCAAACCAATGGGTTGGGATTTGTGTGCTATCAAAACTGACAATTATTCCCAGTGGCGCAAGCATCGGTGTTATAAAAGAAGAATTGACTGTATCTGAATTAGTCAAGGGTGTTCAGAACGAGGTGAAGTCAGTCATGAACCGACTCATTCAGAGCCTATAGCGATGGTATCGCCATATATACGATTAAGAATATGTTAATTGTTCAAAATAGCCTTGAAAGTAGGAAACACATATTTTGAAGTTGAAATCATCTATCCAGTGTATCCAATGTATTCACGATATGGATCCGTCTCATGAGATTTAGAAAAGTGGAAGTTACCCATCATTCATTGATGGTTCACATACTGAAAATCCCAATCAGGCAAGGTCCCCCCTCCCACGCCTAACCCCCCCCCCCCCCCCCCCCTTCATTCCGATTCCGACTCTGTCCAAGTCCCTCTTAAATTCCCCACGCTTCTCACTTCTCACTGAAACTCGTGTCATTTATACCCGTGCGTGTTCGGGGAATTCGAAATTCACCGCCATATTTTGTCTTCGGCTCCGAAGTTGGGGTCGTGGTCGCTTTTGAGTTATCGGCCGCGTTCGCGTTTCATTCCGCGACATTGGATAACCCATTCGCATTTGCACCAGACTTCAAGCTCTGACAACACGCTTCCGAGCTCCTCCCTCTACCACAAATCAACCTCTCCAACCTTGCGATCACTCCATTTGACCTGTTTCTACGTTGTAGGCTCCATGAAGGGTGCCACACCCTCCCCCAGTCCGGCGCCCGGGTCGAAAGCTTCGCCCGCACCGAAATCCACACCCTCTCCAGCCACAGGGATCAAGCGCAAAAGAGTCCCCGCCGCAAAGTACTATGCTGTCAAGGCAGGTTTCAAACCGGGAATTTACTATGGGTGGCCGGAGTGCTTGGCTCAAATAACAGGGTTCAAGGGAGCTATCTGTGAGAGATCCCTTTCGCTCTGCCGCAAGCTTCATTTCCGGAAGCCGTCGCTTTCTTTATCCTTATATTCTAACTCGCTCTTGTGTTTTAGTTCAATCATTCCTGAGCCAAGAAGATGCCACCGCATTCTTGAACGGTGTCAAGCCTCCGTCCGGCGGTGCTACGGATACAGCCGACAGATATTATGGAATACAGCGAGGTCGCGTTCCTGGTGTGTACACAGACTGGTCGAAGGCACAGGAACAGATCCGAGGGTTCACACGTCCGCGATATCGCAAATTTCCGACACGAGAGGAGGCCGAGGAATTTGTGAGAGAGGGACAGGCACAGCCTCCAGTTGGTTTTGGCAATGATGCAAAGAAACCCACTGGCCCGCATGGCATTATGAGTGAGAACCCCAAAGATGCAGAAGGTGTTGAGTACGCGCCTGGGGAAGGTCCCTTGCCGCCAGATGCGGAGGACGGGTTTGACCCCAATGTGCTGCTGGATTCCACCACTGGGAAAGTGGTCTACAAAACTGCGCCCGAAAAGGCTGCTACCAAGACACAAGCAGCAGGCATACCAGGAATGCTGCGGATATACACGGATGGTAGCTCCTTGCGAAATGGCACACCATTGGCATCAGCTGGGGTTGGAGTTTATTTCGGACCTGGGGATTCAAGGTTTGTCTATCAATTGCTTCTTCGATGGTCATTGGTCATTCTGACTTAGCTTTTTGTCATCCTAGTAGGAACGTGTCGGAGCCACTGAAGGGAAACCGCCAAACAAATCAACGGGCAGAGTTGACAGCGATTCTGCGAGCGATTGATATCGCACCTCGTCACCGAGACGTGACCATTTTTACCGACAGCAAATACTCCATCGACTGTGTCACAGTTTGGTTTGTTAACTGGCGGCGTAATAATTGGATGACAAAGGATAAAAAACCGGTCGAGAATCGGGATCTGGTTGAGTCGATTCTCGTGAAGATCGAGGAGCGTCAAGAACTCAAAGTCAAAACTTTGTTCCAATGGATCAAAGGACATGCCAATGACCCTGGGAATGAGGCCGCTGATCGACTCGCCGTGAACGGAGCCCACGAGGGTGTTAAACGGAAGGCCGAAGCATTGCAAGCTACTCGAGACGTACCCGACGAAGTATTTGATGACGATTTCTAAGATTTTGCATTAATGAGAAATATCCAAGTGGATCAAAGAGTTGGTCATAAAGAACAGAAGAACATTTTGAACCGAAGAGCTGAAGAACGGTCAACAGCAATACTGGTTGGTAACTATACTAGATTATTGTATGTACAACGTAGAGATGACAAGGTTGCTTAGTCCGCTTTTCGACGTTCAATTTTCTCCCCCACATCGTTTTTTTTTTCCTTCCCTTTTTCTCCCCGTCATTCAAGATCTTCTCCACATCGCAAAACTGCAACATCGAAAAAAGCTTTCTTGCATAGGATCCGTATAGATCCTCATTCTGTTCACTGTGGCTCTTGACTGGTCGTTCTTCGTTTTTCCGATGATCGCCTTGTATGACATCAAGCGCATTCAAATTACGATTCGATAACATTTGCTTCTTGTTACTTCAAAAATACCAACAGATCTTAAAATTCCATATTGCCATTCCTCTTTGAATTCAAACGGTGATTAAGACATCGCCAGATTCCAAGATCTCAGATCTGTCAGATCTCAAATCTCAAATCACAAGCCCCAGATCTCCGGATCAACTGTCCGTGAATACCCCCGCGTCATCGGCACATGCAAGATGCCAACTCTCGCTTTGACCAATTTCAACATCATCTGTGCAACTCTTGGCGGATTTGTATCGGTCTTTGGCTTAGTTTCTTATTTATGCAAGGAGCGGTTATATCTCTCGGAAGCATGTAAGATAAGTCCCCTTGCTGCGAGATCTTGCAGTAAGCTAATAACTACCAATAGTGATCTCATTGCTAGCCGGGGTAGCATTTTCCCCCCATGCCGCCAACTTCATCCGACCCGAGGACTATGCATTGCATTCGGTAGAGAATCTCGAAGCGATTACTCTGCAATTTACTCGTCTGGTCCTGGGCGTGCAGCTAGTTCTTGCCGGTGTCCAGCTTCCTAAACGCTACTTGCAGATTGAATGGCGGAGCTTGGCTCTCCTGCTCGGTCCCGGCATGGCGGCCATGTGGATTTGTAGTAGCCTGATCATCTGGGCCATGGTCCCTAATTTCAAGTTCCTACATGCTCTGATTGTGGCCGCGTGTGTGACACCGACAGATCCTGTTCTTTCCAATTCCATTGTCAAGGGAAAGTTTGCAGACAAGCATGTTCCGCGCCCACTGCAGCGGATCATTGTCGCGGAATCCGGAGCCAATGATGGTCTGGGTTACCCATTTCTTTTCTTTGGAATTTATATTCTCAAATATACCGGTATGGGCGGCCAGGGGTATAGTGGTGGAGCTGGTACGGCCATGGGCCTGTGGTTCTATGAGACCTGGGTGTACACTATTGTTTTGAGCATTGTGTATGGGGCTACAGTTGGTTGGATTTCGAGAAAGTTGCTCCACTGGGCCGAAGAGAAGCACTATGTTGATCGGGAGAGTTTCCTGGTTTTTGCTATCGCTCTTGCAGTAAGTCTTAATCCGGAAAAAGTGCGAAGAGACCTTGGGTCTAACTCGCGAATCTACTAGCTCTTTGTGGTCGGAACCTGTGGGCTCATTGGCACCGACGATCTTCTGGCGTGCTTTATTGCAGGGAATGTGTTTACCCAGGAGTAAGTTGCTATGATCCCCAAGTACTGGATGGCCCTGACTGAGATCGACTTAGTGATTGGTTCCGCCTTGAGACCATCGATGACTCTCTCCAGCCTACCATTGACATGCTTCTCAATCTGTCCATGTTCATGTGGTTTGGCGCAGTTGCTCCCTGGGCCTCTTTTCTAAAAAACGACATCATCCCCATCTATCGGCTCATATTTTTGGGGATTTTGATTCTCCTATTTCGACGGATGCCTATCGTTTTTGCAGTGCACAAGTACATCCATCAAATTGAAGATCTTTCCCATGCCGCCTTTGTGGGATTCTTCGGCCCAATTGGCGTAGGAGCCATCTTCTACTTATCGATCTGCCGAGAATTTCTTTTGGAAATCACAGTTGATGGCCAAGTGCGAGAAGATGCACAACAGGTAGCAGATACTGCCACAATTGTGGTGTGGTTCCTTGCCATTTGCAGCATTGTGAGTACATACATATTGATCTATAATATTCCAACAGCTGTATTTTCTAACAACTGCTCTAGATCGTGCATGGGCTATCCGTTCCTGTTGGCAAGGCCGGCTACCATCTTCCACGAACCATTTCATTCGCCATCACCTCGAGCACCGCAGAAAACGAGCATGTGCCTATTGAAATAACTCGGGGCAGTCACAGCACTGCTATGCCTATAGAAAATGACTCTTCGAGCTTTCGAAGCCGTAGACGTCGGCAATACTCCTCGCCAACCCCGCCGTTATTCCGTCTCGGTCGCTCGAAAGTTCCTTCTCCGTCGCCTGGCCCAACACAGCCTGGCGTCGGACAAACTGATGAGCCAGAAAGACCTGTCAATCTGGTTATTCACGAAACTATTCCAAGTGCGAGTGGAACACGCAAGGGTTCATCCACTTCTGCATAGCTATCGCGGTAACCTTGGAGTAACTTGTGGACCCTCTCGATGACAAACTTTCTCGAGCTTGGTTACAGGAAGCTCAAGTCTCCGTCAGCTTCTTGGGGAAAGGGTAACGCTTGTCGTCTTCTGATTATCTCGTTCCGTTTTCCTGTTATAGAACACCTTGGCATTCTTTTGTTAGCTGTTGTCTCTACTAGCCATCTGTGCAAGCAAGCACTCGACACACATTATTGCTCCAGCTTCATTCTGGCGCATTGATGTAGGTAGTTGACATGTTAGGATATGATCTTTTTTTCTTGGCCTAACTTTTGAACCATACCTACTGGTAGTATTTATGACTCGGTCTTTGTCATTTGAAATACTATAGAATGATAGAATAGGATATTTGAATGACTTCATTTCCATTTCTGATTTGCAGGTACCATGTATAACTAACATGTAAAGAGATGAATAATATCAGAAACTGCCAAGTAATAAAAGAGAAAAAGAAAAAGAAAAAAGAAGTCAGCACTGGGGTTCGAACCCAGGCTCCCGAAGGAACTAGATGTCGATGGAATCCTGCTGGAAAGCAGGGCCGTTCAAGTCTAGCACGATAGACCACTCCGTCATACTGACATTAATTTAAAAATATAAAATATTGGATTCATAGCTTTGACCCTCTATAGCCCAGATAGGAGCTCAAAAATACATTATCTGCCATCCGTAGTAATAATACCATCGTCTCACATTCAAATGTTTGGTTCTACAAGGTCAACTGATGCTCCCGTGGTCACTACAGCTATCAGAGACCTTAAAAGTCATGTGATCTAAGCCTAGTACTGTCCTTTCATCTCCCAACGCTCCATGAATCGCACCATTCGATTCCTTCGCCCCTTACGCAACCTTGTATCCAGTCTTTGAGAGAAATTCATTCTGGCCATCGTCCGTCTCCAAAATCAGTGCCTCATTCCTGCGTAGCCTTTCATCTTGCCCCACACGATCGCTGAAATGGATGTGAACTCTTTACAAGAAGATTCCAATGGAGTCCAAGATGTTACTACTGGGTTTCATGTCTCTCGGCTCCCCTACAGCGAAGATACAATTGTCAACATCATCAGTGACATATACCGCATCTATCTCCAACTGAATTATATTTCGGATTGGGAGGTCACCTGGGCGCCACCAGGAGGTCATAATATTAATCAAACGCTATGCGAGGAACTTCATATTGACCCAGTGGTTATCTCGCTGATGAAGCGACTACCATATTTTCGATTCTCGAGGACAGCCAGCGATGTGGAATTCTTCTACCGTTGGTCAAGAGCCTTCACCTATCTTCATGACTATGAGATCCGAGGAGGTCGCGATCCGGATCGATTTGAGATTGACGATGACCCCCGGCCAGACTTCCTTCTTCCCCACGAGATAGCTTTGACTTGTTCAACTGATGAGGGCTGCCATGTAATCCTTGATACAAAAGAAAGTTAGTTTTTTGATTGTTTTTCCTGATTTTCTATGGTGTCCAGGTGCACGGAGGCATGTCATTGATAGTCGTAACTTGCAGACACAATTCGAGTATGGGACTTCCATGACTCACCCCCGGACGATGATTATCGACAGTGCCATCCACACCATGCTCCGACATACCTCACATCCCATCTTCAACGAGTCAGATCACTTGAGATCCTCCCTAACATGACAAGATATCCTTGTGACTTGGTTACGGAAGAAAACGATATTTACGGCGTGGTAGGTAATTTGTATTTCTTCCATATACCCTATACAAAGACATGGTCCGATATTAAGCATTAAACGCCTACAGTACCCTCAAATCAAGAAGATTCTCCAGGAGCAATATGGTTGGCCTTATGACTTCCGTGAGATTGAGTGGAAGACTGTTTCAAAAGTCACCTGGGCGAGAATTAGTCGTCAAGATCCTACTTATGAAACTGACAGAGAAGACGAGTTTGAACCTGAATGTTTGAAGAACGGTGGATACGATGCAAGTTATGACATTTGGCATGGAAAGTAACAACGGCAAGGCAAAATGATCGTGCACATGTGGTTTTAATTACATGAATATTCAACCGGAGACCACAAAGAGGAGTTTTGATTGGATATATCACCCCTTCCAGCTTACCAGTGTTGTCACGTGTGGATTGAGATCTTTAAAACATTGTGTTACACCCGAATGTGGATGCAGTTGCAGGGATTATTGACTGGGAAAGAGCAGGTTTTTTTCCCCAGAAGGAGAAAGAAGTATTCATTACATGTGCCACCAATGGCGTGGATGGGAAGCGCTGTTTGACAGAATTCAATTTCCACTCGAGAAGTGAGTCTACTGATTAAAAGAGTAACCCCATGGAATATTCATCCGCGCCTAGCTTATCTTTAGCCCAACTGCGCCGATTGTTCAAAAGAATATGAACTTGGTGCAATACGCTCTTCATAAACCAAATATTTGTAAATCCGGGTAATTAGTCAGTGTGGTGGAGTGGTCTAACACGCTAGACTTGAATGGCTTTGCTTAACCGCAAAAATCCATCGACATCTAGTTCCTTCGGGAGCCTGGGTTCGAACCCCAGCGCTGACTTTTCTTTTTTTCCCCACCTTTTTTTTTTTTTGGCTTTTACCATCTTTACTTTTTATTTCTTCTCGTATAATTCAATAGTTCTATCCTCCCGCATCGATCAGCTTACCCAATCATAGCTTTGCTGAGTCTTGGTAGTTACGTTCACTGACAACCTACTTTTAATTTCAAACCGTAGATCACAACCCCCAGATGAACATGTCATCACTATGCTTCAGGGCTATGTTTATATTCCAGTCTTACCCTTACAGCTATAATATTGCCAGAATTGCGAAGTGGTGTCCTAAAGCACTTTAAGTAGTGCTGGGTTATGTTTATTTGTAAACGAGAGCCCGGTGCCCTACTATCATCACAATAATAGAAATATCACGGACCTGTAGTTCCTACGTAAATATTTTGCCCGAAAATACGTGTCAAATAGTTCGTTCCCGATATTCCTCACTACTGATCAGCAAAGCAATATGACATCAGCCTGCGACTCTCCTTTGATTGACAAGCAAAGTCCGACTTCGTACACTCACCAAGTAACATACTGTAGATACAACTCGCCGGTCTCTACGAAAACCAAGTCACTGAGATAGAAAAACGCAGCAATATCCCCAAATTTAGTTAACTTTCAAGTGGAATCAGCAAAGCGGCCATTCCTAATGTTCACATGTGCATGATCGGGGCAGCTAAATTTGACCATGTTGCATGTGTCTCCCTCAAGTATCTTCACTCCTTCACTCCTTGGTTATCTATACTGCGTCCAAAAATTGGCCCTGAGCTTGGTTATTTGCCACATATTGATCTTCATAGAGCTGTTTGTATATCGTGGTGTCCTCAGAGGCGAGCTTTGAGTTCCACATAATTTTGTGGCTGGCTGACAACGCCCCACATTGGATCTAATCATTGACTATGGCATGCCGCATAGTTACACATTTGTTGCTGTACAGTCAACTGACACTGATTTGGTCTCCATTTTAAAAGGCCAGGTCGTTTGGATGATTTGGAATCTCATGAACTTGACTCCCAAAAATGTACCGGAGCGCCTTGGTGCTCCAAAGCGGAGGAACAAAGAAGAATTCCGTACTACGTCCAGTAATATGTGGATGTTTAGTTGTCGGCTGGTTTTATACTACTGTATGTATATCGCTCTGGAAGTTGGCTCCCAGGCTACAAGGCGTACATGTGGCAGAAGATAGCTCCTGGGATTACAAATAGCTGCGCCGTTTTCTTTTCAAGACTCTCCCTACGAGGAGCTGAGACATCTCTTCAGCTAGGCCCGATACTTCTCAGTGGGTCTTATCAATTGAACTACCATTCTGCGGGGTCACACATTCCCGGTAATTATATTCTTCCAGAACGAGGGGTTGTACGTCAGAGCTGATTTGAATGTGATCAACATGGCTGAACTGAACATTGAAGATAAATACTCCTCCTGCCACCCCCAGATCACCAACACCTTTCTTTGAAACCACCAGTCGGCCCCTATCATCTCAAAATCCATTTTATTTCTCTTTTCCCCTCTATCCAAGATGAAAGACGCACTTGAATTCCCATTTAAGGCGTCCGACCACGCCTACAGGACCAACTTTGATGGCCTGGAGCTTACCGAATCGCACTTCCAATCCAAGCTTGAGACAGACAAGCAGAACTTTAAGGATGCCCTCAACTACTTTGAATCCCAAGACAGCAGGGCAAGGGATGACTACAAGTCCGAAAAAGACGCAGGATTTGCCACGAGCAGTTTTAAGGAGTGGGTTCCCCAAAATGTAAGTCCGAGCCACCAGTGTAAAGCTAGGAACTTACTCGCAGAAATGCAGTATTGCTAATAAATGACTTATAGGCTCCTCAATGGAGTGCTTCGAGGCAGCAGCTAATCAACTGCGGAGCTTGATTGACCCAGACGGCCCGGATGGCTTTTGGGCAACCATATATGGACAAGCTTAAAAAGGATGAAAAACCTTTTGTCGAAGCTGCTCACCAGGCTGGTCATTTGCCTGACATAGTATAATGTACATATGGTCGTTGCGCTATTGGTTCTCTATCTCAGAACCAGTCTCTCTATAGTCTATGTGTCAGGTCTAAATGATTTCCGTGAAGGATTCTCGATAAATCTCTAGGACCGTAGCTTGTAGTAGTTCGAGATTCCCACCGAAAAAGACAGTAAGAGAACAAGAAGATCGAGTATACTAGGAAGGAGGGCGAGGACGCAATGCGATAGTATTGGGAGCTGCAAAGAAAGAGAAAAAAAGAAGAGAGAGAAGGAAGAACTATCTACCAGTACACAGAGAAATGTGAGAGTACGTAGGTCACAAGACAAGTGACCAAACAAGTACGGAATATATTGATACCTATTCTAAGTGCTAACATTTGAAGTACGTACGCAGTACGTACACTTTAAGGTTGCATATAACTAGGGCTACTACCTGACTAGGACCTAGAGATACCTGGATATTTAGGGTAGACGAGGGTGTCAAGGTTAGATTGATCAGTTTATCCACTTGGGTGTCACCCGTATCCGTATCCGTATATCCTGATCTTATTGGTCAATGTATTAGTGGATTGAGGATATTGAAATTGAAATTTGCAGCTCTGTGTGGCTTCATCGGTTGGCACTAGCTCAATCTACACAAATGTGGGGCCCGTATCCTCCGTATTCACTCCCACTAGTGCTAAATTTGCTAATATTAGTTATTTATACTCTATGCCACGCACGCTGTTGCCGGGTATATCGTGTTCCCGAATGCCGATGAGCATACTAATTATATTCGAGAACGAGATGAGCTTCTCCAGATTTTCCTTTTCATGAAACCAGCCATCCTTTCGACACTCTTTTTGCCAACCGTTTTTCACCCTCTTTACGACACTTGTTACACTCCTTTTCTTTGTCTTTCAAATGTTTTGCTAATTCCTATTTATCAATCTACCTCTTCTGCTTGAAGTTTTCCTGTCTTTCCAATCCAACTCTCACCAATATCGCTATCATGGCTACCAGCTACACACTTTACAACTATACGCCATCAGTAGCGGCGGCCGTCGTCTACATAATTCTTTTCCTCATTGCCACTGGTGGGCATATATTCCTTGCAGCGAAGCACAAGCTCAAGTTCTTGATTGCTTTCATTGTCGGTGGTTTCTTCGAAGCCATCGGTTACATAGCACGTGCGATCAGTGCAAACCAAAATCCAGATTATACGATTCTTCCTTACGCGTTACAATGTCTTTTCATTCTCGTTGCGCCTTCCTTATTCGCGGCATCGATCTACATGATACTTGGACGTATCATTCGTCTAGTTGATGGCGACTCCAACTCTCTTATCCGTGCCACTAGATTGACCAAGATCTTCGTTTGTGGTGATATCCTAGCATTTTTGATTCAAGGTGGCGGTAAGAAAAAAGAACCCTTACTGAAAAAAAGTATCTTTAGGTCTAACACTGTTCTTGACCAGGTGGTGGAATGATATCCAGCGCGAAGACCGCAAGTAGCATGAAACTCGCGGAAAACATCATCGTGGTTGGTTTGGTCGTTCAAATCATCTTTTTCGGCTTCTTTATCATCGTCTCGCTTATTTTCCACAAGCGCATGAAGGCTCAACCAACTACGGCCTCGCTAACCTCTGCGACTCATTGGGAACGATACATGTATGTGCTTTACGCGGCTAGCACGATGATCATGGTTCGTTGCATATACCGAGTAATCGAATATGTCCAAGGATCAACGGGTGCTCTCCAGAGCCACGAGTACTTTGCATACATCTTCGATGCCACATTGATGTTGGTAGTGATGGTCATTTTTATCTGGTTCCACCCTAGTCAGATCTTGGTCACGGAGCACAAAAAAATAGATGAAATGGAGCTTGTATGATTTGTTGATCTGCTGCTCAATATTATTCATCCACTATTTTGTACTTTTATGAAATCATTTCCTATCTAGCATATTGATAGAGATCTCTGATCTCCTGTATTGACCTCATAACTTTGAGTCTTCGACTACTGTAAAGGATCAAGTTCTATATCATGTGACTCCAGATATCTACTTGGACCCTTTGCACGTCATAAGTGGGGAAGTCGACGGGATCCAAGTCAAAGTATCCATGGGAGATCGGTGGAGCAATCAATCCCTTCAACAGAATCATTTGAGATCATATATTCACTAGAGATTGATAAAGCAAAATAAAGTCATGAGAGACCGTACTACCAATAAAGAATAACTGGGGTCAAGCCAAAACTCGAATTGATTTTGCAGTTGTCAAGTCTTTTTGTTTGCCTTGGCTTTGTTGATTAAATAAGCGAAAAGTCCACGTGAAATTGATCACGGGGGCATCTCATTTTGGCGACACTTTACGTGTGGGGACTTGTTTTTTTGCCAACAATTGCAACCTTCTCCTCAAATCTCACTGTTGCACTGTCTTCTACTACGTCGACATTATGTTCGAGGTGGGCTTGAATACATCCCGAACCTTTGGGATACAATCTATTCGCTTCCTGGCTAACTTTGGAAACTCCAGCGTCGAGCCGCGGATCGATATCATCTTCGCATGCACCGTGCCCGCTCTGCAGTACTTACTTCAGATGAAATCGTTGAGGTGCGTGCAGCTCAACGCACCTTCGAGGGTGCCTATGTCCGGACCGCCCTTTCTCAGTTTTCTTTTGCCCTCGTCGTACTCAAGATCTTCACCGCCGAGTTCTACAGCATTGGAGCATTGTTCGCAATTTATGGCACTGGAGTCTTGATAATTGGACTGTTTCGCCGCTCCCAGGGGAACCGCCAGTTCTTTTCGGAGCTCGGGGAAGATGGAATTCATCGTCACAAATTCCGAACGAGTGGAAATGCGGTAGTGGTCTTGACCGCACTGAGTGTTGCGGCATACGTGTGCTTGATCGGCCTGACGCTTACCCTGCAAAACTGATAACGGAGGCATCCGAGGGATGTGGGACCGTTCACTCCATACTCAAATATACCCACCCCACAAATATTCCAGCTATCTGATCTGATCCTTGGGGGGAGTGGGGGGAGCAGCAATGTGTGTTACCCCCTGCGTGACCGCCAAGCGCTAAGGATTCTGTGTCACCGCCGAGATAAGTTATCGCCTGTCGGGGGTTCCGGGGACCGGTAGCGGGACGATCACCGATCATCGTGAGGCGACCGAAGCATGCGGTTGGTCGGAAAGTAAGCTGCAGTACTGAGGCCCGGGAACCGCCAAGAAAGCCGAGTATGCCCTGCGGAAAGGGAGGACTCGCCCGAGCGGAGACGCGCATGTTGCACAAAGCCGCCCAAGGACTTTGACCTGGAGCATCTGGACCATCCACCGGACATGTCGGGTTTGAAATACCACTGCTGGCCTGATTCTTTCAGATCCCAACCAGCCCGCCTTATCTCCCGGATTTAAAGCTGATATCGGCTTGATATCACCGAATGACCGAAAACCCAAAGATTCCATAATGACTTTGGCAGGTGGGACCTTGATTGGGGGAGGATTCTTCAGTTGAAATTCAGTTTCTAGTCATAGTTCGGTCCAGGGGTGGTGCCATGGAGATGGCTCCACTATCATGATTCGGCCTGGAGATGTCTCTGAGCCAAGCATTCTAAGATAAAGGAGACTGCCAAGGTTGTATGTATCATGTCTAGGCGCATATATAGAGAGCCTCAAAAATCCAAACTTTTTCTATTACTGTCCATGTTCTATGATCTACCGTGCATAAATCATAACTGCTGGTTTTTTTCCTCTCTCTTTTAATCTTGGACGCCCCTGACATCATTTTATGAAGTTGAAGCCCCGTTGATCCCCACCTGGAGTGGACTCTCGATGATCATCTTAAAAGCTGCTGGGTGATTTCATTCAACTGATCGTGGTTTGATTCGGTCTTATCCCCCCCCCTAGTTTTCCTTTCACTATCTCCGAAATCCCTTTATACCAAAGGGACCAAAGACCCAAAAAAAAAACAATCTATCCCTGTCCAATATTCAAAGGTAACATAGGCTGAGTGGTCTTTGGGGTCCATTATTACTGAGAGAAATTCAGGTTTATCTTTGAATCTTTGCCCCTCGATCTCCACCGCACACCAAGAGCAGAGAGAGGTGGAAAAATCTCAGCGCAATTACTCCAATTCTCAACCCCTCACATAGTCTTTCCTGGTGCGCGAACATTGCCAAATAGGTGATCGCTCGCACACGAAAGGAAAGTGACGTTTGGCGCCCGGAGTTGAGTCATCCGCTCCCGCCTTATTTTTCTCTCCTCCCACTTCAGTTCTTTCGAGGGTGCTTTCATCAAAATCCTATCCATCAGAGCGAGCCTTGTTACCTTTTAAAGGAAAGGATCCTTTTCCAACATCAAAACCTTGCTTCTCCGGAAAGGCCTCAGGCTCCTTACCGGGGATGGCACAACATTCCGACATTGCACGGTCGGCAATCATGTCGTCCGCCACTTCAGATCCTGCAGTCCTGGGGGATCAGAGGATTATGAACCAACGACCCAACGGCATCAGCTCAACTGGAGCTGGGCTTGGCTCGGGTAAAGAAGGAGCAACTCTGACTCCCCCGAAAACTGTGGTCGGAAGAGCGCTAGGAAATGACTTGCATTCCGATGCCCACAAAGCCTCACAGGCGCCCAAGGGCGGAGTCGGAACTGCCCTGACTGACACTCCGATTTCTACCGCACCCCCGTCCCCACAGATGTAAGTCTTCCCTGCCTCTGAGTCGTCAAATCCCCTGGCCCCAGAACCTTGTGTTTGAGTACTTTAAACCCCTAGCCTATGAGCGAGGACATCGGCTTGATCGACACTGCAGAACTGCCCCGGGTCAAGTCTGTCCCGCTCTGAGGGAAAAAAAGGGAAGCGGCTCTACGGATGCACAAGCTAGCTTGCGCGTGCCCCGGACCCTCCCCCCCAGTGTGGCTGAGCCGCATATGCTTGTCTTGTGATCGTTCGTGCTTTGAATTATGCTTTAGTTTCTGATCTAACCGTTTTCTCCCCTGCAGATCGGGTCGTACACATCCCGGAACCCCGAGTAGCAGAGTCCGAGCTACCACCCTTGATATTCCCGGTTTGACCAAGTCCAAGGTCTCTCCCGATGGCCGAATTGCCTCTCGCGATGTTGGCGCAAAGCTGGTCATCGTCATGGTCGGGCTTCCCGCTCGAGGCAAGAGTTACATCACTAAAAAACTCGCCCGTTACCTGAACTGGCTTCAGCACGACACTCACATCTTCAACGTCGGTGCACGCCGTCGTGTCGCCGCTGGCAAGTCTCCCACCCCGGCCACTCCTCGGGGCTCTGAAAAGGCCCCAAAGAATGTCCACAGGGACCTAATCGACTCGGTGCGCCGCTTGAGTGTCAGCGTCGGAAAGAATAATCAAGGCGAAACTTCGCCACCAGAAGAATCACCTCTTCCGCCGCCAGTTGTTCCAACTAAGATCCTCGTGAACGGCAAGGATTCTGAACCTTCCCACTCAACGAATGGAGGGTCCATGGTGCCACCAATCGACTTGGGCCCCGGCCCGCTCATCCCAGACGAGGCCGTCACCGAATCTTCTGAGCCAATGGACCAGACTGCGAGTTTCTTCGATCCCCAGAATGCAAATGCGGTGAAGCTTCGAGAGCGCGTCGCCCTCGACACCCTTGATGAACTGCTTGACTACATCCTGGATGAAGGTGGCAGTGTTGGTATCCTCGATGCAACTAACAGTACTATGGAGCGTCGCAAGGCTGTCGTTGATCATATTCGCAAACGTGCTGGCCCCGAGTTGAATATTTTGTTCCTTGAAAGCAGCTGTGTGGACCAAACCTTGCTGGAGGCCAACATGCGCCTCAAGCTTTCTGGGCCCGACTACAAGGGCCAAGACCCCGAAAAGGCTCTAGCGGATTTCAAAAAGCGTGTGGCTCTCTATGAGAAGTCTTATATCCCCTTGGGTGAATATGAAGAGAAAATGGGCATGGCTTTCATTCAAATGATCGATGTTGGTCGCAAAGTTGTCGCGCATCAAACCCATGGTTTCCTCTCGTCACAGGTTGTCTACTATCTGCTTAACTTCAACCTCTCCCCACGCCAGATCTGGATCACTCGACACGGAGAGAGCTTGGACGACCAGGCCGGTCGTATTGGTGGAGATTCTGGTCTCAGCGAGAATGGCCAGCGGTACGCTAAGGCCATGGCTCGATTCATCAATGCCCAGCGGGAGACATGGGAACTGTACCAGCGCCAAAAGGACTTGCTCAAGCACTTTCCTCCTCGCCCAGGTGACAGCACTCCCCCTAACCCATCCTATATTCCTCATGATCAGCCGCGCAATTTCTGTGTGTGGTCGTCAATGATGGCGCGGGCTGTTGAAACAGTCGACTACTTCAATGAAGAAGACTATGATGTCAAGCAAATGCGTATGCTTGACGAACTTCATTCGGGAAGAATGGAAGGCATGACTTACAAGGAGATCCAGGAGCAGTTCCCCGAGGAATATGCTCATCGCAAGAAGGATAAGCTCTTCTACCGATACCCCGGACCTGGCGGAGAAGGTTACCTAGACATTATCAACCGTCTTCGGGCTGTCATCGTCGAGGTGGAGCGTACTACTGATCACGTCCTGCTGGTTAGCCATCGGTCCACCGCCCGTGTTCTTCTCTCCTACTTCCAGGGACTTCAACGTGACCAGGTCGCCAACCTGGACGTTGAGATGGGAGTGCTCTACATGTTAGAGCCCAAGCCCTACGGAGTTGACTTCCGGGCTTATCGATACAATCCAAATAGCGATTGGTTTGATCTTGTTCCCAATTACGAATTGAAGCAGGTGAGCGGGCAGGATCGACAGCCAAGCATCTCAGGCTAAAAGCCCTTCTACTGGCACACTTTTCTTTGGGGACCATCCACCCCTCTATGATCATGATTTTGCTATGAACTTGTGACGACCAAATTTCCCGTTCAATATCAAGATGACCCGGATTCGGATGGTGAGAATGAGAGCTCTCAGTCCACAACAACACTAAGTGAATTCTCACTGTTTATTGCTCATCTTTCTCTTGCTTCTGTTCAGGTTACATCCAAGGGGGTTTCTATTCTTCTCCGGCTTTGTCGCGTTGTATTATCTTTTTGAATTTCCAGCCTTTTTTTCTCCATTGCTTTTTTTATGTTTTCACGGGGGACAATACAGGCGTTTCTTACATGCAGGAGTTCAGTGATTCGTTCCATCCCCATGTTGCTCGTGGTCTTTGCATAGATTTGGCGTTAAGCGGAAGCGATGACTCGATGAGCTTACCAAGGCTTCAACCCAACGAGCTTCCTTCGTCAGATACCCCACCACCCTGCATATCGACATTGAGATGACAATGGGATTTCGTTTTTTTTTTGGCTATAGCTTTTCTTGCTTGCCTGGATACGATACTGGGACTTTTTTTTTCAATGAATAAACCCTTTAACCGCATTCAATATTTCAACCTTTGTTGAATGTTGCAATAAATGTATTCACTAGACAGGACTTTCAGGTGTTATCCAATATTATTTACATCTCTACTCATCAAGCTTCACCCGTTCAAACACCTCCAAAAACGTCTCCGGCTCATCAGCCCCTTCAACCAAATACTTCCCTTGCACCGTAAAATGCGGAACCCCCGAAACCAACCTCCTCGACGCCGCAAACGCCTCCGCATCAACCTGCTCTGCCCCAACCCCCGTCTCAAGCAACTTACTCACCTCCCCTCCATCCAACCCCGCCCGAACCGCCGCCTCAACCAAAACCTCCGCATCAGTAATATTCTTCTCCTCCTCAAAGTAAGCCCGGAACAAATTCTCCACTACCCGCGTTTGCAGCCCTCCCACGGCCGTACTAGCAGCAGCAGCAGCAGCAGTAGTAGTGGTAGCACTGTCGTTCTCTGCAGCCGCAGCCGTGGCTTTCGCCTCCTCTTCACCAGCATACCAGATAACCCGATGCGAATCCCGGGTCGATCCCGTATTCCCGCCAAACTTGAACTTGATCCCGTCGCTCTCGCCCGCCGCTGCTAGGCGCGAGAACATGGCCTTGCACCGCTCTTCGCCGAACTTCTCCGCGTACATCTCTTGCTTGTTGCGGCCCGGGTATGGGGGTGAGTGCGGGTTGAGGTAGAACGCGCGCCAGTTTAGTGTGAAGGTGTCGGATGGGTTGCTGGTTTTGTGGATGCTGATTGCGCGCGAGAGGCGCCGGTAGCCGACGTAGCACCACTGTTGTCAGGTTAGTTTGGTGGTCTTGGTCTGATGTATGGGATGTTGGATATAGTAGTCCGCTATACATGTATTGGGGGGTTTGGGGGGGGGGTGTTGATAGTACGTACCGGACAGACGCTGTCGGAGATAATCTGGATCTTGAAATTTGTCATGTTTGTGTGTTTCGAGTGAGATTTTCAATAGGTTTTTTTCGGTTCTGATATCGGTTTTGAGGTATTGAGGGGAACGGCTGAGAGAAGGCGACGTCTATATAGTTTACTGGGATTGCGGGTCTTAAGGGTCAATTTGTCAGCATTGGCCTCTGATCCACTGGTTCCAAAGGTTCGTTATGGATTCAAGTGGTACTTTTTAATGCGGTTAATTATGTCCTTTGTTCAAGGGAAACAAGAGTACTTTTGAAGTGGACGGGATAGGAGATTCTGGGATTTCCCCCTCTTTCCTCGTATTCATGCTTTCTTTCTAGTGCGTCTACGTAAGGAGCCCGGATATTTCAAGTACTTTTGAAGATTGAGATTCAGATCAATCTGTGTTGAAAATGATAATAGATAACAGAGATGTGACACTCGAAATAACAAACCGAAAAACCGAAAAACCGAAAGGTGGAAGATGATGCTTTTCATGCAAACTATCCATGATAAAATACAGCAAAATCCATGAATGCGCTAAGAGAGGATATCCCAACAAAACTGTCGTGTCATGACCAAAGTTCATATACAAGGGGACGGTGGCCTGACAGCCACCGCAAACCCCATCCAGAAAGGGCCAGCTCAGGTTCAGGTCCTTCTCTCACTTTTTTTAGTAAAAAAATGATTTAGAGGATCTGCTGAGCATTGTGGCCACTGTTTACAACCCATGGCAATCGATCAGCCAATAAAGCATTCAAGGCGTCTGACGAGTTGTTGTGAACAGGGACTTGGTGGGAGGGAGCATTGTGGGCTTGATCAAGGACATATTTATACTGTAGAGATCATTAGTAAAGAGTAAAAAAAACTTCAATAACGATTGGGAGGAGGGGAGGATCTTACCTTGAAGGCAAAGTTGAGGACGAGAGCAACAGCAAGACCAAGGCAAACGACAAGAGGACCAAACAAGTTGTCCAAGTCCTTGCCACTTCGTTGGCGGATGAGACGGGAGCGCTTCTCGTACATGTACCAACCCCAAACAGCGGAAAACACGGCAAAGAAAGTATACACAACAGCCAGGGCCTGAGCAATCTTGTTGTGCTTGCCAGCGGCGTTGTACAGACCCAATGACAAACTTGACAGGAGAATACTGATGTGCAACCACTTGATGAAGGTTCGCTGGTTAGCGAGCCACACCTTACTTTCCACACGAACGGGGCCTGTATCCTTAATCCAGACACCAGGGTCCCGCACACCAGGAGGTAAAGTGACCTGCTCCCGTCCAATCCAGTTTGGCTTCGAGATACCACATGACTTCAAGATGGAGGCGAATTGAGACATTTCTTCCTCGGGCTCTGGAACTGCTTCAACAGGGGGCTGCGGTTGCGGTTGCGGTTGCACCTCGCGGCGTTGGGGCTCAATGTGAGAGAGACGGCGGTTTGACGGTCCTTCACTGAAACCAGAAGGTCTACGCAGCACAGTGTGAGGTCTGGGTTCGCTCCATCGACTGAAGGGAGATCCGGCCAGTGCATTGGCACTCGGGCTACCTGCGCCACCAAGGAAACTGCCAACCGCAATGTCGTCCTCGTTGCGCCTCGCCAAACGTTCTTGCTCCTCGTAGAACGCAGTCTCGGGATCACGTCGGATATCATTCTCCAGTTCACTTAGCCAGAAGGGGAAGCTGTTGACATAATCCTCGAACAGTTGAGCGGCACCGTGAACAAACTTGGAAAAGCGAGGGGCGTCCTTGACGAGATGGGAAGCCATGAGATCGTTAATCCACTCCGCCTGGTGTGCCTTACCGCGCAGCTTAATCTCAAGCAAAGCGTGGGGGAAACGAACGATTTCGCCAGTACGAATAGTATTGAACGGGTAAGACATCTCAGCGTCATCAAGGTCAGAGCGGTGCCATTCGGAGGCGTCTCGGCAGGGACGCTCGGGGTCAAGAGAATCTTCACGGATCATGGCAAGGTTGGTGTCCATGGAGATGCGAACGCGGTTATCGCCGGGAATTTGGAAAGCTGTGCGAGTGTAGTTGGCCCGCATCATAGGCTGCAGGTTGTTTTCCTTGATAAAGGACTGCAGCTCTTCCACATCCTTCTTGAGGTTCTCTGCCTCTACAGAGTCTCCGTTGTTCATATCCTCCATCCGATGAACCTTCTTGTCCAGGTGATACTCGCCATCCAAGAACTCCTTGATGTGCTTCTCCTTGAGTTGCACCTTGACTTCCCGACTGCTGTCAGAGTCGGTCACAGTCTTCTTTTCCAGGTAGATAGACGGCTTATCCTTGAGCTGACCGGTCCAGCGCAACCGCAAGGATCCAGCCTCGGGCGCACGGGCAACCTTCTGATTGTAGAGGTCGAATTGAGGGTTATCAAAGTAGAGAGAAGTGATGGTTGGGTCGTCGAGGGTATCCGCGTTTTTCGAGGTTCCCGGGTTGTAGATCAGAACGGGCAAGCGACGGAGAATGTATGTCTTCACCTCCAAAACGTTGTCTGCATGAACCCAGAACTTGTAAGAGGAATAGACATCACGGCCAAAGCCACGCTCGGGTTCCTTGGGTGGTTGGACCAGGTCATCGGTCAGAGTTTCACGAACAAAAGAGTACATGACCGAAAGACGGTGGACCAAAGGCGAGTAGTCTTCTGAGTTGAAGGGCAATTGGGACAGGCGAACCTGCAGCAATGGCTTGACGCGGTACCGAGCTCCACGCTTGCGATCATGCTTCTTGGCTGCCTTGAGGAAGCCAGTGAAGTTGATACGACTGTACTTCTCCAACTCACTGACCTCCTTGGTGATGCCGTCTAGCTCTTGCAAGACCTCTGTCGCCAGTCTGCGCTTTTCTTGTTGCTCGAGGATGACAGCCTCTTGCTCTCCGGACGGAGCCAATGGGCGCAGCTTGGCCTCGCAGGAAGAGGTGCGTTCGCGGAGCTGCTGGGAGGTCTCCGATTGGAAGGCATTGACCTTGTCCAATTGGACATTCAGCAATTCCTGCACGAATGCCTCCTCATCCTGTTCAGTCCAAAGGTTGTCATCGGAGTCGCTGGCGTCCTCGCCAGTGACATCATTCTCGCGCAACAGTCCCTTGAGCTTGTTGTAGTCGATGTACTTTCCCTTCCATGGCGGGTAGACCGTGGTCTTGAGGGTCTTTCCGAACCGCATAATGCCTCAATTGGGAATTGGCACGGACTCGAAAGGTTATCTCAAGTTGGGATGGGTAGTGGCGGGAAGATGATAAAGAGAAGCGGGAAGAGGGGATGAAAAGGCGCAAAAGAACCGATCACCACGTGAAAACCAGTGAGACTAATGCAGCATAAACTTTTTTCCTTGTCTCTCTTCAACTAAATTTTTTTTCTTTCAAGATATGTCCACTCTCCCAAAGCGCATTAGAATGAAAAGAATCTGTTAGCTTAAGCGATTTGAAGAGTCGTCGATAGCTTTAGCACGCACGTGCGCCTCTGTCAGGCTCTCTATGGCTTGCCGCATGCAAATGGAGTAGCCAATCACAGTATAGAAATGGGGGTCTAGCTCCTGGATCAAAGATGATCCGACCGTAGCTTAATTACAGTAATTTTACGTAATTTATATCCACAATTACCGGGTCCAGACTAATCTTTGTTTGGACTAGTATTTATGCTAACTGCCGAGGCCAAGGTTGCGCTCCGAGTCCGGTCACTTTGTTCAGTATTTAGTGTATAGCGTATTGCGTACTCCGTATATACTTCCCACTGATATTGCACCGATGGACGCCTCTTCTCCACAGCCAGGGCTTTCCCATCCCCTGCATAGCATCTTGTCAGAGCTTTACCGACGCCCTTACCCCCACGTCCCCAATCCACCAGGCTGCAAAAAGCGCGCTTCTGTCGCCCTAATTATCCGCGTTCGTCCGACTTATGACTACTGGCCGACTTCGCCCTTCCTTAGTGACCCATCCCTGTCGGTAGAGGAACGATTAAACGAGTTTTTCGCACAGTCATGGGTCCAGCATGGAGATCCAGAGGCACTCTTCATCAAGCGCGCTACCCGAGTCGGCGACCGGTGGACGGGTCATGTCGCGCTGCCCGGCGGGAAACGAGACCCAGAAGATGAAGATGATCGCGCCGCGGCTATCAGAGAAGCATCTGAAGAGATTGGTTTTGACCTGACCACAGATGATTGCATATCCGTGGGGAATCTTCCTGAACGGGTGGTGACGACTAGCTGGGGATCGCAACCGTAGGTGTCCAAGGGTTTGCTGTTGGGCTGCCAGTATCAAAAATGGAGATGTTTAAACTGACATGTATGTCTCTAGACTAATGGTTCTCTGTCCCTTTGTCTTTCTCACCACTCGAAGTGACTCCCCGACTCTCAAATTACAACCTACGGAGGTAGCATCCACGCACTGGATTCCCTTGAAAGCACTCCTATCATCGTCCCTCCGTACCGTGGAATATGTGGATATGTCGCAACGGTTTGCTAAACAAAGTGGATTCTTGGCTCGAATGGCCGTTCGGTCTCTGATGGGTTTCATGCAGTTCTCTGCCGTTAGACTGCTTCCATCGGAGACCCAGCGATGTACTTCAGTTCCTGGATTCGTCCCTGAGGAGACCACACAAACTTCCTTGGTACAAAAAGTAAAATCATGGTGTCTCAGCAATCAAGCAGACTCTGGGGAGACAGATCGCCCGCTTCTGCTTTGGGGCCTCACCCTCGGCATCTTGGCCGATTTTCTGGATATGCTTCCTCCCAATACGGCCGTGCAGATGTGGAAATACCCAACCTTCACAGTACCAGATCTCCGACTCATTGTTAGTATTCTGACCTATAATCTGCGAAAGCACAATATGGAAAAAGTCAAATTGGGCGCTCGCCCTAGTGACACTGCCTTGGATGGTGAAACCGCCGCCCTACCAGTCGCCCCGAAGGCTACCACTCACGACCACAATGAGGTCGGGATCGGTGGTCTGGGGGTCGGACGCTATTATGGGCCTGCTGATAAAGCCGTTGACGGAACTTCCTACGCGGTGGGTATCATGTTACAAGGCTACTATGACCGTTTACGAGTGGCGATTTATGTTTTCCTTGCCTGGCGCATGACGCTGGGATCTGCGGCTGCTTTCACTGCCTGGAGATTTCTTCGCCGACGCTCATAAGTGATATGTACAGCACTTAGGTGTGCCCAGCTATTGCAAATCTACCAAAGTTGTAGATATATACATACTTTAGACATCTAGTAATTTACACTCTATACATAATGGAAATTCAATGTTGAAGATGTTGATATTTGAGAATACGTACCAGAGTTTACATAAAGAACGCCAAGGCGTTGTCGATATAGATTTGGGTTATGTAATCACGGATCCACCGTAAACAATGCCCGCGTTGCTTCTCCTCTTGCCACTATCTTGTACTCAATTGCGCCATGGCTGCCACTCAGAAGCTCTACCCTCGTGGTACTGTCAAAAGAATCGTCAAGGCGCATTCTAATAAGAGCGTGAGCAAGAATGCCGATATTCTGGTATGTTTCAACTCAACTCAACTCGTGGAGAGCAACATGCGACTGGGACAATACTAATACCTTCACTGGTTTACAGATATTTCTAGACTACATGTTGTTTATGCAAGAGTACAGTCCCACCTACCTACCTACCTACCTTGAACCTTCCTCTCGCAAGCCCGACTCGATATGCCATTCAAGCCCGTGCTCGGAAAGAAAGCGCTGACAACTCCCCGCAGATTAATGCGAGAAGCCTCTATCCGATCGCGCAAGTCCGGCGAAAAGAATATCTCAGCAAACTCCATCCGCAAGGTTACCGAGGTGCGTTATTGAATCGATTGAATGCGTTATAAGACGCGCCAGTGGCAGTATTCGAGTTGCATATACTGATAAGCTTGATCGCGTGCAGAAGTCTCTCCGGAAATTCCAAGGATGATTGAATCCGAAGCTGAGGGTTTTCAGCTCTCCTGCTCCCATATCCCTATCTGGATCTCTCTTTTCCTTTTTTTTTCTTCTCTCTTTCAGCATCGGCTGTGGCTGAAGTGGATTGGAAGCCACTAGAAGCTTGTGTTTCTAGTTGTGTTTGTTGCAATGGCGTATACCAGGCGTTTAGATACCCAGAAATATGAAATCTCTTTTTTTTATTGAATGAAATCATGACAGAATGAAATCAAATTGAACGAAATAAATATCATCTGCAGCTTCGAATTTGTAGGAATTGCAAGGGCATCATAGGACGGCGGCGCATCGTAGGCGGTACCGGTTGGGAAAGGTCTTCGGGTGATTCGAAGTTCCACCCGCATCCATTCTCCTCTGTACAACCGCCTCCCCCCATACCTCGCTCTAGACCCGCGTTCTTTGCCTTTCCACCTCTGCGTATTGCTACGCACATTCCCCTCCAATTACCTTTCGCCTATTCTTTTCTATACCGATCGTGCTACCCACCCTCCATCATGGCTCCTGCCTCCAGCGCCAAGAACAAGAAGCATGTGTCTCAAGCTTCGAGCATCTCTAAGACTGAACCCGAGAGCCCCACCGAAGTTAACGACACAGAGCCTGCTTACCTGAAGGACCTCCAGAAGTAGGTACCCAATGACAATGTATTCCTATCACAGAGCTAATGGACTGCATTTAGGAGTCTGCGCAACGTGCTGAAGAAGTTGGTACGTACATTTTGATTGTCTTCTGACTGCTGGAGAGAAAGCATCTAAAAGTCCAAAGCACTGATCGCTAACTTCACTTTGGTCCGATTAGAATGCCACCGCGAAGACCGACGCTATCATCGCTGACCACCCTGGAAAGTCCTTGGATGACCTTGTGGCCGAGAAGATTATCAATGCCGACCAGAAAGCCCAAGCCCTGAAGAAGCCTTCCCTTCAGGCTGGTCTTGCACAGATCGAAGAGCAAATCAGCCACATCAAGAAGGTTGCTGCTGAATACGAGGGGAAGCTTGCCATCCAGCAGAAGGCATTGGATGAACAGAAAGCGACTCTGGACAAGATCCACCAAGAGGAGTTGGCTGCAGTGCGCGCAAATGCCCTGGCCGATGCCGCTGAGACCTCTTCTCGCGCACTGCGTGAAAAGCTACTTTACCTCGCTCAGTTCCTTTCATCTGCGGCCACTATGCGACGCGCTGAAGAGGACTCTCCTGAGGCGAATGCTTTTGAGGCTGTCCTTTACCAGGTGTACGCTGGCAACCAGGATGCGGTCACTTCAATGGTTAAGCTCATTGAAGGCTCCGATGAGCAACTTCAGGGTGTCGAAGGTGGTCTCTTGGACTTGACCTGTTAGTGATTACTTGGATTCCTCTCTCTACTGCCTCTGGGTTTGTCTGCTAATGCCTATATAGACAAGAACGTGAAGGAGGCATCCATCCGCAACGCCATCCCCGAGGATACTCAACCCTCTACCACTGAAACCGCCACTACCTCAGACCCTACTCTTGCCAACGCTGGCTTGACTGAGCTTCAGGATACCTCCGTCAGCGCTGAGGTTGCGGCCCAAGCCGAGACCAACAATTTCAAGGCCGACCAGGTGGCACCCCCAACCCAGACCTCAACTGGTGCTGGAGCGAACGACGCTGCCGACTCGACTTCTCCTTCCTCAGTCATCGCAGAAGGCTGGGTCAAGGTTCCTCGTGACCCCGCAGAGACAGAGAACGGACTCCAAGCTACCCCGGCCAACACCGAGAACGTCAACCCCGAAGACAAAGGTGCTGCCAAGGGCCAAGGCAACCGTGGTCGTCGCCGCGGCCCTCGTCGTGGTCGAGGCGGAAGTGAGAACCACGACGGTGGTGAGAAGCGTGGTGAAGGAGCGGAGAAGCGCAACGGAGGTGAGAAGCGTGCCGAAGGTGGTGAGAAGCGTGAAGGTGGCGAGAAGCGCGGTGGAGGAGAGCGCACTCGTGGTAGCCGACGTGGAAAGCGTGGTGGTCCTCAAGGAGCTCCCGCGGCTGAGGGACAATGATCAAGTGGTGCATATGGACATGTGCTGTTCGCCTTTTTCCACCATCTGATTTCTCAATGGTGTGATGTATGACGAACGCAACGAATTTTCTTTTCTGGGGTGAACTTGCGAAAAGGTCTCTTCATATTAACTTTTTGATTTTGAGCGTGCATATTCCTCGATTCCTGAATGGGGAATTGGGGGAAGGCGGATCAGATAAACCAACCAATATACTATTCCTGGTAATTCTGCCCGATTTCAAGGGCTCCACGTTACTCCACTCTTAACTCCATCACCTCATTTCAAGCTTCTTCACACCTACACTTTCTTTATTTTCCTTTTTTCTTTTCACTCTTTGACTCCCTTCCCCCTAAAAAAGAGAACACATACTAGTACCCATCATGGCCATCGCTGCCGCACAACGTAAACAGGTCCTTAAGGTGTTGATGCTCTCACTGCTGTTAGATCTGGTACGTGTCCGGAGTTTACTTACAACGTCATCCCACCTTTTTGCCCCCCTTCAATTCTAACGCATAAGACCAGATCTCCTTTACATTTATTTTACCACTCTTCCCTTCTCTCTTGTCCTTCTATCGTGCCCAGGACCCGTCGCCAAATTCCCTCCTCAATCGCATCTTCCATTACCTCAATGCTTACAAGAATTCTTTCGCCCGCCCAATCGACTCGCGCTACGATATCGTTCTACTCGGCGGCGCCCTTGGCTCCCTCTTCTCCCTTCTCCAGGCCGTCGTCGCCCCGGTAATAGGTCACCTGTCGGATAAACATGGCCGTCGCCGCACTTTGCTATGGGCCATGATTGGAAACCTCCTCAGCGTCACGCTGTGGGTCTCCGCAACGGATTTCCGCACCTTCTTGGCCAGTCGCGTTGTTGGCGGCCTCAGCGAAGCAAACGTTCAATTGGCCAATGCTATCGTGGCCGATATCACGGATGAAGCGCACCGCGGCGCGTCCATGGCTTTGGTGGGCGCATGCTTCAGCGTCGCTTTTACTTTCGGTCCTTTACTCGGCGCTGGTCTGAGTTCTGTGAAGATTGTCGCCGCTAATCCGTTCATCAGTGCCGCGCTCATGTCGCTTGTGCTTATTGCGCTGGAGACTTTCTACCTTTGGGCCTGTCTGCCTGAGACGCATCCGCGCCTCACTACTCTCAAGCACGAGGCTGAGAAGGAGGCTGAGGATGAGAGTCCCGCCAAGGCTAAGGACGTGAAGAAGGATTCTTCGCCCGCACAAAAACCACACACTAATAACCCCGCTGTTCTCAATGCCATTCATTTCCTTTTCTTGCTCCCCTTTTCTGGGCTGGAGTTCTCTCTTCCATTTTTGACTGCTACGCTCTATGCCGAAACGTCGAATGCTAGCCCTGCCGCTTTGAATGGTCGCCTTCTTTCAATGATGGGCCTGATTGCTTCCCTTCTCCAGGGTACATTGGTTCGTCGCTTGCCGCCGCTGGTCACTGTCCGCGCTGGCGTGGTGGCCTGCGCTTTGTCCTTTTTCTGCCTGGCTCGCATTTCCTCTGTGGCGGGTCTCTATGCTGCTGGTGCTCTGCTGGCTATTACAACCGCCACTGTCGTAACCGGTCTGAATAGCCTGGGTAGCTTCGAGGCGAGGGATGCAAACCGCGGTGCGGTCATGGGTCGTCTTCGTGGCTGGGGCCAGGCAGGGCGAGCCACTGGTCCTATCCTTTTCTGCTCCTTGTTTTGGTGGGCTGGTCGTGAGGCCGCGTACACCGTTGGTGGTGTTGCCATGTGCGTCGTCGCGGTTGGCGTCTTTGGTTTCTTGAAGTCGCCCGTTGTTCATTCCAAGACGGAGTGACGGAGGGTTCTTTTTTCCTTTTCTTCATTTCCCCCTACTCTCTGTGAGAAGAGCTGTATGATGTATTTGAGATCAAAATCACATTCCGCTCGCTGGCCGCGCGGGATAATGTCTGTTGTATGCTATTTTTGGTTATGGGGGTGCCGGGTTTGGGGTGCATGTTGATCTACGAGGGATTTGGTTTCAAAATCCTTGAAATATTTCTGGTATTTATTGGTGGTCGATATATCTAAGGATTTTTCACATAGAGAAGAAATTGAGTGGTGTTTACCACAATCTGCATATTGAACATGGGGTATATAGTACAAAGATAGAAGTAGGTTAAGAGTGGTGATATCGGCAACAAGTGATCTCGAAAGGACCGGCCGGAGAAATCAGAAATATCAATCAAAATGTGATGGGCACGCTTTCAGCCAATATGAAGAAACTGTACCCTGTCATCAGGTTCGGATATACCGAGTATCATTCGGTATACCATAGTCCTCGCAAGACTCCATGATTAGGCCCGGATTTGGCGCTGGATCTAGTGATCCACGCGCCTTGCCAATCAGCCAGTCAGTCAAAGTCACAAATTTGGCAGTGCGATCCCATCCATCTGCCTCATCGGCATGTTCAATTGTATGCGTTAGAATACGCCCTGCCTCGTCAAACGAGAAAATGAAAAGGCCAGTGAACTGCTCTTCTTTTGAGAGCTTAAATATCGGTTCATCGCCGCCGAGAAGGACGCTTAGTCCTTTATTTGTGCTGTTCTTGGCCGATGATGATGATGCGCCACTATGGGGTTGCGGGGATTGTGAAGTGGTTCCTGCGCCGGCACCGGGTGCTTGTGACGGATTTGAATTATTCGCTCGCCTTTCAGAGGACGTATCACTCCTTGGCTCGTGGAAAGGCCGGCTATCCGTTCGTGGTTCTGTCTTCCATCGTACAACCAGTCGTTCATCGCCGCAATCGTGGTTCTCTGCGTGCTCGGGATCAAGAACTGTACCTGCGCGTACGATGCGCTCACTGAGGATTTGCAGCTTGACATTGCCCACTAGCGGGACACTACTCCATGCTACTGGAACTGTCCACAGTGCAGCGCGATATAGAGTGCGGCCTTTGACGGTGGGGAGATGTGGGTGTGTCGATGGGAAGAGGTGGAGATTGACGCTTGGCGCGAGAATTCCCGCAGGAAGGGTATTGTAGAGGAGTGTAGGCAGGAGAGGAGAAAGTGTTCGTAGAGCTATATGAGTGTCATGTTAGAAAAAAGGTCTCGATCTTGTTAAAATTGTAGGGGAACATATTGGTTGTTTGAACTCACTCTTTCCGAGCTTCAGTACCCGCTCATCTGGTGGTTTGTGGTCACCTTTTTGTGGGCCTGTTTCTAGCCCGTTGAATTCTCGGTGTATTCTCACAGGAGAGAAGTATGTTGTGGGGAAAGGTCCGTTCAAGTGTGGAGGTAGCCAGGGCTCGTTCAAGATGCCATGACGCGCTTGGGCGAGCCGGCATCGTGGTGAGGATGCAAAGCTACGGCCCGCCGTGCTCAAGGTTGGCGCTTGTAAGCGCAGTGAGGGCGAGGCCAGCTTTGGCATTTTACCTTTGGATTGTCATGACAACTAAGAGTGAAAGTAGGAAAGTTGGAAAGTTGGAAGTTCGATTGCGGAGTTGAGGTTCCGCTTTTCTGCTTGGAGGTTGCGAGCCAATCGGAATGAGCCAGTATACAATGTGATTGCACTTCTATACTACAGTCTACTAGTAGTAAGTACTAACCCCACGAGTAAGCATTGTAATCCTACAAGTGACGCTCTTATAGTTCAAGTAGATAAAACATTTGATTATCTTTCATTCTGATCTTTAAAGTATGTATTCAAGTTTAGGCCAATTCATCATCATCATCCATGCCCATCACTCGTCGCTCAGCTAACTCACGGATCTTGTCCTCCAATACACCACGCTCATAGCGACTGGCCACTTTGGTTGCCGCCTCAAGCATCTTACCATTACGGTCGTTCATCATGGTTACTAACTCAAGTGCCTTCATACCGCGCTCTTCGCCCTCTCTGCATTCGATGGCCAGCATCTGCAGCAAGATCTTGTCAATCTCGACTTCCTTACGCACTAGCTCAGTACGTTGACTGGCTGTCGCATTGGTTGAATCTATCAGATCCTGGTAGAGCGACAGAAGAACGTTGCCACGCACGAAGGCCTCTTCAAACTTGATAGTGGTACGCTCCGACGCTCCTTCTTCAGATTCATTGGCCGATCTGACGGCTTGACTGGAGATGGGGACTTGGAATTCAAACTCGCTGAGCAATGGACGCGGGAAGTATGGATTCTTGTCCCCACCCTTGAGGATGATGCAATGGAACTTGTCCTGGGCCGCAGCAACCGGCCAGTAAGTCTCTTCCTTGCGACCCTTGGCCAATCGGATGAGTTGCTTAGTGTCCAATAGAGGGACCCATCGGGCCTGACCCGGTGTGCGCCAATGTTGCAACACCAGGAGAACACCGGTAGTATCGTAGATGCATGGGTCCTACAAGACAGTCAGTTTTGTTGTTGAGATTATAGGCTTGATTGACATACCCCATTGTCGGAAAAGAAAACACTCTGAAGCCTAGCCTCGGATGGAAGAGCAACGACATCTTCATTCTGGCAAATTTCATCGCGTTTGACATTCTCAATGGTGTATCGCAATGATGTGAATCGACCATCAGGGCCCACCGGGCCGTTACCAATAGTCATGATATAGTCTCTCCATGCAGCGCATGTTACGGCTTCACTCTTTTGTCGGTATACTCGATAGGGAGTTCCAAAGAGAGTATACACACGTACGTAGTCTTTTGTCGTGACAGCAACAATATAAGAATCGCTCAGTGCCAAAGCTAAGTATCGTTAGCAACGAGAATGACCCCTAGTTTCTCTTTCATCCATACCTCGCACTTTCTCTCCTTCGGGCAATTCGGTTCGCCAATCGGCTCTGGTGGTCCATGTCTCATGAGGTCGGTAGAAGATAGTAGCAGGGCCATCTGCAGGGCTGTTTGCAAAAAGAGTTCCGTTCTCGTCTGTGGAATTGACTTATTAGTACAAGAATTTTTTTTCCAGTCGCTGTTATACACTCACTCAGACACGCTTTGTCATATTGGTAGGGGTCTGTAAAGTGGAAATCTCGATGAAGCTCTCGGTCATAAAACTCCACTGTTACCGTGTGGTGTGTCTCTTGGTCTACAGTCCACACAGCACCGGTCAAATTCAGGCCTAAGACGATTAGTATATAAGGCCATCTATAAGAAGCCAAAAGAAAATCTTCAGCTTACAGAGATATCTTCTGCTTCCTGCCCATGGTGTGCTACCGGGCTGGATAGGAGGGTGAGATTTTGGTTTCGCAATGCCCGATTGGATACGTTTGCCGAGGGGTCCATCTAGGTCATCCAAATGGTCACCATTTCGCTTTCCATACTCATTCAGATCTTCCAAATATCCTGCTCCGTCATCATCTTCAACGAAATTATCTTCCATATCCATATCGTCGCCTAGAATATCATCCAGCTCATCTGGAGGAGCTCTGAGAGCTGCCCGTTTGATTGCCTCTCTAGACCGGTCTGTCAATGTCTGCTGCACATTGTTGGAAATATCATTCAATGGACCGGGGTAAATAGGGGCAGCCTGGAGTGACTTCTGGAGATGGGCCTCGTAAGCCTTTGGGACAAATTTATCCCAAATGAACAACTCTCCATCGGAGGTTGTGAATGAAGCTGAGTTATTGTTTGGGTGCCAGGCGAGATTGATGACATTTTGAAAGTCGAATCTGTGTAGAATGTTTTGAGTGCGGGATTCCCAAAGCACAACTTTGCCATCAGCTCCAGCCGAGAGTAGGAGTGCACCATTGGGTGACCAGCTAAGTGCTGTGATGTCGCCCGTATGTCCGGTTTTAAAGCTCTTTTCTTTCTTCCACTCGGAAATTGAATAGACGGCAATGTCCCGAGTGCCCTCTGCCACAGCAAATGCGGTGCCGTCCGGGTGCCAGACGGCTCTAGATGTTGCCTCTGCATCGGGTTCGAGTTTCCGAATGACCCCATCGAGTTTGCGGACCAGCTCTGGCTCGTCCTCCGTGAGTGAGTAGACAGATAGGATGCCATCTATGGCTGACACAGTCACAAAGCGGCCATTGGGATCAAATGTGACGTGTTTCGAGCTTGTCAGTTGGTCGCGGAGGTATCTAGTTTCGGTCTGGTTGTCGATTTTGACAAGTTTCACAGTGAGCTCACTAAATGCATCTTTTAGTAATCATGATATCGCTAACGGCTTTTGAGCTTGGGTTTTCACTCACTCGCTTGCTACTGCGGCCCATTGGCCATCATGGGACACTGTCACGTCTCTCACGGGTAACGCGCATCGCACCAGTTGAGTCCCCATTCTGCCCGATGACGTATCAAACTGCCAGACCTGGCCATCCTCAGTGCCCACAATGAAGGAATCGTTCTGTCATGGCTCATGTTAGTTCCCATGTCCCATGGCTTGGATCCCCAGCCCGCATACCGTTGCGCCAATTCCAACAAATCCGTCCAGTAGGCCATCGTCCAAGGTCTTGGGCTCGCCATCATCGCCGATTGTGTAGATGCGAATTGCCGAATTCGAGCCAACAGTAATCACTCGTTTTCCATCCGGTGTGTAAGCCAGGGTTGTCACACCCGGAGTGTCTAGGAGGCAAATCGCATGTTAGCCACGGTATCTGTCAAAGGATCAGCCTGTAACTTACGGGCTGGCCGGCCCCGAGGGCGTGTAGGGTCAAAACTCATGGAGGGTCTTCTGTCGCTAAAAAGCGCAAAAAGTCAATGATCACAATGAAAAGATCCAAGGTATCGCTCCCTTTGCAGTGTTTCCAGGTGATCGGCGATAACGGGGAACGCGTCCCGCGTCCCGCGTCGCGCGTCAGATTTAGCCCAATTTGGAAGCATAGGGCTTAGGGTAAGGGTCGAAGTATAGGAGATTCTATCTGCAATGAATAATATTCGCAAAGTTGCTAGGCTTAAGATCTGGGTAGAATACCAGCCGGCTTTCATTAATTCATCTCAAAAGAACAAGTGTATGACCTGTCTATTGTGAATTCATCACCATTGGATTGTTTAATATGGGGTTGGTTTGTCAGAACTACTATACTAGTACTACTCCCCAGATGCACCCCCGGCAGTAAGGAAATCAAAGTCAGTGCCCTCGTGCGCTTGGTTCACAGATCGCTCGTATAATCCGCGGTATCCTCGTCTCTGTTTTCTCACTTGAACCGGCCCCGCCTCCCCCTCGAGTCTTTGCTTTCGTTGCAAGATACGAGTCTGCAGCATGTCATCGGGTATTTCAACATGAAGTCTGCGACTTTCGAGATCGCAAATAATCAGGTCGCCCGTCTCTATCACCCCAAATGGTGAGCTTGGAATGGCCGACTCAGGTGAGATATGGAGAACAATGGTTCCGCCGGCCGTCCCAGACATACGGCCATCGGACAGTCTCAGCATATCTTTTACTCCAGCCTCCGCCAATTTCTTAGGAATAGGAATCAATCCTGCTTCTGGCATTCCGGGATTCCCGATTGGTCCAATACCTTTGAGAACTAGCACGCTATCTTTCGTGACAGGCAAATCTGGATCATCGATGCGCTGGGCTAAGTCGGCAGAGTTTTCAAATACCACAGCAGGCCCAGTATGAGAGAGCAAAGATCGATCTTTCGAAGCAGACGCTTTGATGACAGCCCCATTCGGTGCGAGATTGCCTTGAAGGACTGCGAGAGACGATGACGGGTATAGAGGGTTCGACAGTGGCCTAATAATCTCCTGTGGAAAGGAGACTCGCTTGGACTGAGCTGCATCTAGAACTTCTCCTACAGTCTGCCCGGTAATTGTCAAAGCAGAAAGATGAAGTAATGGTCGAAGGACTTGTAACAGTGCGGCCATACCTCCGGCGTTGTGAAAATCGTTCATGTAATTGTCACCACTGGGCTTCAAATCGATAAGAAGAGGAGTCTTCTGACCGATTTCCTCGATTGTCTGCAGTGTAATTACTCCTTGAATTTCGGGATGCCGGTTCGCAATCGCTAATAGATGAACAACTGCATTGGTGGACCCTCCAATTGCCTGAAGGACCGTGATGGCATTCAAGAAGGACTCCTTTGTCAAAATATCTTGTGGCTTTCTTCCTGACTTGGCAATAGCCACTGCATTCGCACCGGTTTCTTCGGCAATCCGTAAGCGTGCAGACGATACAGCTGGGGCAGAGGCTCCACGAAGCGGCATCATTCCCAATGCAGCAGTAATACATGCCATTGTACTGGCGGTTCCCATGACACCACAAGTTCCGATCTTTTTATCATAAGACTCAGTTAGGCAAGGGATCTTATTTGGAGAATAGGGGAAAACATACCGTTGGCGCAAGCTCTTCATTTACAGCAGATATTTCTTCCACGTCTATCTCACCTGCACGAAATGCCGCCCAGTTATTGCGACAGTCCGTGCATGCGCCAATTCTCTTGCCACGATGGCTACCTGGTAGCATAGGACCAGTGATTAGGGGAAGAATTGGCTTGTTGGCGGAGATTCCACCCATCAATTGAGCTGGAACAGTCTTGTCGCAGCCTGTTAAAAGCGTTAGAACAAGCAATATGGTACCATAAGCATCCAATTGGATGATATAGAATCTCACCTCCTATCATGATACATGCGTCTAATGGTTGAGCACGAATCATTTCCTCGGTGTCCATGCTCATCAAATTCCGTAAAAACATACTCGTGGGGTGAGAGAATGATTCATGGACACTGATTGTGGGAAACTCCACTGCCAAACCGCCATTGAGATGAATACCGCGCTTGGCGGCCTCGATGAGCTGCGGGACATTGGCATGGCAAGGATTGAAGCCTGAAAAGGTATTGATAATTCCCACTATAGGACGTGAAAGAGCATCTTCGGAGTATCCAAGAGATTTAATGAAGACCTTGCGGAGAAAAAGAGAGAAATGAGCATCTCCGTAGGAAGTGAGACCCTGACGCAGGCCCGAGGTAGATGTGATTGGCGTGTTGAGGTCGTAATCCTGGTTGGGCCCAGGCTCCGAGGTATGCATAATGTCGTATATAGTAATATCAAGATAGCTTCTGGATTCCAATGAAGGGTACTTATTAAACAGAAGCAATAATATTTCACGACATCACCAATTGATTGTTTATTCCTATCTTTTAAGTGGATGGTGTCATCGGGACAACTCCGAGCGGATATTATTCCGGACCCCCGCGTTTCAAATGATGCCGCCACTTTCTATTATGGATTAGTTATGTATGTATGGGGTATACATAACGTTGAATTGATCGACCCATGTGGGAAGAATGCGACTGAATGGATTTAGCCTGTACTGTCTCTTTTTAATATACGCGCTAAAGAAGATATCATATTCAATACCGGGAGAGAGCTCGTAACTATGAAATGACTATTGTACATACGCAAAAAAAAAACAAAAAAACATCTCAGTGCTTATTTCTCACTCTGCAGCATCTTTTGCAATATGGCACTCTCTTTCTCATACTGGAGAATCTTTGACTGCGAGCCATGCACCTTGGTCAGAAGCCACTGAATTCGAGATGTCAATTCCCACGGATATTTCGGCAGTGACCCGAGCAGCTGAAGTTCTTCCTCATACTTGGCGATACTCTTGTTCTCACTGCTGATCAGCTCGGCGAGAATAAGGAGATCTAGACGCCCTTCCAAAGTTTTATTCTCGATCAACCGCTGGAACGCAGCCTTGTACACGGGCTTTCCGGGTTTGATCCAGCGAGGGAAGCCCTTGACAGTTCCAACAGAGATGAGTTCTGCTTGTTCGAGTGCTCGGAGAGTGGCTTCACCACCACTTCCCTTGAATAAATCATTGAATAGAACTTTGTTGTAAAGAAGCTGACCAGTCTTAGCCTGTCCAAGAGCTTTGATAACATGCCATGCTTGCTCAGTTGTCCATTGCGGAGATGCAGAATCTGTCCCCAGAATGAAAATCTTCATGATTTCGGAAGCAGATTGCTCAATAATTCGGTTAACCGCAGCTATTAGATCAGATTAATATGGTATAGAAAATGATCATAGAACGTAGACTCTGCAAACCTTCAGGTGTTTCTCCTGCTTCGATCCGATTTGCCATGAACTCAAGATCGGTGACTCGGCCTCCGAGAATCTGAATACACTCATCCAGACCGTGAAGCTTCTTTTTTGGCTCCTTGGACGTTTCCCCATCGCCAACTGTCCCGGATTCCAAATGGTTTAGCACAAAGCGGCGACCCACATCCAGGGAGCAGTCGCCCAAACCAATTGTCCGGAAAACCTGATTCGGCAATGCTTTGCTCAGGGGTTTGGAAAAGGAGGAGTCCGTAGTTAAAAAGATAACATGTGCAATGTTGCCAGAGGTCAACCCAGCCGCCCATTCTGTAAGTTTGTCGAGCACGACACTATTCTCGGAATCATACACGAAATTGTCGATAATCACAACTGGCCGTTTGTCGGGATGCGCTTCAAGATATTCGTCGTCGTTGAGATTGGAATCTTTGTCTTCCTTTCGACGACCATCGAGTGCGACTCGTTTCATGGCCTCTGCTGTACTTTGCCAGATCTTACTGAGTTGTGCATCCAAAGTCTCAGAAAAGCCGGCCTTAGTTCCAATCATTCCTTGCGCAGCTAGATCAATCAAGCTGCTGATACTGTTCATCCAGGAGAAAATTGGTCGATAACCAACCTGCGCTGCCGCCCGGGAGATCTTGGCTGTGTCACCTCGAGCATCTTGTATTTGCTTACAGTCAATAATCACTTTGTAGTGGTGATTCTTCAAGGCTTGTTCGAGAACTAGTTCCCTCTTGCCTGAGCCTCTGGGGCCATGAATAACAATGAATGTTTCCGCGGTTTCCGTTAACCATGCTTGGAGCTGGGATATATCGTTCTGTCGATCTTCCCAAATAGCCGTTAGGCCCCGGGGATCAGCCTTACGTTGCCCAAAGTAGATTTTATTGGCTTTGCTGGCCTGCTTCCGAACCCACTGCACCACGGCGTTGTCTTCAGTGTGAAGCGTGGCCTTGATCTTGACTTTGATGAAGAATGTCCGAATAGGGTCGAAGATAATAACCGTGATTGCAGCCACCAGAGCTGCAATAACAGGAAACATGATCCGTGGGTGACTCAATATCCAATCTTTGATCATAGACAACCTAATCTTGCGCTCATAGCTGATCTTGAACCTGGTACCGGATTTCCCTCCTCCATCTTCTTCAGACGCCTCATACCCATGCATGCAGTTTCGCGCCAAGACTGAAAATCGAGGGCGTTGAAAGCGCAGAATGGCGTACCTGGGCTCAACCTTGGAGTCCGATGGCTGGTGCTGTATCTCCAGAATCTTTCCAAAGGGTCGGAAGAGAGAATATATGGCCTCTTGGGTCAGCTCTGCAGGGGGCCCTTCAGTAGAGGCCGGTAAATATTCAACTTTCAGGCTTTGACTAGGGATCCGATATAGATCTTCAATCCATGGTCTTCCACGAACCACGTCAGCATCTGCTGTCTGAAATGGATTAAACCATGGCCTGATAGGGTTGTTTCGGAGGTGTTCCTTGATCGCAGTGCTGATAGTCTCATCTGTGGCGCCGGGCTTCCGTTCAAATTTGACGAATGCACCGCCTTCCTTGTACCGTGGGATCACCTCTTTGATTACAATATTCAGGTTTTCGGGCAAAGCACGCTCGGCAATATGAGAGGGATCGGATGCGGCCATATTGGGATTGCCGACGCGCTTCAAAAGTCCCTCAAGAGGCTGTACATGACTGAGAGGACCCCGCATCAACCATTGAAGCCGATGAGGAAAGATATCTATAGCTACTTTTAGCAAGATGTCGGCTTCCTTTTTATGAAACTTTGCTGCTTACTATTGATGTAAATAATTCCCTCGTTCTCATTCAGCTTGATATGCCCCGACCGAATCGCCGATATAGACCGTGCATGAGCTGGAGAGCGCAGTAAAGCCGGTCTCCAAATATGAGAGATGGGGTGGGGAGGCATCCTCCGAGCCCCAGCTGCGGGAGGCAGTTTTGCATACAATGCAGGTCTCATATTCACAGCATCATAAAACAGAAAGTGGAAAATAGGAGGCAGGCGAAGGTGAAAATTGCAGAATCAGGGTGCGATCGATCAATGCCACGAATGATGTCAGTCAGCGCTTATCACTTTATCGAGATGCAAGTTAGCTATCTAATCATCACGTGATAAAACCGAACATCGCCAGAAAACCGCGTGTACGCATTATCGACGCCAATTGATTCTAGCATCTCGACAGAAGCCAATTATTTCAAATCTATTCGCAAAAATGGGATGGCTGTGGAGCTCTACCCCTCCAAGGGACACTTCAAGCGACTCAAAGCCCCTAGCGGCACCGCAATCCACAACTCAAAATGCACCACCCAAGACGTTGACACCAGACGAACAAGCCGATCTGGAATTCAACCTGCTTCTGGCCGATCTCCGAAAAGCTGAAAATGGACCGAGCAATGATTCACAATCTTCCACGTTATCATCGAGTGGCGCACAATCCCCCGACCAACCTATTTCATCCATCGCTCCCGAATCCCTCTACCAAGACACTATGTCCTGTCGCACAGCCTTCGACTACGCCTTCTTTTGCCAGTCATTTGGTGGACAATTTGTGAATGTGTATCGATATGGAGAGCTGCGATCTTGCAGTGAACACTGGGATAACTTCTGGCTGTGCATGAGGACCCGAGGCTGGTCAGACGAAATGCGCAGAAAGACGATTCGAGACCACAATCGGAAAAAGGCTATCAAGTACAAGACGGGCCCTAGTAGTGAGGATGTGTGGGATGTGAGACTTGAGCCTGCGAAGGAGTCCTTCCAGGGTGATTTCGCTGCTTTAGAGCGGGAGATGAAAGCTGAAGAGGAGGCTCAACAGAAAGCGGCAGCATGATACCCCCGGACTTGTTCTCTTTGGGTTGTTGAATATTGCATTTGTATTATAAAGTGTAAATATGTATCCTATACCTGGCACAATCTCTACTATAATTTATGACCCGAAAGATTTTCCTTGTCTCTACTAAGGATCTACTACATGTAGTAGGGGCATACCTAGTAGGTATGAGTCCTGGAGTTTCCAGATATGTGTTGACTAGTAGGTTTGAATACCAACCAAGTTGACCGCTTCAATACGTTGACATGTGTCCTCAAATTGCCTTGGGAATTTGGGAGTGAATGTAAAAATAGGTAGCAAAAGTTAAAGGGATAAACATTTAAATGTTTGAACTTTGATTGTACTACCAATCAATCTCATTTAGAATAAGGTAGCCGCAAGTATAAGTAGAAGATAAGCCATTAATTGCAAAAACGCTGTACATGTTTGGTAATAATAGAAATTCGCCTAATAGCAGAAGTTGAACTCAGGTGGATATCCTCGTCTAGAACATAAAATATCAAATTCCACTTTTGGAAACTTTTCCACGCCAGATGCAACATTCATCATCGTCCGTCATACTCATAAACAAATCCAGGGTATGTGAGCCTGTAAATTATGCAAGGACCTGAGTCACCGCCGGCTGAGGGACAGAGTCAATGGCAGGCCGACGGACAATACCACCGGTAGCAGGGAGGTGAGAGCTAACTCCACTCAGGAAAGCGTCAACTTCACGTGCACACTGGCGACCTTCGTTGATACCCCTAAAGTCATCAAATTAGTAAGAGAAAGATAGTTAAGGTAATATGGATGAAGTTAAACTTACCAGACGATCAAAGATTGTCCACGGCGACAGTCACCAGCGGCGTAGACACCGGGGAGATTGGTCGAGTAGTGACCAGGAGGGGTCTTGACGTTCTTGCGCTGATCACGAGTGATATCGTCGCCGAGAAGACGGTCTTCGGGTCCCAAGAAACCCATAGACAGAAGGACGAGGTCTGCGGGGAAGAATTGATCGCTACCCTCCACAGTCTTCATGTCCCAGCCACCAGTGGCACTCTTGGTCCACTCCACACGAACGGTGTTGATACCCCGGACGCGACCACTGCCATCGTCGACAAACTCCGTGGACATCACACAGTACTCGCGAGGGTCCTTACCCATGTGGGTCTTGACCTCCGAGTGGCCGTAATCAATACGGTAGATACGGGGCCACTGAGGCCATGGGTTGTCATTGGCACGCTCTGGCGGAGGTTGAGGCAGTAGCTCAAAGTTAGTGACGGACTTGGCACCGTGGCGGACTGAGGTACCAATGCAGTCATTACCGGTATCACCTCCACCGATAACAACGACGTGCTTGTCCTTGGCAGAGATGTACTCGCCGTCAGCAAGGCCGGAGTCTAGAAGGGACTTGGTGTTCTTGTGCAAGAACTGCATGGCAAAGTGCACTCCCTCAAGCTCGCGCCCGGCGACCTTAAGGTCACGGGCAACTGTAGCACCAGTTGCAATGATAACAGCGTCATTGGTGGCACGGAGAGACTGGAGGGTAACCTCACTATCGGGGCCAACAGCGGTACCAGCCACAAACTTGACCCCCTCGGCAGCCATGAAATCAACACGGCGCTGAACAACCTTCTTGTCAAGCTTCATGTTGGGGATACCATACATGAGAAGACCACCCATGCGGTCAGCCCGCTCATAGACGGTGACAGTGTGACCAGCACGATTGAGCTGATCAGCAGCAGCCAAACCAGCAGGACCAGATCCAATAATGGAGATAGTCTTGCCAGTACGGGTCTGAGGGGGACGAGGAACCATCCAGCCCATCTCGAAACCACGGTCAATAATAGCGCATTCAATCGACTTGATACCGACAGGGTCCTCGTTAATACCCAAAACGCAAGCGCCCTCGCAAGGAGCGGGGCAGACACGGCCAGTGAACTCGGGGAAGTTGTTGGTCATGAGCAGGCGATTGAGGGCATCTTGCCACTGGTTGGAAAAGACCAATTCGTTCCACTTGGGAATGATGTTAGAGATTGGGCAACCAGTGTCTGACTGACAGAACGGAACACCGCAGTCCATGCAACGAGCTGACTGGTACTTGAGCTCATCCTCATTGAGGCGGTTGGAGATCTCGGCCCAGTCCCGAGTGCGAGTTGTAGGGTTACGGTACTTCTCGCTACGGCGGCTATACTTCATGAAGCCACGAGTCTTGTCTAGGATCAATGCCGAACGCTTCTTCTCGGTCTTGGAGTCGCCGATGCTGTCCTCAATGTCGAGCATTTCAGCCTTCTTCTCATCAGTCTTAGCCTTGGATTTATCGGCACTGTGCACGGGGGTGCTTGGCAGTTGAGGGAGTGAAAACTCAGCCTTCTTCGCAGCTGCGGCCTTAGCAGCCTCTTCCAACATCACGCGCTTGTAATCGATGGGAAGGATCTTGACCAAGTGAGGAAGAGCACGAGTGAAGTCAAGGAGGATGCGAGCCGCGAGCTCAGATCCTGTGTAATGGTGGTGGTCCTCGATCAAACCACGAACAAAAGCGATCTCAGAAGGCTCTTCAATACCGGAGATTTCAACCATCTCCATGTTGACCTTGGAGTGGAAGTCCTGGTTCACGTCCAGAACATAAGCAATACCACCAGACATACCAGCGGCAAAGTTACGACCAGTGGAACCCAAGACCAAGATACGACCACCAGTCATGTACTCACAACCGTGGTCACCACAGCCCTCGACAACGGCAGTAGCACCTGAGTTACGGACGGCGAACCGCTCAGCGGCGAGACCACGGAAGTAGCAAGTACCGGCAGTAGCACCGTATAGACAGGTGTTACCAACAATAACATTCTCCTCGGCCTTGAAAGCAGCGCCACGAGGAGGGTAGACAATGAGACGACCACCAGACAGGCCCTTGCCGACGTAGTCGTTGGCATCACCTTCCAGTTCCAGAGTGACACCAGGGGCAAGGAAAGCACCGAAAGACTGACCAGCAGAGCCCTTGATGTTGGCATGAATAGTGTCTTGAGGAAGGCCAGCTTCGCCGAAGCGTCGGCTAATCTGGTACGACAAGGTAGCACCAAGAGAACGGTCGGTGTTGACAACGTCGCACTCGATTCGGCAAGGAAGACCCTTCTCCAGAGCAAGCTCAGACTCAGCAATCAGCTTATTGTCAAGACGAGTGTGAAGGCGATGATCCTGCTTTCGGACATTGTATGTGGCAACACCAGGGCGAAGTGAGTGAGCAGGAGTCAGAATCAGCGAGAGATCGATGCGCTCCTGCTTCTGATTACGGATATCATCCCGAACCTTGAGCAGCTCGGCACGGCCGACCATCTCGTTAATGCTACGAACACCAAGCTTAGCCATAATAGCACGCATCTCATTGGCAACATAAAAGAAGAAGTTGATCACATGCTCAGGTGTACCCTTGAACTTCTTGCGGAGCTCTGGATCCTGGGTGGCAATGCCGACAGGGCATGTGTTCAAGTGACATTTACCTAAGGATCGTTAGTTTAGAAACAAAAGAGGGGGGGGGGGGGTTGGAAGCGGTAAACATACGCATGAACACACAACCAAGGGCGATCAAAGGAGTAGTTGCAAAGCCATACTCTTCGGCACCAAGGAGACAGGCGATGGCGAGATCACGACCGGTTCGAATTTGACCGTCAGTTTGGACGACAACACGGCCACGAAGGTCGTTTAGAACAAGGGTCTGGTGGGTCTCGGCAAGACCCAACTCCCAAGGAAGACCTGCATACTTAATACCAGTCCAGCGAGAAGCACCAGTGCCTCCGTCATGACCGGAAATCAGGATGTGATCAGCCTTGGCCTTAGCGACACCGGAGGCGACGATACCGACGCCGACTTCGGACACCAGCTTGACGGATACACGAGCGCGGGGGTTAGAGCACTTGAGATCGTAGATAAGCTGCTTCAAATCCTCAATGGAGTAAATATCGTGGTGAGGGGGAGGGGAGATCAGGCCCACACCAGGAGTCGAGTGACGAGTCCGAGCAATGGGACCCAGAACTTTGTGGCCAGGAAGCTCACCACCCTCTCCAGGTTTAGCACCTTGAGCCATCTTGATCTGTAACTCGTCGGCATCGGCAAGGTAGTTTGAGGTTACACCAAATCGGCCAGAGGCAATCTGTTTGATAGCAGACCGCATGGTGTCTCCGTTCTCCATACGATCACTGCGTTCAGCATCTTCACCACCTTCACCGGTGTTGGATTTTCCTCCCAAGCGGTTCATGGCAATGGCAAGAGTAGAGTGAGATTCCATGGAAATTGATCCATAGGACATGGCGCCAGTTACGAAGCGGCGAACAATTTCGGTCCAAGGCTCAACCTGATCAATAGGAATGGGAGTTCTCTGCTCAAAGTCAAAGTCAAGCATACCACGCAGGGTGCAGTTCTTGATCTGCTCATGCGCTGATTTGGCGTAGGCCTCGTATGATTTATCGTTCTTAGTGCGAACGGCGTCCTGGATGTTGGCAATGCTGACGGGGTCGTTGATGTGAGCCTCGCCACCATCACGCCAGTGGTACTCACCAGACTCAGGGAGACCAGGAACAGAGACAATTTCACGCGAGGGGTAGCCACGCTCGTGGAAAGCAAAGGCATCCTGGGCGATCAAGTCAAAGGTGATACCACGGATGCGGGTGGCGGTACCAGCAAAGCAGCGGTCAATGACACTGTCATCGACACCAAGAGCCTCAAAGATCTGAGCACCCTTGTAGGACTGGAGAGTGGAAATACCCATCTTGCTCATGACCTTCAGAATACCACCATCACAGGAGGCCTTGTAGTTTTCAATGACTTTCTCATCGGGAAGGTCTTTGCGAATGAGCTTCTCGCGGTTCATCTTGAGAAGGCATTCCAGGGCGAGGTACGGGTTGATAGCATCAGCACCGTATCCAAGAAGCACACAGTGGTGGTGAACTTCACGAGCCTCAGCCGTCTCAACCGCCAAGGCAGCGAGCGAACGCCACTTGTTGCGGACGAGGTGGTGGTGGACTAGACCGGTAGCAAGCAACGCAGAGACCGGAACACGGTCAGCGCTGGTAGCACGATCAGACAGAATGATGACCTTGTCGCCATTTTCAATGGCTTCAGTAGCGGCATCACAAATAGCATCCAGTGCCTCTAAATAGCCAGCTGTGCCCTTCTTCTTGTCGAATGTGATATCGATGGTGTAAACGTTCCAATCGCTATGGGCGCGGTTGATGTTCTTTAGAGCGTTGAACTCTGGGTTGCTCAGAATGGGAGACGGGAGAAGTAATCGGTGACACTGGGTCGGGTCCATCTCCAGCAAGTTGCCCTGCGGACCAACGTAGCAATCAAGGGACATGACCACAGCCTCGCGAATGGGATCAATTGGAGGGTTGGTGACTTGAGCGAACAGCTGGCGGAAGTACTCATAGAGCAAACGAGGCTGTTGAGCAATACAGGCCAAGGGGGCATCGTTACCCATGGAGCCCAGGGCTTCCTTGGAGTCCGCACCCATGGGACCAAGAATCAAGCTAACTTGCTCAAAGGAATAGCCGAAGGCGCGGAGACGAGGGTCATTTTGCACGGTGTTGTCATCGAGGGTAAAAGAAAGGTCCACTTTCTGATCCAAAAGTAGCTTGTTGATAGCAGGCAACTTCAGCAGCTCCTTGTCCAACCAGCCGGCAAAGTCGTGACGTCCAGCAACGGTCTGCTTCAACTCTGAGTCGTCGATGATACGTCCGGCAACGGTATCCACCAGCAACATCTTTCCGGGCTGCAGACGGCCCTTCTGAACCACACGCTCGGGATCAATATCGATGGCACCGACCTCAGAGGCACAAACGATGCGATCGTCATCCATGACATAGTAACGACACGGTCGCAGACCATTACGGTCAAGGTTAGCACCACAGTAACGGCCATCGGAGAAAGTGAAGAGGGCCGGACCATCCCAGGGCTCCATCTGGCAAGCCGCCCACTCATAAAAGGCGGACTTGGCTGGATCCATCGCCGGGTTATCCTGCCAAGCTTCGGGGATCATAAGCATCACTGCCTCGGGCAGAGATAAGACACCATTAATCATGAGCAATTCCAGAACGTTATCAAAGGCTGCAGAGTCGGAGCCACCTTCTTCAACAATGGGGTACAACTGGTCCAACTCGTCACCGAAGACTTCGGATCGAAGAACACCCTCACGGGCACGCATCCAGTTCTTGTTTCCTCGCAATGTGTTAATTTCACCGTTGTGGGCGGCCCATCGCAAGGGCTGGGCACGATCCCAGGAAGGGAATGTGTTGGTCGAAAAACGGGAGTGGACGAGGGCAAAGTGACCCTCATAGTCGACGTTGACGAGATCATGGTAGTACTGATACACCTGTACGGGAGACAACTGTCCCTTGTAAACAATATTCCGATTGCTGAGAGAGCACAGATAGAACCAGTTACCCAAGCCAATGACGTGCGTGGCACGCTTTCGTAGAATGTATAATTGAAGTTCAAAGGTCCGGGCATCGAACTTGTCAGTATCAGTGAGCTCGGGCTTGTTGCCCTCGCCGTAAGCAGATTTAAACACTACGAACGGTTGCATGATAATGGGTTCGCGCGAAAGCGCGGCTGGTCCTAAAATGGTCGAGTCGCGAGGCACCTCACGCCATCCCAGGACGCGCAGGCCAAGCGAGGTTGCCAATTCCTCGAAGCTGGCAATCGATTGCTTCAGAGCCTCTTCGTCGGGCTTGAAGAACAGATTGCCGACAGCATACTGACCCAGCGGAGGGAGGTCGACGCCTACCTCACGGGCAAAATTCTTAATAAAGAACTTGTGTGGAATACTGGTCATTACACCAGCACCGTCACCATCTCGTGCATCCGAGCCAACGGCTCCACGATGGGTCATGTTGCACAACAGATTGCGGGCTATTTCGCGACGACGTCAGCGGCAAATTTTGAGGACTTTTTTGTATTTGTTCGGGTTTTATTGGGGAGACATACCATCGCTCACAATCTTGTGACTCGGCTTGCCCTTGATATGGCTAGATTTGGGGCAATTGAGGTTAGTTGTGCCATTTTTGGATTATGTCAAGCTCAAAATATTGTTTCCAGGGCCAACTCACGCTGCGAAGCCTACACCACAGGCATCTTTTTCATATTCGGGGTTATAGAGACCCTGCCGCTCGGGCAGTGCATTGGCCCAGCCATAACCTTTCTTTGACTGATATTCCGAATACTCCTGAGGAGGCTGGGTTTCATTTAGATCTTTGCCATAGATGTCCTCCAAGTCAAGACCCATTCTTCCTGTCGGGAGCCGACAGAGAATGGACAAACAGAGGGGTCTTTTTTTTAGGGTGGGATGTGTCTGGAGATCTCCGCCGGGATGCTTAAGGCGGGATTGAATCGATAGGGCGATAAGGCAATGTCGTCACCGGGCGCAGCACGGTGAAGTTGAGGTCGGTTTGAATTGAAGACCTGTATGAAAGGGAAGGGTTTGAATGTGTGAAGGGGGAAAGGACAAGGGGAGAAATGAGGGGTGGAATAAAAAAAAAAAAGGTAGAGCAGCGGTTCCGGCAGGACAACAGGTCCGGGGATAGTAGGCCTGTTGCTCCGATGCAATCCTAAAAGAGAAGGGAAATAAATTACAGGCTTGTGGGGTAATTTTCCCTGTTGTTTTTATTTCTCTTGGCCGTGGCAAATGATTTTTATATTTCCTTTGCTTTTCTTTCCACTGCAGAGACCAGGACAAGTTCCATGGGTTATGAATGGCCAGAGCTGGGGTGATCAGCTTGTTCAGTTCTACGAACTTCATTGAAGTAACAGATCACCTTTCCCTTGAGGCTTTCAGACTCTTCTCTTCTTTTATTTTATTTTATTTAATTTTGTCTTAGAATTTTTACAAAGATTACCATGTAAGACCGGGGGAATTGGAGCCATAAGATGAAAACAGTATAAAGGGACATTCCAGATATTAGAGCTTCAATGATGGGTCGAGTAATGATAATCATTATGATTACGAGCAAAGCGTCAAGATAAGCGTTGATCAGCCAATCAGCGTCAAGGCATTGCAACCTCTGAGTCCAAACGATTAGGTTTCTGCTACGTCAAGAGTCTTAAGATCCTCGTACGGTATGGTATTATTACCTTAATTTTCGTATACAAAATACCACTGCAACTTTGGCTCTATAGATTGAGTACCTAGACCAGAGTCACACTATCCCAGAATATAGTATACTCTTATAACCTCTGATATCGCATTGGTCTTTTCTCTTTTTTTTTTCCTGTTCGCTTTGGCCCTGAGTCCTGACCCATGATCTCATCCACGTCCCACATGCGTATGGTCGACGCATACCCGGGTGGTGGAGCCACCGAACGGCTATGAAAGAATCCGACGATATGATTGGCTTGGAGACGCAAGCAGACCACGAAAACTAGAAATCCAGCCCAAAATCAGCATGTTCTCCCAGATACTTGTTGATTGGTGGGGCATGCTTAATCCAGTCAATATTAAATAGTCACTTTATTATTGCCTTGTGCCTCCACGATAGTCAATATAGGAGTGTTGGCATTACTCTATAATGAAGCGAGAAAGAAGCAAAAAAAACGACCGAAACTGAAATCATTGACTTGGCAGGCACAGGCTAAAGAGAATGGCCATGGTAAATTAAAACTTTGAGGAAAGGTTATAATGATACGCTGCCTAGAACAGCGTACGCATCTCAAAAATGCCCCAGTCCCGAGCCTCGCCCCACACAACATGGAACATGGGTGTAGGTCAGATCAGGGGCCACGGATACACGTATTTACCAATACCAACCCCATACCCATGTCATTCCGACAACGGCCAAGTCTGCCCGGAATCTTCCTCTTCCCCTTAACAACTGCTTTGCTTTCTCAACTTCTCAATGTGACCAATCATATTTTCCAGACTCATGGCTCATGCCACTGCCCCCGATCTCGGGGTCATCCAGCCGCTCTCCGACCCTCTCGAACGGTTTGTCTAGCTCATCGCTTAACATCATCCTAAACTGCTTATCGCGGCTTGGAAGAAATTACTACTTTCTTACTCGTCCAAAGTGAAACCCTTCAGAAAAACACTTACATCCCCAGATCCCCCCATATGTACATCCCTCCCCTCCCCCGTCCACGTTCCACATTCCAAGCGGGATGTTGTTCTGGGGGAGAATTGGATCCCGAAGCGGCTTTCATTTACCCCGTAAACTCGACCTCGGACTTAAGCATTCAGCCGGAGCTCAATCCCCCGGTTCTGACACGTGAAGCGGGTGAGTCTATATGATAAGATTTGGCTTGATAATAAGAAAATATACCCCACTTCAACTTAAGCTGCTCTGGTTGTTTTCCGAGCGGAATGCATGTGTATTCCTATCGCCCGGTGAAGAGGACTCCTTCTCCATTTTCTGCCTAGTATGGGTGGATATGGACTCTTCAAAAAGAACCACTGAATTTATCAGGCCATATACACATATACTATACATGTCTTGCAATTTAGTCCGGGTGAAGGATCTGGTCACATCAATTACCCCTCAGAGCCCTAGGGTTATATACTGATGAGGTCGATCGATCGCTACTATACACATGTGTGCATACATTCGATGGCACATGTGCACATAATCAACATTGAATATAATAATGTACCCATGAACATACCCACAAGTACATGATATAATTTTATGACGCTCAAATTATACTATTTACAACGTATTATATTTTACATAGGCTCATGGGCTATGTTTTTGATGTCTCTCTCGGAACTCCAGATAGGCGTCATCGTAGATGCACGATCGATGCGGTGAGTCCTTGGGCATTCATGCCAAGTCAGCCTCTTGCAATATTGCACGGTGTTGCTACATGTAGAGCACTTGAGCCTTGGAAAAATCTCCTTACCGTCACAGGTCTTGATTTCCTCTCTCTTCGCGTTGCACTAATCGGCTCCGGGGCAAATGATGTCTTCAGGTTTCACCATATGAGTATCAGGTAGGTAGAATAAAAGGATACAAGAGTGTCTCATTCCATATCTTACCGGGTTATTTATCAACTCAGTTGATCCATTTGGCTTCGTTGGAGCCGCGATCGTTACTCCACACGCAACTGCCAAGACAAGAAGGCAAAGTTGCATTTTCGCGTATCAAAAACCAAGCCAATTCATAGCGTTGGAAGAATAGGGGCTTATTCATTATAAAAGAATTTGATTGATTTCCGGAAATGATTTCTTCTCTGTGCAACCATGCCTTCAATTGTTCCTGCAGTCTCGTATGGAGACACCCCGATGCGGCGATGAGGCATTCATATCCGGCTTGTTCTTTCTCTGGGATATGCTGACATAAGCAACCCACCTGATTATCTCCAAGCTTGTAGTATCACGAAGTAATCATTGACTCAATACCAAAGGCATATCAATTGAAATGACCTGTTTTTGGTGCCTCAACTACCCATACATGACTTGTATGTCTTTGTATACAAATTCGATCCCCCGGATCCACAAGTGGAGATCCTCCTCACCGCTTTACTTGGTCCAATGATACGAGAGTGAATTATAAGACAACATTTTGAAGCGGGGTGCGTGTCCACCAGTGAACTTGGGGTAACCTGCTCTGTAGCAAGGCAGCGCATCATTTCTCCACCCGACTTTTCCCGACGCTTCCAAGCTTGGTCTTCGCCCTTGACTCTTGTCCACTTTGGGTTCACCGGACTGTGCTTCTCTACACTCTAGAGTCTCTTCATTTCGGGGAAATGTGGAAATTGCCATGGTTCGCGGCCGAGTTCATGTACAAGTGCATACTCGTACTGCGTACACGTACTTTTTTAAATACCACATGCGCAGGAACACAACTTGCTGATCTTCCCTTCCAGATGCCGTGTTTATTATGTACGGAGTATTTATTTACACTTGGCATTTGCAGGTGAACTTCGGAATTTCCAAAGATATGGGTTTTCATGTTCAACTAAGTCGATACAAATCTTCCGTCCAAGATCAGGGCAAAAATAGACAAGCCTCGTAGGTATCCATGCATGTATGGACGATTTAATAAATTGAATACGAGATGATGACTCACTTGGGCACTAGCAATTGATGTGTTTATATTTGAAATCCCATAACATTCTACATAGTATTTGAATAACTAGGTAGCCTAGTAAACATGGAATATTGAATGTTTGACTTGATTCAATGTTGAAGTTTGGAACATTTGAACATCAGTGATCCATTCTAACTCATCTCTCATAATTCCTTGCGTGGTATACACATGCACCACGTCGGCATAGATCTACCTGCCCAAGTCTGGACATTGAAAAGAAACAACTTCCTCGTTCCAACCAATTTAACCAAACAATGGCAATTCCACAGGAGAATGAAAATATTCTGATCCGCCGTATGCAGAGCTCAGACATCCCACTCCTGGGCCCTTTGTCTGCGAAAGCATACTGCAATGACCCCCTCAATACCTTTCTTTTTCCACGCCGTCTTGAACACCCCAATCATATGATCCGCCGCTTCGCCCAAGGGATTCAAGCTCGTTATCTCAACCCTCGAAACATTGGCTTTGTAGCCGTGGATCTCGCCAATCCCTCGATGCCTGTCGCTTACGCACAGTTTGTCCGACTAGGCGATGACAAGGCTGCATTGCAGCTGATTGCAAACCAGCGGTCGTTCGGGCATTTATTGAAAGCATGGTGGTTCAAGATCCGAGCTGCGATTGAGAATTTCTTTTGGCCTGATCGGTCTGTCGATCCTGATGCTATGAGTACGTTTATGAAAGCGGCCAACGCTGACAAAGAGTTTTATTGGGATTCTCCTGAGATGAAGATCAAATATGGGAATAGGTGGCATGCGCAAAGTGTCGTGGTGTCCGCGGCCTATCGGCGGCAAGGCATTGGGCGTCGATTGGTGGAAGAGGTACTGCGGAGGGCACAGGATGAAGGTGTAGTGGTGGGATTGGAAGCTAGTAAAGATGGAGCGACGCTCTATCGGACGCTAGGGTTTGAGCTACGGGGTCCATTCTCTATGGTTATTGGTCTGCCTGTGGGAGGGATAATGATGTGGTCGCCGAAAGGGCTTCTATGATGATCTGGATGCTTTAAATGTTCAAGCTACAGTCATAAAGCATATGAAATAGGGATCTAGTATATATAGTGGATGATATCAAGTTTCTTCAAAGTCGTGTAAGAACCAAGTCAAGTATCCAAAGGGAGTCTTATACGTCATGTTTATCTGAGCAGCATGAATGGAATGTTGTTGCTTTCTAAACATGTTGATAGTGTACTAATATCAAAAAGACAAAGATTAAAGTAGCCTGAAAGTAAAAACATCATATACTATTTTAGTGAGAACACATCTAGACGTTAAAAGTTCAAATGCATAACGGGCATGCACGACTCACGAGCTCCCCGCAATGTTAATGTTTGGGTTGTGGAGCTCCGGCCCGCCGACTTTTCCAACGCCCTAGTTTCGTGCAAGGATTACCCTTGATCTTCACATTACCTTATGGAATGAATGACCATCACTAACGTCTTACAATCCTCTGCTCTCACCAAGAACCTGCGCTTATGTTTTAATCACCGCCGCTACTGTATAATACCCAACACCAGCAAGATTATCTCACCGTCGCGAAAAGCTTCCAAGCATCCATCCTTCGTGCAGTGCACCGCATCTACTCGAACTCTGCCTAAATCGCGATCAATACTATCCGACCTTTCACACCTCCAGTCCAACAATGCTATCTCTGCCCTTTCTCATACCTCGCGACGTAAGTGTCGAATCAGCCTCCAGACCAGCCCTTCACCCGCGCCTAAGAAAGCAACTAATATATAACCTTGCAACCAATCAATAGTCACATGAGCTCTGGTTCGGCGCATCACAACCATATCGCGCCACCGAATCGCAACAACCGCACACCGACGCCGGAGCCAACCCGGCTCGCCGTAATGGCAACACCACAAATAACCACCGTGCTTTCATGCCCTCTCGCTCACCCGCAAATGGCCTCTCAGCTCTCGCTATGGAGGAGCGGGCTCTACGCGCCCGGAAACAAAATATCGCGACCTTCGGATACTCTTGGATCAAACCGGCGGGGTGCCCGAAGACAATGCTGGGCATGAAAGAGGAAGAAGCTGAGCGTGAGGAGGCGCTTGCGGCCGCGGCTGCGGAGCTGAATGCTGAAGGCTTGATGGAGGATGATATGGCCTTGACACAGGGGGAGGAAGGAGAGGAGGAACAAGGCATGGAACGAGATCTTGACGATGAGATCCCCGATGCTGATGCTGAAGGTTTGGTTGAGGAAGGCGAGGAGGGCCTTGAAGATGATCAGGTTGTTGATGAAGAGAGCTACATGGAGCGGGATCTGGACGATGAGATCCCCGAGGGGTACTCGGACGACGGCTATGAGGAAAGTGGGCTGTACGAACAAGACGACGAGGACTTTGACAACCAACCGGATTTGGATGCGGAAATTCCCGAGGGTGAAGAGGGGATGAGTGAGGGGATGAGCCGAGATCTGGATGTTGATATTCCCGATGCTAGCGAGTCTGGATCCGAACAGGGTGAATGGCAGCATACGGATACGGAGGAAGAGGATTCTGACGAGGAAGAGGAAGTGGTCGAAAGTGACAATGTCGTTCGCAATCGACTTAATGAGAATTTCAGGACAAGCACGCCGAACAGTCGTGGCGGTTTGTTACCGACACCACCAATGCGTCGGGCGCGTGAGACTGAAGCTCAGAGCCGATTTATCAATCGATGGAGCGGTGGTGGTGACGCCTTGGATTCTAGCCAGATGTTCCTCGAGGATGAGGATCTAGGTGCCTCAGTCACAAGTCAAGGAAGCCGCCGTAGTGGGTTCGCTCGACGATTCCCCCGTCAGGTCGGTAGACCACGAGACAGTCTCAATTAAATTTGGAACTCTGTTTCTTGTGGGATTGCTGAAGCTGACTGTCGTCTTACTATTACTGGCATTTGCACTGAATCGAATTTGCGACAAGAAGGCGACAAAATTAGGATTCAGCAGTTGCATAAGATATCCCCGAGACTTAATATCATGTCTCTACTACGTGCTTCGGAAGTTCTAGAAGTCCAGCATGAAAATTCCAAGGTTCTATTGAAAGTTACGATGTTCAATTGAAATGACTTGGAAGACAAGGTGGATTAATATTATGTACTTATCGCATTCTCGTATATCAAAGAGATTAGTCTCGGGATATTTGCATATTAGATACTTCTGGCAAATCCTTAACGCCAGGTTCTCAGGAAAATCCACCTTAATCAACCATCCCACAAGGACATGAAGCATTATCGACCTTGTAGATAGCATAGACGATAATCACTTGGCATGCAACAAAGTGCCACCGGAATCCCAAAAGTTAACACCAAAAACACCGTAGCCAAAAAAAATAGCCATGCTGTGCTAATAACAACTATGTGCATGCGAGCTCCCATGTCAAGGCGAAGGTGGAGGCCAAGTACATGCGTTTGCTTCAGGGATATTAAATGGGGCGTGGAAGCAGAAACTCTTGTATAAAGCATTTTGCCACAGAGTTCGCAATCAGAATATCCACACATAGAAGAACAAGAAAAACACAACGGCGAAGAACCCGAGCCACACCCGCCAACCGACGCCAGTGCTTTCGGCCATGCGGAGCATGCGGTTCATGTTCCCGCGGAGCCGGACTCGAGTACTTTCAAATGAGCTTTCAAGGCCATCTATGTGTGCGGTATCCCGGATTTCGTCGCCAATCGCAAAGGTAAGCTAGAATGAACTTGTGAGTATGGTGCCTCAATATCCAACGTCGCATTTATACTTGCGGCTCGCAGTCAATGATCCAAGCCACTTACATCTTTAAGCATCCTCACTTTGGCGGTGATACCTTCTACCTCCGCGTCATTTTGTGATTCGAGTGACGAAAGAACGGCATCGGAGTAGTGACCCCTACAACCGCGGTTAGAATTCAGCATGACCCCTCCACAGCAGCAAATATCCAGCTTACTTCTTGTCGGGTGTTCCAGTACGGTATGCGGGTCCGCCAGCACTGCCGTTTCCATAGTCGTTACCGGCTGGGCTGGAATAGCCTCCGTAACCATATCCGCCGGCCGGAGCAGGTGACCTGCTCGCCGGGCGGGAGCCGCCACCGTAAGAATCGAAGAGGGAGGAAGATGCGCGTGGATCGCGTTGACGGGGAAATCTGTTCAAGCTTGTTAGTTGGTGTATAAAGTGAGGCAAGATGGCCGTTTAGGATTGTCTTTGCATGGAAAGGAGAGAGGGTCTGGACTATACCGTGAAGCCATGACGTTCGTGTGCAGGGTCCAGGAATGAACCCGTAGTATTATAATAGGGGATCACCGGTCAATTCAGTTTCAATAATTGGTCAGTGGTTACTTGGGGACATTGCGTGGTCCTAGCAACCGGTGATATTCATGATATTTCGAGAGCGTTGGTGAGACCCTGGTTGCTTGCGGACAAAAACACAAGGTGGCCAAAGCGTAAACCCGAGACGCACGTGATGACGCAGTGTTTATAGGAGAGTAGAAAAGTAGAAACAGGAAAACAAAACAAATGTCTACTAAGTACATAATTACTGCGATGTGTAGAAAGATATGGAATATGCTATTACGTCACTAGCCTGGAAAGCTTTAGGATTCTGCAAGGAGATCTGGGTCGCGTCCGAGGCCAGAATGCGCTCCACAGTGACCAAATTGTCACCGAAATTTGGTCACCGAAGTATCTCGGTTCAATTATTAAAAAAAAAAAAAAAAATCGGACGGCGCTCTTCTCGCGGTGGGAATTTGGAAATAAAAAATAGAACAATAGTTGGAGGACATGCAGTAACGTGCAATGAAAATCATGATTGGACGTTAGATAGTTGTAGATACACATATTCTCCGGTCAGAGGAACTGATCACAACTGGGTGTCATTGAATCATTTGACTGCGCCATCCAGCGCAACCTCACATGGGCATAATGAGAGCGCATCTCAAGCAAAATAAGATATGAGCCTCCCCTCAGAACAAAGCGCCAACCCAATCTGACCTCTTCAGGCAATCTCTTTGTCGCCTAGGTCGTATCGTAGAGATCGAGTGTTTAACCGCGCATGGCGTGGTCATTGTCGTCATCGGCAGCCTCGTACTCTTCATCATCTTCGTCCTCGTCATCATCGATCTCTCCCTTGTTTTGCTCGGCAACATCGGCGTAGTTAATAACCTTGCCGCGTGTGCGACGGCTGCCTTGGATGATGTTGCTACTGTCAATGGGCTCGAGGTTGTTGTCCATGTCCTCGTCCTCCTCTGTAATTGTCTTGGGTCAGCAAAGAGTATTTTTAATTGCAGGGCATAGCAAGTCGCGTAGGGCCACTGGGTCTCATTGTGATACAGGCCCAGGGCAGTTATGCTGTTCGAATGAGGGGTGGGTGGGGGAGGCGCGTACCGTTCTGTTCCTAGAAGCGTAAAAAGTCAGTATCACCATTGGATATTTTGGATCGAGAAAATTAATGCGGCAAACTTACAACTTCGGGCTCGCTCTCGGATGAGCTATCCTCATCCATGCTCATTTCGTTGGTAGGTTCGGTGGACTTGCCCTTGCCCTTGTCCTGGACGTTGGGGTCGTTGAATGTAGAAGCCATTGTAGATTTTTGATGCGATGGTGGTTAGATGAAAGGTGTTGGTAAGTTGTATGAAAGGGGGTTGGGGATTGGAGAAGAGGGGATGGGGGAAACTGAAAAGAGACGGTCTGCGAAGTAAGGTAGCTCTCCAAGCAAAACAACCAGCAACAGTAAGGGACGGGGAGATCCCGTGATGTGATTCGTTCAATACGGGTGGATACTCCCCCGTGACAGAGTGTGCCCTGACTCCTGAGGCACCCACTAGATCTACTTAGGAGAGAGTTTGGACTAGGATTTATTACTCATTGAAATGCTTCTGATTCTCGTCTCTCTCTTATTTCTTGAATAATGAGCTAGGTTTGTGTTATAATATAGTTTATAAGACTTTTTTTGAAATCATGCAACTTGCAACCCTTGTTCCTGAAACTACAGAGCAAAGCATCGTTCGACCGATTCACTATTATTCCCCCACCAATTTGGCATCGAGATCTGCTTGCCCGCTCCGAAAAAGAAGAAGATAAGCAACATGTTTAGGTTGAATCCGGCATCAAATGCTGCCGCGATCAAATAGTTATATCGCTTCCACACTTCGAAATGGCGCCGATACGCCCAATACATGACAATATATCCGCCAATGATGGCAGATGTGTAGCCAGTGCTGACGTTCCCATAGAACATGGCAAGACCACCAAAGAAGATGCTGACATTCCAAAGATCAATTCGTAATTTGGGGAAGAAACGGTGGAAAATAAACAGAATCGGAGGGATGGCAGCACCGACGAGGAAGGACCACGGCAGAGGTGTCATCTCAGCTTCAGCAAAGAGTCTCTTGGGACCAAGAACTGCATATTGAACACCCATTGTGTTAGATGTCTGCAAACTTTGGCCCGTCCACTGATTGAGTGGATCGGTCTTCTCTCCAGTCAAATATTCTCCTTTGGTATCCATTACCCAGCGAATGACAGCGTAATTGATCGGGACACCCATTAGGGTACCAAAGATCTGAGAGAAGAAAATCTCACGGGGTGGGATATGCATATAGTGCCCAATCTTCTGGTCTTGCAACATGTACTGCGCACGATACCATGCGTCACCAGCAATGGAGCCATAGACTGAGGGGCCACATGGGTGCTGGTGGCTGGAGCCAGCTTTGGTATGCACCATGTATCCATACATCAGCTCATTGAACGATCCAGTCTCAAGTTGATAGTTAGATATAGCGTATAACCAGGCAAATGGAACAACGAAGACAGCAGCGCTGGCCAGACCCACAAACAGGGTCCAGATCGGGATAAATAGGTTTCCACAAGCGATAATGGCTACCAATATGACCAATGCTGTGAGGAACAAAGAAAGGTACCACCACAATGGAATCTCCTTGTATTGTCTTTGAATAACATTGAGACGATCGTGGTATTGATGGTGGATCCCATTTTCAGGTGACGATTTGGCGTTCTTGCGAGCTCCCCGAATCTTTCTTAGATTGTTCCTGATTTGAACATAGCCAAACGTGGCAATCCAGGTGACAGCCGCCGGAAGTTTGGCGTAGTCAAACCAGGTTGCCCATACATTCTGCAGTCCCATATACATAGGGCCGTACTGCTCATATGCAGTTTCGTTCAAATGGTACTCTGGAGTCAGCACTTTAAGTGTTGGGTAAGTCGTTCCGTTGGCCATCAGGAGACTATTGGACATAATGCCATGTTTGTAGGAGCCGAGGCCACCCCACTTCGCAGCAGGAATCAGAACCCAGCAATTAAAAGCATAAGCCAAGAACAGAATGACCTGTGTCCAGAATGGCGTGAGCATAATCGAGGAACCGTTCCAGTTGATGTTTGACCAGTCCAGTGACAAATTCAAAAAGCCCATGCCCCCAAGTCCTGACCCGATGAAGTTGGCCACAGCATTGTGTGGAGCCACCCAGCAGAGGAAAGCTAGGGAAGAGATGAAAGGGAAAACATATTCTGGAAGAAATTGCCATAGGGTCATGCCCAACAAAGCCAGGAAAAAGACCTTCATTTGACGACGAGCGGTGGGTGATGAAGTGTCTGTCTTGCGGAAAGTTTCGAACAAAGTTGTCTGCATCAAAGCCTGTGGCCAGACATACTCGGGGTCCGGCAGCAGAATCTGACGTGCAAGAGCAGCAAAGAAATATCCAGTCCACACGATGGCCAACATGAAGAAAATGGCGACGGCCGGGTTGATTCTCGTCCCATACCAGAGTTCTGCCAGTACAATTGGGGCATAGGCCAGATTGTACGTCGCCCCCGATGCCGCTGTAACTGTAACGAGCACATGCTCCTTGATGCTCCAAGGGCCTGGATTTAAGCTAAATGACCAGTTCGTGCCTGGCAGCCGAATTGTCCAGGCTGGGAGTATTTTGGCGAGGAAATGCCCCACATAGTGACAAGCGATTTGAACAAAGAAGACAGAGTAAGGAGCGCTGGTGGTCCGGAAGTGACTCATTTGGGATAAGAATGCACCGGGGATGACAAAAAGAGCGGACAGTATAAAATAGCGAAAGGTGATTGTGAAGAGGGTTGGATCATCGGTCAAATTCACCAATTGGCGTACTTGTAGGGGCAAGGCAGCGATTTCCGGGTCTTCATGACTCTCTTGTTCAATGGCGGCCGTGTCGGCCAGCACTTTGGTTTTCTCTTCATCGGCTGGGATGCTGCCAGTGGTGGTAACGTCAAGCTCTGATTTACTCAGATCCTCCATCGGGTTATTGACTTCCACCGTGAGAGAGCCCTCTCGAGGACCCCGGTGCCGTTTGAATATACCCAGTAGAGCCATGCTGGAGGAGGATCGGAAAGCTCCCAAAGGGATATCGGAACGAATGCCAGTGAGGGGCTGGGACGAGTCAGAAAATCTATTCAACAAACCATTGTATTCGGGGAAACTATTTTATTTAACATCTAAAGACTCATTGTGATCTTTTTTTTTTCTCTTACGCCAAGTAAAATTTGCCACGGAACTCGCAGCTCTTGACCAAGCTATACAGGGATGTTCCCGACATCCGTGATTCTGCGGACCAATGAGGAAGTTTCATGAAGAATGATTGGGCACATCGGACTAAGTGGTTCCTCTGGAGTTACATTGATTAAAGGTAGAAAATGACAGAAAGCTCAAATAGAGTTAGGTTTTCATGGTCAAGTCAGATATAGCGCGGATGGCGTTATCAGGGTTTCCCCTTAATCGGGCTTGGTTTGCCCGGCGCTTTTACCTAAACTTAATTTCACCGAATAAAAGCCGATGTTTAAGATACTGGTTTGATTGGGAAATGGACAAGTAGGAGTACCTGAATCGTTTTCTTTCTGCATTTCAAGGGTACAAAATACATGAAGTTCTGGGTGTGTAGCATGAAAAAGGGAGGGGTAAGAGATTTATGTATACAGTACAAGGTTCGCGGACACTTGGACCTTTAGAAGAGTATTTATAATTAAATACTGCAATATTATATACCAGAGTACCAGTAGATACCCCAAGTAATAAAGGAAAGTAAAGCAGATCAAGGGCTGGAAAGATAACATCGTTATATGTCACAAGCTTGAAAGTATGTTTGTGTTCCAATCCGGTCTAGATCAACAATGACCAAATTCGGTAACGCTCTAGAAGGAAGTGTTGCCTGATTTTCTCCTCAATCTCCAGGTGTCAAAATCCTTTTTTTCTCTTCTGCCTCAGGTGTCTATGGAAAGTCAAAGTGACTCATTAAACCCCACGTGACATGGGAAGAAAAAAGAAAGGAAAAAAAAAAGTGAAAAAGAAAAAAGTGGGCTATGAATTCATCATGACGCCTTCGATAAGAACCATGACCGTACTGATACCATAGTACTCCACTATAATTCTGTGAGAGGGGCTGTGACGTACCCTTGCCATACCGGAGAGAATTACTGACAACCCAACTAGAGTAACTGCAAGTCCAAAAAAAAGAGAGAAAAAGAGAAAAAAAAGAAAAATCGATTTGAGAGTTTTAGGCACGAGCCACACGATTACATCATACTTTTTTTTTTGCCCCGCCATCAACAAAAAAAAAAAAGAAACTACCATGACAACCCGTACAGATATGAAAGTAGAATTGACACATAAAGAATCATTAAGAAGAAACTTGTAACTGGTAGAACAAAGACTGAATCCACTGGCCCCATCTGGAACCAGCGGGCCCTTTCATGAAGTCAGAATTGGTGCTGTTGCTGGGGCATCGAAAGTCATGGAAACCCATGGATGTCCATGGAAGCTCCCCTGCTAGAAGCTTCTGTACAATTCACCGCTCACTATATAGGAGGATTTCGCTGCTCTCACTTCTCTTCCTTTTTTTTCTCTACTTCACAATTCTTCAATACCCCCTCCACTAATTCTCTTCTTACTCTGTACACTACTCGGAGTCCAATCCACGAATTTCCTTTTTTAACGACTCCCCCATCTTTCACACACATACATTCACAATGGCTCCCGCTGTCGGTATCGATTTGGGTACCACCTACTCCTGTGTGGGTGTCTTCCGTGATGACCGCATTGAGATCATTGCCAACGACCAGGGTAACCGTACTACCCCCTCGTTCGTTGCCTTCACCGACACCGAGCGTCTCATCGGTGATGCCGCCAAGAACCAGGTCGCCATGAACCCCCACAACACCGTCTTCGATGCCAAGCGTCTCATTGGTCGTCGTTTTACCGACGCTGAGGTTCAGGCTGATATGAAGCACTGGCCCTTCAAGATCATCGAGAAGGACACCAAGCCCGTCATCGAGATTGAGTTCAAGGGTGAGGCCAAGCAGTTCACCCCCGAGGAGGTCTCCTCCATGATCCTCACCAAGATGCGTGAGACCGCTGAGGCTTACCTCGGTGGCACCGTCAACAACGCTGTCATCACTGTCCCCGCCTACTTCAACGACTCCCAGCGTCAGGCCACCAAGGACGCCGGTCTCATTGCCGGTCTTAACGTCCTCCGTATCATCAACGAGCCCACCGCCGCTGCCATTGCCTACGGTCTTGACAAGAAGCAGGAGGGTGAGCGCAACGTCCTCATCTTCGATCTTGGTGGTGGTACCTTCGATGTGTCTCTCCTGACCATCGAGGAGGGTATCTTCGAGGTCAAGTCCACTGCTGGTGACACTCACCTTGGTGGTGAGGACTTCGACAACCGTCTCGTCAACCACTTCGTCAACGAGTTCAAGCGCAAGCACAAGAAGGACTTGACCACCAACGCCCGTGCTCTCCGTCGTCTCCGCACCGCTTGCGAGCGTGCCAAGCGTACCCTCTCTTCCGCTGCCCAGACCTCCATCGAGATCGACTCTCTCTTCGAGGGTGTTGACTTCTACACCTCCATCACCCGTGCTCGCTTCGAGGAGCTCTGCCAGGACCTCTTCCGCTCCACCATGGAGCCCGTTGAGCGTGTCATCCGTGATGCCAAGATCGACAAGTCCTCCGTCCACGAGATCGTCCTGGTCGGTGGTTCTACCCGTATCCCCAAGATCCAGAAGCTTGTCTCCGACTTCTTCAACAAGGACCCCAACAAGTCCATCAACCCCGATGAGGCCGTTGCCTACGGTGCCGCCGTCCAGGCCGCTATCCTGTCCGGTGACACTTCCTCCAAGTCCACCAACGAGATCCTGCTTCTCGATGTTGCCCCTCTCTCCCTCGGTATTGAGACTGCCGGTGGTGTCATGACTGCCCTTATCAAGCGCAACACCACCATCCCCACCAAGAAGTCCGAGACTTTCTCCACCTACTCCGACAACCAGCCCGGTGTCCTGATCCAGGTCTTCGAGGGTGAGCGTGCTCGCACCAAGGACAACAACTTGCTCGGAAAGTTCGAGCTCACTGGTATCCCCCCTGCCCCCCGTGGTGTTCCCCAGATTGAGGTCACCTTCGACCTTGACGCCAACGGAATCATGAACGTCTCCGCCGTCGAGAAGGGTACCGGCAAGTCCCACCAGATCACCATCACCAACGACAAGGGTCGTCTGTCCAAGGAGGAGATCGAGCGCATGCTTGCTGAGGCCGAGAAGTACAAGGCCGAGGATGAGGCTGAGTCTGGACGTATCCAGGCCAAGAACGGTCTCGAGTCCTACGCTTACTCCCTCAAGAACACTCTCTCCGAGGGTAAGCTCCAGATCTCCGAGGATGACAAGAAGAAGGTCGAGGACAAGATCTCCGAGGTCATCTCCTGGTTGGACGCCAACCAGACTGCCGAGAAGGACGAGTACGAGTCCCAGCAGAAGGAGCTTGAGGGTGTTGCCAACCCCATCATCTCCGCTGCCTACGGTGGTGCTGCCGGTGCCCCCGGTGCCGGTGGTGCCCGCCAGCCCGATGATGTTGAGGAGAAGCCCGAGGAGCTCGACTAAGCGTCTCGCTTTAGTTTCTTGCTTCTAAACGGTGTCTCCTTGGATTCCCTTTGTTTTTTTCTCTTTCGAATGTCTTGTTTTACGACTTTATGGGATATTGAGTTTTCCTTTTTTGCGAATGATTGCATAGATACAAAGTTTATCTCTTTCTAGGAAAAGAAAAGTCCTAGCCAATTTCAAAATTTTTATTAATTAATTATCTTCCTTGTAAACATGATCCTAAAGTAGTCTCGGCTTGTTGGTACCAACTAGTAGTCGAATGCTAGTCTGGGTTAAATTTATTTCCAATATGGTCCAATCAATATGTGTTATGTTTGTCCGCGTATGGTTTCAATGCCAAGTGACTGGCCAAGCCAAGCGAATGAACCCGAAATCGTATGTACGTATTAGTATGTAGTATTAAGTACTGTGGACATAGTGCATTCCAGAGAGTACATATACCCAAGTACATAATACGTAGGTATTCGAAGGTATGGTGAAATTTTTATTCTCAAGTCTCACCTTTCGGTAGTCTCATTGATTTCGTTTAAATATTATACAACCATAGTATTGATCCCGAAGCTTCGAGGATATCTTCATACAAATCAGGCTTTTGGTTTAGAATCAGAATCCTAAGAGCACGGGCGCTCTACCAACCGAAAAGAAGCAAAAAGCAGGCTGATATAAGATACACCGTTAGCGCTACATCTAAAACTCAACGACAGAGAGCTTACTAGAATGATGATACACATGGAAATTTGGTCATTTCCATACAGCAGTTATAAACCCCCAACGCCAAGATCCCCATCCTGTGCAAAATCATGGAACAACAGACAATGGATTTGCAGTGTCATCCATCTAAAACCAAGGTAGCCTAAGCCCTTATTGCGAAATGCTTATAGATCTTGGTAGTCTCCGTTCCACCACCGCTGCAATCGCTGCTGTCCGAGCTGCACCACCGTTCCGTATCCGATTTCTGATGCTCTCGAGGGGTTTTGTTCTATTTGGTCACGGCGGATTCGGGACATGACGGCGGCAACGCCCATTGTGAGGGCGAAGATGGGGTCACCTACTCTGCGATTGGAAGAAGAGATGATGAGCGGGATTCGATAAATGATATGAGGTTGGAAGGGTGGCAGTTGATCAATGGTAGATTGGATTCGAAGCGCTAGGTCTCTTACTTACCGGGAGAGGAGGTAGGCAGCCATGATAATCTAAGAGTGTGGTTTGGTTCGTGAGATTGAGGTGGAGCTAGATGTTGAAGTATCGGGGAAGCTTTCGGGGAAATGTAAAGGATATCACGTGATTAAAGATAATCTCCAGAGTCCAAACGTCCACGTTGGGAAGAACTAGTAAATATAAGATGTGACATGTACTTTTTGTAGACATGGGGGAAAAATGGGAAATTAATTTGAGCTTGTTTGATTCTTCTTTTGACTATTGCTCTAAACCCCATCGGAAGAAAATAAAGCATGTATATGAGAGGGGAAAAATACACAAGTCCCTGGAGGAGCCGGGAAGGCCCGAAAGACCCGAAAAGAACAAAAAAGAGAAGAGAAGATTTTCCGAGAAGGGGGGAGTTGTCGAAGAACGCCAAGGCTAAAAAAAGACTCTCTATGTATGTGACCTCTATACAACCTGACCAAAAGCAGGGATCAAAGTCTGTGCCAGCCAGAAGCTGAAAACCAACTTGGGACCAGTCATCAGCAGCTTGGGGGTCAAGCCCTTGAACAAACTCCAGGGACCCTCGTTCTTGAGCATCTTGGACACAATGCGGAATCCGGACTCGGGGTTGTCGAAGTTGCGGTTCTGAATACGGGTCTTGATCACATCCAGGGGAGCCGAGACGATCAGCGAAGCACTGGCACCGGCCACCGAGGCGACGAAGTTCTGGTCCCAGGTGGCCTTGTTGTAGTCGGCCAAGCCGTAAATGTATTCCTTGGCAAAGGCAGATCCACCGAAGAGCTAGTGTGGTTGTAAGCGAGTGGGTCCTTTTTTTTCTGTCAAATAAGTACGAATGAGGCCACTTACGGCGAAGGAACCAGGGGCGTTCCGGGCGGCAGTCCAGCCGGCACCCCGGTACAGACCCATACCCTCATCCTGAATAATCTTGACAAGACCACGGCCACGGAAGGCCTCGGGGTTTGTCTGACGCTTAATCTTCAGGACGTCCAAAGGAAGCAGAACGACCTCTCCAATACCGACCAAACTAAAAAGTCCAGGGGTCAGTAAATGAAAAACGAGAGGTATATATTGTGACATGGTCTCTCACCTGCCAGCAGTGGCGTGCATAATAGCCTTTCCGTTGCCCTTTCCGAAGGCATTGTCGAACTCGTTGCCGTAGTGCTGAGCCAAGTAGTCACGGGCGAAAGGCTGACCACCGTACTTGTAGATACGCTGAAGAACCTGTTTTCGAGATGAATCAGCTCACTGCATCCAGAGCCTTTCTTTCCTGTCGGAATTTCCAGAATCACCAACCTTGTAGCAAGCAGCGTAGCCCAAACCGGGGAACATAGAGGTGAACTTGCGGCCCAAGGGGGCATCGGCATACTCCTTGAAGACGACCTTCTTAAATTCGGTGGCATTGGCAATCTAAGAAGAAGGCACTTGAATTAGTGATGTCCATGGCGCAAGTAGTTTCGTGGGATTCGGAGTGTCTCAACATACCCGAGTCTGGTTGCTCATCAACCGCTTCGCTGTGGTGTCGACCTGAGATATGTTAGTATTACAATCGGATCAGTTCCGGTGATGCTGGGTCTTACGGGGTGGAAGACGGCCAGCTCAGCGATACCAGCAGAGCCTACGGAGTCGAGTTAGCATTGTTAACATTTCGGGGATCTCTGCGCAATGGCAAGGGGCTCGTTTCGTACCGGAACCAAGAAGACGGGCGACAGCGGATTCCTTCTTGACATCGTTGGAGGCGGCGCCAGCACCGGCAGCGAGAGCGGGAGACATTTTTTGGGATTTAGGGGAAAAAAGAGATATGCAGTGTAAATGCGTCAGGAACATGTGCCTGTAAATTTTATCAGAGCGCGAGGGGCGCTAATCCCGATCGGGGTCCGGAGTCGGAGAAGCGTGGGATCCATCGTTATCGCTCTCAACTGATTTACTGATTTACTACTAGTCGTGCTTCTGTTCTATTTACGTCGACTTCTCTTCATTGAAAAGTCACTTGTTTATGCTTCAAAAATTAAGATCACTTTAATACTGACTCGCAAATTTAAGCATACAAGTATATGAGTTAAGTCGAATGTGGAATTCTATGGTCCCCCACAATACCCGGCATCTCTGATTTTCTTGTTCCTCCATATGGGGAAAGGAACCCACTCAGGAACGAGAGTCCAGCCACAAAACATCAGGGAATAATTTTTTAGAAGTTGATTTTCATTCAGCAATGGGCAGATTAGCCAAGCAATAAAATGGCACAAAAGAAGAAGAAGAAGAATGGAAAAAGGATGTGCACAACACCAAAGAAACGCCGCATGCCGATTAAAGAGAACCAGAATCCCAAGATTGAGCCGGTTTCCACCCGCTTACATCCCTTGCAAAGGTTCTCGAATGTTGAGTCCGTAACAGATTCAAATCGAAAAGTCCAAATCTTTGCAGTACATGTATAGCAGATGATAGCCATATATGTCAACCTTTCAAAGGTCACCGAAAGTGTTCTCGCCGGAGTATCTAGGAACGCATCAGGTTAGGAAATGGTCTCTTTCGTCAAGGATTAATACCAGACGGATAAGGGGAGGTAACATACGTGATGTACAGGAAACCATCTTCGTCCTTGTGTTCTTCGTAGATGCTGCTCATCAGAGCGGCTGTGGGCGGGAGAACCTCATCGACGAAGATGAAGATAGCCTTCTCGGGAGAGAGCTTGATGCGCTTACGGATCACGTAGACGAACTGGCCTACAGTGAGATCGGCCGGTACAAGGTACTTCTTCTTGTCGATGGTGGCAATGTCCGACTTCTCAACCTTCTCGCAGATGACCTATACGGGGAAGTCGTTAGTTGGAAGAGGCGGTGAGGAGGGGAAGGGGAGTGGTGGCAAGGACATGGCAGGCAAAGCCTGAACACTTCGATCAAAGCCACCAGAGACCCTGGGACGACTCACTGGAATGCGATCAGTGTATTTTTGACGGATGCGCTCGGCCTCAGCCTTCCGCTTCTCAAAGGGGTGCTCGTCCTTGAACTTGGATCGCATAGTTGATAAGGGCTGATAAGCCAAGCGGGTCTTGGTGGAGGGAAGAGAGGTAAGATCCCAAGGAGGGAAGAAGTGGTGATCAAAAGGTACGGTGTCACGGTTGATGGGGAAAGTGTCGAGGGGATCGAGAGAGATGGAAGAGAGAGGGGTGATGACAAAAGGGCAAGCTGGGCAAACCCCCGCTGACGTTACTAAGAGCACTCATCACGAGGCGGTGAGGCGGTGAGGCACGCGTCAATACACAGTCACGGGGATCAAGTCACTTGCAGTTGAGATTCATTAACTAATTCTTACACGGCTTCAAGTTGATTCTGGTGAAGGGGAAATAAATGAAGACTTTTGATTTCTCTTTTACAATAATCCGGTGCTACTCAAACCAGACCCTCGTTGTCAGACCCTCGGTACACCTAACGGCAAAATATGGGTTCTCCACTGATAAGCGGTTATCCGTATACAGAACCCATAGTAGTAAAGACGATAAAGATCTAGTATATTATATAGTATATTCGGACTTTCTTTCTTGCAGGTTGATTTCTGTTGCATTAACAAAGTCAAAGTGACCAATAGTCAAGATCTACAACTGCCTAGAGAATAAATGTAGCAACAATGACTCTTAGTGGAACAAATGTCTAGGTAGACATAACAAGTGCAAGCGCCTCCTCCAACAACCCCCCGGTAATGGTTTAGCGTCTCCACCTAAATGCTCCACCAAGTGACTCTTGGTCCAGGCTGCAGTACGACTTTTACGCCTCAAGGTTAATCGTACCATTCAGCCTTGGGATTGAGCAGAACTTATTGCATAATGTTACCTCCCTTCTACATATCTTCCACTTTATCTTCTCATCTGGATTAGTCGTTATAAAGAGTTAGGTCGAGCCGAATTATCATGTTCTACACGTCTACTAGATCAGAGAGCTTACATTCATACTATCCTACACAAGTCTATCAAGAGAGGCGAGGAAAGTCATTGATTATTGAAAACACCTGAGGGCCGACAATCTGAGTGCAAAGTTATACTGGTATCATTTACTCGGCATGTTTTGATACTCTTCGACTTTATCTCCTACATATGTTACTACTGAGCAGTTTATATCTAGCTGCTGGTATGTATTAATACTTAGTACCCATATAGGCAAGACCTTTCAATCTTAGCTAAAGAACACCAAATAAGCACAATAATAGTTTCGACTCAGTCAATAGTCAAGAGTACTTCCTATATATGCACACTTGTAGGACAAGTATCTGGCAACCAATCACCGGTCGCATCTTATCGCTTATCTCATCGGAGCAAACGGAGCAAACTCACCATCCTCCGGTGGCCTGATGTCAAGCCCATAGCTTTTTCTGGATGAACAGGCCCTGGGTGATCAACTGATTACTTCGAGACCAATTGCATTTGCTATTTATAAATTTGCATTGGTACTGCTTCAATTGGATTTCAGCCTTTAAACACCCGTTGCGCGCACTCAACACCCTTCGACATCCGTCGCGAAAATGGCGTCGCGATCATTCATGCCTCTGCGGAGGACATTAACACAGTTCTCAGCTCGAAACGCTCTTGGCGTGGGCCGCAGTGCTGGGGGGCCAGCTCGGGGTTATGCTACAGGAAAGGGCCCCAAGAGACAGCAAGAATTTACCGTGTGGCGTCCTTACCTACGACTTGCCATCGGCATACCCTTCATTGGCGCGATCATTTACTCCATGGTACGAATAATTGAGGATTTGAATCAATTGCATGTGAAATATTTACTGACATATGCGCTTATAGGCCACCGGCGAAATCACCGACCTTGACTCCCCGTCCATTGTGGAGTTGGACGAGGCCCTGAAGCACTCATCGTCCATCACCGAGTCTTCCCCCATGCGCCTTCGAATGGAGAAGCTCATCAAGGATCACCAGCAAAAAATTGTCGAGGAATTGAGCAAAATCGATGGCATGGAATTCAAGCAAGACGTTTGGACACGTCCTAACGGTGGCGGTGGTATTTCGTGCGTTTTGCAGGACGGCAATGTCTTTGAGAAGGCGGGTGTGAACGTCTCCATTGTCTATGGCGAGTTGCCCCGGCCCGCTGTCGAAAAGATGCGTGCCGATCACAAGTCTTTCGTAGGCGCCGATGTCGACTCGCTCAGTTTCTTTGCAGCTGGTCTGTCCCTTGTCTTGCACCCGCATAACCCCATGGCTCCCACCGTGCATCTGAACTACCGTTACTTCGAGACTTCAGACCCCAAGGATCCTATCAGCGGTGACAAGAACTGGTGGTTCGGCGGTGGTACCGATCTCACCCCGACCTACCTCTTCCCCGAGGATGCCCAGCACTTCCACAAGACCATCAAGGATGTCTGTGATCGCCACGATGCGACCTACTACCCCAAGTTCAAGGCTTGGTGTGACAAGTACTTTTACCTACCCCACCGTGGAGAGTGCCGTGGTGTCGGTGGTATCTTCTTCGATGATCTTGACGCCAACTTCCTCCAATCCTCTTCCAGCTCATCTTCCAACCCACAGGAGACCTTGTTCTCCTTTGTGTCGGATGGCTTGGCTTCTTTCCTGCCATCCTACGTGCCCATCATTGAACGCCGAAAGGATATGTCTTACACTCCTTCCCAGAAGGAATGGCAACAGCTGCGCCGTGGACGCTATGTCGAATTCAATCTGGTCTATGACCGTGGCACAAGCTTCGGTTTGCGGACCCCTAACGCCCGTGTTGAGAGTATCCTCATGAGTCTCCCACGTACCGCCAGCTGGGCCTACATGGACCCAGTGTCTGGCACGAGAACTGAAAGCATGCATGTTGATGAAGAGGATCTGGGTGATGATAAGACCAGCGAAAAAGAGATCATCGACGTTCTCAAACACCCCCGACAGTGGGCATGATTGAAACGCGCCTCTTGATTCGGTGCCTTGGAAACTCCGCTGATCGACCTTGAAACTTGTTTAATCTCGTCATAATTTTTGATGTGTCATTGTCTTATTACCTGGAGAGGCATATGATGCCCCTTCTCATGTACATTACTTCACCATCCGTGCAAATATATTCAAAAGTAGAATCTTATATTGCATATTCAATGTTTCCATCCATCATCTGTCAGCATCCACCGTTGCAGGTGGCTCATCTGTATATTCAATCGAAAAAAAGGTATGCATCGGAATCAATTCGGATCCAGTGACTTCCAAGGCATCTTAGGAGGTAGCACCTGCGCAGGCCACAAGGGAGCAAATATTTGAACAGAAACGTCAATCAATGTATGTACATCCACATATATATGCACAGTAAACCAAAAAAACATGCATTCTATCAACTATATACCATATAAGGCCTACTATAAGACCAAACATTAGGTATAAAAGGGGATCTAATGGAATATACACGTAATCCTATATGTGCATAATAAACCACAAATGAAAACAAAAGCGACTCAAGTAATGTGCATATATATGCTCTCAAAGTGACCTTATTGACCAGCAACTGCGCTTCTTTGCTTGGCCAACCAACCTCGTGGGTCTGTCATACTCGCACCTTGTCGATAGCGTGAGATGGTCATGTTGTTATTCTGCCACCGAGTCTGAAGATGGTACCAGGCCGAGCTCACAAGGCTGAGCTCTCTGGCTTGATCATCGATGGTTTTCTGCAATTCAATCTTCAGGAAGAATACAAGATCAGCATGTTGTTCTGCATTGGAAAGGGGTGGGATCCTCATAGACACTTACTTCACGTTCCTTGGGAATACCATCGTCCAAATTCTCCTCGTAGTTCTTCATACTCTCTCGAAGTGACTTGATGAGTTCGTTCTGTTGCTGAATATACTGTAGATCGGATAAATATTAGCATGGCATTCTTGTTGCGGAGAAAAAGAAAATGGATGGAAACTGACCTCTGCACGCTGAGCGAGACGCTCAACATTCTTCTCCAAGACCCCGGCGCACTGCTTTAGCAGCTCGAAGCTTGATTTCTGAGGAATTTCACCACCTTCGCTGTTATGGATTTCAAATTCACCCAACAGCATCTGCATCTCATTCATGACTTCCTGGTCCTCAACGCTGATCTCGTTCTGCTTGTTGTCAAGCATTTTACGCAACTCCTCTCGTTCGGCGCAGACTTCGCGAACCAATGTTTGGCTTGCGTCCACTTCCGCCTCGAGATGGTGTAGATTTTGGGTGAGATTACCCCAGTCGCCACGGAGCTTGGCCAACTCAGCGGAGCTGTGCTCTTCAAGTTCACGGAACATATCAGCTTTTTCGAGTTCGACAAAACCAACTAGGCTCTCGTTAGTTTTTATTATTCATCCATGGGAGTTATCATAACATACTCTGGTTCTGTGCGTCGGAAAGGTCCTTTTTAGTGCTTTCCAGGCTATCTTGAATCTCCGCAAGTCTTTTCAAGGTCCCAGTATAAGTTTCGTATAGTTTCCAGTATTCCTCACTGCGGGCGTAGTCAGCAACGATTAGACGGCAATAACCCCAAAAAATGGACAATATACCTTTGTGTGGAGTTGGAGCGAGCGATTTGCACCGATGCATTGAAATTCTCTGAAAAGCCCTCTGTATGGGATCCAGGCTGAATGGTGTTAGCGAAAAAAGATGTATATATAAATGATTACAGAGACGGAGAACTCACGGCAGATTGTTCCTTGACTGAATCCGCTTCTCGCTTTAGATCGTCGTTGTCGGATTTACTGTGCCTTGATTAGTCGGGGGAAATCCACAGTGAGGACTTGGAGATTACGCACAGGTGAGAATCTTTCATGCTCATGGATTCAAAATCCTTCGATAATGTGCCTTGCATCTTAGGTGTCTCAGAACCTGGTGAAGGACTGCTGGGCAGACCCTCCAACTCTCGGAGGCGTTCCCGTAGTTCACTGATCAAGGCATCGTCTCTTTCATGTTGTTCATCCGCACTCTCGAGTCGTTCAGTGAGCGCATGGTTGTTAAATTCAAGTTGCTTTTTGAGGTTTTGAATTTCATTGCATTCCTGCTCAATGCGGGGAAGGAGTTTGCGGTATTCTTCCAGCTCAACGTCGTGTTCCGAGGTCCATCGTTGCTGCGAGTCGGACTCCTTCAGCTGCTGCTGGAGATCTTTGATCTGATTCCTCAAAGTCTGGTTCTCTTTCTCAAAGTCCTGGCTAGCCTGCAGCTTCTGGCGGTATTTCTCGGCCGCATTTGCCTTCCGCGCTAATTGATCTCGGTCCGTCCGGAGTTCATCATAATCATCCTGTAACTTTTGGTACCGCTGGTTCTTGACCTTCAATGACTCAACGCTCATGCGGAGGCTATCGACTTCATCTTGGGCAGCGGTAAGTTTCGCCTCTTGGGATGCGATGAGATCATCTTGTTGTCGAGTCTTGCTCTCCAATGCCTTGGCATTGAAACCCAGATCACCCTTTCCGGACTTCAAGGTCACCAGGCGATCTTCGGTGGAGGCGAGTCGGTTCTGAAGAGTATCGTTGTTTTCCTGCAAGCGTGCCAGCCGATTATGTAGGTCCTCCAGTGCCTTCTCCAGCTCTTTCTTCTCGTGCGATAGACGATCGTTCTCCGCAAGCACTTTCCCGACCCGCTCCTCGAATTGCAGCTCTAGATCCACCGGGTGGTCTCGCTTCGCTAGATCTTCCCGGAGTTCGTCTGCTGCGTGTAGGGGCTCGTACTGTCCGTTATGTGCCTCCTCGATGATATCCTTGAGACCCTGCTGGGTCGAAGTGGTCAATTCCTGGAGGGTCTGCACGTATGTCTCCGCGTTGGGCGAACTGATAGCCGCGATTAGCAGGAGTTTCAGTAATTTATTCGTCTCTTTTGAAGAGGCTTTCTCCGCGATGGCTTCGAGATCTGGGGATGGATCGAGACCGGACGGAAGCGACTCATCATTCTGGTGTCGAATATAGCTTAACAGGAGCTTATGAATGTGTTTGAGGTTCTGCCATTTGGCCACCCAGTGGTTGTCGGGGTTGCGCTCGGGGATTTCGTCGAGGAAGTATTGCGGGTCAATATCTTGGAGGATCTCCCATAGGATTATACCGTCAGTCAATTCCTCCGGGGCGCGAAGTGTTTTGCCCAGGGAGAAGCTGTTGATCCATTCCAGCAGAACCTTGGTCACGTTATGTTCCGCAGACATGGCGAATGAGATCTCTCAAATCGACAAAAAGAATGGATACAGGGTGCAGCATTTGTAATCCCCTGGGCAGAAGGGGAGTTGGGAGGAGAGTTGCGGATCCACGCGAGCGCGTTCGGGGGCCACGAAGAGCGCCGAGTCACTAGCGGGGGGGAATGATCGTCCCCCGATTTTTGGCTGGACCTTTACACCTCTCAATAAGTACATTGACAAGCTGCACCTTGCAACATACAAGTGTGGTCAACATTGAAATGTTCATACTACGAGTTTATTCAGACGATCCAGAGATATCAAATCAAATTAAACTCCGAATCTAGCTCCCCCCTTAATCAAGATTCCCGGCTTTAAGCTGTACTTGTACTGCAGCTGTGAAGGATACTCCGGGGTACACAAAAATGGACCCAAAACCAATATGTTTAAAACCCCCAACCCATGATATAAATTGAATGCGCCCTCCGATGAAAGTTTCTCGGGAATATCACCACTGATCAAGATGACCCCCTGCCGATGTTTTGTCATATGTTATTCAGGTGCCATTTTGGTGTCGGAGATTAAATCCCTTCCGATCCCGAGAAGAAGTGCCTTGAAGCCCTTAGAACTCATGTTCCTGGCCCTCGAATTCCCCGTTCGCGGTTACTATTTTGTCCTCCTCGATGATCGGCTTATACTCGGTAGACTCTGTGGAAAGTGTCTGAAGAGCATTCACAGGAGCCTCTGCGGCGAACCCACTGGAAAAGCGGAATTAGATATTAGAGACAAGGCGAGGCGATATATGGGGGAGGATATAGGCGTACTTGATCAGAGCTATCCAACAGTTAGCGAGGACAATCTTGGGGCGGAAATCGGGCCGAGGAAGGAAACTTACTGTACTCATGAGTGATGATGCCACCCTGTAAGAAGTTGACTGCGTTAGTTTCAGCCATATAAAGGCTGGAGATAATCCATATAGCTCACCGAGGCTACCAGTGCATTTTTTGCATCAGCAATGACATTGGAGGGAGTTCCCTTTGGGAAAGTGACGATAACGGACTTGAGCGACTTGGCGGCCAGCGCCAGAGGTAGCAAAGCCATGAAGGCGATTGAAAAGAGCTTCATGTTAGTCAAGTTGTGAGGTAATTTCTTATGGAGTAGAATAAAAGTAGAGAGATGGAATATGTATCTTCAGTCGAATATCAAGACAAATGTTTAGGCAATCAGATTCACATTTCCAAGTCGAAAACGGGAAATGCGTCATTGAGGAGGGGGATCACATGACCCCGGCGGCTCAAACCTTCCGAGTTGGAGAATCCCTTTCTCTCTCCGCTTTCTCTCTCTTTCTCTTCTTGTTATCCCTCACTACAGCGTTGCATTCGTCTTCAAGTTCCTTTCTTCTTTTGTTCTGATAATCTACGTTGAACTTGGGTGGTTTTTCCGCGGTTGGCCTCATTTATTTTGCCCCAATCGGCTTTGCATCTCCTCTCAATTGATCTTGACGTGAAGGAAACCAATTTGCGGGAAAGGGTCTACATTGAAGTTTATGTTGTTGTCTCTCTCAATTCTGCAAGATAGCTAGCAAGCATTTTACAATATCCGACTTTTCTCTCCATCTTGTGTTGGTCCCGGCGATTTCACTTCGTGGATCACCCGGTCTAGGAAGGACAATTCTGTTGATAGTGACCTCTGGCCTCTCGCAGGCTCAAACAACCCAAAAGACAAGAACAAAAAGAAGGAATTTGAGAGGAACTGAGAAAAGAAAAGAAAAAAAAGCAAAAGCCAGAGAGAAGAACATCGAGAAGAAAACTTGAACGTGAAAGAAGACGAAAAAATATTGCATATCAAAAGACTGGTGCTGGACTGCACAAACTACTAATCATCTCACTCTCCAGCAATCGCTCCACCTCATTCCACCAACCATCGCAACCGCCATCATCATGTCAAACTCGATTTCCGATGAGGTAGCAGAGGACTACAAAAGTTCCTTGGAGGATCTTATCACCAACGATCGATTTCAGATCAGCAATCTGACTGTCATCGCCAAAGAGAATACCGAACATGCAGAGGCCATCTCCAAAGTTTTGGAAGATCACATTCGATCTGTACGTGTCTGCCCCCCCCCCCCCCCCCCCCCCCCCATTTTCCGAGGCGTAGTCTGGATTCTCTGACTGTGCAGTAGATCCCGCCGCCGCAGAAGTTGCCCGCTCTTTATGTAGTTGATTCCATCGTCAAGAATGTTGGAACCCCCTACACTCTTTTCCTGGGACGGAGGATGTTCCAGACCTTTATAAATGCGTACACTCTCGTTGATTCGCCCACTCGCCGCAAACTGGATGAGATGCTCAAGACTTGGAAGGAGCCCGCCGCGGGCTCGCTGGACACACGCCCGGTCTTCCCGCCCCAGATCACCCGTGATATTGAAAACGCTCTCATCAAGGCCCGCACGGCATTTTTGGACTCACAGCGGCTGAAAGGTCAACCGGATATTAATCGCGGTCGTGGTAGCGTAACGCCAACAAGTTGGGCCAATAACCCCACTCCACCGGGCATGTCTCGCCAAAACCAGCCTTACGCGAATCATGGGGGCCTCGCAAGAACTGCTGTATGGAATATTTTATATGTTTCCCCCCAAGTCTGTACTAACGCATTCACATTAGACACCACCGCAAGGACAACGCCAAGATATGGAATTAATGGCTCTGCATCAGGACCTGGAGGCATTGATCGCGTCGGCACGAAACGACTTTGCGAACAGTCCATTCAATCCTATGAGTCAACAGCGACTCAAGTCACTGCTTGATCTCCAAGGTATCATGCAGCGCCAGCAACTTTCTCCTGAGGAGCGCAAACTTGTTCGAAATCAACTCTCTTCGTTTAAACCTCCACAGCCAGTACCTTTCCAGGCTCCCAATCCTGCCCCAGCTCCTCCGGCATCAACACCTCCAACTCAACCTACATCCCAACCGTTCCCACATATGCTCAATTCCGAAACGATCGCGGAGCTCCTTAAAGCTACTGCCATGAGTCAACAACCCACGCCACCTCCCCAAATTCCCAACCTTCTCCCTTCAATGCCGCAGATTCCTCCCGCCAACAATACCCCACAACTGGCCGATAATCCCATTATCGCCGCTCTCCGTTTACGAGGGCTTTTGCCTCCTGCATCAGCTCCACCAACGATGGGATCGAACGGAACACCACCCCCGGGATCTTTGCCATTTTTCATCCCTGGTCAACTACGAGCTACCCCACCGGTTGCGACTCCTCAGACGTCTACTCCAGTCGGCTCATCATCCACGGTTCCCATGAATACTGCCTCTATGAAAATGTAAGTGTTGGACCCGACATCAACTCCCTTCATGCACGTATGTGAATGTATGTGTGCTCACTTTTACTAATTTAGTCCTCGAATGGCGCTCGTTGTTTCCCTGTACGATGCGAAATCTAATCGGTGCGGAACCTGCGGCCGCCGTTTCCCGGCCACTACAGAGGGCCGCGAGAAAAAAGCCCGCCATTTGGACTGGCACTTCAAAACCAACCAGCGCATGGTTGAGGCTACCAAGCGAGCCCAGACTCGCAGCTGGTATGTCGATGAAGGGGTACGTATTTTCCTTGATATGATTTGGCTTGATCTCCCCGACATTTCAGACTAATGGTAAACAACAGGACTGGATTCAGTCTCGTGAGGTCGATGACGACCAAGGCACCGAAGATGCCGAGACGACTGCGGAAGGCACTGCAGGTGCTGATAGTAATGACACTAAGAAAGGCCCACCGAAGCAGTGGGTTCGAGCCCCTAACGATGCTGTACTGCGCAATACCCCGTGTCCCATTTGCCAGGAGAAATTCGAATCGACGTGGTCCGAAGAAGTGCAAGACTGGATCTGGCAGGACGCAGTCACTGTCAATAGTCGAATCTACCATGCCAGCTGCTACGACGAGGTAACCAAGGATGGCCCACCTGCACGTAGTTACACTCCTCAACAACGAACAGCCACTCCCGACTCAGTGCTTGGCAAGCGAAAAGCCGAGGTTGGTTCAATCTCATCTCAGAAGTTTTCCTCTATTGGTCACTACTAACACCCATTCCTCTTCTCTCTAGGGTATTCACTCTCCTGGGTCTCATGTTCGTATTAAGACGGAATCCTAAAAAAAAAAAGCAAAGCAAATACATATTATTATTTTACGTATCGTAGCACCATGACGTTGCTTTGTGCCCCGCTCGGTGCATCTCCGGTCTCAAATGTGGTTTCTGTGGTTTGGCGGTTTTGTTCTTTTCCCCACTTGAACACCCCTCATATCATTTACTCCTTTACCTTACTTCGTTTTGTACTCTTTTTATCTTTCCCTTCTCCTGAACATAGCTTCAATTCTCTATTAAATTCTTGCTTCAAAATCACAACCCTCCGACGCAATCTTCATACATAATGGCACATCTGACACGATGGGGTATCATGGGTATGAACTCGAGGCTTTCTTCAAATAAAATCTATACAGAGAAATAGGCAATTGCTGACCAAAGTTATACATCCAACTCCAGCCACGGGTGGTATCGCAAAGAGTAAGATAACTCTCCGTGATATAATACCAATAGTAGAGCTTGGCTGATCATGCTTGATACAATAGCATTCGTCCTTGACCTTCTCAAGGACCCCGCGACTCGTGATGCTTCGGATATTTCCCACCAAGTCGCAGCTGTCGCTTCATCCTCATCTAAAGATAGGGCAGACCAATTTATCGTGGACGTTGGGATTCCAGCACCCTGTGTCGCATACGGCTCTTATGAGGAGCTTGTTGCCAACCCTAACGTGGATGTCGTATACATTGCCACACCACACTCTCACCACTATCAAAATGCCCGGTTGGCTCTCGAGGCAGGCAAGCATGTACTGTGTGAGAAGGCCTTCACGGTCAATGTAGATCAAGCCAAGATCTTATGCGAACTTGCTCGCCAGAAGAATCTCTTCCTCATGGAGGCCGTCTGGACTCGCTACTTCCCGTTGAGTGTTCAAGTGCGCCAGCTTATCCAGCAGGGAGCCATTGGTGAGGTTTACCGGGTCATCGCCGATACAAGTTTCAGTGATGACCCCGAAAATAAATGGGGTCCTGAAAACCGCATGGTGAACCTTGATCTGGCTGGTGGTGTGCTATTGGACTGTAAGTGTTGGGCTTGAACTCTTTGCACTCAAAAATGGGGTTGTGCTAACTATGTAATTTTTCCAAATTGGAAGTGGGCATTTATTCTCTCACTTGGGTCTTCCAGGCGCTCTATCACACTCTTCCTCGAGATCAAAGAAAGGCACCCATCGTCACATCACAAATTATTCCCTATCATTTGACGGGGTCTGATGAATCCACCACTATTCTGCTCAATTTCCCTACTTCTACACCATGCAATGGTCCTCATGTCAAGCACTCGCAGGGCATTGCTATGACAAGCATGCGTGTTTCCAATGATCCGGATGAGAAGGGCACTTCCGGTCCCCCGATCCGCATCCAGGGCGATAAGGGTGAGATTCAGGTATTTGGACTTCCCTTCCAGCCTACCCGGTATCGCGTTATCCCAAAGAAGGGTCTCGGTGAGACTCGGGAGGTTGAATTCTCGTTCCCAGCACAGGGCCGTGGCATGTACTGGGAGGCTGATGAGGTTGCCCGGTGCTTGAGAGATGGCAAGTTGGAGAGCGAGGGAATGCCTTGGGAGGAAAGTCTTGTGATTATGGAGGTTATGGACGAGGTGCGCAGACAGGGTGGGCTGAAGTATCCTAAGTCAATCGAGTCGACCAAGTACCCCCTTCAGCTGTAGAAAGGGCTTCCCGTTGTGTACATATATTGGATATTCCCGAATCAAACAGTTTTGGCTGAACTCGTTTTTTCTTTATGTATGGGCTTATCTACGATGCAAATAACAGTATATTTATAACATTGTATTGGGTACCAAAGTACACATACTATACAGGGCCACAGGAGACAGATTACTTCGTCTATATGCTGGACATCATGTCAATCCTAGCTTTTTAGGATGCTCTCCAGACCGAACCCAAACAAAAGAAAACCGGTGAGCATCACAGAGCCAGATTAACAAGTCTCTTTTGCCATTTTCGGGAATGGGAAACCTTTTTTTAAACTCTTTCCTCCCAAATTAAGAACTTTACATTTAGTTCTTGTGGAAAACACCAAGAAGGCTCTTCCAGACCTGGCCGGGCTCCTGGCTGGCATCGATGCCGCGCCAGATACCGGTCTTCTTGTAGTACTCGCAGACGGGGGAGGTCTGGGCGTGGTAGGTGGCGAGACGCTTGGTGAGGGTCTCGGCGTTGTCGTCGGAGCGCTGGATCAGGGGCTCGCCAGTGATATCGTCCTTCATATCGGCCTGGGGAGGGTTGAAGATCTTGTGGTAAGAGCGGCCGGACGCAGGGTGGACCAAGCGGCCAGTGATACGGGCAACGAGCAGGCTGTCGTCGATCTGCAGCTCAACGGCGTGCTTGAGAGTCTGCTTACGGGCAGAAAGCATCTCATCCAGGCGCTCGGCCTGAGCAACAGTGCGAGGGAAACCGTCCAGGATGAAACTATCCATTGAGAGTCAGTCGGCCGGATATAAGCGGCAAATCCAGTATTATCTTACCCGTTCTTGCACTCAGCATTGTTCTCCAACTCGCTCTTGATCATGCCAATCATGATCTCGTCACTGACAAGACCACCCTGGTCCATGATCTTCTTGGCTTCCTTTCCGAGATCGGTCTTTTTGGCGACCTGTGACCGCAGCATGTCTCCGGTGGCCTGTTCCGATAGCAATGATTAGTTAACATGACAAAGTCTCTGGGGTGTTTGGAGAAGACGATTGTTGCGACAACGTACCAAGTGGCATGCGCAGTACTTGTCCTTGATGTTGGGGGCCTGAGTGCCCTTGCCTGTGACGCGTCAATGAACTGTACATTGGTTGACTTTGTTCGTGGCCTTCCGTGTCTGGACCAGGGAGTACTTACCAGCACCAGGGGGTCCCATCAGGATAATGCGCATCTGCTCAGTCAAAGACTTGGGCTTCTCGCCGCCATTGAGCAGACGCTGCTCCAGCTCAACAACCTTGGACTCGAGCTTGCCGATGGTGTCCTTGAGGCTGGAGACGGTATCTTCGGTGATGGGAGCCATTGTGAGTGAGGAGAGGAGAGGGGGCGTTTAAAGGTGGAAGATGTGTTTGTGGTTGGAAGAGGAAGAGCCGGGGAAACGGAAAGGAATTAAGACTTAGCGCCCGAGGTTCGGAGGCTGGCAATGCTACGTAACTACAATGGGGTTCTAAGCTGCACATGTATATTGAACACTCAAATATGTTGAATACATTGCCAGACAATTCTTCTAAATCATTTACTAAACCAATCCCATCATTTCTTTTCATCAAATATATCGAAATAAAACCAATAAAACGAGAAGAAAACAGAAAAAAAAACAGAAAAAAAAAAACCTACAAACACCAGCCTTGGATTACCTAAGACCACCAGCCGCAGTGGCGCAAACACCGAAGCTCTCTCTCTCCAGAGCATCATCGCCCTGTTACGGAGTTCCTTCAATTTCACCCTTCAGCGTCTATCCTTCCATCCGGCTATCTTATATTTTCTTGGACCTCTTTTAGATTCTTTACCTATCACATCTCCTCGTCGGATACCCTTCTCATCATGCCTGCCACCACGGCGGACACCTTATCCCTCGTCAACCGCAGCGTCACGGTTGCTCCGCTAGTGCTGCTCTCTGTCGCCGACCACTATGGGCGAACAGCTAAGGGTACTCGGAAGCGTGTAGTTGGTGTGCTTCTAGGCGAGAACTCCGGCAACAATGTGCGGGTATCCAACAGTTTCGCAGGTATGTATATCAAAGCATCCAATGTGATGTTCCAGGTTCATGGTGTCCAGCAAGCTTACCATGGCGTTTACATCTAGTACCGTTCGAGGAAGATGAAAAGGATCCATCGGTCTGGTTCCTGGACCACAACTTCGTCGAGTCGATGAGAGATATGTTCAAGAAGATCAATGCCCGTGAGAAGCTTGTTGGCTGGTATCACTCCGGCCCTAAGCTACGCGCCTCAGATCTGGAGATCAATGAACTCTTCAAGAAATACACCCCCAACCCTCTTTTGGTCATTGTCGATGTGCAACCCAAGGAGGTCGGTGTTCCTACAGATGCCTACTTTGCGGTTGATGAGATCAAGGATGTACGTCACTCTCTTTGTTGATTTTCTACTCAAACATGCCTTATCAAGTCGACATGAAACTAACTGACGTGTTTTTTTTTCATCGTGATAGGACGGAACTACTACCTCAAAGACCTTTGTGCATACACCATCGATAATCGAGGCCGAAGAAGCGGAGGAAATTGGTGTGGAACACCTTCTCCGGGATATCAGAGATGTCGCAGTTGGCACACTCTCCACACGCATCACTTCACAGCTGCAATCATTGCAAGGGTTGCACTTGCGACTACGTGATATCGGCCAATACCTCCAGAAAGTCCTCGACCATGAGCTCCCGGTCAACCACGCTATTCTGGGTCACCTCCAAGACGTCTTCAACCTTCTCCCCAACCTCTCGACCCCAGCCCAGACACCGGGAATCAGTGGCCAGGAGACACAGATTGAGAATAGCGAGCTTGCTCGGGCAATGAGTGTGAAGACTAATGATCAGCTCATGGCCATTTACATCAGTAGCTTGATCCGCGCGATCACTGCATTCCACGACCTGATCGAGAACAAGATTCAAAACAGGCAGCAGCAGGAGGAAACGGACTCTAAGCGAGAGCAGGAGTTGAATGCGGGCAAGGGTGACAAGGAAGCCAAGAAAGCCAATGGATCGACTAGTGGCGATCAGAAGGAGGAGCAGGACACCTCTGATAAGAGCAAGAAGAAGAGCTAAAATGCTTTTCACCTGTTTTAGATTGGAGAATTTAATCCCCGTCGATATGATATGACCGCTTAGAACTGCTATTTGGCAGTGTATAGTACGGATAATCCAAGGATGTGACTCGAAAAGCTACCATGTTGAGGTACTTGAGCTGAAGGAGTAGGCAGATTTTGCTTCCTTGTGTGCTTTCATCAGCACAGGTTCATCCTTCATCCGATCGTAGTGGTAGTTCTGGTAGTTGGCTTGTTTGAGAGAAATATAGCTGACATCGTAAAAAAAAAAAAAAAAAAGCCGAAATCCCCTCTCAAGGATCAGTGACCTCAACTGGTCACCATGTAAGGCGAAAGGCAAATGCCGTCCACACTGGCAGTACTACCATGCACAGCATTGTATGCAACTAGTAGTAAGTGGCAGTGGTCGACTGCCCAGAGCATGCACAATTAGAGCGTTCATGCGCCGTGGCCACTTATCCGCCCCAACCGGCACACCAACCCGCCAATTCTTGCATAGAAACCGGGTGCCCGTCATCTCCAATTTCCCCAAACAGGCCAGGACATCTAGCCAGCAGAATACAAGCTAATATATGCTTGCAAACCGGGGGTGAACCCCTGTCCGTGACACAGGTGAGAGTCCCACCAAATGGATAGCAACCGGGTTCACAGTTTCGTAGTCCTGAGCCAGAATAAGGTTCTTCAGAGACACCCGTTCTGGACTGAATGTCACGAAATGCCGCGAGGGTGAACGTGGGACAGGTACAAGCCCACGCATGCAAGCGGACCTCGTACCCTTTGATAAGTTCCTGGGTAAGGAAGGCAGACGATGGAGTCCCGTGGAGTGGGGCAGTTGAAGCGGATATGACAAAGAAGATATCTTCTGGCGGAGACTTATGGGTACTTGTGTACGAAGTTTCTGCTTGCTCCGTGTTCTGGTGCTCTGCTGTCAAGCCGTCGTCTTGTCCGGGCGATGTGGTTATTTTGATTCTCTCCTCGCGTACCAGGCGACGCACGAGCCTGCGGTCCAGGATGTCCAGGGCTGGAAGTAGGTCATTGGAGAATAAGCAATGTAAGGTAAGCATTAGTGGCTTGACTCTTATGATGTTTGATGCCGGAAGTCCTGAGAGTGGGTTTGGTTGTTCCCTCTCATGAGGCCCTTGCGTTCTTGGCGGGTCATGCTCATCGGTATGAGTGGTGAGGGAGTGAAACTCGGCCAATTCCTGGATCAAATTATCCACAAATATTGCAGTGGGTGGAATTTGTTGTGGGGTTGAAGCCTCCATGTGGTCGAAGTTTTCCTGGAGTTCGGGATTTGTGGATTTGCAGGGTTGAAGGCGGGAGTGGATGACATATACCGTATGAACAAGCATCATTTTGAAATGGAAGTACTTGAATACATACATTCCCAATCTCGAATGAATCGATCAAAATTGAAGTGCATACATATGTATAGAATGTCAACTACAGAAACTAAAACTAGTACTTGATAAAAGTGCTCGAAAACAACCATATACATGTATAAAAGCAAAAGCAAAACTCCCCCAAAAACACACCAGGTATGTAACATTGACAACATTCAAAAGAATCCGTAGGGCATCGCCTGCTTCACCTGCTTCCCCTTCTTCGTATTCTCGTTTTTTAATGCCTGTTTGACTTCCTCTATCATGCCCGCTACAGAACCTCGAGTCCGCTTCTTTTTCTCTTCGCCCTTGGGCTTTGCGCCAACTGGAGCCTTGCCTTTTTTGGCACCAGGCTTGTTCGGGGATGATTTGTTCGAATCCTTGGATTTGGTAGACTTGATCGCCTCAATAGATGCAGTTTCACTGTACAACTCTCTGTATCTGGAAGCACTGGGAAGACCTTGCTCTAGTACTCCTTGGACGTTGAAGGCTTTGATGACATTATCATCCTGGTCATACCAGCTGAGTTCCAAAAGGCCCTCCTCATTTGGGAATCTAAAATTCTCCATTGATCCTTCGGTTACAACATTGGCCTTGACGACCATCGACTCTTCGCCACCAGAGGTAAACTTCATCCTGAAGGCACTTGGTTCCTCGTCAAAGTCATCAAACTCCTCGGAGACTGCAGAATCGGCAATCTCCCATTCACTCTCCCCATTCTCATTTTGTCCCACCTGTTTTTCAATTTGGACATGTTTCACGCGACTATCCTCCGATGAAGAATCCGAATAGACGATCCTCTGGTGGGTTGGATTCACCGCGAGGCGACGAAAGCCGAATATGTAGGCGCGACACTGGTTGGAGTTCCTTCCAGCCCAGGCGTCATATCCATCGACGCGAGTCACATCCTCATCGTCAAGAAGAGCCCACTTTGAGCCGGGCCCTTTAGCAAAGATATAATAATGTCCCGAATTAGGTTCACCTTTGTGCATTATGACGGAAGTCAGTTCATAGACGACATTGTCATCGATGGTGACTCGTGGGTCAAAGCATGAAGCATCAAACATTAAATCCAGTGGGATCTGGATTGGGTTGTTGATCTTGAATAGATTCCCCTGAGCCGTCGTTCCGATCCGATTAACATGTACCATGAGGCACTCGGGAATCCGACGGAAACTTTCGTGGTCATATCGGTCATTGTGGCATCTACCGCACTTGGTTGGTAGTTTTCTCTGTTCAAAATACTCTGAAATGGCGTCACCCAATTGGGCTGTATTTGCCTTTCCTTTAATGGGAGCATCGGGAAATTGAACGTGCAACATATCTAGTTCAGTCTCGGTATATTGGGGCCTACAGGCACCCATACCATGACATTGTCTGACAGTGACATTGGACAAGCGAAAGAGGCCAAATAGATCGGTTTTACTAAGGAAATGTGTTTCTTGGGTCAGTTCAAAATGTATATTGGACATCTGGATGGATCACGATGAAAAAGAGTCAACACCACTCACAAGAAACTCCGAGTCTCGTTCCTCAGCTGCCGGTAAACTTCAGGCCAGTACTCTGCCACATCTTGTTGGACCCTCGGGGGAGCACCCCACTCCGAGCCAATCAATTTGGTCAGAGCAGTGAACTTCTCAGTACGATCTCCATCAACAGTACCCCAGTAGATGCTAGCCAGCTCACGAAACTGGCATAGTTTGCATGGAAGAGCTTCCGCTCCTAAGATACAGATGCCCCTTTTCTCGCAGTGTTGATCTTTATAATAATCCAGCCAGTTTAGAAATGCTGGCCAGTGAAGAAGCATCTGGAATGTCACAATTTTATAACAGTCTACAGTTGTTCGGTTCGGAAAGCCGACATGAGTAGCCGCTGATAATCCTGCGGGCCAATGGTGATTACCGGTAAACTACAAGAGAGTACAATGTTAGAACTTGGTTTTTTTCTTCTCTCCCCATTTCAAAAGACCCTGGAGAGACTCTATATTCTCTCTCTCTCTCTCCCTCCCTCTCTCTTTGACTTACCCGTGGTATAGTAGAAGACATTGTGTGCAGGTGGTCAGATATAAAGATAACACAATACAGTAGAAAATAATAGGTAGAAGTGACCAGGCCAGCTGTGAAGAGTAAACAATTGACAGGATTGCAAATTTCCGATTCTTCCGGATTGACCATAACGACTTTATGTTAAGATACCTCTGGGTAAGTCAGTGTTCTCTTTTAATCCCAAGACCCATGAAACGCATTGAAGTGAAAGAGTTCTATTTTCGAATACTTGTCAGCTTGGCTTTTCTTTTCTTTCAGTTCATTTTTGTCATAAGCCGAGGAATGGCCTAGTCTTGGAATCTGATATTCTTTGAACAAAGAGCGACCAAGTTTAATTTTTGTATAAAAGAAACTCGAAAGTGATTAGATAAAGAAAGCGCCGACTTTGAACTTTGAACTATTAGTTCGAGGAAACCTCCATACCGAGATTGATAGAGGACTTGGTCTAATCATAGAAAGAAAAGCCAAGATGTACTAGGTTACATACGAGTAGGTAGAGTTAGAACCACCAGAGGTTCAAAGAAGCCCAAACTCTGCAAGTTTCCAAGTCAACTGGTCCTTCCAACTTCCATTTGGACCACACACGTGTATTCAATGATCAATCCTGATCTCTCTTCATTTCCGTTTCCATCACTTTCCATAATTTCTTTGAATTTGAAGTTCATGTTCAAGTTTCCTTATAGTGGAGAAAGTCCTTCCCGTGGTTGGAGCAAAGACTCCGCAATGGTCCAGAATCTCTGACAGGTTGAGTCTAGAACAAAGAAATTATCTCCAATTTGGCTCCTTTAATTGCACTCGACAATGTGAGGTATCAACGTCAGAGTCTCAGAGATCGACCTCGTTTGATACTTGATTTGATGTGTATGCCGTATACCTCGTGGGCTTGAAATCAGAATGACTCAACGCCCGTATTAACAGTATCAATGGTATCTACTGGTATAATTACTAATATATTACATAGTAACTAGATAAGATCCTCCTACTCTCTTTGTACTTCTTGTACTTCTTGTACTTCTTGTACTTCTTGTACTTCTTGTACTTCTTGTACTTCTTGTACTACTCAACTCAAGTGCTTACTTGACTTGGCTGGAAAGTGGATTGATGAACTGGTTCCTATAAAAAAACGAACCTTTTGATTTTACCTTTTCTTTTTCCTTTTTCCTTTTTCCTTAATTTCCTGAGTTTCTATTCTTTAAATCTGTACACCTTTGAAGCTCGCACTTTCCGCGACCCCACCAACCCCCACAGGACTAAGCGTGTTTCAGGTTCAAGGTGGAGCGCAACCTGACGAAAAAAGCACTCAATTCATGATGACGATGATTGGTGCCAAACCTCGATGAGATCCGGCCGAGTCTCAAAGCCGAGTGAGGCGATCTCTCTCTCTGGGCTTACTCCGTACATCCAGCCTTGTCTGGCGGCCCCGTCTCCCGTTTCCAGCATTTTGATCTATCCAACTTTGACCGGAACCAGGTCCCCCTGTTGGTCAAAGGTTTGTGTATCATCTGGTCGTTTTAGCTTTGTTTCTTTTTCTTTTTCTCTTTTTTTTTCCTTTTCTTTTCTCTATTATTTCTCGGTTTCTTTCTTATCCTTTTTTTTTAACTGATTTTATGTAACTTTTTTTTATCCTTTTGCCCCCTTGACAGCAGCGTTCCTCGCGTCTACCGAAGATCCACCGTTGCGCGCGCACTGCCCCATCCAAACGGTTGGGCGCCACTCATTCAGCTCTGCCACCTTATGATCTCAAAAGTGGAACCCCCTCGTCCCCGTCGTTCTCGGGCCTTCCGAGTAAATTGTTCAACGTGGACCGCAGTGAGGAGAACTGAGGGTCTTGTTTACGGTATGGGAAATGAACCCCCCATAGGGCAGAAACGCCTCCAAACCCAACCCGAGGTACAAACCGAAAAGCCACAGGGAGCATTCAATTTCAATTGAAACGTCAGGGAAATTGGAGAAAACAAACTCCCCCCTTCCCATTTCCTCCCAAATAAAAACCCGAGTCGGATTCAAGAACGAAAAAAGAAAAGAAAAAAAAGGATACAAAGCCCAACTGGGTCCGAAGTGGATGTGTCGGACATTTCAGGCGATCACTACGGAGTACGAAATATGTAAATAGAAGCAGAAATCCTGCGCCACCAGCTCCCCTCGGTCACTTCCACTTAAGTCATAGTTCCGATGATCGAACGTTGGCTTTGGTCTCCACTGAGTGGAGAAGTTGGCTTTTGAACTGCAACGAAAGTCAAGATAGAGACCACTCAGGTGGTGTAAACAGGCATGGGAAAGCTTTCCCCTCTCTTACCCGTGAGAAGTCCGTCATAACCCCTCCTACAGTAGTAAGTAGGGGTACTTGGTATATCCAACTTTACCCTAAGCTACCGTGTCCCGCTAACCTTGACTTCACCTTACCCTTTATCGGCTAGGAGAAATGACCACGGGGATCGGCATGGATCATCTTCGCTTCGGGTCTGAAAACCCACCTTGAGACCGTTGCCCCGGTTTTATTTTCCCTTTCTCCAACTGTGAGAGGGGCCATGAAATCATGCGATGCGTCTATGTGAATTATTGATTTTGATGCTGGAGAACATGTCCACATCGTACAGGAACCTAATTGTACTCCCACTTTTGACTCGGTAGTCAAGCGGACACGAGACGAAAAAGTATACCAAAAAAACGAGAAAAGTGAGAAAAATGAGAATGAAAAGCATAAGAATCAAACCTCGACCAAAAGCCATACACAAAGTCCTAAGTTCTAACCAAAAGTCCCCACGTGATGACCTCGTAACTACATGTCGATCCTTAGGCAACTGGATGCATATCTACAGAAAGTCGGGAAGAAGGGCAGGAACTCATGTTCGAGCTGACTTGCATTGAACAACTCCACCGCCACTTTGCAGGACTTTTTTTTTTTTTTTTCAGTTTGGGGGGGTTTTTTTTTCTCCAGGGTTATAGGCTGCATTAGGGTGGCTTTGCCACTTGGGGCTCCGTGCCAGCTGCATGCACGTTATATCCAATCACGGAGAATTCTACCAACGAGTTGCTGCAGCTTGCCCGTTCTCAAACTTATTTTTTCGGTTTGTTATTTGTTTTGATTTGTACAGTTGACGTATAGGAGTACAGAGTACAGGCAATTTATAGTATGGTTCATCAAAAAGGGAAACAAGTTCCAACCCTGAAATCTAGACTTCAAATGTTTCCCATAGTAATTCACAGCAGAAATCGCTTTGGTAATTTGAATACATATGTAAGTTATATAAGTTATATAATCCAAGGCCCCGTCGTTCAAGAAAAGACGGTTCCAGCCTCCCATAGTGTCTCCCTTAAATTAGAGAGCAAATTAACGTAGCAAACCTGAGACCTTAGCTTCTCGCTTCCCGCAACCCCATTTTCCCCTTTTCACACTAGTCCCAAGGTAAAAAGCCATCATCTGGAGCTATGCTATTGTAGATTGTACTTTCTTAACGATTATGAACGGAGAATGCCGATCCGGTCCTTCATGCGATCGGGCCTCAATTGTATGTCCTTTTGATTGTATAGCTAAGGGAGAAATTTGGACATGTACCAAAAAAAAAAAAAAAAAAAAATAGACTAGAAATCTAGACCCAGGATCAACCAGGCCAATTTCGCCTAGGTCTGATCGCCCCCTTTTTTTTTCCATTGTGCCCTCTGCTTGTCAAATTGGGAGTGATCGTGATTGCGACGCCGTGTGACGAGGATGTATCTGCGAACGATGGTTTCTGCGGCACAAGGTCTGGGCCCATACACGACAGGAGCCAAACCCACTTTTGAACTGAGTACGGGAAGTTCTGGAAGGAGGCATTTTTCAAGAATTGGTTTGACAGATGATTACCGAGGCTGAAGTTCCTGATGATCCAAGGAAACCATCATTTTTCCCCCTCGTTCCATGGAAAGGAATTAAGAGTGATCTATGGAATTAGAAACAAACTGGAGGGAAACCAGGAACCCGGGATTGGTGGATCCAGGCAAAATTGCAGGCAAAAAAAAAAAAAAAAAAAAAAAAAAAGGAAAAGAAAAACATCTAAAGATTTTAGGTATATAAAGAATAAGAAAAAAATAGTCTAAAAGATAAAAATTCCGAAAGCTATAGCTTCGGAGAGCTGTACAGCATAAAACCTTGAAAAAAAGTACGTGAAATATACAAACAAACAAATACCATCAAAGCCATCGACGCCTCTGGGAACGAGAAAAATCCCCGAGTGGGACAAGAACACCCCAGATCCCGTTTATTTCCCTCGTGATTAGCGAAAAAAGCCGTTGAGTCCGATCTGGGACTTTAGTCACAACGGCATGGCATTAGGGCCGCCAGAGAAGGCGCTGATTGGTCCCGCGCACTTTTAGAGTGTTTTTTTCTTCTCTTTTCTGTTTTTTCTTTTTTATTATTTAATGATTTTTGATTATTTTAATATTTTAATATTTTCGATATTTTTTGATTATTTTTATTTTTATTTTAAAATTTGGTTTTTTTGTCCTTTTCCTCTTCTGACACTCATTTCACTCCAGGAGGAATGCGGGTCCTCGTTTCCCCTCTCTTCTCTCTTCTCTCTTCTCTCTACTCTCTACTCTCTACTCTCTTTAACACTTCTATATCTCTATATCCTCTTCTCTCTCCTATTTTCTCCTTTTCTATATCCAATCCCCCTAATACCCAAAGTTGAATAATCAGGAATTTAAATTCTAAAATATATAAAAAAAAAAGACAATAATCAATCAAATAATCAACATAATCAACGTAATCAGAAAAGCAGAAAAAGCAGAATCAAAAGCATAATAAATTAGAATCATAACTAAAACTGGGAATGAGTATGGGCTCCCCTCTCCTGTACATTTCTCTACGACATAGACAAGATTACAATCCCAAGGGTTTGACCGCTATGTTTAATTAAAACGTTGTGGATCGATTAAACTGATGACCCTCTTTTTTACCCTTACAATACTATACGTAGACTTGGGTCTAAGACTCGTTTCATCTTTCACGTTCTGGACTCTCTTCCCTATCAAACTTCTACTTCTCTTCATTCTCTTCAACCTCCTCTACCTTCGTTTCTCTTTTGACTTTGACCTTTTCCAATCCTATACACCTTTCTTCGGTTCCTGGAGGACCTCATCCACGGTACCTGGTCCCGCCGTTTCTGCCGTTCAAAACGAAAAAAAAAAGAGAGAAGAACCTCCTCTGACCTCACCATTCGTTGCACAAGACCATCCCTTGTGTTTGGCTTTTTTTGGTGAAGAATCACGGAGCAATTTGATCCAAGTTCTCGGTCCCTGAACTTGATTGCCCGCAAGCCTTTCTGTTTTCTTCCGAGTAAGAAACAAGAGAGACGGAGAGAGAGAGAGAGAGAGAGAGAGAGAGAGAGAGAGAGAAAGAGAGAAAGAGAGATCACGAGTCTTGCATTGTCTCTGCTTGTTTCTTCTATTCCCCTCCCAAAACAACACGACTTTTCTCCTAATCCTTTTTCTTTTTTTCTTGAAAAGAAAAACAAACTCCCTTCCTATCTCTGATCTACTGGAACAAAATAGTGAAGATAAAACCATCCAGGTGTCTTGTTTGTTGGGTGGTTTGTGGTTGGCTTTTGCTGCTTTTCTTCTCTTTCTTTTCCTTTTTTGACTTTTGATATCTTTTTTCAAAACAAAAAAACACCAAACCCATCAGCATCTTTCATTTGTCAACTTTGAGAGAAATCCCCCTACCCAGGACGCCACCCCCATCGCGCATATGATTGCGTTACAAAATCGGCCTATCTTGCCGCCCGCCAAAGTGGATATCTCACTACTACTCAAGCCCCAAGATGAGGAAGAAACCTCGGGCAACCCTGCCCCTCTCTATCCCCCAAGGATGTCAGGTCCCCTCCCCGGCACCTCCTACTTGACTGGTCCGTCGATGGCTGTGCCACCGCCCTTGACCAAGACGGGCCCAACTGGCGCTCCTAAACGTCTCCAACCAGCTCATACCGCGGAATCGCCTGCTAAGAAGCAATCCAAATGGTCACCCGAGGAGGATGCCTTAATCATCGAGCTACGGGGCAGCGGGATGAAATGGGAGGATATCAGTAAACGCCTGCCAGGTCGCAGTGCCATCAGTTGTCGACTTCATTATCAAAATTACCTGGAACGTCGCAGCGAGTGGGATGAAGATAAGAAAAACAAACTGGCTCGCTTATATGAACGGTAGGATCAAAAGAATCCCTCCCCCCCCATCCAGCCACGAGAGCATTGGAGAACAGACCTGCATATACCCATATACCCCATATATACCCCACCTACTCATATAACGACATATTCCACGCCTACATACACACATACAACAAGAAGGATTGAATGAAAGACTTGCTGACAACTTTTTAATCCAATAGATTCAAGGCAGAAATGTGGTCCAAAGTGGCCGAGGAAATGGCCATCCCATGGCGTGCTGCAGAGGCGATGCACTGGCAACTAGGGGAACAAGAAATGGCTCGCCGCGCAGGCGTGGTGCCCTTTTCCTTATCAAGCCATGCGATCGATCCACCCACCACCCGAACTCGTCGAGCCAGCACCTCTCTCGCTCGCCCACGAAAGAGTTCCATCTCCCGCGCCATTCCAGGTCACCCATCAGGCCTGGCCCCTCAACTACCATCCCTGGAAGAATTGACTGCGGGTGTTCCTGCATATGCACCTGCACCACCGGCTCCTCAACCTCGAGAGTACTATGGAGTGGGCCGACCCGATATGGGAATTCCACCCCCCGGAATGATGGGCCCACATATGGGGATGCCTATGCCCCCACGAACGTTGCCCTAATATGTGATGACGATTTCACGTACGGCTTTCTTTTTTTTCCCATTTGTTTTCTGATATGACTTGCATAGCGCCGGCTTGGAGGTATACCGTGATTTTGTGGGAGGTTCTGATTTGAATAGAAATGCTTTTGTTTTTTTTTCTTTTTTCTTTTCTTTTTCCCCCCTTCCCCACCACCCCCTTGCGACATGCGTCTTTTCTTTGCTGTGTTTCTTTTTTCTTTTCTTTTCTTTCTTTTCCTTTCGGAGATTCTTTTATGCTTTACTGGAGGGCATTCAGGCTTTTGCCCCAATCTCTACCCTCATTTATTTGAGAAGGAGGGTGGGGAAAGAAAAGAAAAGAAAGGGAAAAAGAAAACAATCCTCCAGGTTTCTGGTGGACTATCGAGGCTGGCTCTCGAAATGAAACCGGTTCCCGACATTATGGGTTAACCTTGGGCGTGGCGATGGCCCACCAATTGTCCTTCTCATATCCGGACGTCACCACATGACCGCCAGCATTTTCAATATCTCGCTCCAATTCGCCTTCACCAAACAGATGGTAATAGCGATTGAACGTTTGAGATTCCTCCGGGGCCGATGGGTTCTTCCGAACCCAAGGGACCATGATATCTTGCTGGTCCCCTTTATCCCAACCCCGACGACTATTCTTCTGCTCAAGGGCCCAGGCATAAATTAAGACGGTACCGCCTGGTTGCGTATCCGAACCGCGTTTCACGGTTCGCAGAATCTCAGCAATGGCCTGCACTCTTCGCTCCGCGGTGGACAGATGATGCACGACGGCAATACACATTGCAAAGTCAAAGTTCTCATTCCGGTGTGGAAGGTGGAGAATATCGGCCACGACGGCTGAATGTGGTTGATGCTGAAGAGCAAACCGGGCCAGATTTTCCGATCTGTTTAAATCAGGTCAAAAGGGCCGGAAGAAGAGGGAGAAATTTTGCGGAAGATTATGATACAATCAAATATCAAACACATTGAAAACCAAAAATCAAGAAAAAAAAACATTAAAAAGATTTTATATACGACCTTCTCTCTCTCCCACCGTATTTGGAAACAAGGATATAGACTTACCGATCCGATGCAATAATAAAGACATTGCGATTAACCATTAAATTCTTGCCGTTTCCACATCCCACATCAAGCCCCACGGATCCAGGTGTGAGATTTTGCAAGAATTGTTCCACAATAGGCCATGGCTACGGGACTAAGTAAGTGACAGGTACATTTTTCTCCCCTTGCGTCTTTCATCATACCTTATAACGTGTAGCAGAAAAGTGCTGGGCAATATTCTGATAGACCTCGTGTACGTTCTGTTGCTCGTACTCCTCAGCGTTGGACATGGTTGCGGCTGTGAGTTGCATCTATTTGAATTTGGTTGAATCTCGATTGTCATTGAAGTCAAGCGAGGGACATCACGTGGTTTTATCATTCAAGTGGGATGGAATCGAATTTCTTTCCATCTTTCATCTTTCATCTTCTTTTCTTACATGCTTAATTCTACAAACCCAATAGATACTCCTTTGTACCGTCACTTTAGTTCTCTGCCTTCCCTGATTCAATCATCTTCTAGGCCAATCTCTCCATATACAATTCGTATCGGATCGCAGCGTACTGGATCGGTAATTTCCTTTTCCAACCAAAATTTCGATTGAAACCGTTTCTTGAAGATCTTCCGTTAGCAACATTCTTTCTGAATCGGGATTCTGCTCAATTTCCAATTCATCCAGTTTCCTCTTAGACCCGCGTACATGTAACATCTGTAATGCTGTTTCACCATGCCGGAGAAGGCCGTGAGAACTATAAGAACGTCCATGTCAATCCCGCATGACTAAGCCACCGTTCTGCAGGGCTCATCCATGGATCGCGCATGGTGTTCAGGAGCATCGCTCGCTTCGGTCTTGAGAGAGAAAAAAAAACAATCTTTGTAAGTACACTATGGTCGCATATGAATACATTTCTTCATGAGTGGTATATACGAGCTGAGGTCTATCTTCATTTGCTACGATCCGCGGGTCGCTCTTAAAGAGGGGCCATTCGTGGTGAATATTGCCATTATCAAAAAAAAAAAGGCTCCCCTTGAGGGGGGGGGACCTTGTTTGGGAGCCATTGGATACCCTACCTCTTTGGTTTGAAACACCCAAAATCAGCAATTGGGGATGGGATACCACCTTGTCATTTCGTTTTTGGCCTGCAACTTGTTTTTGGAACGACTCTAACATCTCCCCACAGAACACACATCAAAGCAAGAAACCTTCGCGACCGCTTCAAGGGTCCCCAAGGCATACTTTACTATCAAGATGGCATTCCAGCCTACACCGGCGGATATCTCCGTCCTTATTACCAATGCTGGCTTTTCACGAAAGGCTGACGCTGAGCCTCGTTTTGTCACCGAGCGCCGCATTACCCCCACTTGGACTGTGATGCAGCTCAAGGGGAAGCTGGAGACCATGACCGGTGTCCCACCGGGGTGTCAGCGCCTGCTTGTCAAGGTACCTGGTCGGCCTGATCAATGGGCAGATGAGGAGGACCGGGCTATCGGTGATTGGGGATTGGTCAAAGGAACAGAGATTGTGGTAGGTCTTGATTTCTTTACCTCCCAGAATCGTTTAACTTGAAGGGGGCTTTGTCAAATGAGTACCCCTCTAATGGATCCTGGATTTAAAAGGAGTCATTTCATGGCTTGTCAAATTTCTCCTGGGGATCTACAGGGTAAAAGCTTATATTTTGTATGGAATATCGTTACTAAATAAGAAACAGGTCCATGATTCTCGTCCACAGGCGATGAGACCCAACTTCACCGACCTTTCGTCCGTGGAAAAATTCGAAATGCCTACGGAGACATACGAGTCTCTTTCAAACTCTGTTCTGGCGTGGAAGAAGAACCAAAAGCTCGGCCGCTTTGATCCAAATGCGCTTTCACCGGAGGAATCTCTTCGCCACCAAGTATCAAAGGACAAGGCCGAGATAGCTTCTCGAGGTACGAATCATTCTACTAAACAAAAACAATTTTCTCTGGTATTCGTCTCACCACCCAATCATAGAGATCTCCATGGATAAACGAGTGATTATCCTGCCATCTTCCCCGCCCCATATCAGACGAGGAACAATTCGATTTATTGGGCCTGTTCCTTCTATTCCGGTTTCTGGACCTGGCCGCGAACTCGAAAAGACAGGCGAGCTTCCTGTGGAGCTGCAGCCTATCTGGGTAGGTGTTGAGCTGGATGAGCCGACGGGGAAGAACGATGGTAGCGTTAATGGGCAGCGTTATTTCCAATGTCTTGAAAAATGCGGTGCATTTGTGAAGCCGGATAAGCTGGAGGTGGGAGACTTTCCACCCCTAGGATTGGATGATGACTTGGATGATCTGATGGAGGAGATTTAATGTATATAAATTGGGTGGGGTTTTTTTTTGGTGGAAGATACACATTTTTATTTGATGTAAAGAAGACCCGCCTTCCAATTGATTCCTCCTTCTCATCCTTCTTCTCCTCCTTCATAACCAATTAGCGCCAAATAGATTAAGCTGATAAAGACCAACATCCCAGTTAAAGAAAGGTGGGGGGGGGTTTCATAGGGGAAAGAAATAAGACATTCAAACGCTCGAGGCATATGGTATCGTGGCACATTGTCAACACCGCCGTGACATGAAAATGAATCAGAAGCGAAGGATACAAAACACAAAACAGATACAGATCACCCTAGACGATGGGCAGAGGGCAGTGTATTACTTTGCCTTCTGCTTGCCCTTGGGACGACCGCGACTCTTTTTAATTACTGGTGCAGGGACATTTTCGGTTTCCGTTTCTGCGTCCGCTTCTGCTTCAGCTTCAGCTTCGTCTGCATCTTCGCCTGCATCATCTCCCTCCAGCTCACCCTCTCCTTCGGCTTCGAATTCGCTTTCTTGAACGGCATTCCTGGATTTACTTAAAGCAATCTCGTCCTCGCCCGGGACGCAACCCTGTGTGAAAAAAAGCCGAGCTTCTTTGCTATGAGCATTTTGGAAGCTATAGTAGTTGCCTACATCACAAACAATGCGACATTAGTTGAAGAACATGGACATTGTAATAGAACATTGAACTTACCACGTGGGACCTGGAACACACATCCCTTGCCAGCGCTAAACTGCACCCCAGAGATATCGACTTGCACTCGCCCATGACAGACATAGAAAACCATGTGCATTTTTTTCGAATTCTTGGGTCTCTTCACACCTTCCGGTGGTAGTTCCACAACCCCCGATCCGATGAATGAAGAGCTAAGGAGCTTTGCGAATCGGAATGTGGAATCCTTGACCTCTCTTGTTTCGATACCAGAAGGAGCATATGCGATATCTGCGGAGACTGGGTTAGCAGGTACAACATTGATTAAATCGGAATAATATGCCCAGACTGATACTTACCGATGACGTCCTCCTCCTTGGTGCTGTTTTGAGACTTGGGGTCCCACCTGGGGATGAAGCCATGAAGAACACCACTTTCTTTTTCCCAGACATCGAGATCATCATCATCGCCCGAAGACTCTTCTGCTTGAGCCTTAGATTTTGACTTTCGACCGGCACGTTTGCCTTTCTTCGTCCGCCCTCGCTCCGGCTCGAGTTCTTCGGCACGAACGACTTCTTTGATTGTGGAAAGTGGAAACCGCTGGCCATCTTCGGCCTCACCGTCCCCATAGACACATCTTTCGTTACGCCAGTATGCCAAAGGCCGGATCGATGCACGCCCTGAGCGAGTATGTGTGGAGCTCTGGTCTGTGGGGTTTTCTCTCTTGAGGATGTACAAGCTGCGACCCTTCAACGGTCCTGAACGTTGGGTATAATTCTCGACGACTTTGTTAAGTTCGGGGTCCAATGGTTCGCGGATCACTTGAGACTGGCTTTTTGTGACCTTTTGCCTCTTGGGTGACCTGGCCTCGGGTACTGCTTCCTCATCAAGTGGACGTGAGCTCTTCGGGGGTCGTCCGCGTCGTCCACTTTGAGTTCCATTCTTCTTTGTCTTGGAATCGGTGTCCTTCGCTGCGGGTGCTTGCTTCCTCTGTTTGGAAGTCGTCGTAGGCTTCTTTGGCGCCACGGGCGAGGCTTCTGCTGGAGGCGAGTCGTTATCGGCATCACTATGGTCCTGGACAGGAGGCTCGGGAACATCATCTTCGGGCATCACAGTCTCGTCTCCGGCATCAAAGCTGTCTCCAAAGTCATTGTCTTCGGGGAGGAATGAATTGGCATTTTCGTCGCCGTCTGAAAAGTCATGTACGATAGGAGACTCAGGTGCCACTAGTTGCGCTTTCGTGGCCTTTGGACCATTGTGTCTCGGCTTCGAGACACCCGCGTTAACTGATCGAGCAGTCAATGGAGATGCTTCTTGTCGCGAACCGTTGGTTTTGGTCAAGCCTTTACCATCTGAAGGACTTGGCGATAATGATTCGTCTTCTTGGTCTGGTGTCGAGCGCAAATCAGGCGATATACGGGCAGACGAAGAAATGCCCTTAGCAGGTGACCGACCGGGTGGAGGCAATAGGGCATTACGCGAGGCGTTGGTGGCATTGAGGAAGTCCATGGGACCAGGCGCGTTGCCTAATATCCCATCTCGTCAGAACCTCCGATCCATGGGTTTCAATAGCCGGGGCGTCATACCTTCATCTATGGACATCCCATCGGAACCAATCGAATCTTCGCTGTCTCTGTCATCAAAGCCATTCACCTTTGCAGGTGATTTCTCAGGAGATGAAAAAAGACCGTCCACTTCTTCCATGCCATGTTCATCACGTTTGCCTTCTTTCAAAGTAATACCGGTTCGTCTGAATAAATCGCGTAGGTTAGCTAGCTGCGCTACTACCACCGTTGCTGGAGCACCCGGCGCGACTGACCTTCCTTGAGTTCCTACTGCGGAGTAGTCATATTCGCGGGCCTTGGCCCCACGGGCCATCTTTGGTAGAATCTTGGGGTATATGAACAGATAGGAGAATTATCACGGAAGTTTTGCGATCTGAACTTGGGGTTTCACCCCTTAGTAATTGGGTGGTAAAAGGGCAAGATTGTTCACGGAGGGGAAGGAGGAATGCGCCGGAATTTGGGGGGAAAGCAACGCGTGCCGCTAAACCCGAGCGGTCGACGCGTTTGGCATATTTGATCATCATTTTTCTACGATTACTTTTTTTTGTTGTGTCTTGCCTTCCTTCCCTTATATTCAATCCACTTTCTCAATATAACAACATCTCAAACTATGAAGGACAACAAGGCGAACCAGGAAGATCTATCTTTCATTCCCCCTAGTGTGGACTCGGCGAGTCTCCTCTCCGGTGAATCCTACGCCTATTATACGCCCTGTCCGGCAGCTATCACAACCAATGCTTCGTCAACGGAAAACACACCATGCGTACTTGGTGTAGATGAGGCTGGTCGTGGCCCCGTTCTCGGACCAATGGTCTACGGAGCTTTCTACTTGCCCCTCGACCTACACCACTCCCTCCTAGCACAGGACTACAGCTTCGACGACAGTAAAGTCCTCACCCCCGGCGTGCGAGCCAACCTAATGCGACTACTCAACACCCCGGGCAACAAGTTATTCGAGTCATGTGGATATGCGATCAAAGTTCTCTCAGCCCGTGATATCTCCTCCGGCATGTTGAAACCAGGCGCCGCCGTCTACAACTTGAATGCGCAGGCTATGGACGCTACAATTGAGATCATTCGAGGGGTGGTGCAAGATCGTTCGGTCAATGTGCAAGAAGTGTATATCGACACCATTGGAAACCCAGCGTCATACCAACAAAAATTAGAACGAATCTTCCCATCGTTGAAAATCACGGTGGCTAAGAAGGCAGACTCCTTGTACCCATGTGTAAGTGCGGCCAGTGTGGCTGCAAAGGTGACGCGTGATGTCGCGCTTGAGGTGCTATACGAGGCTGTACTACGTGCTCAGCAATCTGAAGAGGGTGTGTCAGATGCTCCTGAAGGATGGGGTAGTGGATATCCCTCTGATTCAAAGTGTGTTGGCTGGCTTCGTCGTAATATGGACCCTGTCTTTGGCTGGGGCAACGAGTGCCGATTTAGCTGGGGCACAGCTAAAGAGATGTTAGATGCGAGGGGTGGAGCACGAGTGGACTGGCCGGAAGAAGATGAGGAAGGAACCAGTCGGCTCGAGTTTTTGTTGACTTCTGGACCCGCAAAGGGCTCTGGTCAAGATGGGTTACGAGATTGGTATGGGAAGAGAGAAGCGGAAATTATTTGACGCATTGAACGAATCGGGAATTTGAAATTATGAGGCTATTATAAAAAAGAATATCAATGATACCCCCCCAAACCCAGTGAGGTACAACTTCAATAAACAAAGGAAAGTGTTCATCACCAGAGTCATCAAATAATGAAGAACCATAAAGAAGAAAGAAGTAGTATGAATTTCAAAAACAAACCGGGTATCATGGGAGAAGGAAAATCTGGGCAGAATAATCATAAGGTGGCAGTGGAGAAGTAGTAGTTGTCCCACAGGTATTCATAGTCCTCCACCACACTGCCAACCAAGTCAAGCAGCGGTTTCCCCTTCATCTTGTTGGTTAGACTGTGCAGCCATGATCTGCTTAATATTAGTATCGTGATCAAAGGGGATAGAATGGCGTTCGAAATCATACTTGGTGACGTTCTCATAAAATGCGCCTCGCATCATCCACCAGCCCATCGACCATCCCCGCTTTCTCAACTCCTCTCGCTCGAGACCTGTAAGTCCCCGGAGCCCACCAGCAACACGCTCACGGAAATCCCGTTTGGCAAGCTGACGACATCCGTATTCCATTCCAAATCCAATTAGCCAAGGGCGCCAGCTCCGCTTGTCCCCGCTCCACCGCTGCATCGCCAAGGCATAAACAACAGGTCGAAGGATATAGAGGATCTCCGCTAGCTGACCTTGACCAGTGACCCGATGCAATAAAGTTTTAGCAGGTTTGATGTCATCTGCAGTGAGTACTTTCGAGATGAGATAGTTGGACACATCGTTAACATCCGGAAGTGATGGAAGGGACAACCCTGTACGAGGCATCGTCCAGCTTAGATCCGAGGATCGGTCACTGACAGGCGTATCCATGCCATTCCAGTCGCCCTGGTCGTCTTCTTCCGTCGTCCTTGGATCAACTTCACGCTCAGGCAAAGGTGGGCTCACCAGTGGCCGGGAATTAGTCAATCGAAGAAGCAGCAGCCGGCAAATGGCCTTGGCAAATTCAATGAAAACAATGATGCGCCAACGGGTTTTTTGGCCGCGCCGCCGGGCTGACATTTCCCACAGAAGTTCCGTGTATTGCAGCATCTGGAGCGCGAGAGCTACACGACGATAGAGCGAGGAACGCGAGGTCCAGTACTTGGTGTATCGAGCATGAGGAGTCGGTGTCGGTTTTGGGACAGTGGAGGGGAGTCGGGATACCACCCGCGAAACGAGGGAATCATGGTATAATGATAGAAGTTGCACGCCCGAGTGTACTGCATGGCCATTATCAGTCAGTCGCAGTTCCCCCTGTGCAGCTGCAGCTGCAGGTACATGAACTTACCACATTCTGATGCAACTTCAGATTCACGATATCGCCCTATAAATCAATAAAACACCCAGTCAACGATGTATCTAGGCATGATTCTGAATGGGCATCGAATGTTCTCCTCCGCCTACCTGGAATGATGTAGGTCAGCGACCTCAGGGCCGACTCGACCTGGCCAACCGAGCTGGAATTCTTAGTCACAAAGTCTTCATATAGCGATAGCCACTTAGATGGCTTAAGCATCGTGGGTGGGATGGGATTCTGAATGTTCCGAACGGTCTCCATGATCCAGCTCGATGCAGCCGCTCATGGGCGTCGCGTGGGAGAAGCGGGTAGGTTGGTGTTCCGGGGTCACGGGCTGCCAAGACCTGCCGGGCCGAGGTTCATATTTGTTTGCGGCACTTTCTATACTGATAAACTTGTACTCTATTAAACAACATTGCATTTATGTTGTAAGCCATATGTAGATCAATCCATACATGTTATGTAAGGTTAGTACAATGTACAAGTTTTACTATGTACTAGGCAGGCTTTGAATCATCTCATATTGGACAATGTATGGCATTAACCGAAATATAATCTTTGAATCTCGATGATATCTATAGTAGTTCTCAAGAAATTCTTTCAGAAATGACTTTCTTTCACTCATCTGCCCAGGTCCATAGCCCACCGGGCCGCATGGCTTCACGGTATCGCTCCTCTATCTTTTCTCTCTCTATTCTTTGGGCAACTTCTCGATCGGACTCTAGTTCTTGTGTAGAGGGCATATCGGTCCTCCAAAATCCAGGAGGCGATCGAGCCCGCTGATGAGCATGCCGGTGTTTGCCATATTGGTTTGCTATGGCTCTGGCTCGAGCTTCAATGAGAAGGTGACCGCGATCCTCTGCACTCAATCCCTCCAGCATATGGTAGTCTTCTCCCATATACTCCTCCAATAGTCGTTGATCTTCCTCCTGCTGTTCCGATGGTGACTTGGCGGGGAATCCTCCGAGACGAGCCATGGCACGAAATCGGCCTCCGCAGCATTCGGGTCTCGTACAGCCGGTGAGACACTTGCGATCATCTTTCTTTCGAACAACTGCACTATATGCGTAGTCAAGCCCGTCGTTTTTCTGCGGGTTGATCTTGAAATGATCCAATGTCAGCCTGTGAAGAGGGCGTGACCTATAAGGCTCATCATCAGGGTGCACATTCAAATCAAGTTGGCTTTCAGACTCCTCGTTTTGCACTGAAGGTGGCTGGAAAGGAATTGATTTGGCAGTCCTAGAGTCCTTCTTAGGAGTGATATTTCGTCCCAGCATGCCTCTTGAGGACGTAAGAGGTGATTTCGATGGCTGTGATTTCTCAAGAAGATCTTCTAGGCGGTCTTTGGTGGTGAGCTTAGAGCGAGATTCCATCTTCAATGACATAGTTGGGGGCACTGAAATGCATCTTGTAGAGTATGGATGGGCATCCGAATCACCAACATCACCGTCTTCGGTGATCGATAATATCGCCCGAAGGTCTTTGAATTTCTTCCCTTTGTCACCAAATTTAGGCTTGGGGACTCCTGCTGATCGCATGTTACCATCAATTGGTTGAAGCACATTGAAGCTGCTTTGCCCATGGTTCAATTCCCTCGAGCTAGTGTCATCCCAATGCACTGCTCTGTGCGCATGTCGTTTTGTGGGTGTCATCACAGTATCGCCGATGTCATCAAGGTCCTGGGTGCTTGGAAGAGATGGCCCCAAGACATATGCCGAATGCTGCTGGGGGCTCGATGAGAATGTCTCATCTTTCACCAGTATCGGTCGGGCGGATTTGCTCGCTGTAACAGGGGCTTCAGAAGAATTCACGGCACGCTTTCTCTTTCGTTTCTGCAAATTTGGCAACGGGGGGAGTATATCCGAAGGCGACTCTGATGAATCCGGTTCACGCCCAGGAGAAGATTGTGTAAGGCATGGTTCTGTCTCGTCTGAAAATGAAGCATGCAGACTGTGATTTATTGTTTGGGTCACAGGGGTCGTGTCTGCTGAGCCGCTTCGGTTCTGTGTATATTTGATAGGCTGCTCTGAATTAAGAGAGATCCCCTGTTTTGGAGGCAAGCTTCGCCTAGTAAATGAGCTGGAGTTTACTGCAGCATGGTCGTTATGGTCATCCTTCGAGTTTTGAACTCTCTCAAATGTGACCGGCTCGCCATCAAGATCGAGGGTGAATTTATCGTTCTTAAATTTTTGCTGATAGAGGCGTAATTTCGTCTTATGCTGCATCAGCTTTGCCTTCAAGGGACCCCAACTCTGACGGTAGTCCTGGAGTCGATCGTAAAGGGACATGTACTTGTTCTCCAGGATTTCTCGTAATTGATCCACTTCTAGATCAGCCCCCCAGATGTGCTCTGGAGAAAATTCATTTTCAAAGTCAACAGACTTCATAGAAAGATCCGGATCAGCTGGACCGGAGTCTTGGTGGTTTAATTCTTCTTGGAGCGCTGCCACTTCGCGTTGGAGATCCTGTATTCTGCATTCTGCTGCCTGGCGGGCCGTATTGGCAATGGCCGCGTCGTTCTTGGCCTTTTCCAGACTGGCTTGATTAACAGCAATTTCAGACTGTAGTCTCTTGAGAGCATTATCAAAAGAAGACTCAAATGCCTCCGTCACGGAGACACGGAGATCTTTCACAATATCCATGAGAATACACTATGGCACCGCCCTCGGCGAGTCCATTCCTTATCAAAAGTTCTAGATAGTAGGGGAAACGCGGGTCGCGACGCGCCCCCGCGGGCAAAATTATTGACCGCCTGATCTTGTCACTCCTCACACGTGATCTTATCGACCCACTGATAAGAGGCCCTTTGACGTAGGTTTCACTGTGTACTCGAGTCTCTCCCCACCAGCTCAAACACTCATATGCCTTAATTGTTTCTGAGTCTCAAAACGGCCCAGTATGCCAAAGCGTCTGAGAGGAGACTCGCCGACGGATTTGCCATCACAGAAACGATTTCGAGATGTAACACCGACTTCAGTCGATCGCCTATCTTCTTTGAGCAATGAGCTTTTGCTACATATACTTTCGTTTCTTCCGATGTCGTCTCTGAATGTGTGTCAAAGGTTTGTCAGATCTTTGCTTCCATCTTTTTTTGGTTTTAAATATCAAATTTACTAATTCTGCCAGGCTATCCCACCGATTCCACGCTCTCGGTGGAGACTCTGAGCTCTGGAAGCGACAGTATTACTCGCAGTGGGTGCGACCTCGTGCCCGTCGTCTAGCTAATACAAGACGCTCTACATTGCCAACTCGGGCGGAGTATTCACCTAAAGTTTCAACCTGGCTTGATCATAGCCATCTGGCGGAAGAGGGAAAGATCACCAATTGGAAACGGCAATATCGCCTACGGCACAATTGGTCCAACGGATCCTGTCGAGTGACAGAAGTGGAATTTCCTGAATCCCCCTGTCCTCCTGTGCTGGTCAAACTCTGTGCCGGCATTGTCTTCACGGCTGATTCTACCCATGGGCTTCGAGCGTGGGCCGCAAAAGACCCAACCAACTATATTTCCAGCATCTCATTTGCGGCGCCAGATATTTCTTCCACCCGGCCAACGTCTTTGGCAGTGGGCCAGCTACCAGATGAGCAAGAAATCCTTGTGGGATTTGAGGATGGTCGCTTCAGTCGTTACACATTTGAGGTTCAGGAATGCCATTTGACCCTACGATCCTGCCACGTTGGATTTAGGAATGGTGCCATCACGGCCATGGCTTTGTCATCGCCTTATCTTTTGATGGTGTCTCAGCATAAGCTTCTATCTCTATATAATCTACACCCTCGGTCCGACGGCGGAAAATATCAAGAAGCCGTAGAGCCGCGTGAAATTGCGTCTCTCCAAGCGGAAAATATGGTCGCCCCGATGACCCTCTCTCTCCGCACTTCAGTATCCGAGATTGTGGCAACCATTGTTTACAGTTTTTATCATATTGGCTGTGGCTGGTCGCTCGGGATTCAGGAGTTGCGGTTCAACAAGGATGGTCAACAATTGGAGTCCAGACTTACCAGTACTGTGGATTCTCAGTACGGCATTCGTCCCCTTCAAGGTATTCCATCATCCATCAGACGGCAGCACTTCAATACTGTCGATAATATCATTTCTTCTGTGACGCCTACCGAGCCTTCCATCTTGCACCAGCAACCACCAACATCCATGTCCTATTCCCATCCATACCTACTGACATCGCACGTGGATAACACCCTGACGATGTACCTGCTTGTCTCGAATTCCCACAGCCTTTTTGTTCGCGGTGGCCAGCGACTTTGGGGCCACACGTCTTCGGTTTCTGCAGTTCAGGTGACCAATCGAGGAAAGGCAGTCTCTGTGAGCTCACTGGGTAATGAGATCCGGATTTGGGAGCTTGAAACAACTGTACCATCCCTCGGTAACCATAAACCCTTAAAAGAGGAGAGCAGCATTCAAGTCAGTCCTGGCAATCGAGGCCTGGAAAGCAGAATAAGTGCATCCAAAGGCAGAAACCTCCCACAAGAAATTGGTGGCTTGGAATTTGTTTCTAGGACACCTCATGGCTGTATGCATGAATGTGTTGGATTTGATGAAGAGCGAGTTCTATTACTCCGGGAGAAGACGGTCGGCACCCGGTTACTGGAATGTTATGATTTCACATAACATTTTGGGTGCCAGTGATGTAGAAAGATGAAATCTTCCGGTCTTTTTTATGTTTCTTTTGCCGAAGATATTTGAAGCTCAAACTGAGGGTGCCATTTATATAGAGACTAACACAAGATCAGGGACCACTCCGGCCAGGAGAGGTGTAGCACAAGGTACACCAGAAGGTACTCAGGGACCGGGGACCCCGGTAGCACTTCGTGTCGCCTCTTCCCCTCCGCAGGTACATAACATCCCCTGCGAAGCCTCCAGCCATATTGAGGGGGCTCATTCCTCCCCTTTCAGTCTTTCTTTTTCTTATCTTTGCCAACTTTACAACCTTGTGCTCTTCCTGGTCTCTGTGGTTCGTCAAGTGCTCAGCACATCTGCGTGTGAGCTTTGCATTCAGCAAGTTCAATTGCCCTTCCCCCCTTCGACTAACCATGGCCGAAATCAGAAGTCCATATGCTTCTAACTTGAAATACTTTCACCATGGCTGAATATAACCTCTTAATTCTGTCAGTTGAACCCTCTGCGGAGCCAACGGAAGACTTGATCCCATACTGCTCTCTGGCTTCAATGATCAGGTCTCCCCAATAAGGTCCAGCACCTGCTAGAATGTCAACAATGCCTCTCTACGGAAACAAGAGAGGAATCATATGATTATGGAAGGTCTATGTGAAATACGAAATGATGGAAAGATATGCCAACGAGGAAATAGATTTGGAGGGTTTGTTGGCTTCATTATGCAGATGTATGCAGGTCTTTCCATCATTTCTCCTTTTTTCACCTTTTCTCCTCTTCTCTTTCCTTCTCTCTCTCCTTCCATTTCTATTTTCCAACACATCTCCCTGCTTCTTTTTATATTTGTTCTCCACCTCTTCTTTTCTTCCAAAACAAAGTTGGGGGCTTTTCCCGGTTCCAGATCGCACCAAAATCTTTGCGCGGGAAGTTTTCTCCATCAGACCAGGCCCCCCGCACTACAAATTTCTTTCCTTTTCAACCTCTCCCACCTCTTACTTTTTGCCAATCCAAACAGCAAAAAAAAAACCCTCGGTTTTCTTACGTCAAATATCCAATCAACCCGTCAGAATGGATCCTCGCTCCCGTGCCTGTTACAACTGTGCGTTTTCTTGTTCCTTTGAACCCTTGCGCATTCTCTGCTCGCCTATGACCCGCACAGTGAGCGCAGGAGAATAGAACCCCCGGTTCTTTGTGCTTTGATGCCATATCAAACTGCTTCTTCTCCTGTGCTTTGGTTGATGTGATTTTCATCTACCTCTTGAGCTGTACTGGTCCGGGCGCATTCTGTACAGCCCTTGATAAGCTATTTTTTTTTGGGACTGACATTTTTTTTCTCCGTAGGCGGTGACGCCTCTCACCAGGTAAAGATACACCCATCTTCCTTGGTCCCATAGGTACTTGTACCAGGGAAATTTGATATGGATCGTGGTTCAATTGATATTGGACTTGAAGTTGACCCCCCTTGTCTTTTAGGCTAAGGACTGCCCCAAGAAGGGAACCCCTACCTGGTATGTTATATATCTCTAGTCTTCAGCAAAGAGTGAAATATATAGAAGCAAGATCCAATGCTAACTTATTCTCGATATATAGCTACAACTGCGGTGGTGAGGGTCACGTCAGTAAGTTTATACTGAATGATGATCATGTGGAAGGAGAAATACAAAGGGATTCAACTAACACTCCTTAGACCGCGAGTGCCCCAACCCTCCCAAGGAGCGTACCTGCTACCGCTGTGGCCAGACTGGTCACCTTTCCCGCGAGTGCCCCCAGGGCGGCAGTGGCGGCAGCTTCGGCGGTGCCCCCGGTGGTGGTTCTCAGGAGTGCTACAAGTGTGGTCAGGTTGGCCACATTGCCCGTAACTGCTCCCAGGGTGGAAGCTACGGTGGTGGTTTCTCCGGCTCCGGTGCCCCCTCATACGGTGCCCGTGGACAGACTTGCTACTCCTGCGGTGGATTCGGCCACATGGCCCGTGACTGCACCCAGGGACAGAAGTGCTACAACTGTGAGTGCTCTCTCTCTCTCTCTCTATCCCCCCTCATTATCCAGTCAAGATTCCTAATTGAATATTTAGGCGGCGAGGTTGGCCACGTTTCCCGTGACTGCACTACCGAGGCTCGTGGTGAGCGTGTCTGCTACAAGTGCAAGCAGCCCGGTCACGTCCAGGCTGCGTGCCCCAACAACTAAAATGGTGGAGAACGGGTGTCTTTTTTTTCGTTCTGTGCTTTCCCGAGGGATGTTTCTCGGAACCAACGATAACCTCACATGCGCCACGATCTGAAATGTCTCTTTCCCCCTCCCGAGGTTCTTTTGAATTTGTATTACCACTCACGGCTTGAATCACGACCATGGGCGTCTTGCATGTTGCTTTTTATCTCTCTTGCAGTCTAATACCTCTTTCCATGTCTTACCAGGCTTGTGGTGAAATGCAACGGGCGATTTTGCTTGCAAAATAAAAATGGGTGTGCATGGACTGGCTTTCTTTGGGCGCTTTACAGGAGATACTTTAGGTGCATGGGGGAACGCATCTCAATTCTTCCATCTATTTTCTTATTTTTAATTTCAAAAAGCGCCAACTCAGATCATGAACTGCAACTACACATCATGGCCCTCTTGTACTTGGGGACACCGCCACAGAAGCGCTCCTCCTCCTCCTTTAGAATATCCCATTCATCCTTGAATGGGTTCAGACTCATCTGCATTACCCGTCCCAGTATCTCTCGGTCTCCCTTGCGCTCCACGCGCTCGATTACTTCATCCAAAATCCATCCCCGTGGAACGAACTAACGCACATGGTTAATTATAACAAATTAAGGGCACCGAAGATGGGGGGGAAAGGGGGGACGAGGAAGAAGAAAATCTTACGTTTGGATTAACCGCCTTCATGGCTCTTTGTCGCTCATCGTCCTGGTCTCCCCAGTCCTCAAGCACGCGAGCTCGCCAGATCTCTAGCCATTTCGCAATTCGATCCTTGGCCGAGGCATCTGTGTAGCCGATGCCCCCGAACCCCTCTGCATGGAAGAAAATAGCTGCAGCTTCGATCCGCTGTTCTTCGGTCTCCAGTTCAGACAGACTCAGTCCCGAGAGTCGGCGGAAAAAGTGGTTGAAATCTAGCTCCAGGGCTTCCATTGTATCGAGCATTTCGGAGAAGAGGCTCTGAAAGTCAGATTCTTGCTGCTTCTTCAGACCGAGTCTCTGGCACATTAGTCGCTTATACTCGTTCAGGAAGACTGCCTTGAACTCCTCGCCAGTGCGTTCAATGACGGTTTCCGCGCGCTTGATAAGATCCGGTTCCATTTCCGCGGTGACGCCGTCTTTAGTGAAAGTCTCATCATCCACGTTTTTCCCGGCGCCAATCAGTTCCCCTAGGGACTCGCCCAGTCGAACTAGATTCCACCAGATGATGCTAGGCTGGTTTTTATAGGAGTACCGCAACATACCGTCGTCATGGTTCGGAGTATACTGGGGATCAAAGTTATCCATAAATGCAAATGGGCCATAATCAAGGGAAAGGCCGTAAATCGAGGTATTATCGGTGTTCAGCACGCCGTTCATGAAGCCATAGGCCTGCCAGGCAGCCACTGTTTTTGCGTTGCGTCTAGTAATTTCACGATAGAGGCGAGCAAATCGATTTTCCTCAACCTGTTGGTGCTCCTGTGTTTCATCTCGAGGTATCCCTCTGCGGGGGTGATCGATCTCTGTGACGGACTGGCCTTCTCGGACAGATACGATGGCGGGAAGATTCTCCCATCCTCCAAAGACATCTTCCGCGGTGTAAGTGGCAAGTTTTCTAATCAGGTCACGATCGCCCCGGGCTCTGAGAAGATCAAAAGTTCCAATTCGGAGCCAAGACTCGGCAAACCGAGCCACAATCGCACCGGGCTCGGGACGCTCCCGCAAAACCTTGGACTTGTGCAGCAGAGTCAGAGATAGGGCACGAGTTGTAGGGATCCCAAGAGCATTTAGAGCTGGAACATATTTAGTTCATATGTCATAAGAAAGAGAAAAAAAAAGGGGGGGGGGGAAGGAAACCAGCAACCTTCAGAGACGATATATTCACGAATACTCGATCGAAGAACTGCCTTCCCATCCGCAAATCGGGAATACGGCGTCTTCCCTGCGCCTTTCAATTGCAGTTCATACCGAGTTTTCGAATGTGGATTTGTACATTCAAAAAGGCTAATTGCACGCTATACACATAGCTCATTAGCATTTGTCTTGAAGAAGAGAATGAAATATAGACATACTCCATCTCCAAGTTGACCAGCCCACGAACCACTGTGGTTTCAAAAAAGAAAGGAGAAAAGAAAGTCAGGCTGCTTATGTTTTTTTGAAGAGGTTCAATCATATAAGCATAAGAAAGATCACTTACAACTGCCACCCTATGATCTCAATTAATATCCGACTATACAACTACTAGTGATAGTTGTCACCAGGTTCTGAGAAATGAAAGAGAACAAAGATGGAGAATGGTGACTGACCTCCGTAGCATTGGGCCCATGGGTAGATACCCCCCTGTTCCTCATTCCAACAGATTTCATTACCGGAGACTAATGCTTGGAATTGCGCGGTTTTTGCCTCGTCGGCCTTCAATCCAAGATCTTCCATTGCCTTGGGACTCACGCCCAGTAGCTCTGGTGCCTCTGTACGTTCCGGTCGGACATAGGTGAACAGGGCGCCTTTCACCATGCGGGGCCCCAATGTTTCTCGGGGGGCTCCATGAGAAGATTCCGGAGTCTCAAAAGCCGGATCAGAGGGCAATTTAGATGTGAATACATTGGATTTAGGCAAATCTGCTAGGGAGGACCCAGTATGGGTGGAGAGGTGAGATGCCATTTGATTCAATCGGTTTTGACTCGGATGAAGGGTTAAAATTCGCATGGGCAGTCGATAGCCAACCCGAGATTGTGGAGAGAATGTACGGATCAAACGAAGCGAATTCATTTGATCAAGAGATGATTTCTTAAGTGTGCAGGTGCAAGTTAACCACACTTATTTATATAATTATTAATCCGCAAGTAAAGTCACATGTTGCGGGAGAAAAAACACCAAAGCACATGACATCATTTGGACTCTTCATTTCTAATTCTAACATTCCAGGTACTTGAGAAATTAGCACATAGCATGTTCTGTTCTCATAAGATCCCGAGATAATCTCTAGAATTCAAAATATCAGGTCTGGCAACATCCCTGCTGATCAGTAAATTTTTGATGTATATGACTCTCACTTGAATCGTCCCCGCAGACCTGGAGTTGTTGACCCGCTGGACCACACACCGACTCACTTCTCCGCTTCAGGTTCACTTCTACCCCTCAATATCTCTGAGCCCTGATTTAGTCTCTCTTCTTTCAGTTTCAAAACATTCTCATATTTATAACATTCCAAAGAGCCAAAATCCCTCTTTGCCCATCATGGTCAACAAGGAAATTCCGACAACTCAATTCAATGATGGGACTTCCGTTCCTATAGTATGTGATATGTGATATTTCAAATTGTCCCTTCCACACCCGTTTCCCCATCTCGAGCCTCATGGGTGGATAAAACATCTAATTGTTCCGTCACAGCTTGGATATGGAACAGGAACAGCGTGGTACAAGCGCTCAGGGGCCGCCGAAATAAACCGTGAGCTGGTGGACGCGGCCAAGAATGCCATTGATTTGGGATATAATCATCTTGATGGAGCAGAGGTCTACGGAACTGAGGCTGAATTGGGTTTGGCGATTCAAGAAGCCAATCGCCCTCGAGACAGTTACTTTGTGACCACCAAGGTCTACAGCAATATCGCAGATATCCCCGCAGCTATCGACTCAAGTTTGAAAAAGTTGCGACTCGATCATGTCGATTTGTGAGTACATCGTATTCACGCTCTATTACCAAGATGCTGTCAAAGCTAGAGGAATTTAAAACTAATACACTTCAATATAGATACTTGATCCATGCCCCTTTCTATGCCACCACAGAGAGTGAGCTCCAGGCTGCCTGGGCGGCCATGGAGAAAGTCAAGGCCTCTGGGAAAGCTCGGTCTATTGGAGTGTCCAACTTCTTGCAGGGTCACTTGGAAACCATTTTGAAGACTGCCCAGGTCATACCCGTTGTGAATCAGATTGAGTTCCACCCGTATCTCCAACACGGAGATCTAATTTCATTCCACGAGAGTAAAGGGATCAAAACTGCCGGCTACGGTGGTCTAGCCCCAATTACTCGGGCTCACGGAGGGCCATTGGATCCATTGTTATCGGCTTTGGCTACCAAGTATGCCGTGAGTGAGTCTGAGGTTCTGTTGCGTTGGACCCTGGATCGTGGCTGCGTGGCTATCACTACCAGTAGTAAGGAAAACCGCCTAGCTGGTTACCTGCGCACCTTGACCTTCAAACTCACTCCCCAAGAGATATCTGAAATATCTGAGCTGGGTCAGCAGCATCATTATCGTGCCTTCTGGCGCGAGAAGTTCGCCGAAGATGACCGATCGTGATATGTATATAGTTTAGATATCAAATTATGATCTATCCACAACCAATCTGTAATTGATAATGTATAACTAGGCTATAGGTCTATGTAGATACATATCAAAACATATCTTTGGCAGTCAAAGTGAAGCTAAGAATATCAATGAAGGCTCATTTTAAAAGCGGCGTGGCGTATGTACCAGAAAGGGCAACCCCAGATTCCCCCCCCCCCCATTTGCTCCTTCAACTCTCTTTCTTTCTCTCTTCGGCCACTTTCGCTCTTTCAGCTCGATCTGTGTTATTGTACACTTCCTTTCCAACCCTCTTTGGCGAAACTCACGCGCTTTGAGAGATGCCCTGATGAACCTCTTCGAGGCCGCTACCCCTCGACTCGATCTCTATGCTTTGACCCACCCCCATCACTTTGCCAGGCGCATAACACCGCGGTACTTCTCCCGTGATACTTCTCCCACCTCCACCTTTCACTCTTCACCTCCGATCCTCCCAGACGCCTAATAAATCAAAGCGCGTGCGCAATTCTTCATCAATGGTGAGACAAATCATAATCTCCCGCGGACTGCGATGTCGGTGAACGATCAACCCCCCTCAGTGGACGTAACAATCTCCCTACGCGCAAACCAACCCACTGCAGACCTTCAAAGTCTGGATCAGCGATTGAAGGGTCTTTCGGACGACGTGCTACCACCTCACCCCTACCTCCTGACTCTCCCGACGAAGGCGCCTTTTCGCCTAGCTTCCCGTTCCGTGAACAATTGGGCAGTAGGACATGATCGGCCTTTTAGTCCAGAGGAACAAGAACTTCAATACATGACCTTTCTGACCCACAACGATACAGATTCGTTGCTGAAGGCCGTTGGAGACTGGTCTGACGAGAAGGGGCGCATGATGGCCGACCGGCCCACCGCGCCAACCACCGCAGAAACCCCCAAAGACACCATCGCCAAAAAGAAAATCAGCTTGAACGACTATAAAAACCAAAAGAGCAGCGGTACTTCGCTGCCAACTCATGAACGGAAAAATCGAGAAGAGCTTCACCCGATTACGCGCGAAGAATCACAACAAACAACTAAATCTGGTCTTGTCAAGAAAAGCGACAAGACCGAGTCACTCCATCAACCTCACAAATCACAATCACAATCGCATATTTCGCCTGATAAAGGCCCAAAGAAACGACCGTCGACGTCTGATCTTGAAGGCATGGGTTCCTCGATGACCCGAGGCCAGGATATGCATTCATCCAAAAAACGACGACTCTCTCCACCGGAGAAGGAGGGTCGCAGGGATCCCACACCAACAAAATCCAATTCACCGAGAATTCCCGCGCTTCTTTCCCCAACACTTCCTCCTACTGGACCTAAATTGCCACGACTCCTATCTCCCACCCTTCCACCGGATATCGAAAAGGAATTAGCCAGGCTCGGAGAACGTTCACCTACTCGTCACTCCCCTAAACGCGACATCATAACATCGAAACAGAAGCGAGATGATGCACCCCAGACCAGAACACCAATTCCAACAAATAGCGGCGCAGTTCCTAGTCTACAGAATGGTCGCATAGGTGGTCTCTCGAAGGAAACCAACCAGGAGCTGATTGTCAGATTACGGTATGGAAAGGGGAACAAAAAACGGATTGAAGCCCTGCTTAAATTTTCCGGTAAAAGGAAAACGAATCGGCCCGACTCCCCGTCTGGTCATGACATAGATCCGGATGAGAGCGCCTACGCCGAAAAAAAGAAGGGAGAAAAAGGGTCGATCCGTGGGAATGGTTTATCTGATCGAGTAAAGTCAAAGAACAGGCATGACGACGATCTTTCTAGCTCGGGGATTGGGCAATCAAAGGAAGCTATCAAGGGTCTCGTTGAAAAGCCTCCAATTCCGGCGTCTAATTCCTCCAATTCTTCTCGTCCTCACCCGCCGACAAACGACAAGGTGAAACCCATATCATTGACACCGGTGAAGGATTCCAAAGCCTCGATACCCCGAAGAAATGATCTAGGAGAAGGCGAAGGAAGAACCCCGGTAAATCTAACGACCAAGCGCCATTCTATCGATCCAGGCACACGGGGTTCGCCATCTCAGCCGGACGGTCGTTCTCGAAACATAGATCGACGAGCTTGGCGTGAAGAATTTCAAAGATTTAGCAGCATTGGCCGTGAATTAAAACATGCCGCGGTCCGGTACAATTCCAAGCCTGGCTCTTCAAGCATTGATGAAAAATTGGCCGCCGTGACGGCTATAGAAGCGATCATGTGCTTCATTCTTGCATTTGTGGCCGACGACCAATGCAAGGTTCTTACACGACAAATTGGAGACTCCTCGACCTGGCAATCTATCCTGGCGTACTGGCGGGTAGTGAAGAAGAACAGTGTCGCGTATCCAGTGCTTCATGGTCTTTGTCTGTTCCTGGGCGCCGTATCATACGGGGCCATCCATTCCCTGGATCTCGAACGCCTCGCTGTCAGTCCTCTCCCGGGGGAGCATACACCGGTGCCGACTCCTGGCAGTGACGGGAATACTATATTATCTGATGAAAACAAGAAAAGCCGGAAGGAATTTCTGGAATTGAAGAATCGATTGCCGGAGTGTTGGAAAGAATCACAGAAGCTATGGTTAGAGGGCACTCGCAGCCTTTCTGAGGACGTTTTAAGCCGCGAGTTCCCCAATACATGGTCATCGCGTTCTCATAACCATAGCGAACGAGGCAAAGCTAGTTTTAGACCTGGAGACTACGCCGGAGATTATTTTCTCCCTCTTGGAGGGACTACTCCGCCTATCGAAGTAGTTCGATTTGGCTGGTCTCTTCTTCAGGAGTGGTGTATGCAAGAGAAGGTTGATTGGAATGGTCGCCTGGGTCTTTAGCACATGGACGGAATTTCCTGTGGTCTTTTTTTTTTTTTCTTCATCCTTCATCCTTCATTTTTCTTTTTCTTTTTTTGCTTCTATCCTTTGCTTTCTATCTTGTTTTCAGCTCTTCTGCTTCTCTATATCCCTTTTCTTTCTGCTATATCGTTTTTGGAGGTGAGGGCAATCGGTAATTTAGGCGTCCCCCCGGGTTTCTTTTGCATTTCGAGTGATTTATTCCCATGATACCATGAAGCCCTGGAATTTGCGTTCCGATGTAGCTATTTATGCTTGAATATATCACGTTCAATACAGATGATTCATTACATACCTACAGATCTCATTTAAAAAAAAAGTATAGTGAATATAATTTGACGCCTCCAGTCCGCTAGTTGAATCGCAATGTTTAAAGTCGCTCAAGTTAATAAACAAAAGAGAGGGAGAGGGAGAGGGAGAAAGAAAGAAATGGTGAGAAAGGGGGAATGGGTTGTGATCATGAATAGGTGGAGGAACTGAAAAAAAAGACAAAGTTTGAAAGCTTCCAGAGACCTTGGGTTATAATGAAAAAGTGAAGAAGAGAAAAATAGGAAGAAATTGGTTGAATGAAGATCAAACGTCCCTGTAATCGGAGTGTAAATCGGAATTCGAGTCGCCAAAGAGCCATCCAGCTTCACGGCAATATCGGGCCTCTTGGCCGTTAATGCCCACCTCGCTTGCCCAGCAAATCACTGAAGCATCCACAATGTCCGCAATGACACTTTCCATGGCACCCAGGATACTCCAGCCAATCATACCCGCAATAAGACCAACGACATAGGCGTATAAACTGCCCCGAATAGTATTGCCCGTGGAGGTCATGGCCAAGCTACGTGCAGTGGTCACCCAGCCACCGAATCCCAACGCCAGTGACATCATGAAGCGGGCAGCGTGAAGGATTAGCTTGGAGAGCCGGTAGGAGAGCAATGAAGCTGAAGCCCCCGAGGAACGAGAATAAGCTTGCGGGTGAATTGGCGATGAAGCGACCGACGAAGCAAGAACAGTCATCTGGCTCAGTCCGCGTGCAGAGGCTGCCAGTGGCTGTGAATGAATGGCTCCATAGGTGAGGGCAAGGGGGTTGGTGAGATATGCTATGGGACTTGGTATGAGGGAGTAGGCAAAGAGACTCAACAACGAGGATATCCGACTAGGGAGCAAGAGCAGGGGGAGTCGAATCAACAAACTGAGAAGGCGGGACAGACAGATCGTACCGAACAGGGTCGAAGTAGCATGAACGATGGCGGCTTGAACGATTTGTCTAGAGGTAGGTGCTGGGCTTGCCAATCTGTGAAAATACCATTGACTTACCGTGGCAGCCGTTACAGCACGCTGGATACCGGCTATCACCCCGATCGACCACAGGTAAATTATCACAAAATAAACACCCAGCCACCAGCTGCTCAGGTCGATAACAAAGGATCTTGGCTCAGCCAGGTGGCCGCCCAAGAATACGCGGGTAAACATAAGCATCCACACCCAGGTCCATGAGACAACACTAGCAAGCACACCTAACCCTAAGGCAAGAAGCTCTGGATTCGCAGCCAAAATTCGACAAGAGAATTCAAGCACACTGATTGCTTTGCCGATGGACTGGTGGCCTCGGACAACATTGTAAATCCAGATGCTCGCCATTAGGAATGGGACAAGAGAGCCCCAGCGCATGGCCTTGTCTTGAAAGCTAGACCCATGCCATTCGCCCTTGAAGCTCGAGATAAAGGGGTATAAGGAGAAGGAGTATAAAATGACGGGGACGGCGACAATGATAATGTAGACTAGAGGTCGAACGTAGGATCGAAGTAAAGCAAGCCAAACAAGTGACACGAAGATGGAGATAAGAGTATAGACTCCAAGAAGGAAGAAAGAGCGGTGGACAGTTAAGTAGATCGTATCTCCCCACTTTTGTTGGTCTCCAGATGGAGTCGACGTGTGCAGATAGACAAGGAATGCCGTGGCAAATAAACCGGCAAGTGCGATTAAAAACAAGTGGCCCCAAAAAGCATCATGCACTGAAGTCTCCGAGGCCAGGGGCGAGATAGACGTCGGGAACGAACCCGCCGAGCTTGGTGGTCTTGGGCCACCCGAGGAGAATGGATTGACATGTTCTGAGGAATCCCCAAACCGATTAAGCCCAAATTGATCTCGCTTGGTTGATGGTCTTTCTCGAAATCGCTGAATGGGCGGTTCATCACCCAACACCTCGGAGGGACCACGGTCGTCCTCGTCTAGGTTGTCTCGAATGGAATCTTCTAATCCGATGTCCACCAGATTCTCCCGGGTTTTACCATTATCGGGAATAGAACTCGGCCCGGGCTCAAGCTCGGTGAGTTCTGCCACGGTCTCGATTCGAGATTGACGAGAAACAGAGACGCCTTTTTCCCCTCGCCACGAGCTCTTGATTCCTTTCCCATTTCCCGGGCGATCGTTGTCATATGGTGAGTGCTCCTCGTCAAATCCCACCGACCGTTCCGAACCATCTTCAAGCTCAGAGGACTCTTTCAAGTGACTATCTCCAAAATGTCGCCTTGATCGTTGCAATGCATAGTAATCGGCAAGGTCACGTTCCCGCTCTGCTTCATCATCTTCTTCTCGGAATTCATCGGTGGCACTGAAAAATAGAGGAGCCGGTTGAGCTGACACCCGGGATGCAAAGGGGAAGTTGGAGATTTGGGAAGCACCAGGCCGATAAGGATCCCCAGTTCTTGATGGTGGGTTCCGTGAGCTGCTCTGGCGCTGATTGGGGTGGGCACGACCGGTTCTTTGAAGCTCGTCGGGGCGAGATGCTACTCGGGACTGTGACTGGGCAAGGAAGCGTGAGGCATCTGGTGAAATACCCAGGTTAGTTAGCTTGAAGGAAATGATATTGAAAAAAAAATTATGATAATGATCAAAAATGCATCACCTACATTCCGAGAACATGGCCCACACTATCGGGAATATTGGAGTAGGTGTGGAGATGGGGTAGAGATTAGTGTATCTCTCTTTTGGTACTGGGCCAAAGCAGAGAAAAAAAAAAAGACCTCGAGATTTGAGAATGCGGTAATGAGAAGAGAAAAGTACACTTGAAACTCAGGTGAGTCCCTATCCCTCTTATAAGAACTAAGTTGAAGACCAAACTAAAAGAGAGAGAGAGAGAAAGGGAACAAAAGGTCATTCAGACGATGCAGGCGTCATCTGGGCAGGTCTTCCCCCCCCGATAGCTGACTCATCCCGATAACACATTCTACTCCCTGAAACTGAATCCATCACATCCTACGTTTGGGCAACAAGACACAATACTCTTCTTCCTCCATGTCCCAGCCATGGGACTATATTGCTAAGCTCGTTTGCATCGGCGATTCTGGCACCGGCAAGTCCAGTGTGAGTGTAGTGTATTGACTGTGCTGGGGTTTAGCTAATTTGTATATGTCATTAAAGCTCACTATCCGCCTCTGTGAAGGTCGCTTCTCCCCGTCGCACGATGTCACTATCGGGGTTGAATTTGGGTCCAGGATTGTGCCAGTAGGTCCACCTGCCTCTCTGGAACTAGGTGTTGATGAACTTTTGCGCGACGCGTCCAGTCCTGGCGGCGATCCATCTGCATCGGAGTCCATGGCCTCGGGTCTACCCAGCCCGCCACGGAAGCCTGAGCCTTCCTCTCCGCAAAAGCGGATGAAACTGTCGCTGTGGGATACTGCTGGCCAGGAGACGTACAAGTCCATCACTCGATCTTACTTCCGTGGTGCATCCGGAGCTCTCCTTGTTTTCGATATTTCAAGACGCTCAACGTTCATCTCCTGCACCCAGTGGCTTCAAGATCTACGTCTGATCGCAGAAGAGGGGATCGTGGTCATTTTGGTGGGGAACAAGACCGACTTAGCTGGACAGGAATCCGGTTCAAACCAAAGACAGATAACACAGCAGGAGGCAGAGGATTGGTGTCGAACGAACAATATCGTCCGCTATGTCGAGACTAGTGCCAAGTCCGGAGATGGGGTGGAACGGGCCTTTTTGGAGGTCGCGGAGCGAATCTACCGTAATATTGAAGCTGGCCGATATGACCTTAACGATCGTCGCAGCGGGGTGAAAGGATTTGGTGCCTCGGGTGGAGGTAACACCGGGATACCGAAAACCATTACCTTGGGCATGGATGATGCAATGCGCAAAGGCTGGAGCGGGAGTTGTTGCTAAGAATGTTATACCCTGCTCCTATCCCGTTTACATAAGACGCAGTATTAAGCAAGCTTCTTGTTGTGCCTTGCAGGAAGGCTATTGTCCATGGCCGCAGCTGTTTCCAAGTCAAGGCTAGTAGGATTCAGATTGCGACCAGATATGAAACGCATTCACAGACAATATATATATTTTTTAAGAAAAAAAAAACACGTCAACATTATGGTTCCGCCTTTGATAGGCTGTCTCTCTCTTTCTCTCTCTCTCTCTCTCTCTCTCTCTCTCTCTCTCTCTCTCTCTCTCTCTCGTGTGCATACATAGTCAGTTTGTTTCTTTGGGGAATATTTGAGACTGCCCAACAGCCAAAAGAGAAAAAAAAAAATAGTACAACCACCCCATCTCACATATCAAGGAAAAATATTCCACTGGCAATCTTGATTAGTTCGAAATTCGCCAGCCAGACAACCAGCGTAGGTAAGCCCATTGCTGATGAGGGCCCTCCATTCCAAAGACGATGGCACGGAAGTGGATGAAAAGTCCAATAATGATGGCATACAAGGCGGCGTAAAGAACGACCACAACGCGTGCATTCAAGCTGCGAGAGATCCAATCAATACAGAATCCGAATGTGATAATACCATAGTAGAGGGCTGGGTAGTAATGGTGAACGTAAGTCACACGAGCCATGACGATGAATGGCAGATAGTGCAAGACCCAACCGATAGCAGGGTAGATGCCAGAATAGTGGATATGGTCAATTTCATCCTGGGTGAGCTTTTGATAGCCTCGTTGCCAGCGAAGAAGGTACCACACCAACAGCAGGCCAAAGCCACCAAGACTCGCAGTACTGCCCCAGTAGACAAGGGGATTTCCAAGAAGGAAGTATTTAATGACACTATCATCCCACGAGCACATGCGCAGGCCAACATTCAGAATTGGCCATTGCCAGAATTTCGAAGCGAGGTCATCTTGCTTATCTGGGTCAGGAACCAAGGCGTTATTGGATGTCATCATAGCCACGTTCAGGTGGATAAAATCTTTGAGGAAAGGCGACTTGTAAGAGCCAGGATCTCCGGGGGGCACTGTACCATTAAAGTTAGTGGTAGTTCTTTCCCAATAGTTCCAAAAACATCAAGTAATTTATACTTACACCGCTCGTTGGTGTGCGACTCCACGTTCCAGTGAGTGTAGACATCGCCCGGCTTATTGTCTTTGGTACAGGTGGTCTCGATCTGCTTGAAGCCCCACTGGGGTAGGTTGACATTTCCAGCGCGAAGATAGCAGCCCAGGACGGGGTGGCGAAGCCGGAATGCGGTTGTCAGCGTGCGGATTCGAGAGCGATCCCGGGATGCAGCATCATCAACCACCTCAACCTTCCAGTGGTCCTTATCGTCTCCGATAGTGAGATTTCCATAACATGAAACTTCGTGGTGGGATTTGGAAACCGGGGCTGGGATTGCATGGGAGTGCAGGTTCCGACCAGTCTGTCCGTGAATGAGACGGATGGTGTCTCCGTCCCCAATGAATCTCAGATCTGCCTCGGCATCATAATCGGCCTCTTGTCGATTGGGGTAGATAAACCAGTCATTGTTTGCATCCTTGTGGTGGTAACAAGTCACCTGCTGCTGATTTGAACCCTCGGGGAACGTTTGGACGTGGGAATGCAGGAGACCTCCTCCATAGCCCATGTTCTTCAAAGTTACACGAGACCCAATGGCGACCTCAAGGGGGCTATCTCTACCAACCTCGGTGCCGTGCAAGTTGGCCTGGAAAAGAGAGCTCATCTGGGCATCTCCTGGGCCACTGTTCGATAGAACCAGGAAGTGCGCATAGAAGGAGGCCATATATACCAGAATTGGAATGACAATTAAACCTCCAACACGAGCAAAAAGGTGCTTTGCTAGCACGGTCTAGACAGTCATCTGTTAACAATCAATCTGTTGTTGGGATAACCGGTCAAAACTGACCTGGGGCATCTTCAAATCGCCAAACTTATTCCACAGGTCCTCGATGGTGTAGATGCCGACGATCGCAGTGCAGAAGAACCCGACCCACTTCACGCTACAGACGCATCCAATGCTGAGCCCAGTGAGACAAAGCCAGAAATACCACTCCAGTGAAAAGCTCTTTCGCTGGAGGCGGTGGAATCGAGCCCAGCACATCGTCGTCGTAAAGGTGAAGCAAAGCAGCATCGAGTCTAGGAGAATGAATCGGGAAATGGTGGCATACGAATTCTCAAATAAAACCATCAGGGTAATCAACCACACGGTGGCCTTGCGAAAGTTCAGTTCGCGGGCAGTGTAGTAGGCCAAGGGAACACAAACGGCACCAAACAAAGCATTGAAGGCGCGCATGAAGGTATAGTTAACATCTTCGGGATATTTTTCACCTGACTTGAATTCAAAAGACCCGTTATAGCCAGCAAGATATCCCGAAAGACCAACAAGCATTTTTCCGAGGGGAGGGTGGACATCGAAGTAGAACTCGCGCTTCAGGTAATGGGAACCGAACTTGCCAAAGCTATAAACGAAGAACTAGTTAGGTGATTGCTGTTTGACAAGCCAACACTCGAGTTGGAAGCGGGGCGGGACATGAATCCTTACTGAGCTTCATCCCAGGTCACAATATCGGAACGACCAATACGATATAGTCGAGTAAAGAGGGCAAGAGCAGTGAAGATGATGGGGGCCACGATAGGCTCCCAACCTACTAGTACCTGCAGAAAAGAAGTGGACTAAGCCCGAGAACTCAATTAGCAGGTGATATGCGAGGAAAGAAGAGGCAAGGCTTGTCTATTTGTACCTGTGGCTTTTGTTTCTTAACATCCTCTGCGGTGTATGGCTTAGGTGTCCGGGGTCTGGCAGTATCTGGGACATTCCTCCGGCGCAGGTCAGAATCGTGTTTCGCCCCAGTACTGATGCCAGTATCAGCCATGGTGTCAGGGAATATTCCTATGAATCTAAATGAAGGTTTGGTTTCTCAATGAAAAAAAGATTCAAGGGTACGGAGAGGTCGGGGGCCCGATGGATAAGGAGAGGAAGAGTCGTAGAGGCTCAAAAGGTCATAGTGGCCACAAAGGCCACAGTTAACAAAGCTAACGGGCTGGCCGAAAGTAAAGATTTGGGGAGAGGTGAGAAAGAAATAAGAAAAAAATTTGAAAGGAAAAAGAAAAAAGAAAAGGATTGGGGAAAAGTTGGAAGGGAAGAAAAGGACGAGAAACGAAGGGAAGAGTTGCGAAAATGGACTAAGAAAGATAAACACCGTCTTTAGTGTTTCTCCTGGATCCTGGGGCCGTTTTTGGAAGGAGGAACGTGGTCCCTTGAACCTTCTCCGCCTTTGGTGAACTGCAACCGATCACCAACTGGCTTGAGTTAACGTTATTTTATACAAGAGAAAAAGAAAATAAAAAAAAAATAAAAATAATATCAAGGGTGTCAATAGATTCATATGGCCAAGCATTTGTGCAAGAATTATGGACAGAACGGCTTTCGGCCCACATGCGTGGTTCTAAAGGTGTATATCATCGCAAGCAATCGCAAGCACTGCCAAATACCAAAAATATAACAGAAGATGCAAAATCACATATTGAAGGAACCCGCTGGTAATCCGAACAAAACTCATACAGTACATGCATTGAAAGTGAATAACAGTCAAGGATGAGGGCCAAGAAAGTTCTTTCCCCTTGTCCCCTCTATGACATGACGCCACACACACACAAAACAGCAAGATATGGAAACGGAAGAGAAAAGGCTGGAAATACATCACCAAAAAGTATAGGTTGAGTAGAAACATCAAGAATACAGATTTCCATTCAGAAAGCAGTTGCTCTGATTATGGAGTCGGATCAAATGATAGTGGTGTCGAAGGGAAATGAGGAACAAGGAAGGGGAAGGGGAAGGGGAAGGGGAAGGGGAAGAAGAAGAAGAAGAAGAAGAAGAAGAAGAAGAAGAAGAAGCAAAAAGCAAAAAGCCAATTATAATGCGAGACCACGACCCCAGGAACAGGATGTTCAGAAAGGAAGCGGCGATGAGATATTCCTTGGAGCGAGAAATGAAATCACAACGATCCATCCCCATCACTCATTGGCCTCTTCTCCCTGCTCCAGGCGTCGATAGCTTTGACTGCTTGTGCTCCGTTGCCGGCTGACCATGTTTGAAATCCAGCCACCAATCCCTTCACCACGACCTCCACCTGGGGAGGAACTAAGTTGTCCAGACTTGCTAGGCCCCTCATGGCCCCGACTCAAAATGGGGGATCAATATCCAGACCGGGAATCGCGCTCTCAGTGCCAAATTGGCCATATGGTCGGCGTATATCGAGGGAGGGGACGGGCGATCCTCCGCCGATAAGTGATCCTCGCTCGCCGTCGGTGGCCGGGGTGGGCATGGCAGTTGAGGCGTCACCAAACAGAACATTCATATCTTCTAATCGGACCCCGCTAGTCTCGGGATACAAAAAGTACACTATACGTAGATCAGCATATGGTGCACTAAAAAGGCATTATTGTGAATGGGGGGGAGGGATAAGGGGTTTCTTACCAACCACAAAACTACATGCGCAGAAAAAGGCATGTACCAGATACAGTCGCCATTTGATGGCATTCTGAAGAACTGGGGTCACCTCTCCAACAAGCCAATTGAATGCCCAATTGGCCGCGGTGCTCAAACTGGCTCCCTTGGCACGGATGCTTAAGGGGAGAATCTCAGGTGGATAGAGCCACGGGATTGGGCCCCAAGATGCCCCAAAAGCCGCGTTGTAAACCATAACAAAAATGACGGTCAGGGTTGGGGTAGCACTAATCTCGATATAAATGAAGTAAGAGATCAGAGAGAGAGAGATGAGCATCGCTACTGCACCCGACAGCAAAATCGGCCGCCGACCCCATCCATCCACCAGATACCAGGGAGGGATGGTGGAAAGAAGATACGAAATCCCGTTGATGCCCGTCATGAGAATAGCATCTCGACCAGCCCAGCCAGCGGACTCGAACACAAGGGGCGCATAATAAGAGATAACGTTGATACCGTTAAGCTGGGCCAAGGCCTGGGCGGACATGGCAATAAAAACTCGCTTTTTGTAACGGCGAAACATATCGCCATAGGATCTTTCCCCTTCCTGGCGGTGCAGGAGAACTCCCATTTTGATCTCTCGGTACTCTTGGCGCGCTTTGTCATTATGAATATCACCTTCGCCGTAAAGATTGGCGATGACCACCATGCCTTCTTCATCGTGATCATTATCCAAGAGCCATCTATGAGTAAAGGATGTCAGAACGTGATGTTTGTTAGTTTCGGTGGATCGGGGGGAGAGCAAAAAGAAGAAGAAGAAGAAGAAGCCCTACCGTGGAGATTCGCAGATGAGTAGACTTCCAGCTCCAAGGGCAAGGCCCATTATACATTGAAAAAGAAGAGGCAGTCGCCAGGAGTAGTTGGACTCGATGAAGCTGCAAAAGTAATCCACCCAAACACTAGTTGCATATCCGGCAATGTTTCCGGTAAATTCAATGCAGGCTAATTTCCCACGGTTGTGAGGGGGCTGACACGGTCAATATAAAGTTGATCTCCTGTCATGAGGGGGAGGGGACAGCCTTACCGAAATCTCAGACTGGTACACGGGCACTATTGTTGACAAGGCACCCACACCAAAACCAGCAATTATTCGGCCCACCATCATCATAGCCATACTGGTGGCTAGTGTTTGGAGGGTACCGCCGACAAAGAACACCAACGAACCGTAAAGAATTGTCTTTCGTCGGCCGATCAAGTCACCGATTTTGCCTACCAAGAGAGAAGATATGAATGCTCCCACCTCCAGAATAGCCACCACAGTACCAATAGTGGCCCGTGAGGGTTGGTCAAAGTAATCATCAAAGTACCAACCACTATGCATTGGTTAGATGTGTGAATGGAATTTGGAATTTCGGGGATTTGGGAATTTTGGCAGAGTAGATAAAACGAACGTGATGATACCTGACATGACGCCCTGGTCATATCCAAACAGAAATACCCCTAGAGATACGAAAACACTAGTGAAGTACCTACAAGACTCGTCAACACAGTTCGTTACTAGTGCTTGCATCAGGTGATGGTGGGGGAGGGGGCAGGATTCTTACAGCAGCGGTTTGCCCACCAAGCCATGGATTTGGGCATTTTGCCTATTGCTGGGTGACATAACGGTGGCCAGGAGCCGTTCTATCTGAGATATTCGCCGTGGTGAAGGACTAGGGATTTTAATATTCTCCTTCAGTATATCTGAATCGGTCTTAGAGCAGTCTTGCGGGTAATGCACCCGCTTTGAGGATTTCCGTCCTCCTTTACGGACCAAGACGTCGCGCTCGAGGGTGCCGTGTGGGTGACTGTGAAGAGGATCCTCGGCGAGTTGCTCGGCAAGATCACCGGTGTCCGACCAGATAGAGAAGTCAGACTCGGAACGAGTCAACGAGTGAGATGAGCGGCGGCTACCTTTCTCGCTGGCAGAATCTAGTACGATGTGTTGGGCGGGGGAGCGGGAAAGGGACCGGAGAGGAATGACGCGTGGGGAGTTTGGAGAAAGAATGATGACGGTCAATGGGCCGGAAGCCCTCTTTAGTTCCTTGGGGCAAATCAAAAGATGACGAAGAAATGAAGTTGAGAAATGAAGATCCCCGCAAAAAAAGGAACAACGGGACTCCCCCGGAAATTGGGAAAAAAAACCCCCGTTATCGTATCCTGTATGGAGGTTGGGTACCAGAAGCCCCTTTCTTGGTGGGAGGAAAGTGATTTGAGTGGTCGCGATGGGTGAAGTTGCACACTTGGGGATGACGGAGCAGTCAGGTGGATATCGGGGAGCGTGACTCGTTGGATACTTTGGTATTGGGGACTCTGGAGCTTTTGACTGGAGTAAATGTACTGGTATGGTTATTATCAAACAGAAGATGAAGGTGTGTATAGAAGAGTCAAGGTCATGGGTATGATATAAATGAATGAGCCTATCCCTTGAAGCCCTTTTGATTCAGGTGTAGGTTACAGGGACAGAGAAAGGAGAAAGCTGAATATTTGCAGTTTGAAAAAAAAGGAAAGGAAATTCGAGGTAACAGCAATACGGTTTACATGGTAAGAAGATCCCCGGATCCACAAGTGGGGAAGAAAGCACCTCCACAAGAACATCCACAACCACAATTCATATTACCCCGTATATACATAGTACTATGTATCTCGATATTGGATTCTTGGATTCTTTAATTATGGGAGAATAGTAGTTTTTTCCTTCTTTTGTACCCTTTTCTTCAGTATCTTAAGTAAAACATATTGGCCTAGTTTTTACTATATACCGTTGTAGTAAATACTAATATAGAATACATACTTGTAATTTGGAAATCCTGTTACTACTAGTACCTTTAGTAGTACTAGCATGTACTATGTAGTAAGTACTAGCTAAATTTATCCATGCTAATGTACTCCATCATGAATTGATAATATATACTATCTACAAGCTATATGTACACGGTGTTTCCTATATCTCCGTCCAAATAGGGATAAAACATGCATACTCCACATCATACCTGTGGCTGATTGTGTGCGCATAATTCGGCTGACTGACCACTTGGAGTTTCAATCCTAGTTTCCAAGTATCAATGATGGATCAGCAGGGGACAAATAGATGGGATGGTAATACTAGCATCCCTCTCCAGAAATTTACTCTTTGTCCACCTTCAGCCTGTCCAGTGAAGATGCCCGGGCTAATGCTCCACAAGTGAGAAGGAGAAGGAGAAGGAGATACCGAACCCGGCTAATTCAGTAGAATATCATATCCATCTTTCTGGATATGTACGCTATCTGCAAGACTCGCGTATCGCCGACGCACCAACTCAAAGATAATGAGACCCGCGCTGGTACTGGGGACCTGCCGCAGGGAGCTGCTCACAAAACCACGAAATAGCCATGATCGCCATCCGCCAGCCCGCTCAGCCTTGCGTTGGCATCGCTTCCAGGTCTCCTGGTATGCATGGTAGTACAGACGCAGCATCTGTTGTCTTGAGGGGTCCAGACTCGCTTGGTGGTCTAGATACTCTAATCGACCCAAATGAAGGTTTTGGATGCGGCTTAGAGGGTGTTGAATCGCCTGTTGGGCCACCGAGCCTACCACCCCTGCCATCATCAGAAAACAGGGTTCCAGTGCATAATGAGGTTTGATAAGCGGCACGCCTCGGTCGCTAGAGCCGGGGGAGGAAAGTAGGCCCAGATTATCGGTGTGGAGGGACCCATAATACCAAGTAACAAAGGAATAGTACGACTGGGACTTGACGTACTCAAAAGAGGAGAAGAATACGGCATAACCAAGAGAGTCGCGGAGAAAGGAGAGGCTCCAACCCGCAAAGACTCCTCGGAGTCCAATCTGTTTTAGTTTGTGATGCCCGTAGTGCCACATAGTCCGGTACTGACCCTGCAGCATATCGTTGGTCTGAAGACGAACCTGAAGAGCATCCAGTGGGGCCGCAACTATGGATTGGATGGTCCCTGCGGTAAAACCTGCGGTAAACGTGGCCGATGCAGGTGCAGGAGGCCAGACACGCTTGACTCCCTGTGAGACAGGTTCATGAAGGGCCCCCAGAACCTGTAAATAAGAAGTGTAGAGAACGGCTCCGATTCTAGAGAACCATATCGAAGTCAGCATTCTTGGACCACGAAGTTGGAGGGGAAAGAAGGGACTAACCCTGCATTTGCCAAAAGAGGTGGTAACACTTGATTCGGAATGAACCTCCAGCCATATGTTCGGACCGCATGAAGCAACAAACCGGGAGTGGTGGTATGGATGGACCATTTCCCTTCTGCGACTCGGGGGTTCACAGCTCGGGCAAATGCCTAATGTGACAAGAAGTACCAAAACGATCAGCCTCAAGCTTGAGGGATTAATATCAAGGGAGGGGAGGAAGAGGGAGAAATTATGTACCATATAGCTAACACACAAGTTAATATCCACTAAGAAACAATAAATTTTTTATGTCACCAAGACCTACTCAACACGGGTGCGAAAAAAAGCTTTGATCGGAGCGCGGAAGTAGAAGGCAACCATCTGTGCACTGACGGCACGAACGCCAGCGGCGGATGCTCCTGTTGCTGCATCATTGCGCGATTTTGTTCGAGAACCTGGGTCCCGAAGATGGGGGTCCAGATAGATTGGATTCATTGCAGATCTTATCGTTCATTGCACCGAGGGTGGGATTGTGCTTGATCGCTGTTGGTAAACACAGACAGGTCAGGTCACGAAGATCTTCAAGCATAAGAAGAGATCAAAGATGCAGCAGATGGCATATTGACTATCAGGTATGCAACTCCTATGACTTATCGAGAAGTCCGAAAAGAAGCCATTCATGGATTTAAGAAAAGAGGAGCTCTGGGAATACCGTAAAATGCTACTAGTCCAAAAGAGGCAAAACTGAGGCTCCGGGGAACAGGAGTGACCAATAATGCCAAAACGCGCTTTTCGCGTTTCTTTTAACAGGAAGCAAGAGCATACATGATCGACCCTCTTGTATCTGGAACATCTCCCCAACCCTTCTTGAATTTTCATCTTTCTTCATTCATCTTCTCATATTTGAAACAACTGTATCTTGTTTTTCATCTCTTTTTTTCATGCGCCGTTGATTTCGGGTTTTGCTCCAGGAAAAGCTATCTTAGCATCAACCTTCCTTCCTTTCCCATCTCCCCCTCTCTCCCTCTCTGCCACTGCCGCTGCTGCCGCCGTTGCTAGCAGAGCAGATCGCCCACTATGGCGGAGAAGATTGCGATTGACAAAACCATCTTCTTCAATCATTTGTCCAATCTGTATGCATCATGGAAAGCCGACAAGCGTTCCGGTAATGCTCTGTTCGGGGGAGCAGGCGCCATCGTCATCCTCATGGGCAAGACCAGAACCGACGAAAGTTCTTTTCAGAAAAATAACGCGATGCACGTAAGTCCTCTATCATCTTTGCTTTGACCCTTCCTCTTATGCAAACCTCCGTGGCATGTGTCGCTGACTTGAATGAGCTATAGTTCTGGCTTCTCGGTTACGAGTTTCCGGCCACCCTCCTAGTTCTGACTACTGAAGCGATTTACGCAGTCACCACCGCCAAGAAAGGTGAGCAAGTTTGAAATGGTGGCCCTGGGCGCATCAGCCTGCTAATGCGATAGTGGGAGATAGCGGAGCTTCTTGAGCCATTGAAAGGTGGAAAGATTCCAGTGGAAATTTTGGTGACCACAAAGGATCCTGAGTCCAAAACGAAGGCGTTCGAGAAATGCTTGGAGGTTATAAAAGGTGCCGGGGTAAGTTATTTACATATTACATGGGCTGGGTTGGTGGTGCGGTTTACCTAAAAAAAAAATCATAACAGAAGAAAGTTGGCACCCTACCAAAAGATACAACGTCCGGTCCCTTCGCAGATGATTGGAAGCGCGCTTTCGCAGAAATTTCCAAAGATATTGAGGAAGTTGATATCACGCCAGCGCTCTCAACAGCATTTTCGATCAAGGATCCTGAGGAACTGGTGAGCTTTGTTGCAACGTTGTAGAGATAACCCCAGTCGCCCGCTAACATATTGAAAAGGTTTCTATTCGAAATGCCTCTAGGGCATGTAGCGGATTGATGTCGGAATATTTCGTGGATGAGATGTCTCAACTTCTGGATGAAGAAAAGCAGATGACACACAAAGCTCTTGCTGGCAAGGTGGAGGCGAAGATTGATGATGCAAAATTTTTCAATAAGCTTGCTCGCCTTCCGTCGGAATTTGACGCTGAACAGATTGATTGGGCTTATGGTCCAGTAGTTCAGAGCGGCGGGGTTTACGACTTGAAGCTGACTGCGACCCCTGACAGCAAAAATCTTCAGCCGGGAATCATCATTTCAAGCTTTGGTATTCGCTACAAGACATACAACTCCATCATCGGACGTACCTACTTGGTGGACCCCAGCAAGTCCCAAGAAGCAAACTACGCTTTTTTGGTGACCCTACACGATACGGTGATGAAAGAGATCCGGGATGGTGTCGTCGCCAAGGATTTGTACAACAAGGCCCTGAACCTAGTGAAATCGAAGAAGCCAGAGCTCGAGGACCACTTGACCAAGAACATTGGCTCGGGAATCGGCATCGAGATCAGGGATACCAATATGGTCCTCAATGCGAAAAACACTCGAGTCTTAAAGAACGGCATGACGCTGGCAATCACCATTGGCTTTACCGATGTGAAGGATTCTAGCTCAAAGGGAAAGGACGTCTACTCCATGGTCATTACCGACACTGTGCGCGTTGGAGAGAATGGGCCCCATATCTTTACCAAGGATGCCGGAATTGATATGGACTCGGTCTCCTTTTACTTTGGGGATGACGAAGAGCCGGAAAAACCGGTCAAGGAAAAGAAGGAATCGAAGTCTAGCGCAACTGCTAGCAGAAATGTGACACGCACCAAGCTTCGAGCGGAGCGGCCAACTCAAAACAACGAAGGCGCCGAGGCACGCCGCCGGGAACATCAAAAGGAATTGGCGACGAAGAAGACCAAAGAAGGTTTGGATCGGTTTACTGGGACAACTGGAGACGACAATGGTGTGGCTCAGAAGAAGTTCAAGCGTTTCGAATCTTACAAGCGAGACAATCAGCTTCCCGTCAAAGTCAAGGATCTTACAGTCTATGTCGACCACAAAGCATTGACTGTCATCGTGCCAATTATGGGTAGACCCGTGCCATTCCACATCAATACCATCAAAAATGCCAGCAAGAGTGACGAGGGAGAATACGCGTATTTGCGGATTAATTTCCTGTCTCCCGGCCAGGGTGTTGGTAGAAAGGACGACCAGCCATTCGAAGATCCAAACGCTCACTTTGTTCGCAACTTGACCCTTCGCTCTAAGAGTAATGATCGATTGGCACAGGTTGCGCAGGATATTACTGAGCTTCGAAAGAATGCTTTGAGACGAGAGCAGGAAAAGAAGGAGATGGAAGACGTGGTCGAGCAAGACAAACTCGTGGAAATCAGAAGTCAGTCACAGTGCTTGATCCTGGAGATGAAAACCCCTTATGCTGACCAAACTTAGATCGTCGCCCTGTGAAATTGCCAGACGTCTACCTTCGCCCCCCGCTGGATGGAAAACGTGTGCCTGGTGAAGTGGAAATCCACCAAAACGGTCTCCGGTATCTATCACCATTCCGCAATGAGCATGTCGACGTGCTATTTAGCAATGTTAAACATCTGTTTTTCCAACCGTGTGCCCATGAGATGATTGTCCTCATCCACGTGCACTTAAAAACTCCGATCATGATCGGAAAGAGAAAGACTCGGGATGTACAGTTCTACCGCGAGGCGACAGAGATGCAGTTTGACGAAACTGGAAATCGCCGGCGTAAGCACCGATATGGAGACGAGGAAGAGTTCGAAGCCGAACAGGAAGAAAGACGTCGGAGGGCTGCGCTTGACCGTGAATTCAAGGCCTTTGCTGAGAAGATTGCGGATGCCGGCAAGGATGAGGGTGTGGACGTTGATATTCCCTTCCGGGAAATCGGTTTTACAGGTGTCCCTAACCGCTCGAATGTACTGATCCAGCCGACTACGGATGCACTCGTCCAACTCACCGAGCCGCCTTTCATGGCGATCACACTCAACGAAATCGAGATTGCGCATTTGGAAAGAGTTCAGGTACGTGGTCAAGTCTCTTGTCCTTTGGTCTTTAAAACCGGTCCCCTTACTGACACGAATATAGTTCGGCCTCAAAAACTTCGATCTTGTTTTCGTGTATAAGGACTTCCATCGACCCCCAGTGCATGTTAACACGATCCCGGTTGAAGCACTAGAAGGTGTCAAGGACTGGCTTGACTCGGTTGATATTGCGTTTACTGAGGGTCCATTGAACCTGAACTGGACCACAATCATGAAAACAGTTGTCAGCGATCCATACGGCTTCTTTGCAGACGGCGGGTGGTCTTTCTTGGCTGCTGAATCCGACTCTGAAGGTGGCTCAGATGACGAAGCAGAGTCAGCCTTCGAATTGTCTGACTCTGAGCTGGCTGCCGCCGATGAGAGCTCGGAAGAAGACAGTGACTTTGACGATGACGCTAGTGCTGATGCCAGTGAGGAGGATTTCAGTGGTGATGAGGAGAGTGGTGAGGACTGGGATGAACTGGAAAAGAAAGCCAAACGTCACGACAAGGAAGCCATGGCGGAAGACGATGATCGTGGTACTAAGCGCAAGCGCTAAACATTTGTCAACTTCCCAGATTTTTGTTCCTCTGGTTCTGTTTTTTTTTTTTTTCATTCCCTCTCTTCCCCCGACGTGTACTCCATACTTGACTTGCTTGTTCCCCAATGTGCAATTATTATCTTACTATTATTATCTATTTTTTTTTTTTTTTTTTTGCAACTTGAAGTTTAGAAAGACGGATGAAAGGTCCTTCGAGAGTCTAAACTCACAGAAGAGCCCAAAAGCACCCACCTCGAGCCGGAAGAAATAAAGTCATTACTATCTTCCCACCTTAATGATACTATTTGAATGACTTGAAATTGAAGAACTATTGATTGTGAGATTCTGTCCCTGCTGACGCTTGTTCGTGGGTGTATAAAATCAGCACTTATAGTCATCACTATAAACCTTCTTCGAGGTGGTTAATCATAATGTGTTTAGAATATACAAAATCAACACTCTTCAGGAATCTTGATAGACTTCATTCTATTTGCCTTGACGCATGGTGGCCCACATGTTCCGCATTCGGTTCATCTGGCCTGGGCTGAAAGTGTCATAACAAACATCGGATGAGTAGTCCATGAAGTTGTGGACAGCATCAAGCCCGGGAGAATCGGGGCATGAGTCTTTCTGACTAGGACATCCGTCTGTAGGGGTTGATTGCTGTGGAGTGTCGGAAATATAATCCCCGGGATTGCTTGCAGAGCAGGATTCTCCCTGGAAAGTGTGCAGTAGACCATTCCAGTGTCCAATTTCGTGGATCGCAGTCCCTCCGCGGTTATACAGATCCAAAGAACCACCAGGCATTGTCTTAGCAAGGATATTGCAGCCATCCTTGACATAATCTGCCCGGGGACTGCTAGCGTTCACACTTGGATCAGGCAAGGTACAAAAGCCCAGCACACTGGAAGACAAATCGTTCAGCTGAGAGGCCGCACGAGGCTCAGTCCGTCCAGCTTGTCCAGGGGATGCCTGTAGATCGGTTTGGAAATAAACATTCAGGGTTCGGTAACTGCCTTTCCGGATGGACTGCTTCATGGCCAAGTCATCGCCATCCTGTGCCCAGAGATCATTTACATGACGAGTGACACCCGCTAAGCGATATTGGATGGCAGCATCTTCATATGCGTCGCGAAGAATGGAAAGCTGAGGGATGTTAAAACCAGAAAGCCTGGAGACCTTGAAAGCTGAGGACAGACCTGGGAGTTAATCATATAATCTGTAACCTGGTCTACTTCAGCATGGCTGCTAACGATATGAAACCAGGTCTCGATTTCTATTGGGGCCTGTCGAGCCTGTGACGCTGTGGGGCCTGGATGAACCTCATCAATCTTGACTTTTTGGAGGGCGTGCAGGAAAGATGCATCTGGATCCTCAGTGGCGCAGATGCCGCGTTTCTGGAACACAAGGGGGCTAGACTGGGCCCGCTGCAGGAAAATGATTATGGCAAGAAGCACGATTGGCATAAAAGAGTGACAGACCATGATGGTTGGAATAGATTGTGCCCTTGAGTCGCGAATCCCCCGACAATAAACGAGAGGAAAGACCGACTAGGAAACAAAAGTTAAAGAAAAGAGACAGACGAAAGAGAGAGAGAGAACGAGAGAGAGACAAACACCAAGGAATGAATGGTAGGTGTTGATGAATCCTACCTTTTTTTTTTTTTTTTTACTTTGCTTAGCCCGAGTTCTTTTGGTGCCATTGAACCTGCTTGAGCTCCGATGCCATGAGTCTTGGGAATGCCGCGTCATGGTGGAATGCCAGTCTCCAGCAAGGGGGCTCATAACTAGGGCATAGAAGATCAGCAAAGACCCGCAGGGTGGAAAATAACAAGTAAAATCATTGGTACTCCCTATATATCATGCGAGTAGCTGTTGAGGTATAATGATGTCACCCAAGGGTGCAAGAGAAAAAAGAAGAATGCTCATTCTTGAGGTTATTGACTAGATACATAGAAACTCCTTGTAAAACACCCAATCCAGGACAGTCCACAGCTCATTTATTCACACGGTTCGAATCCCCATATAATACTGAAAACATGATAAGGGGGTGGGGGAGGAAATTAAGGAAGAATACCAACAAAGTAGGGAAAGATTTGAAAATGCGCGTTGCTGTTTTATGTTGGTATGGAGATTAGGAACTTGGACGAAGTCTGTCATCTCGCCCAGTAGCCATAGCGGTGGTTGGCTGATTGCTTGAGTCCCAAGATAGGTAGGTGTGGTCCCCAAGTTTTCTGCATGAGGAATAAGAATCAAGTGAAAGGCGTCAACCAGAGGGGATAAAAACACATACCTCGGTCGAACCAAATGAGCAATGGTGAAAAGAGCTCCAAGGAGTACGCAAACTCCTCCAACAACAACGTAAGCAATTCCCATGAATGGATTCTTCCCACCCATGACAGTACGAGTAGAGAGCAAAATCGACTTCGTTCCATCATACTCAGTGACCTTGAACTCTAGAGGATTGTAAGCGATATGAAATCCATAAGAGGTAGGAATGAAGACTAACGGTCAATGATATCCAGCCGGTAATCCCCTGCAGCCATGGCAGTATCGTCATTTCGACGAGAGAGTTTGCTGAAAGCTGGCAGTCCAGCAGTTCTCATCCAAACCATAAAGTCTTCATCGTCATGGATGTTAGGCATAGACTCATTTGTATAGCTGCCGTTGTATTTGGTCCAGTTGGGAGGGGGAACCACTTCCCAATGCTGATATTTGGTCTTTTGATACAACTCCTTGTCACTCTCCCACGCGATGCCCTTTTTTGTCATGTTGTAGGGTGTCTCGTTATTGCTTAGAAGCACAGGACTGTCGATACTGTCGTTGAATCTAGAGTTCGCGATCAGGCCACATGGGTAGTAAGCTTTCTTGGTGGCCGGGTCTGTAGTGAGAGGATCACAAACGCTGCCGGCAATGGTTTTGTTGCTGAGAGCACTGCCCTTCAATTGATCCAGTTCCAAAGATTGAACATATCGACGATGATTTTGGTAAAAGTTAGTGAGGCGGTAGTAAAGGAAGACCGGGGGTCCCATAGATTCGGGAATGTTAAAGTAAAGGCTGCAGGTAGTTTGATTGGTTGTCGCATCCACAGTTCTCTGCCATGATGGTGTGGTTGACGACTTCGTTTTGAAGGTCATTGAGACCCTGTCGGGAATGTAAGCCTGGTTGGCTGTTGGGGCTGCGCTATAACAATCCGTGTAATCAATCACGATCTCTTGGACCTAGATAGATATTAAGGTGTTAGGGGGAGGCGTATAAAACAGTACAACGTAGGGGGGGAAAAAAGCACGTACCAGAGAGCTCGCCCAGAGAAGGACACCACCGAGGGGAGCAAATATGATCCCGACAATAAAGAAAAGAGGCAATACACTCTTCGGAGTTAGGATCGGTCTAAGCGGAAGGGCGCGTGAGTATAGATAAATGCATGTGATGGGCCAGAAAGATGAAACAGTCCAGCACTTACTGCCATGCTTTCAATCGCTGCTGGCGAAACGCAGTATCTGAGTTGTGGGATGAATTAGTTAAAGAACAGAGATAGGACAGAGGGTCGGAGCAGGGGAGGCGCACTGGCGGGTCGCCGGGACTTCGGCTTTTTGTCGCCATCGGCTCTGGCATGTTCCTGTTCGTCAATAGACTCGGCACGGGTTGCCTCGGCCTGGGACATGACTTCGGTGAATGTTGACACGTATCAGGCAGAAGGAAGGGTGTGGGAAAGAGTGGTGCGAGGTGTAAAATGAGGGAGACGTCAGAAAAAGGTGGCGCCGGGCGGAGCCAGATCACTGGATTAGCGTGTTTAGCCGCCCCACATTTCAGGCAAACAGCGATAATCAATATCTACAAAGTATCTGATTATCTATAATTATCTGATCGTATCTGAACAAAATTCAAGTCACATTACCCAGACACTTGTGATCATTAGAGAAGGAGAAGACTACTTAGAGGCTATAATCATTGTTTATAAGAATCAGAAAATTCATTTGCAGTGTATTGTTCAAAAGAATCGTATCCGGTCAGGGTATCATATCATCCCGAGTGCTATCGCAGAAATCTTCCAAGTCATGATGCAAATAAAGCAAGAGTAAGCCAATTGAAAAAAGAGAGAAACCAAAACCCCCCGAAAACAAATCTCACAACTCCATATGTGTTGAAGGGGTATGTGTGAGAGTTGGTGGCGCCCCAAGCCTGCCATTCTAGATGGATATGAAAACGCCGTAAACCCCGGAGAAAAAAATAGAAGAAGAAACGAAAAACTTGAAAGCAAAAACTGCCTCAGAGAGAAACGAAACAAAAATCGTAGGTAAGACTAATAGCAACTTTCATGAGAATTTGGAGAAGGGGAAAAAAGGATATAGTATCCACGGTCCCAATATGGAGCCATGTGGGGCAGAATAGAGAGACAGAGAAAGGCTGGCTTGGGAAATGAATGTATCGTCATGCGTAGCGGGCATTCAAAGCACTGCTGTGAGTTGGCAGGTTTCTTCATGATCATCCAAGAGTGAGCTCCGGTAGGTACAGCAAACAGCTGGAGTCAATTGAGGATTAATATTTGTTTGGACCGATAAGGCACGACTAATGATTTGAGCTCGCCTTCGCTTCTGAACGGCAAGGTCGAGTGAAGGCGGCAAGAAGAAGAGATTGAAGGGGAGGGGGGTAACCGCTCCCGTCCATTGACTTCAAACCACAAACGTCGAGTTGCGGGGAAAGAGAGCGGGGATGGATAGAGATGGGAGAGGGGGTGGGAGAATCCGCTGCCAAAACGAGATGTTGGGGGGGGGGGGGGGATCGAGATCATTGAGCGATTATTGAGGGGGGAGGGGGAAAGATGGAGGCGAGGGTATTCATGAAATCATCTCAGATGCTGGTGGAAGAACTCTGGCTTGAACCAGCCAACACGCTCATAGGCAGTCCAGAGCTTGCTGGCTTTGTTGACATCAATTTTGCAGGCCTGCTGGGCATCCGTCTTGCGAAATTCTTTGCCCACGCTCAGGGCTCGCACTCGAGCCTCAAAGATTCGGCGCTTGCTGCACAGATAAGTAGCACAGGAGAGTCGCAGGGTGGAGGCCAGATTGAGCTCGGCCGGACTGAGCATATGTCGGTCCGGGTCATTGCTCAAATCCAGCATTTGCCCTTTCCAGTCGGCCTTTAGTGCTTTGGCGTTGTTGCCTAGCGTGTCCAGTGGAGGCGAGAAGTCTTGTAGGGCCTGGAAGTCGGTATCATCCCGATTTGTGCCCAAAGCCCGTGATTTGGAGGCACTAGGGGGAGAATCAAAGGTATCCATGGACTGTTGCTTAGGGGTAGATTTAGGGGTGCGCTTGACTCGGGTGCGCTGAACCCGGGGGGTCATGACTGCTTTCTTCGGGGCCGGGGCAATTTTCTTCAAATTGGCTGCCAAATCAGTCGGTCGGTAGCGATTTATCAAGGCCAACTGCCGTTCCAGCGTCTCGCGTTCCTCCCGGGCCCAAGCCACCGGATTACGGTTGTACTGGGCAGAAACGATGGGCACACACGACAGTGCAAGCAGATATTCATCGCGCGTGGGTTTGTTACGCTTGTTATCAAATCTGGCCATGTGAGAGGTGATGTGCTGCTCCACAACAGCCTCTCGGGTTGAGTGTATGGGACCGAAAAGCGGTTGCTCCTCCCCTGCAATTGACTCATGTCGAGGAAACAGCACTGGGTCCCGAGAGGAACCCACCTCACGCTCCATCTGCTCCACTGTGTGGGGGTGTCGCTTCTTAGTGCCCGTGTATGGGGTCACGGGGGGCGACGGTAGATCCATCTCCGACTGTGTACGCTTGCGATCAGCTGAGATTGGGGGTAATTTGATGTCCAAGGACGAAGGATTTCTGCTGAACGGAGAGTGTTGGAAATTCTCCAATGGCTTCGTCTCCGGTGGTGACATCAGGCTTGATACAGGAAGACGATTCATGATGATCGAGTGTTTCCCCGGTTGTTGTGTACCAGAATCCATACCCACGGTGGGGGAAATGGGGAGGGGGAAGAGAGGAGGGGAAAATAAGATTGAAGGACGGTTTGGGTTTGTTTCTCAGTATCAATTTGGGGGGGGGGGAATCAAAACAAGAATAATTTCAGTTAGGCAGACAGATTGAGTTCCCTTTGGGCAGAGACCGGGGGGAGTTGGTTTAAGGGTGTTGTAGAAGAGAATCCTAAGGTGATGGAAGGGGGGAAGTAGACGAGCGATGAAGTAAATAAGAGGTAAGGGAGGATGTAAAGGTTAATGAAGAGTCGAATTGAATAATTCCGAATTGAATGTACAAGCGTCGGATGACGAAGTGGAAGTCAATGGAAATGCAGGCTCAAGGCATGGGATTTGTCACAGGGTGGCGATAACCGGTGATAAGAGATCCAATGGCCGAGGTATGAGTCAAAGCGTTCCAATAGAGTCTCATTTCCATCTAAGAAGGAAAAGAAAAGAAAAGAAGAAGGGGTCTTCTTCAACCAAGATAATCAATTCTTTTAAAGAATTGAATCTTTACGGTTATGGAGGAAGAGAGGAAGAGAGGGGAAAAGAAGAGAAGAGAAGAAGGGGGGGGGGGGGGGGGGGAAACAAGTATGAGTCAAAGAAGAGGGGGGCTGTAAAGAAAAAGGGCTGTACAGTAGGAGTGCGGGGTGGCGCGTAGTCATCTTATTATAGTCATCTGGGCACCCAATGACACACAGATCGCCCCATTTGGGCCCCATGACAACATCTCATGCGGGCAATCATCGTATAAGACCTCGCGATACGCCAATGGCTGATTTCCTGCCCCACAGCGTCCCTTGGAGTCCCACCAATCATTCCTCAAAATTACCACCTGGGTAGTGTGATCAATGTCGATCTTACAGGCTGATCTCACTCGGGGCTTAGTGACGGCTATCCTGGTACATTGTTGCCTTGTTTCTGGCTGATAAAGGAACAGATGACCTTCACGCTTCCTCTTGGCCTTGATTCTTTTTCTTTGGCTTTTCTATTATCCTATTATCCCCTCTTCCTAAAACCTTCCTCAATCCCTTATCCTTTTTTCTCTCTCATACTGTCTAGTCTACATAGCGATATCTACCTATGCAGCTATGCTGGGCGGCGGGCCTATGGGATAAATAAAGCCCTTGGGCCTTAAATTGTATAATTCCCCCTCCTAGAGATATATCCAAGATTCCAAGTATAGTGTGAGACTAGATAATCAGATAATCGGATAATCAGATTAGATAGTAGCTCATGGTTAGATAGTTCAAATGTTAGTCTGAGAAAAGCTCTCCTCTCCTATCCCTCATTCCTTCCTTTTCTCCCTAATACGGTAGTACCTATCCCACTCATTAAGAAAATATAATATATGTTGATTCTTCTCCATCTTATTTCCATTCGTTTTTCCCAGATCTATACTGCAGTTCTGTTAGGACTTCAAGTGTCCATTCCAAACAGTATTCAGGGTGCTGCTAGTCCAAAAGAGGTAATATACCAGGAGAAGATTTTGTGCGGATGATGAAGGGGAATTGGAGATGCCGTATGAGCACGCCAAATCCTCCACATCCACTCCTACCTTGGTTCCTCTTTTGTAGCTATTGATCTCGTACAAACTCGAAACATTGAAGATCTGGAAAGTTTCGATTTTAATGGTTGGTATTCGCTTGGTAGACAGAAGCCCTCTTTAATTTTCTAGTACACGGAATCGGGCCTTCCCAGCTGCTGTATCCAGAAGCGCTTGATTGGCGTCTTTCATTGGAGCCACTTGAACCCATGGATGCACACATTTTGCTTCAGCCAGATTCAACATCTCCCGGATCTATCCTATATACCGGTCTGCCTCTAACTGCAAAGTTTCTTCTTCTTTTATTCGCTCGACGTGAGATGGCAACCACCTCCTGAGCACCCAAGGCCTTGGCGAAAATAATTCCAAAATGTCCGATACCTCCAATATCAATGATGCCCACTCTCTTCTCCGGCCCACAACCATGATGCTTCAACGGGCTATAGATCGTGGTCCCCCCGCAGAGCATTGGAGCAGCGAGATGAGAGGCTAAGCCATCTGGCACCTTGATCGCAAAATAAGCAGGGCATCGATGTTACAAGGACAGGTGGTGGTGCTAAACCGCGAACAGTATTACTCGTTGCCACTAACACAATCAGTAAAGTAACCCAGACGACCTATAAAAGCCTTAGTAACTCAGTTTAAGCCCACGCCTACTCGGTCGCCAATTTGACGATAGTCTTTGACTTCTGATCCGATTCGTACAACTGTTCCGACGATTTCGTGTCCGGCGCAACGGGGATATTTGGTTGGGAACTGCTCTCTATGTTACTTTGGAACCAAACAACAAAACGAGGGGGGTATAGGAATACCCAAAGTATCTTGCTCCTCCTCTAGGCTCCAACCATAGGCCCTAGGTCCTGACTCCTGGCTCGACTAATATAAAAGAATATAATAGGGGAATCTCTACTATAATCTAATAAATAAAGAATAGAGTTTATTTATTTAAGAGATAGAATAAAAATAGAACTTAATAATAACTAAAAAGAAAGAATCTAGGATTCTAGAAGAAATAAGAATATAATAATAGAATATTTACTATCTTTAGCTTCAAATGTTAGAATCTTATAGTAAATACTAGATTCCTTCTCTATTTAAGTGTGGAAAGTTTGATCTAAGTTTTCAGGGTAGATAGGTATAATCTGGTTATTAATTTATAAAAGTATTTTATATATTATAGTATGTGATCAGGATTCAGCATAGCAAAGACTTAACCCTTAATATATATATCCAGTTATCTTATAAAGACAGGAAAAGAGAGAATTAAAAGAGAAGCAAAAGATTCATAATCAGAATCATCATCTGAATCTGATTTACAGATCTTTGAAAGGATCCTCGATTTGGAGGGTAGACCATGCTATGTCTTGTGGGGCCCTGGCGTGCAAGCCTCCAGTTGCAAGAAACCCACCACCCACTTGGGCTTCTGAGGGCTTATCTTGGGATCCACATCCGCAAGCGAAGGTCGATAGTATAGAAGCATGCCTGTGGATATAGGCAAGAGTTTCGACAATCTCCTGACGGTGTGTGGAATACTCCAAGGTAATTTGAGACCACTAGGTTTAAATTAGTTAGCTTTTTGTGATAGAAGGAGAGAGAGGATCTCCCTACCTCGCCGCTGGTATTGATTTGAAGGAAATTAAACTGGCTATTATCGGTCGAGAGACCAAAGACCGCGTGCACAGTCATGCCCTCATACCGACGCTGTGCATGAATCATGGCTGTATAGATAATTAGCATCAAAATAGAAAAGAAATATTAACAATAATTACCCATATAGGCAAGCCCCTGTGGCACGGATTGGCCAGACTGTCCTGTTTTTGTTTCCACAACAAAAAAGTTCATAGCTAGATATTCTTCCCAGCCTTCTGGGTCATACCAAGTAGAGTAGTCAGGGATCCCCTGAAGACAGGTCATTTCTCCCTCATAGATAACCGGATAGAATGAGAATCGCCGTTTCCCCGAGATGGAAATCTTGATCAAGCTATGGAATCGAGGGTCTTTCGGGGGAACCGAATAGACCATAGTAAGAAGCGTAGCCAGCCGCTGTCGCAAAGCAATCTCATGTATCCCATCCTTGTTGAAAATTGAGGCGTCAAGAGCCCTAAGGTAAGAACTGGAAATTTCAGAGATCTGGAATGGAGCTTGATACAGAGTCCAGTCCGTGTTACCACCTCGGATAAGATGAAAAGCAAGTTCAATATCTGAGAGGGATAGTTCGCTAACTTCCCGTGTAGGAATCTGCGACATCTTTGGTGATAGATAATAGGATATGGAGAAGGGGAGTAAGTCTTGCCTATGAAAAGTTCGGGCGGTAAGTTTCTTTATAGGAGAGATGGTGAAGGGAATAAATGAGTTTGCCGAAGACTTAAGGGGGTGTCATCACGATGAACCTATACTCTCACTCTTCTCTGTGTAGATATAGCTCGTTCTCTTCTTCTCTTCTTCTTCTTCTTCTTCTTCTTCTTTCTTTCTCCCTTGCAGCACCCAATACTACCGCATTACGTTCTCGCCCTCCTCCTAGTTGACTTGTTCTCTTGTTCTCTTACATCAATTTTCCAATCATTTCCTGCCGCCTTCTTTTCCCTCGTCAACTTTCTAATCATTTCCTCGATTGATTCATCTAACTTCGAGAAGCAATTCTTTTGCTTCTGGTCTCTTTCTCGAATTTCCACAGTTTGTGCTTACCGGCAATATGGGTCCATCGATGAGCCGTATACGGGAAGTTATTCGAAACTTCATTGACCGCAAGAAAACGACCGACTCGAACCTACTCCAACTAGAAAAAGATTTATCCGAAAATGCAGGGGTTCGAAATATACCTGTCTCTACTCTGCACGCAAAAGAGATAGAAGAGAAGAAATCTTCGGGCTACAGCACTCAAGCAACAACTGGGACTTGATTGATTCATCTAGCTTCGAGAAGCAAGTCTTTTGTTTCTGATCCTTTTCCCAAATCTCCACATCTTGTGCTCACCATGCTGTACTACCAGCACAATGGGCCCATCACTACACCGGATTCGAGAAGTTATACGAAATTTCATCGACCGGGAGAAAAACACAGACTCCCACTTGCTGCAACTAAGCAAAGATTTATCTGAAAATCCTCCGGTTCGAAGCATCGCTGTGTTGAAATTAGACGAAAAGGAGATAATACAAATCTTTGGGCTAAAGATATCGGCCAACAAGAAGCATTTTACAGAAATCCCACCCCTCCACCTCCCTGCTGGCCTAGGTGAGCTAGGATGAAACAGTGATAAAGCTTTAGTATTAAGCTAATGATTATTAATTTAGGCGAGCAATTATCGCTTGTTGATGAGACACTCAATTTGAGTAAATCCAACGAAGCGAATATCAGATGGAAGCTAAATCTACTCCTCATGTATGCCCATCGGGAAGCTTCTCGCCATAGGCCCCCACACACCAAACCTATTAGTGTTAATACCGAACACCAATGGTCCCAAGAAGGCTTGATGATACACGGAAAGGAAGTCAGACTCACCGGCCGGCCAGATTATGCAATCTGGTATGGCGAAGAAGATGAACTTGCTGTGAACGTGATCTTAATGGAGGCCAAGACAACGAACCTAGGCTTCGCCGATATCGCACAGACTTTGGGGTACATGTGTAAGCGCTTCTAAAGTCCATTGGAACTTGATTTGGATCTAATTTGATTTAGCAATGGTACATCGGGGGGGGGGGGGGGGGGGGGGAGAAAGGACGGGGAAGAAAGACTGTGAGGTCTACGGCATTGCTTGTGATGATACCTGGTTTGCCTTTATGAAAATCAACAATACATCCAAGGTTCGTTTATGTTTATGCTTATTATGAGATTTGGTTGATTGGAATATTCTAATATCCACCTAGTACTGACGTATTGATATCTTGATCTGCCTCAAGTCTATTCTCAAGTCTATTCTCAAGTCTATTCTCATTTCTCAAGTCTATTCTCAAGTCTATTCTCAAGTCTATTCTCATTTCTCAAGTCTATTCTCAAGTCTGTTCTTAAGTCCCTCCTTAGGTCCATTCTTATATTAATTCTTATACTTATTCTTAAGTCTATTTAGTAGTTTATATACTAAAACTATTAGTAATTTAAGGGGCTATTCCTTTAAATTATAAGATTCTAAGTATATAAGCTACTATATAGTAAGAGATAGAAGTCTTAGTATTATTTCTGCTAAAATATAGTATTAACTTCTTCTTTTATAGTCTTCTATATTCTAACTAATTAGTATATAAAAGTATATTATATATATAATCTTATATTCCTTACTTTATTTATTTACTTAAATATTATATTTATTATCTTATTCTTAGTTATCTTTTATTATATAAATACTAAAAGAATCTTATATTAATTATAGGATTCTAAGCTAAACTTAGTAGAACTCCCCTTATTATATTATTTATATAATAATTAAATCTTATTCTTTCTTCTAGAATCCTAGATTCTTTCTTTTTCTTTTTATTTATTTATTCTATTTATCTAGATATTAAATATCTAATCTTTAATTATATAGCTATTCTTATTATATAATTATTATTATAAGATCTTAAGAATCTTAATATATTAACTCTTAATAATTATAAGCCTAATCTTATTTAATCTAAAAGAATAAAAGAATAATAAATCCTTTTAAGCTTTTTTTTAAAAGCTTATTTCTTAAAATAATCTAAATATTCTCTATAAGTTTTTTATCTAAATAATCTTTTTTTTATTATAATAATAATTTCTTTTAAAGATAAAATTTATATTATACTAAATTTAGTTATTAATTAATCTTTTTAGATTAATAATATTATAAAAGAATATAAGAATAAATAAGATAATATTATATTTAGTAAAGATAAATTAATAAAGGATAAGAATCTATATATTATTTATAGATAAAATAATAAAATAAAAATCTCTTAGATTAATTCTAATAAGAATTAATCTTTATTTAATTATAAATAATCTTTAATTCTTTATCTAAATATAAAATTCTTATTATTTTATTTTTTATACTTTTTTTTTTTTTTTTTTAAAAAAAAATTCATTCATAGATCTATCAGGCTTTTAGCCCAATTTACTAGTAGGGTACTATAAGATAGCTAGAATTACTATATCATAAGATGAATTATGCTATTATATAGTATCAGGGACTGGTAGGTAGAATAAATAAATAAAATAAATAAGGGAAATAAATAATATAAATAAGAGGCCTACTAAGGCTATACTAAATAAACTAAATACTAAAACCTCTAAGTACCCCTTCTTCTATACCTAGTAATCTCTCTTACTACTTATACCCTATTAATATACTTAATTTACTCTCTTATAGTTTATATAATCTTACCTAATTTATATACTACTAATATTAGTAGAAGTAGATTAATTAACTAATAAGTAATAGATCTATAGTATTTAGGAGTATTTCTTATAGTACTTAATTATATATAACCCTCTATCCTTAATAAATTATAGTATTCTTATATAATTAAAACTAGTATAAGAGGGTAGATAATAATAGTATCTTAAGACCTATAGATACTCTAAGGGATATATTTAGGCTATATTAATAGCTATTTTATTAATTATATTATAGAATATCTCTAATAGGTAGTAGAACTAGCCTAGAAGATATATTCTAAGTATAAATAATACTATTTTAAGGACTAACTTTAGTATTATTAATTATCTTGTTTAGTCTCTAAGATCTTAATTTAGAGTAAGAATCCTAGTTCTAAGTTTAATAAAATTAAGATATATAAGTAAGATATATTATATATTTATCTTATTATACTTATAGTAGGAATAATCTAAGAGATTCTAATTAAGAGCTTCTTAATTAAATATCCTAATTATTATCTTATCTTATTAAATAATAATAATAACTAAATATATTAATAAGATAATAAGATAATATCTCTTATATCTAGAAATATCTAGATATATTAGAATAACTTTATCTAATTTTATCTAACTCTATTATTACTTAGCTAATTTTATTAAGATTAATGGATTTTATCTAATCTTATTCTTAATATATAGAAATATTATATATTCTTAACTAAATTATATATAATAATATATCTAAAATCTATAATCTCTTATTATTATAATTAATTAAAGATAATTGATTATTTTTAGATTAAAATATTAAGATATTTTTAATTTTTTTTTTAAAGATTTATATATTTAGATAGATCTATCCTAAATTATCTAAAAAATTCTATTATTAAGAATATATAAAATTAAAAAAAAATATATATATTCTTAAAAGAAATTATATATTATTTCTAAATATATAAAAATTATTATACTAAATAAAATCTTTATAAAATATATTAAAATAATAAATATATAAACTAAAATATTTTAGATATCTTAATAAGTTTTTTAATAAGAAATATTCTTAAGAATATTTTTAATTAAATATAATTATTATATTTTATAATTAATTAAATTTTATTATAAAAGATTATTAATATTTTATTAATAATAAATTAAAAAAAAAGTCTTTTAAGAAATATAATAAAAAATATTTAATCTAAATATTATTATTTTAATTATTTTATATTTTATAATATTAAATATAAAAAAGAAAATAATAAAATTATAAAATATTATATATAAAAATCTATATTTAATTATTAATAATTCTTTTTTAGAATTTTTTTTTAGAATTAATTGTATTAAGATTAAAATAAATCTAAATAAAATCTTATTAAAAAATATTTAATTTATTAATAGATATTTTAATAAGATTTAATATTAAATAATTTAATAATTTTTTATAAATTATAAATATTATTTTTAAAATATAAAATTTTTTAAAAAAACTTAATCTTTTAATAATTTAAAAATTATTTATATTAATAATAAATTAATAAATTAATAAATTAAATTAATAAAATCTAAAAAATCTTTAAATAAAAAAGAAAAAAAAATTATATAAAATTAATTATAATTTATAAAGATTTTAAAATTTAGATTAAATAAAATTTTTTAGAATATCTTAAAAAAAAAAAAGAAAAATTTAATATTATATATTAAAAAAAGAAATTTATATAATAATATTTTATAAAATTATATTAAATTTTAATTAATATTAATCTTAATATTCTTAAAAATATTTTAATATAATATTTTTATAAGAATATTAATCTTAAATTATAATAATAATAAATAAAAATAAATATTTAAATATTTATTTTTAAAAATATTATTTAAAAATTATTTAAATTTAGAAATTTTTTTTTTATTTAATTATATTATATATTTAATTATATTTTTTTATTAATATATAAAATAAATTAATTTAATTATTATAGATTTTTTAATTATATTTTATTAATTTAATAATTAAAAATATTTTATTATATTTTAAATAAAAAACTAAAATAAAATTTAATTAATAATTTATATTTATTATTAATATAATAAGATTAATTATATTAAAAAATTGAAATAATTAATATAAAATTTTATTAATTATTTAAAAAAGATTTTTTATATTTTTATTTTAAAAAAAAAGATTTATTAAATCTTATATTTAATCTTAAATTAAGATTATTTTATTTAATAAATTATAAATTAAATTAATCTTATTTAATATAAGATTTATTAAATATTATAAATAATTTTTTTATATATTTTTTAATAATAATTAAAATAAATAAAAATATAATAAATATAAATATAATAATTAATTTTAGATTAATATATATTTTTATATTTCTTTTATTTTAAAAAAAAATAAATTAAAAATTATATTATTAAATAATAAAATCTTATTAATTTAAGAATTTATATAATTATTTAAATAATTATAAAAATAAATTAAATAAATTTATATTTAGATTCTTAATTTTATAAATTATAAATTTATTCTTAATTATAATTTTTTTTATAATTAAAATCTTTATTTTAATTAAATAATCTTAATTATAATCTTATATAATTAAAATTATTAATTTTATTATATTTTTTTAATATATAATATAAAAAATAATAATTTTTAAAAAATAATTTTTAAAAAATAATTTTTAAAAAATAATTTTTAATTTTTTAAATAAAAAATAAATTTATTATATATTATATAAATTATAAATAAAAATAAATCTATTTTTTATTTATAAAAAAATCTTTTTTAAAAAGATTAAAAAAAAAGTAAATATAAAGATTTTTTATTATAAGAATATTTATATTTAAAAAATTCTAAAAAAATATATTTAAGTTTTTTATAAAAATTTATTAAAAAGATTTTTTTTATAATAATTTTTAAAATATAAGATTAATATTAATATAATAATATTAATTAATCTTAATTCTTATTTTTTATTAAAAAATAAATTAAATAAATAATAAAAATTAATTTAATAAATAAATAATAATTTAATTAAAAAATTATATTTAATATAATTTAAAATAAATATAAATAATTTATTAAAAAATATTATAAATATCTAAATAAAATCTTATTATTTTTATATAAATAAGATTTAATTATATAATTAAATAAATATATAATAATTATAAAAAGATTTAAATTTTATAATTATATTATTAAAAATAAATATATTTATCTTATTTTAATAAAAATTAATTAATATTAATAAATATTTATAAATATAGTAATTCTTAAGATTAATTATTTATTATTATTAGTTTATAAAAAAGTTTTTATATAAAATTATTTTATTATATAAATTTCTAAAAAAATTAAATAAGATTTTTTATAAAAAATAATAAATTATTAATCTATATTTATTTATTTAAAATAAAATCTTATAAAAATCTTCATATTAATTTAATCTAATTATTTATAATTATTTATAATTAAAATAGATATTTCTAAATAAATCTTAGATATTATTCTTTTTTA